ACCCTAACCCTAACCCTAACCCTAAGACTCTCCCGTCGACGCTTCGCACCCTCACGATTGCGCTCCACTCGATCGGCGATACGAGTGGTACAGAGTCCCAAATCGAAGCCCGAGACACGCGCCTTGCGGGCGCTGCTCGAGCAGCTGGCATCCGCCTTCAGATTCAGCGCTGCGCGACGCAAAACGAGATGTACCGACTTGATCTCGAGGAGTGGGCGGTGTCGGTTGGTGCGCTGTAACGAGCTCACTTCCTTATACCCTACATGTTGTCACGAATTTCCGCGTCTGCAAGACTCCGGCTGACTCGACTGCCGAGTGAGAGAGCTTGGAGAGAGCGTCTCTTGCGGACAATTCGTGAGACCGACTCTTCACACAGGCTAATTCGGACGATGCGCTTCGCACAACACCGCTCCAAACCTCTCGCGCTCTCCCTCACCAGCACGCGAAGCGACGGATCGTACAACAATCTGCGAGTTGCTCAAACGCGATGCGACGACAGCTTGGCGAACCTGACCTCCTTCTCCACCCGATCATGCAAACGACTCGACGAGGGTGTCCCGCATGCCGCCAATGGCGTTCTGGTCCTGTCCCGCGAGCTTGAAGACCGACTCGATGACCGAGATTTCCGTCGCAGTCGTGTCGAGGCCGGTGAAGGCGGTCCAGTCTGTGCGAGAGGCGGGAGTCAGCGGGCTTAGAGATGAGAAGAGCGGGTATTGACGCACCGTTAACGATCATGCCCGCGCCGATGACATCCGAACCACGGTTGACCGTTCCCGCCTGCGAGACGAAGCGGAGAGTCAGCCTCGCGAGAATGCTACGAAAGACGCGCAACGCACCACGAGAGGCACCTGCAGCAGCGACGAGAGCTCGTCCTGGTCTTGCACGCTCGTCTTGGGGTGGACGAGTGCGCCCTGGTTGCTTATCCGGCAGTAAGAGCCGACGAGCACGTTGTCCGCAATCGTTTGGCGGAAAACCTCGACCTTGAGGACGTCGGCGATGATCTCCTCCGTCTCGCGGTCAATGTCGGGATGGACGAGCGCGACGTAGTCGTTTGCTGCGATGATGTTGCCGAGCGCCGACAGTCGCTCCTCGATCCGCTGGATGGCGACGGTTTCAGGGAGCGAGTTGCGAAGATGTTGCAGCTCCTGGTCGGTCGTCGAGTTGGGGACAAGCAGGCCGTGACGGTTGCCTGCGGAAAGGAGCGGGATTAGCGGGCGTTCCGAAAAGAGTTTGGCTTGGTGAGCGGCGGAAGGACCAGTCCACTCCTGCGTTCTTGTGCCAGCAGAGCGCACTCCATCCCGTGTTCTCCACGCGCTTCCGCCAGCCCAGCCAGCCCTCCGCCGGGACAACCGCTCGCAAGCTCGCGACGAGGAAGGCCACCCTCCAACTCGACCGTCCGACCCCGATCTGCCGTCGTGTAAACCTCCACACCCAGAGTGAACGAACGCACCTGCTACGAGCCTGCCGATGATCCTGGTTCCACCGATGCTCGTCTGGACGACGGGAACGACGTCTCCCAATTCCGCCTCGAAGGTCGAGTAAAAGTTGGACGAGCCGGTCGAGACCGAGGTCAGGCAGTACGAGTTGGTGAGGGACGCAAAGACGCCGACCTGCGCAGAGTGAAAGCGAGACGAAGTAAGGTCAGCGAGAGCGGCTCGACAACACCTCCCACAACCCTCCAGCCGACTGTGAGAGGTCCGCCAGACTCACATCAGACGAGTTCTCGAATCGTGCACCTGCGAGAACGCCGCCACGTCGAGGGTGATGGCATGTAAGCTCGGGGTGCACTGTGCGGCGACGAGGAGATGAGGGAAGGCGGTTCGGACGCACGGATGGCCATTGTGAAGATCTACGATATCGATGCGAGCGTATCTAGCAGTGGCAAGTGAGCGGATGAGCCTGGAGGGTGGCGTGAAGGGGAGAGAGCCGCGTCGACTTGTTCCTCCTCCTCAACCTCATCCGGTCGAGTCAGTCTACCCCGCTTGCGCTCTCTCTGACTGGTTCAAGTCGACTGGACATGTACGCTGGTCGACTCTACGGCCCAACTGAACCGGCCGCACGGTCGAACGGCGCTGAACGGTGCTTTCGCGGACGAGGGTTGTCGGCGAGCGCGATGAGGGCATTGCCGTGCGGGTGCAGGGTTGGAAGCGCTTCTGACACGATTACCGACACCACATCAGACCTCTCCGACCACTGGCGAACAAGCCGCTGACCTTCGACCACTCGTCCGCCTCGTCCCAGCAGACTCGCACAATCATGGATGCCTCCGGAATGAACCCTGCTACGGCTCAGGCCTTTGAGATGATGATGCGGGATAAGCAGGTGCGTCCGCGAGACTCGGCTTCCCTCTGTCCGTCGAGCTAACCTTCGCCCCGCTCCTCCCGAATCCAGATGAAGGACTTTATGGCTCTGTACCAGGGTCTTGTCGCGCGCTGCTTCAACGACTGCTGCAACGACTTTACCTCGAAGGCGCTGAGCTCTAAGGAGGTGCGTTGCGCTCGCCCCTTTCGGTGAAGTCAGGCTGATCCGGTTTCGTTCCACTTCCGTAGGAGACCTGCGTCCAGACTTGCTCGGACAAGTTCCTCAAGATGAGCGAGCGCGTCGGCCTGCGATTCAGCGAGCAGGTGCGTTGCCGGGACTGGTGTTTGCGGTTTCGAGGCGCCTCGCTGACAGGTGCTTCACTTCCCCACGCTTGCACAGAACGCCGAGATGATGGTGCGCCAGCTTCACTCGTTGCTCATTCCGCTCGTTCCGTATTGACGTTTCATCGCATCGCAGGCCCGCGCCCAGCAGCGCCGCTGAACCCTCGACCTCGACTTCACTCTCACTTCGCCACTCCTCCCTGTACCATATCTCGCCCGCATGCGCAGATGCCCCTCGCACAGTCTCTCGATGTCGCATGAACACCTAAGGAACCTGTAAACAAGACGTTCGATGAGCGGATTTGGGCGTGCGAGCGGGCGTGTGTGGGCGTGCGGAAAATGCGATGCTGAACGAATCGCTGCCGGCTTACGATGCTCAGGTAGAACGAGTTTGCTCGGGCGAGACTCGCTGGGGAGAGAGAGCTGCTTGCTGAGGAGCCATCCTGCTCCCCTCGAGCAGTCGACAACCTCAAAACACCGGTGGACTGCGAACGACTGGGAGTTGCAGGTATAGACAAGCGAGAGAGAGAGGACAATGCTGCAACGAGGTCTGCACAGGGCGCGTAACGAACGACAGGGGAAGGAGCGTCTATGTGCAGCATTAGCGCGGAGGGCGAGGGTGATGGAAGCAACAGGTGTCGACGGCGGGGAAGGATATAGGTGCACCAGGGTAGTTGAGCGAGGCCTGTACAGTTGCGAATGCGAATGCGAACGAGGTGGTGCGGTTGCGATGGACGAGAGGGGAAGGGAGAGAGACGGTATGAACATGGTCGAGAGGGAATCTAGGACGCCTGGGTGAAGCGCATGCCCATCCGCTCGACGCTGGGCGTGACGCCGCCGTCGCTTGACGCGGAGGGACTGCCTCCGCCATGCGAGGCGGCGGCTGCGGCGGCGGCCTCGACGAACGACTGGGACCGATCGAACGGGCGGAGGGTGAGGTTGTTGGCGCGGAAAGACGGCCGCTTCGGTGCGGGCGTCGAGGTTGGTGCGGGTGTCAAGGTGGGCGAAGGCGAAAAGGTGGGCGTGTCGACGGGAGAAGGGGAGAAGGGCGACAAGGAAGGGTCTTCGTCGATCGCCTTGGACAACTCGGTCGACGCCGAGTCGAGCGTGCGAGTAGTCGACTCATCAGCCGAGCCAACGATGGGCGGGAGCGGCGAGTGCGAGCGGGACGACGCCTTGATGGTGCCGTTGCGATCGACCGAGCCAGTCTTGGTCGGCGCCTCGTCGGAAGGCGGGTCGCTCGTGTTGGGGCTGGACGCGCTCGCCCCGCTACTGGCAGTCCCGCTCGACCCGCCGCTGCTCCCGCTGGACCGGTGAGCCTGTTCCTCTGTAGCAGAGGCGCGTGTCTCGCCGGACTGTTGCTGCGCCTGCTGCTCCTTCTGCTTGCGGAACGGCAACCACCGCCCGCCCTTGGCCTCCTTCGGCAACCGCTTCGCCTCTTCCTTCGCCCGCTTCGCCGCCTCTTCCCGCGCAGCCTTGGCAGCCGCCCTCGCACCTTCGGGTCCAGTCAGCCGCTTGACGCGCTTCTCGACCTGCCCGGGTGCAGGACCGGCGCGAGCGGTACAGGGAGGGGGGAGGAAGGCGGACGAGTCGACCGAGTCGGCGAAGGAGGACGTGCCGGCGCCGATCGTGTCGAGCGAGGGAGAGACGGGAGTGTAGGGCGAGGTGTGCGTCGAGGACGAGTCGGAGGACCAGATCGAGGCGAACGACGAGGCGACAGACGGTCGTCGGTTGTGGTCTCCGCCCAGGTCAGGAGACGAGAACGCCGAGCTGGGTGGACTCGCAGGACCGGCAGTCACGCCGAACGGGTAGCCATAGTCGAGCGACCCTCGAGGCGGGCCAGCAATCGTGATTGCCGTCGTCGGCCTCGACGGTCTGCGCTGGATGTAGATGCGCAAGAGGTTGCCATCGAACTCGGCTCGAGGCGCCGAAGTCGAGACGTCCGCGCCGAGCATGACGAGTTTCTCAAAATGTCCGCCGTTCTCGCCGTACGAGTCGGCGACGATGTGAACCTTGTGACCACGGCGCATCGCGACAGTGATGTTCTCGAGCGAGAAGCCGGGGAGGGTGACGCGGAGGACGATCTGGAGCGGGTCGGAACGGTCAATGTCAAGCGAGGCGCCGGGAGGTTCGGGTCGGTGGTCGAGGACTGCGCGCGCCACGGAGATCAGTATTTGTTACGCAAGTAGTGAAGCGCACGCATACTCACACTCGACATCGGCCGTCTTGGGCTTGTACACCTCGAGCTCCTCGCCCGCGTCGTCCGTCCTCACCTGCCCGCTCGCAACAGCCTTCTTACTCGGCCCTTCGGCACCGCTATTGCTCGCACTGCCCGCCGCCGTACTCGTCGCTGTCACCGCGCCTGCGCTCCCGGCGCTGCAGATCGACGACGCGTCCGAATCGAAGACCCAGGGACGGCCGGACGAGCGAGTCGAGAAGGTCGAGAAGGTGTCGGTCGAGGAAGGGCGGATGTCGGCGGAGGCGAGGGCGGCGAGAGGTGAAGGCGCGACGACGGAAGAGAGGGGTGAAGTCGAGGTTGCGAAGGGGTACAGCGCACCGACCGAGCCGTCGAGCGAGAGACTCGATCGGGCGGAGTGCGAGCTGGGAGAGCGCAATGAGGTAGATATCTGAGCCGACGTGCTCGGCTGAGGGTGATGGAGGGGGTAGTGAGGGACGGGCGGGGCGTAGGCGAGGGGCGAGTGCGCGTAGGAAGCGGAGGAGTACGGTCGCGAGGAAGTCGACGCCGTCACGATCGAGGGAAGCGCTCGTGCAGTGGAAGGCAGAGACGGCGGCTCAACGGACGACATGGCAGCCGCAAAGTAGCCCTCGGCCGCCCGCTGCGCCATCCTCGCCTCGCGGCTGTCGCCCTGCATCGAGAACTGCTCTATCCGCCTGCGCAGCTCGTCGTCGATCTGCTCCATCCCCGTGCCCGCCATGCTGACCGGCACGAGCTGGGGCGGCGTCTCCAGCGGCGGGCGGCAGTACTCGGTGTTGGTGGAAGATCGGCGACGGCGCGGTGGCTCGTTCAGCAACTCCTCAGCGTCCGACTCGTACCGCACGCTCGAGAGGGCGGTGCAGTCGGTCGCGGTCGAGGTCGACGAGCTGACGGATGCGAGGGTGCGGATCGACTCGTCGGACGAGACGAGCGGGTGAGGTTCGGGGACGGGGCGGTGTGCGTGCGAAGAAGTCGACGTCGCTTTGGCGGGTGCCGCCTCTGGCGGTGGCGAGTGCAGTGGTGGGTGGAAGGAAGCCATGCTGGGCCGTGCGCGGCGAGCAGCGCGACCGGTGGCGAGAGCCGGATCGCGCTGAGTTAGAGGGGTGCGACGATCTCTTGGAAGAGCGGGGTCTGAAAGAACAAGCTGGCGGCGGGGGGGAAGGGGTTCGGTCAGTGTGAGGTTCCGATAGCGCGCCCGGGTGATGTCGACAAGGGCTGCCACGCTCGAGAGCGCATCGAGCGGGCGGGTGCAGCAGGTCGAGCGTGTTTCTGGGAACACTCGAGCGAGCAGGCGCAGGCGAAGATCTTACGGAAGGCGGGGGGAGTCCGTTTCGCGAACCTATGAGCGCATAATCCAGGGCGACCCGTGTCGCGCAATTTCCCCCTCGCATCCGACCCGCGCAAAGTGATTGCGCACTCGCTCGTCCCCGCAAAAGACAATCCACAGTCGCCAGAGAAAGTGAACGCACGGGATCAGCGGGTGCGAGACGAGGCGAAGCAGGGGGTCGCGCTAAAAGCCAGGCGGTGTACCGATGTCGCAGCGAGCCGTTCGAGCTGGCTGTTGGGCGCGTGAGGATCGTGACGGTGTACTCGAGTCTGCAAGAGAGCATTCGAGCCCAACGAGGCGAGTCCTGGTCAGCGAGCGAGTTGACGACGTCGCGCCAAGTGAGCGAGTCGCCCAAAGAGGGAGGGCGGCCGACATCCAGCGACGACAGCGTCCCGGCGGGTCGTTCGACCGTGCATCCAGCTCCTAAGATCCGCCTGAACCATCCTGCACCACCACAACCCCGCCCGGCGAGCGAGAGAGCGATCGCATGCCAACTCGCTCGAAGCGCCCCACCAGCGCGGTCGTCCTGCCCGTCCGACGCCTCCAGCTGAGCCAGTGAACAGCCAACGCACCTGCTACAAGCTCGTTGATGCGCCCTGGCACCCGTGCGTCGCGCCTGCGCTGTCGTGTGAGCGAGTTGCCGAGTTCCACTTCGAGCGGGCGAGTAGCGCGAGAGGACTTGCGCTGCGGTGCGGGAGGCGTCGCAGGGGTACAGTCGAGTGGCCAGTCGAGGTGTACACGTGTGTGTAGGTCGCGAACGCGCTGCCGTGCGGTGGTCGGGCGAGGTGGATGCGAGAGGACCTCCCTCCGGGCGAGGTTGGCTTCTCCTCGCACGCTCACCCGCTCGCTTCGGTTGCTTGACAGGCTAGACTGACTATTCGAGACGTTCTCTCACACCCTACGCAAAAGCGACAGTCCCGCACGCTGTCGCCGCCTCTCTTGTCCTCCTCGTCCGCTCACCGCCAACCACCGTCGTCCGCCTCGCTGCGCACGGTACAGTACTCAGAGATCCACGGTACACCGAAGCTCCATTCCCTCGCGTGCCGCTTCCGATCGCTCTTCCCCAGCCTCTCTCTCGTCGTTGCTCTCAGATTGACGAAGAGGGGATTTATTAACTGCGTCATTCATCCCCGCCTGTGTACAGTATCTCCGGCTTGTAATGGACGCATTATAATGCCGATAACCCGCGCGGAAGTGAGCCCACTACTGTGCTCTCGCATCCGACGTACGTCCCGCTCGATGCGCACGTCTTGCGTCCCTCACCTTCCCCTGCCCGAGCTCTTCGCACGAAGCGTGTGCCGAGATTGCTGTTCTTCTCGCCCGAGGTCGTCGAGGTCGCACACGAGCGAGCGAGCGAACGACCTCCTCGCAGCCCAGCGACGCGACGACGAAGCAGCAGCGTACTCCCTCCCAGGCGGCACCCTCCCAACGAACCCGTGCGATATGCTTAAGCTCAAGGCGCCGCCTGCCACAGGAGATCGGCCAGGTCGAGAGAAGCCCGAGTCTGCGAGCAAGATACCCGGTCACGGACGGACGGATCGCTCTTTTGCGATGTGGCTCGCTGGCTGAGTATGTAGGAGCACGTAGTGACGGGGTGATCGGTGATCTGGGGAGGAGCAAGCCGATGGGAGGGACGAGGTGAGGAGGGCGGGAGAAAGAAAGCTGCGTCGAGCAGTGATGAGGAGAAGGTGGACGAGCGCAAGCTGTAGTCGCTCAGCTCCTGTACAGAAGCTCGGCGTAGCAGACAATGGTTCGAAACCAAGCGAGCCGTACGCCAGTCTCCTGAGGAAGCGAGACGACAGAGTCCAGCGTCAGAAGACGGCGTTGGCGCAAAAGTCCGGCGTGGGCATGCCCTGCGCTCTGCCGCTCGACTGACACGCTGTAACACACTCGTGCAAATCAGGAGAGTCTCCTGGGCCGCGGATTAGGCGATTCCTTGCGGGCGAGAGGTACTCGGAACAGACTGCTTGCTGGACCAAACATCGCTTAGTGATGGGCAGGATGGGCGTGACGCGGGAATGACGAAGAACTGAATGATCGAAGGCGACGGCTCATCCGCAAGAAGCCTGGCGTGAAGCAGCAGGAGGAAATTGAGGCGAAAGAGGGCGAACGACAAGTTGGCCGACAGCAGCACCAGTTGCTGGACACTCTGTACGCTCCCAGCCATCTCCTAAGTCCAACGCGTGTCCCGCCAGCCCGCCTGAGCGATGCCCACCGTGGATAACCCTCCAAGCGAGATGACCGGGAGAAGCGGGTCGAGGAGGACGAGCACGGCGAGGGCAGTTGCGCGAGCGGCTTTGGTAGCATTCAAGCAGTTCAAGAAGACGACTGAGCACCCGTCGCAGCCCTCCCGAGCTGTTCGATGCGAAGGGTCGCCGGCCAACCTTCGTCCCGACTGTCCTCCTCCTCCTCACCTCGCTGCACTGCTCGCCATGTTCTCTTCCGCGACCCGCACAGCTCTCCCGCGCACCGCGACTCGCGCTTTCTCCGCCTCGGCGCGCGCAAAAGCCGAGACGCTCGTCTTCCTCGAGACCAAGGGCGACTCGCTCGTCCCGTCGGCGGCGAACGCCATCACGGCCGCCAAGAAGGTCGGCGGGAAGGTGACGGGGTTGATCATCGGCAAGGACGAGGCTAGCGTCAAGCCGGCCGTCGACCGGGCAAAGAAGTGCGTTCACTCGTCCTCCTCGACGAGACGGCGTTCCGATCCTCCCCACTTGCGAGGGAACCGCGCGAGGGAGGGTGCGGTGATTGCGACGGTCACAGTCGTGGACTCGCTTTGCCTGGCGCTCGCACCGACGCTCGCTCGACGTCGCTGCGCCTCGGACTTTCTCTCACGGGCGAACGGCGTCGGGTCGACCGGCAACTTTGCGCTCGGAGCAGTCGGGGTAGTTCAGGTGCTATGGCATTGGTGAAGGGGAATGGAGGAGCTCGACGTGTGATGAGCGGGACCGGAGGACGGTGTTGCCGCTGCTTGCGGTCGGAGCGATCTCGACGAGTTAGAGGATCAAACTCGCTCCGACCGACTCTCTCGCCCGCCCTGCCCGTCAAGCAGCACAAAATGACGTCTCTGGCACTTTCGAATACCGGAGATTGACCTCTCGCTCGTCTCCCTCACAGGATGGGCCTCGACGCCCTACTCGTCCGCACTTCTCCCGCCCTCGAACACGCCCTCGCCGAGCCAACCGCGCCCGTCTTTGCCGAGCTCGTCAAGAAGGGCGGCTACACGCACTTTGCGGCGGGACACTCGGCGCTCGGGAAGAACTTGTTCCCTCGGGTGGCGGGCTTGTTGGAGGTTCAGCAGGTGCGTGCGGCGTCCGATGAGCCTGTCACTTGCGCCTTTCCCGCCCTCGAGTAGAGCTGACTGCCGTCTCGTGACGATTCGCACAGATCTCGGACGTCATGTCGATCCAGGACGAGAACACCTTTACGCGCCCGGTCTACGCCGGCAACGCCATCTCGACCGTCAAGTCGACCGACTCGATCAAGCTCTTCACCGTCCGTGCGTCGACGTGGGAGCCGGCGCAGGAGGGAGACAAGGAGGCTGAGGTTGATGTCAAGGAGGCGGAGAATGTTGGGCCTGGTGAGTTCGGCCGCCCTCCGGTTGTTCGCTGTCGTTCGGCGCAGGGACTTTGCTGACTAGTTGGATGTCCGGTCGTCACCTCAGCCCAAGCAGAGTGGGTCTCGGAGGAGCTCGTCAAGTCGGAGCGACCGGACCTCGCGACCGCACCGACGGTCGTCTCGGGCGGACGCGGCGTCAAGTCCAAGGAAGCCTTCGACGAGACGATCATCCCCCTCGCGGACGCATTGGGCGCAGCGATCGGCGCCTCGCGCGCGGCTGTCGACTCGGGCTACGCGGACAACTCGCTCCAGGTTGGACAGACGGGCAAGGTTATTGCGCCGAACCTGTATGTTGCGGTTGGCATTTCGGGTGCGATCCAGCACTTGGCGGGAATGAAGGACTCGAAGACGATTGTTGCCATCAACAAGGTGCGTTTTCTCGAGCGTGCTCTGGCGACACTCCAGGCGGCGGGGTCTCCCCTTGTGCAGATAGCCTCGCCGCTGCTTGAGCCCGCTTTAGTGCACATACTGACACCCTTCGCGCTCACAGGACGCCGACGCACCCATCTTCCAAGTCGCAGACATCGGTCTCGTCGCCGGTTCGTCCCCTCCGCTTGCTTCGCTCCCCGCGACTCTCGCTGATGCTCTCGCTGCCACAGACCTCTTCGAAGCCGTCCCCGAGCTCGTCAAGAAGGTCGAGGAGGCGAAGAAGTAGATCTCGCCCGCTTTGCCTATCCTCGAGTCTGCAACTTTTCCGTTTCCATGTAGTGCCACTTGATTTGATCCCGCTCGCTCCCATGCATCGATGTCTGAGCATTGTCTGTGACGCCGACCTGAGTTATGCGGCGGGCCAGGAAGCTCAAGCGCTTGCTTCCCGAGACGAACGCCGTCCGGGAGCGGAAGCCAGAACGCGAGGACAGGTCTACGCGTTCGCCAGTAGCTACAAGGGTGATCCGAGTGAGACTGAAGGGTAACAACAGCGAGAAGAAGGAGAACAGAATCCATTAGTCTGAGCCGTTCAAGACGAGATGGGTTCGTAGCCTTCGTCGCCGGGGACCATCCTGAGCTTGCCGGTGACGCGGGTGAGGAGGAGCGTGATGACGATGAAGAGGTTGAGGGCATAGGCGACGACGGTTTCGACCCAGGCGCGGCCTGTGCGACGGAGAGACGGTCAATCAGGGGAAACCGTTCACAACGAGGCGATTCGCTGATGCAGGACCCGGGCGACTCACCCAGCTTCGATCCATGTGCAAACCGCTCATCATGATGCCTCTCCCACGCGATGAAGCTCGAGCTGATGCACGTGCAGAGCGCCTGGAGGAACATGAGTCCGGCGACGAGTTTCCAGCCGCTGCGGAGCTTATCGGTTCGGTAGCCTCGGCCTGCGCTGGCGGTGCCGATGAGGGTGAGGACGATGGCGATGATGTTGGCGAGGCCGAGGATGAGCGAGAGCTGATGGGCGTAGCTGGCGACGGAGGGAAGGTCAGATCGTCGCAACGGCAGAGACACGCCTCCCCGCCTCGGCCTCGAAGGGGCGGGACGTGCGACGCTTCGAGACGGTCCAACTCACCCAGCGGTTGACCAATTCTCGCACAAACCCCAGCCCGACTCGGCGAACCTCTTCCTGCGAGTGACCCGCTGCGCCGCTCCTTTTCCTCCGGCTAGTCCCGCCGCCGACATCCAGACGTCCTTGTACTCCTCGGAACCTTCCACCTTCGCTCCTCGCGCTTGACCCTTGCAATCGAGCGCCCTCGAAGGGAACGGCCGACAAGTTGTCACGCCCGGCTCGTACGAGCTCTCTTCGCAGATGCTGAACAGGCCGTAGGTCGTCGTGAGCTGGATAGGAGCAATTGCGGGCGTCTTTGTGCGGATCCTGGGTGTGACGAGGGAAAGTCAGCGTCATCGGTCGAGAAAGTGGGGAGGAAGTGAACAGAATCATCGCGGTCGCAGGCGAGCGTTCAAGCCTCGGGAGTGGTGCAATGCAGAGGCGCCAACTCCCAGGACATCGTCGCGCGCGCCCAACGTGCGAGGTCGGTCGGAAAGAAAGACGCACCATGCGATCTGGAGAGTCGAGGCGGTATTGAGCGAGAGCGTCGTCAGGGAGACCGCAAAGGCGGCAAGATAAAGCGCCAGCAGTCCCTTCATCGCGACAGACAGTCAGCAAACGCAGCGATGCGATGTGGCGGGGAGCAAGTGTGAAGTCGACGAGAAAGAGACTGCGGGCAACTGCGGGCGAATCGCTCGCGGACCATCGCGCGAGAAAAGCGCACGAGCAGCGCGAATGGAGTGCTACGAGTATGTTATTGCGCATGCGGTATCAAGCGAGTCAGGTAAAAGCGGTTCTCCCTCCCTTCTCATCCTCCTCGACGTCCTCCATCCTCACTTCGTGCATCCTGGGTCCGCCCGTCAAGCGCACTCACAGCGGCTTGATCAACGTCGGCGCAACCCTCTTCTTCTGCTTCTTCGCCGGCGGCTCGCCCTCGCCCTTCGCTTCTCCCGCATCTCCGCCAGTCACATCCGTCGACGAGCTCGCTTCCCGCGGCGCATCGGGCTCGCGGTCGTGTTTCGCGGGTTGCGAGGCGGCGGTCTTGGCGAAGAGCGAAGGGAGCGAGGCGGACGAAGAGGCGGATGGAGGTGCGGGTATTTCAGTTGCGCTGGGTTTGGCAGGCGACGAAGCGGTCGTGTGTGTGGCGTGAGGAAGAATGGCGTGCGAATGAGAGTGCGAGTGCGAGTGGTGGTGCTGGTGAGCGGCGCGCTGGTCGTGGTAGGGTGTGCCGAGTTCTCCGGGAGAGAAGGCGACGATCGAGCAGTACCCGTCTTGCGACGAGATGACAAGCGTCTGGCCATCTGAGGACCTGTGCGCGCGAATTGTCCTACGATCAGCCTACATCTGCAGACCCCGGAAAGCGACAGAAAGAAGGACCCCGGCAACGCACCAAGTCAAGTCGGTGAACGGCGCATAGTGCAAGTTGCCGAACATGGCGATCGGACCTGCCTGTTGCGTATCGTACAGGTAGACCGAGTCGAGGGTCGCGACGGCGTACACCATGCGGTAAGGGAGGTCGAACAGGCTCTTGGGCTTTGGCTTCGGCGCGTCCGTGTCCTCAGCCTTCGCCTTGCCCTTGTCTTTCGACGACGACGCGGCGGAGACGAGCGGGACGTCCGCAGGCTCGGCATCAACGCCAAGCTTGACCTGGACCGGCGCCTCGTCCCCACCCTCCTCGACCTCGTCCTCCTGCGCTCCGGCATCCTCCCTCAACTCCCACAAGACGGGGCAGAACCTGATCCCAATGCTCGTCGTCTTGTGACCCGGCAAGTGGGCGATTGGCGGTCTCGCAATGTTGTTCCTCGAGTAGATATAAACCGTCGGCTTGGCGTCCGACCCGCTCGTCGCGCCCGCCTCGTCCTTCTTCTTCCCTCCTCCTCCTCCGCCGGCCGCGCTCTTCCCCGCCTTGACGCTCGCCTGCGCATTCGCCACACTATACGGGTCCTCCCAGATCCCCGCAGGCGTGAGCAACAAGCTCCCATCCGTACTCCACGCGAGGCGGCGGAAGAAAGGCGTCGAGTTGGCGTCGCCGTAGAGCTTGATCGAGTCGTAGCGGACTTGTTCGTTGAAGTTCATCGGAGAGTGCTCGGCGGTGTCGAGTGGCGCTGCGGCGGCGGAGGTCGAGGCGCTGGAAGAGGCGGAAGTCGAGACGGTTGCGTCGAGGGGAGGGAGGTGCGCCGCACCAGCCGACGACGAGGTCGACGTCCCGACCGGGTTGAGTTTGGGCGACAGCGCAGGCATGACAGCGGGCAGCGGTGCAGGAGAGGGCGACCTCAGGGGTCTTCCAGACGGTCCATTCGCGGGCGATGGACCGAGTCGGGGGCTCTGCGACGGCTGTGATCCGGACGTCGACGAGCGGCGAGAGTGCGACGAGCTCGTGCGGTGCGGGAGGGGGTGAGGCGGAGGAGGATGGTGAGGGATCCCGTTGGGCGGGTCCATCGGGGTCGTCACTTCCTCGCCGCCGTCCACCTTAGCGCCCGCTGTAGGCGCAGTCGTCGCGACGGTCGTGGCGATCGAGAGGGGGGTCGAGAGGACGCTGATGGCTGAGCTGGAGGCCTCGGAACGGTCCGAGTCGATCGAGCGCGACGAAGTCGTGCGCTGGTGCATCGGCGGGCGAGGCTGAGGCGCGACAAACTCCGACGCAGTCGTCTCCGCCTTCTTGCCCGTCGCCGCCGAGGAAGCCGTCCGACTCGCGCTCCTGCTCCTCTCGCCGCCGCCCGCGCTCACCTGCCTCTCGACATCCATCCTCGAGTTCCTCCCGACCGGTCTCGCATCGACCCCTCCCTCCCTCTCTCTCAGCTCATAAACCCTCATACTCCTATCCGAGCTCTGCGTCGCGACATACCGTCCAATCGGGTCCCACGCGACACCCTGCACGTAATTCGTATGTTCCGCGATGCGCGCGAGGGGAGAGAGGGTCGTCAGGTCGTAGAGGGTCGCGGTGTGGTCTACTGAGCCGGCGAGGAGGCGGTCGCCCGAGGGAGACCAGGCGAGGTCGTAGATCTCTTTGCCGGTGAAGCTCCTGTGAGCTCGACACACCCATGCTTTATCAGCCACCGCTCGAGAGCATCTTCTCGCAGCGCCTGAAGGCAAAAGAGCGCGAAAACGCACCGAATCATCGCCCTAACCCTCCAGCTCTCCTTCTCATACGCCCTGTCCTCGTCCGTCTCTCCAAACGTCTGAGCCTTGTTCATCGCTGCTCCCGAGTTTGCGCCTGAGGTGGAAGAGGAGGGATCCGAGGGAACCCAGAGGAGGATGTTGCCGTCGTCGCCTGCCGAGGCGAGCATGTCGCCTGCGGAGGTAATGAGTGCGGGAGTCAGCGGCACTGATCACGCACTACAAGCTGCGTCCTGCGAAGCTCGACGGAGCTTGCGAGGACCCGCAGCACGCGCTCCATCTCCCGCCGCCGGCGAGCGAACCACGAAGAATAACCGCTCACGCACCTTTCGGCGACCACCTGACGCAATTGACCACCCCCTGATGCTGGCTCAACGTCGCGAGGTACTCGACGCTCGGGTCGGGGTTGGGGTTGGATTTCGGTATGGGTTTGTTCGCGGCGGAGGAGGAGGGTGCGAGGGGAAGAGAGAGGGAGGCGGCTTGAGGAAGCGGGCGGGGGGTGACGAGCCAGATCTGCGTGCGTGCAAGACGTCGTGTGAGTGAGACTGCAGCACACCTACGGAGAACGCTTTCCCGCTCCCGTCCGGGGAGAAGGACAACCTCCGAAGCAGGTTCGCCGCACTCACCCTGACATTGTTGTCGGCCCCACACGTGGCCAGCCTCCAGCGCTTGTCCCTGTCCCTCCTTTCGCCGTCGGACAAGTCGAGTGCGGCTGCGTTGGTGCGTGCCGAGGGTTTCGCCGCGACGGAGACGGGGGAGGGCGGGAGGGGGTGGAAGTCGGCTGAGAAGATGGGGCTGCGTGTGGGTGTGCATGCGAGTCAGTTCGACATCTCTGCAATGCTGCAAGAGCCTGCGCCGAGTCGTGTCAAGGCGCAGACGCGCTGGATTTCGAGGTGTGCGAAGTCGACGACGACGGCACGCGCTGGAGCGGGAGTTGGACTGGGCGGGTGAGTGAGCGTACGTCTTGTCGTGCCACCTGATTTCGAGAGTCTTGCACTTCATCGTGCGGGTGGGCGGGTGAGAGGGTGCGAACGAGATGAGGACGGGTTGCGCGCGTCGACGGGGCGAGGGAAAGGGGGACGCACACTCTCGCTTCTCTCGCTGCAGAGCTTTCTACGGATCACATACAGCTACAACCACCTTACATCAAGCTGTCAGATCACTACAAACCCGCTCGCCTTCGAACGACGTCGCGAGACCGCCTCCTCGTCGTCCTTCAACCCCTCAACCTCGTCCCGCTCACCCACTTCGACCATGCCGCCTCGCAGTGAGTCACACTCGCTCACACGGCTTGCTCAAGCGCACAGTCAGCTTTTCCAGCGGATCCAAGGCGGTGACGGCGAGCGAGGGCTGCTCGACGAGATGAGGGACCCGTGGTTGTGCAGCGGCGAGGGAGCGGTGCAAGGCTGGCGTGGGGTTGAGTGGCGGGTGCATGCAGACGCTGGGACTGCTTGGACGGGTCGTGCTGGCTCGCCTGACGCTTCTCTGGCCGAAGACGCTGCTTTCTTCGCCTCGTCTCCTCTCGTCGTCCACGAGATTGCATTCGCGTCGTTCGCTCAAGCTCGCCAACCCACTCCGTAGCTCGACTGACCTCACATCGTACGCGACCCACAGGAGCCCGCGCGTCGTCCGTCTCATCCACCACCTCCGCCTCCAACCCCCTCCGACGCTCCTCGCGCGCCTCGAACCCCCCTCCCCCTCTCTCCGCTCCAAAGAACCCCTCGACGCCCTCCAAAAAGCGCAAAGTCGTTTCATCTGGCCGCGGGAGGCGCGCGAGTAGCGTGATGGAGGAGAGCGAGGAGGAAAGTGAGGACGACGAGGAGAGTTCTGAAGACGAGGGTACCGCACGCGGCAGGAAGCGCAAGGCTCCTTCGAAGAGCACGCCTCGCAAGAAAGTCGTCGGCGGTGCGAAAGCCCCCCGCGCACTCAAGGCCGCTCCGAAGCCCAAAGCCATCATTTCCGGCCTGAACGCCCTCCCGACTCGTTTCCTCCCCTTCCCTCCGCACTCGTCCTTCTCCTCCCTGACCGACTTGGACGCCCTTCCCTCCCCTTCGGACGCCCCTCGCGCAATCTTCGTCTTCGGGACAGGCGACATGGGCCAAAACGGGCTCGGCGTCGACGACCCCAAGGCTTTGGACGAGATCACCCGTCCGAGGAGGCACGTTGGGTTTGTCAAGAAGGTTGAGGAGGGTGAGGAAGGGTGGGAAGGTGGAGTCGCGGATTTGGTTTGCGGTGGGATGCACACGCTTGCGGTTGACGGGGAGGGGCGCGTCTGGTCCTGGGGGTGCGTCACACTCGCTCCTTCCCTCTCCTTTCCCGCACTGACGCTCCTCCTCGCCGCCCAGCATCAACGACAACGCCGCCCTCGGCCGCCTCACGACCAAACCCGGTTTCACCTCTGAAGAACTCGAAGCCACGCCCGGGATGGTCGAGAACCTCCCGATCGAGTCGTTCAAGGCTGTCAGGGTCGCGGCGGGCGATAGTGTCAGTTTGGCGATTAGCGAGAGGGGTGAGGTGAGGGCTTGGGGGTCGTTCAGGGTGCGTTTCCGAGCGGACAATCGACTTTGCGACAAAAAGTCCTGCAGCCGGGCTTCGCTGACGCTTTCGATCCTTCTCTCTTCGCGCAGGCCGCCGAAGGACTCCTCGGCTTTGACGGTTCCGCCGGCTCGTCCAAGACTCAACTCGTGCCGACCGCCCTGCGCAACCTCGACAAGCACACGATCGTCCAGATCGCGACGGGCGACGACCACTTCCTTGCGCTCACGAGTACCGGGATGGTGTTCGCGTGCGGGAATGGAGAGCAGCATCAGTTGGGGAGGAAGATCATCCAGCGTGAGTTGGGCGCGCTTTCCGCCTGACCATGCTCTCGCTTTGAAGTTGCGGCTGACTTGCTTGAATCGCGCCCCCGCAGGCCACAAGGAGCACGGCCTGACGCCGGAACGCCTCGCGTTGAAGAACATCGTCCTCGTCGGCTCGGGTTCGTACCACTCCTTCGCGGTCGACCAGAAGGGCGAAGTCTATGCGTGGGGTCTCAACTCGTACCACCAGACGGGCGTCTCGGACGAAGACGGCGGCTACGCCGACGTGATCCAGACTCCTACGCTCGTCGCCTCGCTCTCGCCCTCGAAGCACGACGGCGCGCGCGTCGTCCAGATCGCAGGCGGAGTGCACCACTCGCTGTTCCTGTTCTCGAACGGCGAGGTGTGGGCTTGTGGGCGCTCGGACGGCCACGAGGTCGGATTGCCTGACGACCATGCCGAGATGGTTGCCAGCAACGAGCGCAAGCAGGAGGCGAAGCGTGCGCGTGCCGAGCGCGAGCAGCAGGAGCTCGCGTCGATGAGGGGCGAGGACGGCGCGGTCACGCGCACGAACGAGGACGGCTCGACGATGACTTCAGAGGAGGCCGCTCTCGCCGCTGCCGAAGCTGCGGCGCGCGGCGTCCCCCTCCCGAACGACTACATCCCTCTCCCGACGCGCCTCTCGTTCCCCAAGGAGCCGAAGGAGTGGCAGCGCGACGTCAAGCGCGCCGACGACCTCGACGACTTTTGCACCGAGGCGACGCACATCGTCCAGATCGCCGCCGGCACGCGTCACAACTTTGCCGTCTCGGCTCGCGGGTACGCGTACTCGTGGGGCGTTGGAGCGAGTGCGCAGCTCGGACAAGGGCCGGAGGAGGAGATTGAGGAGCCGACGCGCATCTTCAACACGGCGCTCAGCGGCGTTCGGGTCTTGCGCGCCGAGACGGGCGGTCAGCACTCGGTCATCGTCGGTATTGACCGCGACTACGAGGACAAGAAGGCTGAGCGCGAGAAGAAACGCAAGGAGAAGGAGGAGGCTGAGGCGGCTGCCAAGAAGGAGGCTGAGCCGGTCGTCAACGGCACGGGCGAGGCGGAGCAGGACGGTGACGTTAAGATGGCCGACGGCGAGGAGAAGAAGGAGGGAGACGCCGCTCACCCCGTGGGCGAGGCGAAGGAGCCGGTCGTCATCGTCTGAGGGCGCAAAACGCAGCGCAGCGCTGTGCATTTCCATTCTACACTTTCGCATCAGCTTCGCTCTTTTGAGGAGCTGCAATTCCAACGCTATCTCCCTCATCGTTCTCGGTAGTGCTGCTTCCGCTCGAGACTTTGTAGCAGCTGATGAGATTGGCAAAGCGATGAAGCGAGACGACCAGCGTCTTCGCTACGGGAACAAGCGGGAAACAGAAGAAGCGAAAGTGAGCGCAGGAGAGACGACCTTCCTAACATGCCGTAGGAGTCGCCTCACACCCTACCGCGGCGCCCTTCAACCGTCTTGACCTCGACGATCGATTCGCCAAGCCTGTGGATGAGCGTGATCGAGTCAGCGCGAAAGACGGGGAAGTTGAGCGGAATTTGCCTGAGAGCGCGGGCGTAGGCGAGCAAGGTCGTGAGGTAGAAGAGGCTAGCGAAGGCGGTCTGGTAGACGACGGCTGTGTGTATCCCGCACGGCTTCTGGCATCAGCTCTTGCTCAGTCCTGTGCGGAGGAGGACGCGATGCGGAAGGTCGCTGGGCGCACCTGCAACGAAAGCCGACCAAAGGTACAGCCCGAGCCTGAGCTTGATCGACCCGTACACTTTGAGCTTCTTGACGACCGGGAGCGGCCACTCGAGCGAGAAAGTGACGAGGCCGTTGACCTGTTCTTGGGCGAAGTCAGCTTCGACCGCGAGATGCAAGGATTGGACGCACGATGTTGACGATCTGAAGGACCGGCAGCTCGACAATGATCTTCTCGAAGAGTGCAGCCTGAGGCGGCGGGCTGTGCGCACGCAAACGGGCGAACGAAGGTCAGCTTTTCCCGAAACTCGTCCGTCAAGTCGAATGCGCGACGACTTACACGATGCCATGCGGTCCGAGACGTCCACCCACAAAGTCCCAGAAGTACTTGCGGTAGACCAAGCCCCACAAGGCCGCCCAGGCGACATCTGTTGCGGAGCGAGGGAAGGTCAACCGTTGCGAGCGGTTCGGGCGGGTGAAAAGCGGACGAACAGGCGCCGGAGGTGAGGGCGAGGAGGCGGGCCCAGTCATGCCAGATCAGGGCGCCCATTTCAGCGGTGCGCGAGGCGACTTGAGCGGGGTGAGGCGAGGGAAGCCGCGAGGAGGGTGAGGGAGGGGAAGCAGGCGGAACGAGCGGCGACGGCGCGCGTTGGAAGGCTGGGGAGCTCTTGCGTAGTAGTTACAGACCAGCTGCGAGTGCGCTAGGAGGCAAGCGAGCCCTTGAAGCGACAAAGCGAGGAAAGCGAGGGAAGGGGAGGAGGGAAAGAGAGGAAGACAGTGTCGCTCGCAGACCAAGCTCGCCATACCGACAGCCGAAAGCGTGCAGATGAACGAGAAAGTGCAATGCAAGTGCCGAAAAGTGTCTGTACAGCGAGAACGAGGGTATGTGCAGAGTGCGAAGGGGAATCTCAACGATAAAGAGGCGAGCGCAACAACATTGCGACGGCTAGGATCGCTACTTGCGGTGGACGTCCATCGACTGCAAGCCAGAGGATAAGACTGATCAGTACGCAGCTTACGAGTGAGCGGGACCGAAGAGACGAAACCGCCCGACTCACATTCCGGATGGCCTCGTAAGGGTCGTCCACGCGGCCGTACCTCCCCTGCCCAGCACTCGAGTCATACCCGGGGTCCTCGAACGGATCGCGGATGCCCGTCGTTGCGTAGCCCCTCGGCTCATCGAACAACCTCTCTCCCTGCGCCGAGTACTCGTGACTGGGCCTGTACCCCTGCTCTCCTCCCGCTCCTTCGCTCGGTCCGTAACCCGCCTCGTACGAAGGTCGGTTCCATGCCTCTTCGTCATCTTGCGGGAAATGACTGCCGGGAGGGACGAATCCGCCTGTGCGGGGGTTGCGGCGAATGCGGGCGAAAGTGAGGAGGCACAAGCCGAGCGTGATCGCCCACGCGACAAAGTTGAGCCAGAAGAAGGCCGCGCTCGCGCGTTTGTCGCGGCAGAAACCGGGGAGGGCGTCGGTGTAGCCTTTGAGGTCATGGTGCGGGTCCTTCGAGGCGTCTTTGCAACCGCCAACGTTGGCCGAGATGGATGTGACGAGGGCGAGGATGAGCATCACGCCCGTCTGGAAGGCGTTGAGGATGACGGCAATGCGGACTTGCTTCAGGCCGCGCTCAAGGCCGCGGAGGAAATGGAAGCGGTCGGCGAGCGTGAACGCCGAGACTGCGAAGGTGACGAAGGGCACCAGCCAGGTCAGCTCGTGGTGTAAAAGCCCTCGGCGGTCCAGAGCTCGAACTCACGAACGAGTCCACCGTGTACCAGCGCCTCGATGCAGACGAAGAGCGACAAGCCGACTCGCCCGCTGATGCCAACATTCCATTTCGCCTGGAACGACGCTTGTGCGATAAAGATGATGAGATTGACGAAGGGGAGGAAGACTTCGAGGATGCGGAGGATGGTGCCGAGGAGCGAGTTGCCGTCCTGCGAGACGGTCAAGCGTGAGCAACCCAGAGCTGAACTCAAGCTGGATGCAGCCCGAAAGGAGCGTTCCCAGCCCACTTCAGCAAGAGTTCGCGCACCTCGTCATCCAACCAGCTTGGCGCCGTCGCACCCACCTCTCTCAGCCGTCCTCCCGCCGGCTGCGAAGCTCCAGCGCCCTCGACAACCTCTCCGCCTTCCTTTCCCTCGATACCGACGCTGCTGAACGATGGTGAGGATGCTTTGCCGAACTTGCTCGAGGCGAACGAGGTGAGCGAGCTGATGCCTGAGCGCCGAGGAGAGGGGTCGAGGGCGACAAGGGGGTCGTCAGCGGCTGAGACCGCCTCGTATCACCGTGCGCGCGCTCTGACAGCCTCAAATCCCTTCCTCAAGCTGCCTGTGTCCATTCGCTAAGCACGCCATCCCGTTCTGCCGTCTCGCCCGCTCCTTCAACCGCTTCGCAGCGGCGCCGTTCTGCCCGCTCGCCCACAGCATCGCTGGACCCGCCGAGTCTCGGTACATCGCCAGTCCATCCTACGCACCCAGTTTGTCTGTCAGTCCACCCATTTCGTCGAGTTGCGAGCGGGAGAGCGAGCGGGAGGAGTGAGAGAGGCGGTGCAAGGATGGCGGGAGGAGTTGTTGAGGCGATTCCCCGCGAGCTAACAAGCTGAACCTGTCGCGAGGAGCCTCTGCTTGAGCGAATAGTGGCGTAGAAGGAGGAAGACTTCGAGATGAGCAGAGGAGCAACGCAGAGGAAGCGAACAGAGAGTTCCGCAACGACGACGACGGGCTCATACTATCCTCGTTACAGACCAGACCGAAAGTAGTAACTGAAGTCGCCTGGGAACACCGCACGACATTGGGAAAGCGGGAGGGCTTGATCTTCACGATGTCCCGGTCCCTCGAGTCCCGCCTGAAACCGTCGTTGAGGTCACGTTGCTCGCTCACCGTGCTGCCGGCCGTCTGTGTGAGGATGGCAGATTCATTGAGCATGCGAGAAGCGTTAGGGAGAAAAAGAAGGACGCACAACTGTCGCCCAGCTCTCGAACTCGCTTTTCCTCGTGCCGCCGTCCCTCGTCCTCAGGTACGTGTCGAAGCGCTGCGGGCCGTATTGCGCCTTGAAGTCGACGGCCGAGATGTCAAACGGAGCACCTATGTCACCGAGCGAGCGCTTGAGCGCAGTCCGGAACGAGTCGCTCGGCGGACACGCGCTGCTCAGAAGACCGTACGGGCCGTGCTTCGTGTCGATGTGAACCGCAATCGCCGGGTACGACAGCTTTTTAGAGCAGACGCCGCAGCGGAAGAGCGCGGCGAGGCGGTCGAAGATCGGTTTCATGTCTCCGTCACTCAAGGCGGCGAAGTACGGAGCGAGCCCTTTCGACGGGTCGAAGTCGACGAAGGGCGAAGGCTCGCGCTCGAGGACAAACTGAGCGAAGCCGCCGATGCGATAGCCGTCACCGAGGAGGGAGCGGGCGATGCGGTCGAAGAGGAGGACCTTGTCGAGGTGAATGCGATGCAGAATGTCGCTGGTAATGACTGCCTCAAGTCGTGTCCATGTCTCCGCATCCTCAGGGACGGCACCGCGCCTCCATAGCGGCTTGACGCTTGGAAGGTCGACGAATTGGCCAAACTGAACGAAGACGCCTTGTGTTCGCGGCGTCACTACTGGTCGGAGTCGGTTGTAGAGAGGTCTGAGTGCTTCTTGACGATCCTGAAACGCACCCAGCGCTTCTGATCGAAGGCGCTGCTGCCGCCGCCGCTCGGCGTACTCGATAAGCGGCGTCTTTCCAGCGACCCACTCTGTGAACGGCTGTCAGGGATGAAGTGGTGCGAGCAAACGGTGCAGACACACCTTCTTCAGTCAGCAACTCTGCTGTGTAGGGCGATGGTTGATCGAGGCTGCCGCGCGCGGGTAAGCATCCGACGTGCCATGCGGCGAGCATCCGCTTGAGGTCCATCTCCTCTCCCATTTCCCGCTCGACGATCATATCCGCATCGGTGACACCTTGTAAGCCGTCGCTCCGGGCGACCTCAACAGATGCCGTGCCGTAAGTATGTCGCCATCGCTCGAGGTCGTCGGCGTAGTCACGCGAGAAGCAGGCGCGGCACCAGTCGACACTTCGCCAACCATCGATGCTGCGAAAGTGTAGAAGCGTCAGCGTCAATAGAGCAGTGAAGGAGCTGAGAGCGCTCACTCGGAACTGTCGAAGCCGAGGGCGAGAAGTCTCTCCTCGATCCTGGACAAGAGCAACAGCAGTCAGCGCCTTCCCCAGACGTAGGGGTGAAATGCTGAACGCGCATTTCCCTCCGCAGCCTGACTGTCCGCCGGCCTTCTTCTTCGTACTCATCAGCTATCCTGTCGTCATTTGCGAGGAGTTGCTCCGCCTCGAGCCTAACCTGCTCCTTGTAGAGCTGGCGCCGCGCTACATGAGCCACGTGTGCCGCAGTCGCGTCTTCGTTATGACCGATGGCGTCCACCTCTGCGAGCCACAGCTCTGCCGACTGCTTGAGCACCTCGGGCACGAAGAAAACGTCTGCGAGTAGATGAGTTAGTTACGCGTGCTCGAGGCCGCGGCTTGAGCTCACCGTCCGGTAACGGAGGTGCCGCAGGGTCGTCGGAGGGTCCTGTGAGCGAAGGAGATAAGTCACAATGCACGCGAAGGCGAAGCTTCGCAAACGCACTTCGTCCGTACAAGCAGCAGTGGAAGGTCTTGCGGTGCAACTGCGTGTGCAGCGTCGCGATGTCTTCCTTCCGTCGAAGTCTAAGAGGATGGCCGTAAGCGCATCGAGCGGTCGGAGCGAGAGCCCGGTACGCACAACTTGATACAGCAGGTTCCGCAAAGAACAACTCGCAACAGGTAGTCTCGGTGTGGGGCTTTGACGTCTTCGTAGATGTTGCTGCGACATACCTGTGCACTCGCCTGGTGAATCTGCGGATCAGCGGACGGCGGGAAAGGGCGACGCACCGAGCAGTCGTCGCCGTCGACGAATTTCGCGTTCTCGATCTCGTTCATATCGCCGATTGTCGAGTCAAGCCATCCATTGCTCTTCCTGACCTGGATCCAGATGGGCTCGGCACGCTTTGTGAAGAGGAGGGATCGAAAGAAGCGCGAGGTGCGGGAGATTGCGAGCAGCGCGCCGGGAGTGAAGTGTGAGATGATCTGCCAGACGCACGCAAGCCCATCAGCGTCATCCCTGGTACACGTAAGGGCAACGCACCATCATCAGGACCTCCGTCGGCAGCCGCGCGAAGCGACCCTGTCCCTCGACGCCTGTTCCCAGCGAGCCTGCATGACGAAGCGCATCGTGAGTCGAGCGCAGCGCCTCGCTGATCGGCTTAGAAGGACAGATATCATCCGGCAAAACCTCCCGCGCACCTTGTCCATTCATCGTCGAGAGATGGCAGCTCTTCGCGAGTCGGAGCGGAAGCGAGTGTCGAACGGGATCTGGGCGATGCGGCTAGCGGGACTGACGAAGATAAGGTGCAGCAGAGGTGCCAGTACTGTCTCAGCGATCGGCGAGCGTCCACGAGAGGCGTGAAAGAGAAGCAAGACGAAGGGCGGGGAGTGGGGAGCGAGGAGGAGACGAGGTTTATAAAGCGAGTTCCCGTGTGCTGGTGTCCACCAGATAGTAAGTAACCCTATCGAGCACGAGGAAAGAACCGGTCTTCAAAGCGGGACAGAGAAAGGGAGCACAGAGGGAGTGCGAGAAACAACGGCTCGCGCAGGTCAAGCATTCGCGTTACAAGGGCGAGGCAGTGTACGAAGTAACCTCATGCGGGAGACGAGTCGGCGGCTTGCTCGGAGTGCACGACCGAGAGGCGGATCTTGACGATGTCGCGGTCGGTCGAGGAGAACAACTTGCGGCGGCCGGCTTCGAGTTCGTCGGGTGACTTGCCGGAGAGCTGTCACGAGAGAGCACTGAGTCAGCAGCACGGGCCGAAAAGAAATCCGGAAGGAGAACGCACGACGTGAGCCCAAGTCTCGCCGACGCTCGTCTCCGTTTCGCCGCTGCTCGTCCTCATCGTGACATCGAAGCGAGCGTCGCCGTACATCTTTTCGAAGAAGGCGAACGAGTCGTCCTCCGAGAGGCCGCAGTCGGCGAGCAAGCCTTCAGTGGCCTGCCGGAAAGCTTCGCTCGGTACGTTCGCGTACGCCGGAACGTTCGTGATGTCGTGCCCCTCGACGAGGTGGATCGCAATGGCCGGATAGGTATGCTTGACAGAGCAGAGACCGCAGCGGAAGAGCGAGGTGAGGCGGGTCAGGATCGGGTCCATGTCGCTGTCGGTCAGGACAGCGTGAAGGGGAGCGAGGCCTTTCGACGGTTCGCCGTCGATGCAGGCGATCGGCTCGCATTCGAGGACGGTCTTGACGAAGGAGGGAAGCGCGATGCTGTCGTCGAAGTGCGCGCGGACGATTCGGTCGAAGATGCGGACCTTGTCGCGGTGGACGCGGTCGAAGAGGTCGCGCAGGATGGCCGGCTCGGCTTTGTTCGACAGCTCCTGCTCGTCGAACGCTTCCTGGTCCTGCCAGAGTGGCTTGACGCTCGGGAGTCGGAGGAAGGTGGCGAGGGAGACGAAGACGCCTTGGCGAGCCGGCGCGACGACAGCTTTTAGACGGCTGAAGAGTAGTGTGAGCACCTCCCGCCGGTAGCGTTGATCCTCCTGCTCCTCGCGCCAGAGCCGCTTGTGCTTGTTTCGGGCGGCGAACTCGATGAGCGGATCCTTACAGGCGTCCCACTCTGCGAAAGCAACGATGAGAAAGGTTGTCCTGCTACAAGCAATGCTGTATGCTCACCGTCATCCTTGAGCAGTCTGTCGATGTTCAGAAAACTGTCGGCGTAGTCGTGGGGCGCAGGAATGCAGTCGCCGTGGCGCTCAGCCTTGATCTCCAACAAGATGCGGGCGTCCCGCGCGTCTTCATCTTCTGGTAAGAGTTCGGCGAGCTCCGAGAGACTGTCTTCCTCGTTCGACGAGAGCTCCCAGTTGTCGAAGTCGTCGTCGAAGTCATCGTCGAAGCATTGATAGCACCATGGAGCGTCGCAGGCCAAGTAGCCGCACCCTTCGCAGTAGATCCTGAGTGTGCCGAACGTTAAGCATTGTAGATTCGTGGATACGGCGACAACGCACTCTTCCTCCTCCCAACCAAGCGCGGTCATTCTTTCGATGATCCTGTGGATACTCGATTTAGTGAGGATAAGTCGACGACGATCGAGGAGAGATGACTCGTCATGCACATGTCAGCCCGCATGCGACGGCGCCAGTCAGCCTCGACTTCTTGCGCTGCGCCGAGCGCCGATTCGTCGGCCGTCATCTTGGCGGCATCGCGGCGGACTTGACCTTTGAAGTTGGAGCGGCGGGTGACATGCGTGAGCGAAGCGGATTCGAGAGCTTCGTTGCGGGCGAGGGCGCTCGCTTCATTCTTGTATAGCACAGCGGCCTGATCGAGGACCTCCGGCGTGTAGAAGAGGGCTGTCGAAGCGATCTCGTCAGCCGGCGACGATTGGCGAGACGGCGAGACGTACAGTCCTGACCATCGGGCACATCGTCACCACCAGGCTTCTCTGAGATCGTATGTATGTCAATAAAGTTGCGCTCACGCGAGCAGAGGTGACGCACTCCTCGTCGACAGGCAGCACGAGAAGGTGTGCGGATGCAGGTGCCAGAACTCGGTCGAGATGGCGTCACCTTCCTTGATGCTGTCACAAGGGGCGCAAACAGTCAGCGTCCATCGGCAGGAAGACGGAGAACAGGACGCACAGCCTCGTCGCGCAAGATTGGCAGAGAACGGTGCGCAGGCTGAAGTCCCGCCTGTACTGCTGCCACGACCGCCCTCCTCGCCGCAGACCTATAGGCGAGGATGTAAGCGTTGGCAACTTCGGCTTATCGAAGGTACGCACGAAGCAGATGCGCCCCTCGACCAGCTTCGCATGCTGGATCTCGTTCATTCCGCCTGCTTCCAAGTCCCGCCACCCACTTCGCCTTCTCGCTCCCCTCCAGATTGGCTCGGCGCGCTTTGTGAACGTGAGCGAGCGGAAGAGGCGAGAGGTGCGGGAGAAGGCGAGGAGTGAGCCAGGCGTGAGGTGCGAGATGATCTGCGAACGGCATCAAGTCGTGGTTAGCGACGGGCCCCTCCACCTTTGCACGACGAGAGAACACACCATCATCAATATCTCCGTCGGCAGAGCCGAGAGGCGGTCCACCCCGTCATTCTCCTCCTCGTCCGGGTCGTCAAAATCCCAGTCTGCGGCGTAGAGCGTTCTGAATCGCGTCAGTACGCGTCGAGGTGCTCAATGAACGAATGAGACGACGCACACCAATCCTCGACCCAGCTTCTGTCGCCAGGCTCGAAGGGAGGACAGACAGGCTTCTCCTTCGTAGTGAAGACGGGGGCGAGCTTGTAGACGAGTGCGGCGCGCGGAGCAGGCTGTTCAGGCGCCGTGTCGACCGTCTCAGCCATCGTAGCACGGTTGTTAGCGAGGGCGAGTGAGGTGAAGGAGGAAGAGAGTCGTGATGAGGGTGGGGAAGGGTCAAAGCGTCGCCTGGCTGAGTGCGAGGGTCGTCAGAGGGCGTGGAAGCGACTCGTTGAAGTCAGCTGAAGCAGCGCGAAAGCGTGTCGAGACGAGCGAAGTGAAGCGAAGCGCGGACGACCTTCGCAGACTGAACGACCCGCCTCGACCGAACCCAGCTCGACGCGCCGCAGTGCTGCAAGAAAGAGAATGTCTACTTATGCCCTGTCGCGCCTGCCGTCCGCGCGAGGACCTGCCGAATGAACCCCACGACCTTGTCCGCCTCGCCGTCCTGCTCGCCGCCTGACCCGTCGCCCTCTTCCCGCTTCGCCTTCTGTTCCTCCCAGCGCCGTACGACACTCTCCAGCATGCCCATCCGCTCCTCCTCGCGATGCTCGTTGAGCCACCGGACATACTCTGCCTCCGTCCAGCCGTGCAGCTCGTACGGCAGTGGCAGCGCATTCGGCAGGTTGGCGCGGCTGAGGAGGTGATGCAGGAGGATCAGCGTGGGGATGTCCGAGGTTCTTGTCGGATCGGCGAGAGAGGGCAGGTCGAGGAAGAGCAGAGGACGGAAGGCTGGGAGACCGAGGTCAGCGACGACAGTTGCGGGTAAGACAGGTTCACTCACCTCGCAGCGCCTTGAACTGGTCGCCCATATTTCCGAGCGTGAGACCTTGCGCGGCGAGGTACTGGTTGACGGCGAACTCGAGGGCGGTCGTGTCGGACGTGAGCTTGAGTTTGCCAGACTCGCCGATTGGGTGGACGAGCGAGGCATGCAAGAGGAAGGTCTGAACGGTGAAGCGGGCGAGGTCGATGGTCCTGCGCGGAGGAAAGGTCTTTAGCTGCTGCAGGTTACAGCCGTGAAGGACTCGACGCACCACTCCTTGATCAGCTCTCCAACCCGGTACGCCGCAAAGATCTCGTCCTTGATCAGCGCGAGCTTCTCCGTCAAGTCGTTCATGTACGAGCTTGCGCCGCCGACCGACATCGGACCAGGCGGGTGCGCGGGATCGACCTCCTTCGAGTAGTCCACACGGTGCATGCGGGCGAGAAGGGCGGAGAACTCGCGGCGGATGGCGAGGATGAGCGGATTGATGATGGCGGTGTAGACGGAGCGGACGCGCTGCACGACAAGGGGATCGTAAGCGAGATGTGACGAAGAGAAGCGGGATCGCACTCACGTTGACCGCCGGTCGAAGCGTTTCTCGCACGCTTTCCGTGTGATCTGACAAAGCGCGGTCGAGGGGCAGCCAAAGGTGGTATAGAGCGCTGGTCAAATCGGCGTTCTGATGCTGCGAGGGTGTTGCAAGCGGGCCGAGCAACGAAGTCGCGGCGTGGTCGTGCGCGATCTGCGGAAAGCTGTGTCAGCGCGACTTTCCACGTTTGCATGGTCGCTGGACCTACGAGTGCCTCGGCTCGGGCGACGAAGGCCTCTATAGCCCGACTTGCACCCTTCGCGATCGCCTTGGCGAGAAGAGGGTCGAAGCGAGCGGCGTCGAGCTCGTTGACAATAGCGCGCGCAGTCGTCAGGCCCTCGTTGGCAGTCGGCATGGCGGGTGGTCGGGATGAGAAAGAGGAAGTGAGGGAAGATGAGATGGAGAAAGCCGACGAGACGGCTTCGGTGAGGCGGTTCGTCGAGCGGGTGAGGTAGAGGGTTTCGAAAGGCTGGATGGCGCGAAGAACGAGGACCGTCTCGGGGCTCTGCTGTGCAAGGGTGTAGACGGTGTCGGTGTGGACGGCAATGCGGGAAAAGAACTCTTGGAAGAGGCGGAGGAGGCGAGGGTAGCCGGTGCTGAGCGTGGTCTGAACGAAGTTTGAGGCTGCGTTGCGCGGCGTTAGTACACGCTGAGTGAGCACCGGGATCAACACGCACATCGGACAGCCTCCTTCGCCTGCGTCTCGAATGCCTGAGCAAGACTCGTCCAGAAGAGCACGCTCGGCTTGTTGTCCAGGACCTGCGCATCCTCGTCAGTACCGCTTCTCACCAATGCAGCGAGAGACGCGCACAGCCATAGCCTCGTCAAGAAAGCTCGCCTGCGTCGTCTGGTCCTTCTTGAGCTTGAGAACCTTCTCGAGCGTGTAGGCCTGTGAATCGAGAAGTCAGCGTCAGTCTCGCCTCGGCAACGTCGATGCGCACCTTGATGCAGATGCTCCCGAGGTCGGTGATGAGCGACTCGAGGCGAGCCCAGAACGCTGCAGCCCATTGAGGCATTGTCGCCTGCGTCGGCTCGTTGCGAGTCCGCGACTTGTAGACGAACGCTGAAGCGGCGTTGACAGGGCCCCCTGCGATTGCCTAGTCAGCGACATCGCATGTCGGCAGAAAAGCGGTTCAACGCACCTTTGCCGCCGATCTCGCGAGCGAGAGAAGCCATGTCGAAGCAGGCCTTGACCTTGCCGGCGACGAGGTCGTTCAAGTCCGCTACGAGGTTCTCGACGAGCGCAGGCAGGACTGAAAGGTTGTGTGCGGTTTGGAGAGACGAAGCGAGACGTGGGTGGTCCTGAGAGACGAAACGAAGTCAGCGAAGCGCGGCGAAACAGGCAGAAGGCAGGCGCACCATCTCGTCAAGTCCTCGCTGCACAGACGACTCCATCTCCTCGACCACTCGTCTCCGGGAAAGCTCGACGGCGGGAACAGCAGCCTCGATAGCGTTGAGCGAGCGGATGGGAAGCAACGCTTCGGGGTCGTCTTCCGCAGCCTCGACACCCTCGCCGGCCGTGAGTAGCGATTCTGTTGCGGTCGTATACGTCAGCGCAAGTCAGAGCGGAAGAGACGTTTGACGTACCAATCTCTGCCAGCGTCAGCGCAGCTTCCGCCATCGCCCTCTCGCGCCGCTCACTCGCCTGCTCGCCATTGACCGCAACGCCTGCCGCACTCTGCGCCGCGCCATCGATCTCCGACATCTGACCCTCCAGCCGGCGAGCGAGAAAGGTGAAGCGCTGAGCGCGCCGGGCAAGAGAAGCGGCTCGTCGTAGTCGGGTCAGGAGAAGGAGGGACGAAGCGAGGGCGTCGTGAGGGGCGGCGATCTTGCGTTTGAGCCTAATTGCAGACACATGAGCGACCAGCTCGAGGGGTAAAGAGTTCTCAGCGCACCGTGTCACTCCGCCTTCAACTTCCGCAAGTCCTCGTCGCACTTCCGCCAAGTCGCCGTCCAGACCGCCCAAGCTCGCCGCTTGCAGGAGAAGCGACGAGTGGTTCTTCGTGACCTGTCGAGCGATACCCAGTCAGCCGAAGCTCGCAACGAAGGACAGCTTCCCGACGCACTTCCGCCTTGAGTTGCCGATTCAGATCCTCGACTCCAAAGTTCAGCCTCGCCAGAGCCGCCGACACATCTCCCGTCCCGATCTCACCGACCAAGCCCTTCATGAAGCCGCCTCCTCCGGGAGGAACACCATTCGACCCTTCGCTCGGAGCGGGATACTCTTCGCCGTTCAGCACTGCATGGGCGAAGGCGTCCGCTTCGAAGTTGGGGTGAAGAAAGGTGGAGTACTCTGTGTGTATGGCTTCGTTAGCTTCACGGTGCGGGCGAGAGGAGGGAATCGCGACGAACGGGTGTACGGGTCCTCGGCGGGTTTGGCGGCGGGCGGGGCGAGCGAGGGCATGCGCGGCGATTCTTACAGCAGTCAAGCAGCCTTCAGGATCCTTCCGTTACGTCCAGCAGAGCGTCTAGCGTGTGAGCGAGTTCGTGTGCTCCTCCAACCTTCGGCCGCTCCACCTCACGAGGGTTGCCTTCGTCCACACACTCTCGCAGCTCAAGAAGACCTGCAGCCGCTTGCGCGTGCTCAGCAATGCTGCCTCCACACGCCGCAGCTCCATTCAAACCGCCCCAACCCTATCCGCCGGCCATTCGTCCTCCTCGCCCGCGCAACTGATGAACCCGCTTTGCTGGCTTCCTGCGCATCCTAGATGCCGATGCGCCTCGTCGACATGTACGGCAAATGTGCTACTACATGCCGGTCGAAGTACTGCATGGGCGCCACGCACCAGCCTCTCCGCTTCCTTCTCCCCTGGTTCGATACACCCTCCCGACTCTCCTTAACGCTTCGCCTCGGTCTTTCGCACCGGAACTCCGCACGCTGATGTGCGCAGACCCGTGTCGAGCTATCCAGCGATGCGACTGACGTTCCTCTCTCTTTCCCGCACTCCCTCGTCCTCCTCGACTCTCTCCCACTCCACCCGCTTCTCTAGCTCCCGCTCCCGCTCTCACTTTCCCTCGCTCGTCGGAACACACAACAAGCTTGCTACCGTCTGCTGACCGCTGGCGGGACGGCTGTGGCGGAACATTGATTGCTTGCCTTTCTCCAGCTTCGGCGCGTTGTCCTTTGCTCCTGCGCCGCTCACCTACACTCTTGGGCCCCCCTTGTCCATCCACTGCGCGACTACAAGCTGCACCAAGGCTCAAGTCTCATCTCTCCTTACCTTCGAAACTACAACTTCGCTCCCCGGCTTTGGCTCCCTTCTCTCTCCCTCCGTTCTTCGCTCGTAACGCAGGTGATCGTGCCAAAGCGCAAAGCGCAGATCGCATTAACCAATCGTCGTGCAAAACCGTAACCAAGAAAGCCCTTTTGGAGACTCATACTAATCACACAACCGCGCGTCATCGTCCCCGAGGAGAAGAACTGCAAACGTCGAGGTGTCGCGTGCGCCTAAAGGACATACGCCAGGACGCGCCTTCCAACGCCCTTCGGCTCCGGCTGCTCGGGGTCCGCGAAGCCCTGCTCGTCGCGCGATCCCGAGACGAGGTCCATCTCTGAGGGCGAGGGGCCGCGGTCTGAGCGCTTCCAGAGGCGGTAGAAGATCATGAGGCAGGGGAAGAACCAGATGGGGAAGTAGGAGGTGACCTGCAACCGAGCGAAGCGAGGAGCGTCAGCGACGAGCGAGAGAGTGAGGGAGAGAGTGAGGGCAACGCACGAAGGTAGAGGTGTCGAAGGGGTAGTTGGCCTTGAGGAAGACGCTCCACCCGTTGAAGAAGAGGACGATGCAGGCAAAGACGAGTCCAAAGTAGGCGGCGAAGGGTTGCATGGGCGACTTGTAAGGGAGGAGGGTGCGGTCGATCCCCTGGGCGCGGAGGCCGCGGTGGAAGCGGATGTAGGTGAGGCAGATACCGGCCCAGGTGATGAGACCGCAGACCGAGGTCATGTTTGCAAAGTAGCCAAAGACGGTTCCGGCCGAGGTCGAGCCGGCCGACATGAACGAGAGGAGCGAGAAGGCGACGCCGACGAGGACGCAGACCCAAGGAAGGCCCCAGCGGTTCGTCTTCTTGAGGATGGCGGGGGCCTGGCCGTTGAGCGCGAGACCGTAGAGCGCGCGCGACGAGGTGTACAGGTCCGACGAGGCGGCCGACCACGCAGAGGTGAGGAGGCAGGCGTTGATGATCGACGGGAGAGCCTTGATGCCGGCGTTCTGAATCGCAATGACGAAGCTGCACGCGCGAGCGAGGTCAGCTTCCAACTCGCCTCATCGACGAGGGAACGCGGGCGCGGACTCACGGAGCCGAAGCGGCGGTACCAGTTCCGAGGTTGAGGCGGGGGTCGTTCGAGGGGACGACGAGGCCGGTGATGAAGACTCCGAGGATGTAGAAGAGGAGGATGCGGATGTAGACGTTCTTGATGGCGCGCGGGAGCGTCTTGCGCGGGTCCTTGGTCTCGCCGGCAGCGATGGCGACAATCTCAGTTCCAATGTACGAGAACGAGGCTGTGAGCGTGAGGGAGAGTTAGTAAAAGGAGCTGGAGAGAGCGAGCGAGGCAAGGGAGGGAACGCACCCTGGATGAGGACGGCCCAGGTGCCGAGGAAGCGGCCCTTGGCTCCGGGGATGCCGGCGTACTGAACGAACGCTCCGCTGCGGGACACGAGGCGTAGCCGAGTGTCAGCGCGAAGAAGGTGGAACGAGAGATGACCGCGCGACTCACGGGTCGTGCCAGTACTTGGTGCCAATGTAGTTGCCGTTGGGACCGCCACCGCAGTCGATGACGATACCAAGGATGATCAAGCCGATGATGGTGAGGACCTTGATGATGGCGAACCAGAACTCGGCCTCTCCGTACGCGCGCGAGCCACCAAAGTTGATGGCGCACGCGACGACGAGGCAGACGGCGATCCAGACGGCCGGGTTCGTCTTCTTGTCCCAGTAGCCGATGAGGACGGCGGCGGCGTTGAGCTCGGCGGGCAAGACGATGGTCCTGCGCGACGAGAACGAGCGCACCGAGCGAGTGAGTGTCAGCAACCTCGTCTCGATCCGCAAGGTCAAGAGGGATCGCGCGACGCACCAGTTGTACCAGTAGTTCCATCCCATGGCGAACGAGAACGCCGGCGAGACGAATCGGCGCGAGAGGGTGATGTGACCTCCGGGGACGGGGAGGTGAGCAATCATCTCTCCGAGCGAGATCATCACTGCGTAGCACATTGCGCCAATCGCGGCGTAGCTGTGCGTGCCATCGAGTTTGTCAGTGCGAGGAGCGAGGAGGGAGGAGCGAGTTGGTAGTGCGCACCCAATGAGGAGGCCGGCGGGTCCACCATGGCGGAGTGCGTTGGCGGTACCGAGGAAGAGACCGGTTCCCTGTCCCAACGTCGAGCTCGAGTCAGTACGGCTGTTCACGGGTCGCGCGAAGGCTTGAGCGAGACGAGCGAGTCCCGCCTTCGCGCCGCAACTCCGGGTGCGCTGCCAAAGTTGGGGGCTCCGGCTCGCGCGCCAAGCGAAGTGGATGAGAAGAAGCTCACGATAACGCCTCCGATGGAAATCATCTGGACATGGCGGCCCTTGAGTCTGCGTGCGTAGCAAAGCGAGAGTGAGTACGCGGGTGGGTGGGGTCACGAGCGAGGGGGGCGTGGCTGGGACTGACCCTCGATGCAGGTCCTGTCCGTTGTGGCCGTCGCCGTTCGAGAGGGTGACGACGTTGTTGTCGGCCTTTTCGAGGTCGTTCTTGCTGTACGTCTCCTCGAGGTGCGACATCGCTGGCGAGTGTGCGAGGTGGGTGTGGTGTCGCGGGGGAAAGAGGAGGAGGGTGCGTCGAGTGCGCTGATGTGGTTCCCACTCGGGCTGGAGAGTTACAGGGGTGATTAGAGAGACTGTTTGTAGTGCGAGAGTGAGAGTGAGGAAGAGAGAGAAGAGCGAGAAAGGCGAGAAGAGCAGCGGGCGACGAGAGCAGTCGATCGAGGCGAGCGGTCGATAGCCCCCACGAACACACGCGGGTGCGCTAAGTCTGGAGCCGTGCCTGGAACAGCGAAACAGTTTTTCTCTCTTCGCCTGGCCTCGAACCCGCGACTCGCACGGACACCTCGCCCGCACACAGAACACACCCTTCTCTCTCGCCACCCGTCTTCCTCACGCTCGCACGCCACTCAAAGCCAGCCTGTCGCCACTCGCACGACTCGCTTATCTCACTACGCTCAGCTCCTCTCTCGTTGCGGAGACCCCAACCCACAACGGCTACCCGTGTCCTCCTCCAACTCCACTCCACGGCATATCCGGCGAGAGGCGCAACCCGAATCTTTTTGTCGCAAGAAAGGCGTTGAGCGCCGATTCCGACGAACGGCAAACGACGGCTCCGGGACGAGCCAGCCACAAACACCGCCCAATCGAGCGAGCAACAGGGCCAGCCGCCCACTTTTCCTTCCCGAACGAGTCCGGGTCTCCGCTTCAGCCTGGGAGAGATACGAAGCGAGGGAGCAAGAGGCGAGGGATGCCGCGCATGCCTGGGAATGGATAACCCCGACGAGTGTTGCGAGTTTGCGGAGAAGAGATGGGCGGGCGAGTGGAGGAAAAGATACGAGTGAGAAGGGGCGAGGGGAGGAGGGAAGAGGAAGCGAGCGAGGCGGTATCGCTCTGCAAGCGGCCCGGCGTCGTTCTGGCTACCCAGCGCCGTAGCTGAGAGTCGCAAAGGCTTGTTTGGTGCGCTCGCACGTCTCGCGGTGGGCGGAGCGAGCGAGCAGAGTGTCGAGAAGGTCGACTCGAGCAGCGCCTTCTCACGCTGCCGACAACGCAGATCGCGCGGTGAGCGGCTGCTGAACGTTCGCTGCACGTTCCTACTCCTGTGATCTCCGTCCGCTAGCTGCATGAACGCCGGAAAAGGAGTTGTGAAGCGAGAAAAGCCTGTTCTTCGTTCGCAAGCGAAGCGCCAGGCTATGTGCTGCCGTGACAAGCTGCACGTATACAGCTCAGTGGGCTGAGGGACTGAAAGTGGTCGGAGAACGGTTGGAGAGCGATGAGGCGGGCGGGCAGACGATCCTGCGTGTGAGAGAGAGGAGCGCGAAGGAGGCGGGGCGGTAGGTGGCTGAAGAGGCTTGGAGCGACGTCGAAGGCCAGTCGTTTCGATCACGAGGAGCGAGGAGCTAGTAGAGGTAGCGAGGCTGCAGTCAATGGATGGTGGGAGCGGGCGTGTCGAAGGCTTGGGAGAGAAGCGAGTCCGTCGAATCCTGTCCTCGATGAACCTCCGCCTCCGCTCTCCCGCCAAGACCAGAGCATGCCTACGAGCCTAGTGGTGGCACTGCCCGTTATGCATGCTGGGGCGCTCTGTCTGCCGGCGCTGGACAGTCGAGAAGAGTCGGCAGAGCCGTCATAGAGCGGGGACGAGCGGCGCGGGCGGATCAGCTCTGCAGCAGGGACTTGTTGCGAGCGTGTGACAAGGACTGTTAGCTCAGCTGGCCAGCAGACCGGTCAAAGCGATGGGGCGCAAGGAGGACGGGGTTCGAGTTGGCGAGCACTCGACGTGAGCGGCGTGGGTCAAGGCCGTGCTTGGACGAGCGTAGCCGTGCACGCTATCAGCGACTCTGTACGGTGGCAGCTAGCCTCGCGAAGCGGTTCAATGTGGGTGTCGAGAGTCAACCCCTCCTCATCGCTCTCTCACCGAACCAAGCCACTCGCACGAACTCGACACCGCTTGCTGGGCTGCCAGACGCTTGACTGGACTGCGCGAGTACCACTGAATACACCTACACTCTCTCTCGCCCCGACCTGCTGTCCTTCGCCCCTTTTCCCTCGGTGACGCAGCCCTCCCTCCTCGCTCGACTCGACCAGATCGCACCCACCAACGATGGGCGACTCCGCTTCCCCAACCTCAGGCAAAGGCAAATCGCGCGCCTCAGACCCATTCGAGCGCTCCAACGACCTCGAGTCCGCCCCCCTGCTCAGCTCACCATCGTCGAGCGGCGGGAAGCGCAAGCAGCGATTGAGGCACGGACGGGGTCCGCTCGTTCGTGAAGACTCGGATGCGGACGAACCTTTGCCGTCGAACGATTCGGACGAGGAGGAAGAGCAGAGGGTCCGACTCGTTTCGGCCCATCCGGCGCAACACGCTCGTGCGCGGTGGACGCTCTCGTCGATCGCCTGCCTCATCTTCGGACTGATCTTCTGCCTCGCACTCCTTGCACTCGCGGTACTACACATCTGGGTCGGCCGACTCGTTTCGGAACAAGCGCGCCACGGGACCGCAGAGGAGATGGCTAAACGAGGGATGGTTTGGGCTGGTCCGTCGGCTGTGAGGGTTCAAGCGAGTGAGGGGGGAGAAGGGTTGGTCGTCGAGGTGGATGGGATGGCGGGGATTGATGTGAGGAAGGCGTTGGATTGGGAGGAGAAGGACGAGGGTGGGTGGGTGAGAAGGACGGAGGGACGGATTGCGAGGTGGGGAGTCAAGAAGGCGAAGAGTGTCACGGTCGATGTCGGCGAAGTTGCGATCTACGATGCCAGCGGCGACGACGAGGAGTCCGCCTCCGCCGACCCTCTCGTCCTCGTCAACTCGCTCGACTCGCTACGTCTCCCCCTCTCCTATCCGACACTCTCCAACCCTCTCCCCACAATGCAGCCCTTCACCCTGCACATCCCCCTCTCCTTCCCCTCCCCGCAGCACCTCGCCGACTTCGCCAAAGCGGTCTACCAATCGAAAGACTACCGCGTCCGTGCGGAGATTAGTGAGGTTGTTGCGCAGGTTGGGGAGGGCACGGGGAGGGGACCGGCGGGGTGGGTGATGAGGAGGATCAAGAAGACCAAGGTGACGGATCTGGCGAGGGTCGTCGAGGGCAAGGGTGCGTGTGCGCTTTCTTGCGTTTCTTCGCGTGCTAACGGCTCTTCGCGCAGTCCCCGACTTGCCGACGGACACCGACCCGGCAGAGATGGTCAACCTGACCTCGTACGGCGTGTACGAGACGACCTCGCCCGCGCACCCAAACGAGACGGTCATCGCCCTCTCCGCCTCAGCCATCTTCCAGAACCCTCTCGCCGACGCAATCCGCCGAGGTCGTCTGCCCGTCGTCGCATGGGGCGTACCCTTCCGACTCCCGATCTCGGTGCACCTCCCCCTCCCGCCGCTCCCGCAGCAGAAACCTGGCGCGCCGACCGAGATCGCGCTCGCCAAGATCTCGAGCTTGCCGTTCTTCTTCCCTGCCGAGAGCGACTCGGCGAAGCTCGACATCTCGGGCCACCTCGTCCCGGCAGGCAACCTCACTCCTCCCGCGACTCGGCCGCCTACTCCTCCGCCCGAGGACGGCGCCTTCTCGTCGCTCAACTCGAACGATCAGCCTCCCCTGTCCCGGGCGCTGAGCCGCTTCGTAGCGCGCTACCTCTCCGGCCGATCAAACGACGTCTACATCCGCTACGACTCGACGCCCGAGCCTCCTCTCCCCGGCGACCCAGCTCCCGACGCACCCTTCCCGCCTCGCTTCGTAGCCGACATGGTCAAAGAACAGACCTTCCATGTCGAAGTCCCGGGAACGAACGAGACGCCCGACTTTTTCAAGAACCTGAGGATGGAGGATATGAAGATTCGGCTGGGCGGAGGGGACGACTCGAATGCTGATTTGCTCGCAACGGGCAAGGTCGTGGGAGAGGTCGTCCTCCCCGATGCGGCGAAGAAGCTGGCCAAGGGGATTGACGCAAAGGTTATTTGGCCGGACGTGCTCGTCTACGACGGCGAGCTGCCGCCTCACCCGTACTCGGCAGACGAGGAAGGCGTGCGCGCCGTCGAGGGTCTCGCCCCATCAGCCGCGGACCAGCTCCCACTCTTCCCCTCGACCGCCTCCTCGCCCGACAACTCCGACTCGACCGCCTACCCTCCCTCACCCGTCCCGCGCAACGCCTTCGCCCGCATGCGACCCGCCCAGCCCATGCAAGCAAAGACAATCCATATCCCGGGTAACTCGACACACAACGCGACGACGCTCGTCGAAGCCGCCTTCGTCGATGCGCCGCTGTACCTCCTCCCTGGACGCGGAGACGTTCTTCGCCGCTTTGTGGGCAAGATCATCTTTGGTGGGAACCATGTCAAGGCGAGTATGGCCGGAATCACGAGCGTACGGATTGGCTTGAGCGGGTTTGGCGAGGTCGAACTTGTCGAGATTCCCATTGAAGCCAGCTTCAGTGCGTGACGTTTCGCTCCCCTGCTCGCTTAATGTACTGACAGCTCCCGCGCTGTAGTGGTTGGCCGCGGCGGCATCGAGAACCCGCCTTCGCTCGCTCGCCTCGTCGGTCTCGACTAGACGCCCCCTTCCGCCTGTACAACATCGACCGTCTCCCCTTGTTGCAGCATCCTTTCCCCTGTATCACTCGTCACACACGCCTTCTTGTTGACCTGCAATCGTTTCGCCATCCTTCGCGCGGCCGCGCCTCCAAGACTTCACCCGCTCATCCACGCCACCGCATCGCTCCGCGTATCTCACCGGGATAACGCAAAGTCTGGGCCGCAGCGTCTGCGGCATTTCTGCCTTCAGCCCTGCCCCACAGTGCACACACCTCTTGACCCCTTCCGCTCCGCCACCTCCTCTTCGCCCTTATCCTCCTCTCCCTCGCATGCATCCAGCATGGCGCCAGCTGCAGCCCACACGAGCTTACCGTTCGTCGACGTCGTCTCGTACCCACCTCCAGCGCGTCTCTCGCTCCCGACGACTTCTGCGCCTTCATTCCGCTCGAGCGCTCCTTCTCATGCTCGCTCAAGCGCGACAGGCGAAGAGCTGAAGGACAAAGAGGGACGACCGCTTGTGGATTTTCGTATGATTACTGAGGGGTCACAGCAGGGCTTGCGGAGGCAGCTGAGAGCGCGCCATAGTGCGTCCTTCGTTCTCTCGCGATTTATGGACTGCGTGACCTGACCTCCTCGTCGGCGTACAGTCGCACTCATTTCCATTGTGCGCCTTTCGCCTATGGTTCCAGGCTGGCAGTGACCGCTGACATTGATTTGCGCAGGGCGGCGTGATTGGCGTGAGTCTCGGGACTTGACGAAGTTGTCGCCGCTCGGCACTCACGTCTCTATCGACAGACCGGCCTTTTCCTGGGGACTGCGCAGAGTCGTACGTTCTCTTCACGTCGCGCAAGCGAACCTCGCTGACATTGCGATTCGTGCAGTCGCCATTGGCGGTCCTCTTTCGCTCCTTCTCTCGTACATCGTCATGGTGCGTTTCCTCGCTGAGTCCGTCGCAAACAGCCTGCTGAAGCCGTTTTCCGTCATGTGCAGGGCGTCCTGGTATGGGCGATGATGACAGTGAGTTGCACCCTTTTCCCGCTCGAGGCACATTGTTGACCTTTGTACCAACAGGCTCTGTACGCTCTCTCGTCCCGTCCGTCGCAGGCTTGCAGCTTATGTACTTTCTCTGCAGCGGCGAGATGATCTCGCATCTACCTCTCGCTGGCGGCCATGTCACGCTCGCAGCTCGCCTCGTAGACCCCGCCTTCGGCCTGGCGTGCGGCTGGGCATACTGCGCGAATTGGCTGCTAGTCATGCCTGCTGAGCTATCTGCCGCAGCAACGTTGATCGGCTTCTGGAGTAACGCGAAGTGAGTCTTGCCTTCGCAGAATCTTTCGCACTGCGCGAGGACTGACCTTCTTCTACACAGTCCGGCAGGATGGATCGCAATCTGCTACGTCCTCGTTGTATTGATCAACCTGGGCGGAACGAGAGTGTACGGAGAACTCGAGTTCTGGTTCGCGTCGATCAAAGTGAGGCGCACGGACTTCAGTGTTCAGTCTAGGCGAGATTGACCGTCTCGCGAACAGATCGTCACCATCGTCGGCCTCCTCATCCTCTCTATCGTCATTACCGCAGGGGGAGTACCCGGGACGGAGTGAGTAGCTCTCCATTCCCCTCGTCTCGCTCGAGCTCACCTTGCGCTTCGAACAGGCCGATCGGGTTCGCCTACTACCGCGACCCTGGGCCGTTCCAGCAGTTCCTCGGCATCTCCGGTCCAGTCGGACGCTTTGCAGGGTAGGCAGTTCACGAGCGGCGCCCAAGGACCTCGCCTCGCTGACCTACTTTGACCTTCCCAGGTTCATTGCGGTCCTGACACGGGCAGCGTACGCTTACATGGGCTCGGAGATTGTCAGTATAGCCGCAGGAGGTGAGGTGGCGTCGCTGACTATCGCAGCGACGACCGCTAACTCTCCTCGACCGGCAGAGGCTCGCAACCCGTCAAGGTCGCTCCCGCAGGCCATCCGCCGAATCATCTTCCGCATCGGGCTTTTCTACGTCGCAGGAGCGTTCGCCATCGGTCTCATCGTCGCGGCGAACGACCCCGCCCTCTCACGGCACGACGGCACAGCGCTGAGTTCGCCTTTCGTCGTGGCTATCGAGCGGGCCGGAATCGATGCGCATCTCGTTCACAGCATTTTTGGTGCGCCGTAGCTGACAAGTCTGATCTTGCAGGTCCTGCCGAGCATCATCAACGCTGCCCTCTTGACTTCTGCGACATCCGCCGCTTCATCTGGGCTCGTAAGCTTCGGCTGCTCACGCTCACCTTGATTGGCTCGCTGACGGCTTTTCCTCCTGCAGTACACTGCGTCGCGGTGTCTCTACGGTCTTTCGGTCAACTCGCTTCTCCCGCCTGCCTTCGCCCGCCTGAACAGCTACGGCCTTCCCTGGGTCTCCGTCTTGACCGCCTCCGCCTTCGGCTTGTTGAGCTTCATGAGCGTACGCGATTCATGCCGCTCTTTCTGCGTGAGAGTGCGCTGACTTCGCCGCGACAGGCCGGATCGCGTCACGCCGCTGTCGTTTTCTCCTGGGTGCGTTCCGTGCTTTCCTTTACAAAGCGGTTTGGCGGCCGTTTGACGTTGCTTCGTGTCGTCCACAGCTCAGCAACTTCTGCTCGGTCGGCGGCATCGTCACTTGGGCCGCGATCTGCTATTGCTACATCCGTGAGCGCTCATCGTTCCTCCTCTCCCTGCAATTGCTCAGCTCACCTTCTCTCGCGCAGGATGGTACCACGCCGCCAAGGCGCAAGACATCCCTCGCAACTTCTTCCCTTACCAGGCGCCCTTCCAGCCGTACTCGGCATACATTGCGCTCGCCGTACATCCGCTGCGCCTTCGTCGCCGCGATCCAGCTCATCCTTCTTTCCGAACAGGGCTTCCTGCTCGTCCTACTCATCCAAGGCTTCTACCTCTGCATTGACGGTCAATGGAACGCCTCCGACTTTGTCACTCGCTACCTCATGATGTGCGTCGCCTCCGCGCCTCGTATATCCGGCCTTCCTGACCTTGTTTCGGACTCTGTAGCCTCCTCTTCCCGCTCACTTACCTTGGCGGCCGACTATGGCTCCGCTGCGAGACGCTCTCGCTCCTCGAAATTGATTTCTTCTCCGGTTCTCGCGAGTACGTCAGGCTTCTCTCCCTCTTCTTTCGCTCGTTCTGACGGCCCTTCCACTCGCAGTAACGACGAGACGCCCGTCGAGAAGCCGCGGACGCCCTTGAAGCGCTTCCTCAAGGCGCTCGTCTAGCTGTTCCTCCCTCTCTTCTTCTCCGCTCGGTGTACAGCGTATCATAAGGATGGCAAAACAGGATCAGTATTGCGAATGAGGGCAATGCGAGGTGTGCTATGCATAAAAGTCACGACAGGATGCGAGAGAGGAAAGCGGGGTCAAGAGCAGGTATGGAGTGCGCTGCGAGTAGGGAAGAGACTGCGGGTGAAAAGCGAATAGCATGTGTAGGTATGTGTGGTATAGATGGTAAAGCGGGTATGATGGTCGAGGGGAAAGAAAGAAGGGAGTGGAGAGGCGGGGCGCGAAGATGGCTTAGCGCTGCGTGGCCTTGAGCTTCCTCGCACGCTGCTTCGGCTGGCGCTTGGCGTCCGCGGGAGGAGGCGGTCCACCTTCGCCGCCATCGTCGTCTGTCACGTCGCGAAGGAAGATCTTGAACGTCTTGACGACTGCGAGCGAGCGGGCGAGCGAGATCGTCAGTGTTCCGCCACGAGAAGGGAAAGGCCGACGAAGCGCACATTCGTTCGGGATGTGAATCGGACGCTGGGGCGGGAAGATGCTGAGGTCGAGGTCCGGATGCTCCTTGAGGTACTCCTGCGGAACTCGCTGGGTCAGCACGCTCCCCATGCTCGAAGATGAGTCCAACGCACCTCGAGGAAGACGAACGACCTGCGGGTCAAGCTCTGCGACATGCGCGAGTCGGCCTTGAACGGCGTGACGCCCCAGAGACACCACGGCTCAGGCAAGAGCTCCTGCCTGTGCTCGCGGCGGATGGCGTTCTCGTGGCGAATGTCAGTCTTGATGCGCTTGATCGTCTCGTCGATCAGGATGGTCGTCGCGTCGAAGGCGTCGCCCGAGATGGCCTGCGAAGCGAGAGGTCCGTCAGTTCCGACACCGCCGCGGCTGGAAGGTGAATACGCACCCAAGGCATCGTGACGGCGATAAAGATGGCGCCGTTGCGCATGTCGTGCTCGACGAGCAAGAAGCCCGAGACCTCCTTCTCGACCGGGTCCTGTTGCTCGACCGGTTCCGGCTTGGGCGGCGCGCCAGGCTTCGGTTTCGCCCTCCTCCGATGCGGCGTGCTCGTCTGCAGACTGATGTACCTCCTAAACCCACGGGTGGCCTCAACATCGACGCTCATCATGGGCTTGAGGAGGCTCCACCCATCGACCGTGAGCTTCTCGCACTGCGCGTAGGTCGTCGCGAGTCCGTCGCCGCGCTCGAGCATCTCGGGACGGGCTTGAGTGCGCAAGCGCGTGTTCCAGTAGACGAGGCGGCAGCGGGCTTCGAGCGCGTCGAGCTTGGCCGAATCGATCTCGGTGATGCGGAGGACGTCGCTGGGGGCGCCAGCGGGTTAGCTGCGAGTGACTCCAGGGAGAGCGAGGGCGCAACGCACTAGTCGATGTCAGAGAGCGGCGGATTGCGGGCATGGCTAAGCGTGCAAGTCCGCCTCCCAGCGGGGAAGAGTTCTGCGCGCGCGCACAACCCGGTCAGCCCCGCTCAGCAATACTCACTCAAACCCACACGAACGCACCTTTACACCTCCACCTTCCAGGCGTCAACCTCCCCCCACCGCCTCCACAATCCGAACAAGGCTTGTACTTTTCCTCGCACGTCCTGCAAATGACCTCGACGGTGAAAGGCGGCGGAGTCGAGTCCTGCGGCGCGAGGGTGGTGACGTTTCCGGCTCCGATGACGCGGTCGCAGACGTCGCAGGTCAAGGCTTGGCGTTTGATCGTGTCGGAGAGGCCGCGCGAGGTCTCTTCGGGCGGGAGGAGGAGGCGCGAGTGTTGGGACGTCGCAGTCGCAGTCGCGGCAGAGGTCGAGGTCGAGGGAGCGGAAGAAGGGTCCGCCGCGCTCGTCAAAGTCCCGCGCGCCGCCGCCGCCGGTCCACCTTCCAGCGCATCGACCGCGCCCGAAAACGTATCCTCGAACGTCGCACGATCATGTTCCGTCGGCGCCGGCAGCCCCATCCCTCCGACCTGCGCAACCGACACGTTCGTCGGACTCGACCCGTCGGCCCTCCTCGCATCGTCCTGATCCGCCTCGTACGCGCGCTGCGCCAACCTCTCCCTCCTCTCGTCCCCATCCGGATCGACCTCCCTGCCCTGTTCCTCAACCGGCAAGCAATCGAGACACGTGAAGCTCAACCTCGGCGTCCACCCCGTCAAGTCGTGACCGCGGAGGATGATTTTCGCCCTGACGAGCGAACAAGTCCAACACGTCGCGCTGAGTTCGGCAGACTTGGCCTTTCCTTTACTCGTCCCCGAGCTCGACACGGCATAGGTGACGCCATACGCCGTATGGACTTTCTGTTTGTGACCCGACGCGGGCTCGCGAGCGGGATTGAAAGCGAGTACGGGGGGACGGGCGCGGTGGAGCGCGCGTTCGGTCGAGGCTTGTTGGAGAGCTGGGAGGGTCTGGGGGAGGATTGGGAGGCCGGTGGCGGTGGCGGGGGTCGAGTGGGTGGAGGAGGAGGAAGAGGAAGGCGAGGCGGCGAGGTGCGAGTAGGGAAAGTGCGTCGAGGCGGGCGAGGGATACGGTTGCTGTTGCTGCGGTGGAGGAGGAGGGTACGAAGGCGCGCCAACGAGCGGGACGTTGTACTGGAACGGCGACGTCTGCGCCCTCAACGCCGCCAACCTCCTCGGGAACTCCTGCTCGTTCGCCTGCGCGTACTGTCCCGCAACCTGTCCGTAGTCGTATCCGCCCGTCTGCAGCGCATGCGAAGGGTACATCGCACCTCCCGCCGTCGTCGGCACGGGATAGTACGACGCGGAGGTCGACGTCGAGGTAGATGGAACGGGAGGGACGGCGAGCGACTGTTGCTGTAGGTGGTCAGCGGATGTCGACGCGTACGTCGTGGGATGGTAAGAAGGCAGAGGGGGAGGATAGCGGTACCCCGTTCCGGCCGCCGCCGCCTCTCCCGCCTGAGCCTGACTCGCCTGCTGAGGCGCCGTGTTGGCCCTCCCCACCATCGCAGGCCTCGCCTCATGCTGTTGCTGATGCCACCCCTGCTGCTGCTGGCCATACGTCCCTCCTTGTCCCTGTCCCGCCTCGAGACGCTGCGACATCCACGATCCCGTCACCCCTCCAAACCCGACGGCGGTTGAAGGGAGCGACGGAGCAGCCGATGTTGCGCGCTGAGAAGTCGAGGTCGACGGGGTGGGGAAGTACTGCGCTTGTTGAGCGTGCGAAAGAGGGTGAGGAGAAGCGGGCTGAGGGGCAGGGGGAGGAGGAGGGACGGCAAGGTGTTGATGAATGTTGACCTGATACGTCGGAGGCTGTTGCGACTGACTCGGTGCGGCGGCGAACGAAGCAGGAGAATGCGAGCGCGAGTCGGGGTGATATTGCGCGGGAAACGAGGCGGATGCGTGAGGGAGGGTCGGGCGTTGGAGGGGTTGTGGGTGCCACGGGTAGGATTGATGTGGGAGCGAAGGAGCGGGAAAGGAAGGGGAGGCGAGTGTTGAGAGTTGCGGTTGTGTCTGGCCGAACGAGTCGGGAGCGGGAGGCGCGTTAGACTGCTGGTGATACGCAGGCGGGTGCTGATACAGCTGTTGTTGCTGCTGCTGCCCAACCCCGGCCTGTCCAAGCTCCGCCAGTCCCTGCTCCCCCCCTCCCATTCCCGACGACACCCTCTTCCCGCGCCCGTCCTCCGCTCCCATCTCCACCGCCGCGGGGTCCTCCACCTCCCCAAACGCACGCTTACGTCCGAGTGGATCCCCTCCCGCGGCTGTCCAGGGAGGGTAGGCGCTCATCGCCCCTCTTGCGGCGAGCGGAGTTTAGTCCTGTCGAGTTGGCGGAAGCGCGGAGGGACGGGCGATGAGATGGGACGGGTTGGTCGCCCCTGGGCGTGCAGTCGAGTGCGGTAGAGCTGTAGTGAGAGTCGGGAGAAGCGGGAGAGGAGGGAAGGAAGCGAGGGAGTGGTCGGGACGGAGAGAGGGTTCGGTAACAGAGGGGCGACCAGTCGCGGGAGGCGGAGGGGGGAGAGTCAGCGCAGGGTGCGGGACGACGAGAGAAGGAGTGCAAGCGCACCTGTAAGCTCAGGGAGAGTGCGCACGGTGGAGCAGGCGGCGTGCGAGGTGAGCGAGGCGATGAGGCGATGAGGACGGGAGCGGGAAGTGAGCGAGTCGAGCTGGGAGTGGGAAAGGGTGCTACTGCGCTGGCTCAAGCATCGTCTGGCAGCCCGAGCGCCACTCCTCACAAGGCGAGCACACCACTTTCGAGTGAAGCGAGCAAGGTCAACGGGAGACTCTCTCGCGCTCTTGCCGTGAACCCCTGCAGGCACTCGACCTTTGCGCTCACATGGTCAAACCGTAGAGTTGTCTCGCCTCGGAAACGGACTGCAGATCCGCACAGAAAGACTGCGAAAGAACGACGGCGCTCGTTTGTCCGCCCATCGAACCCTGCCAATCCCTCTCCTCGTCCTGCTCAGCTGACCTCGACTGACCGAGCATCGTCCTGCGCGCACCGGCGATGCCGACGCGAGCGGCAAGGCGTTCCCCGCCCATCCAATCCTCCCGCGCGAACGTCGACGCTGCGGAATCAGGCAAAGGCGTCAACCTCCGGTAACTGTCGAAGCCTGCCTGAATGGCTGAGTGCCGAGTTGAGTAGTCGCTCAAGGACAGGATCCAGAGCGAGAGGGTAGCGGCGAGCTCGCCTCCGAGACGAGCGAAAGCAACAGCAAGATCTGAACGGCGGAGACTCGTCAACCCCACACCGTCGCTCCTAGTGTGGCTCGCACGCGGGCACGAATTGCAGCCGACCACATTGAAGCGGATGGCGAGCGGCATTGGCATAGTAGGCAGTCGGAAGAGAGAGATGCGGGAAGCGTCTAGCTCAGGTGCTCGATGTCGGTTCGCGGCGATGCGGGCATCGTGTAGTCCGTGCATCTTCATCGTGCATCCGAACCACTTCACGAGCCCGAACGATTCCCTCGAACCGAGAGGAGGAGCGAAGAAGACGTCCTCGACCCTTCCGACGCCTCCAAGACGCCATCCTCTCCGCCAAACGCCCAGCGCTCCAGTCAACCCTCCTGGAGAGCCTGCCTCAACCCACTCGACACACATCGAGCAGTCCCTGCGCGGTGTAGCGGGTGCGAGAGTCGCGAGGTGATGAGGATGGCGAGGGGACGAGTGCTCGACGACGGCGGCTCGTGAGCGTTCGAGAGCAAGACACAGTGATAGCCTGATCTTCTGTGCTTGTAGCAAGCCTATCCATCCCCTCCCAAGACGAGTGTGAGCGCTGTGAGAGCTAAGTGTTGCGACCCAAGCTCTGCCCTCGTCCAAACCTCGCTCGCCGCTCCTCCGCCTCTGCCGTTCCCCTCAACTTGGTCACCTCTGGTCATCCTCGCCACTCGGTCTAACTCCCCTTTCCAACAGTTAAAACTCAGTCACGATGGTGCGCGCGCTCTCTCGAGTCGCTGTCGGGAGGTGAGGCTGACCCGGGGGGAACAGTCTACCGTCGCCAAGCAGGACGCAAAGGACTTTGACCAGTCGGCTGCCCCCGCCGTCAAGAGCCACAAGATCAGGTGCGCTCACTCTTCCTTGCCCTCCCGAGCGCGAGCTGACGGGACGAGGAGGGGCACGCGGAAACAGGATCACCCTGACCTCGCGCAACGTCAAGAACCTCGAGAAGGTCTGCACCGACTTGGTCAACCGCTCGAAGGACAAGCAGCTCCGCGTCAAGGGCCCCGTCCGCCTCCCGACCAAGCGCCTTCACATCGTCACCCGCAAGACTGTCCGTCGCGCCTCTCCTTCCCCGAGAGTAGCGTGCAGCTGCTGATTGGAGCTCGTGTTGTATGTGCGCAGCCTTGCGGTGAGGGTTCGAAGACCTGGGACCACGTGAGTCCCCTCCCTCCTTTCCCCTCGTCCTCCTTCTTTACTTCCAGAAACCGCCCGCTGACGCTTCCCGACGCACGCTCTACAGCTCGAGATGAAGATCCACAAGCGCCTCATCGACCTCGAGTCCCCCGCCGAAGTTGTCAAGCAGATCGTGCGTCCCCTCCCTCCGCTCCTCCTTCCCTCCTTCGCGCTGACGACGCGTCGAGCAGACCTCGATGTCGATCGAGTCGGGTGTCGAGGTCGAGGTTACCATCGCGGCCTAAGCCTGCGCATGGTTCCCTCGTCGCTAGTGGGGGCTTCGAAGAGGTGTGAGGGAGGAGTTTCAGCGAGTTGAGCGGTTGTGACGAGTGAGGGTTTGCGTCGACGGTGTTTGCGAGGGCAGCAGGGAGTCATTCGGTTGGCTTTTCTTGCCTTGTCGCTCCCTTTGTGCGCTGGAGGACGTAGCCTTTGCGAGTGTTCCGTTCCTCGTCTCCTTTCCCCTGCGTTGTAATGCGCACGCCTCGTCGTCTCCCCCTTTCGCCCGCGCTTTCCGAGAGTGAACGAGCGTCTATCAGAGAGTCAGAGAGCACGCTAGATAGCCCAAGCAAGCCGTGTGAGATGTGTCAGCGCGGGTTGGCCTGTGCAGAGGCAAACCGCTCCTCGTCCTCGCGTCCTCCTCCTCTCGCTCCTCAACTCTGCTCTCACACCGCTCACGCACGACGCTCCTGAATGGGTATACCGCACCACACGCAGAAATATATGAACACGCCTTGCCTGCCTGCCATCCGGTGCGTCCTCCCCTCCTCGCACCACCCCGACCCACGTTCTGACGCAGGGTTCGTTCGAGGGACGGACACAGCTCGCTCACCCGCCCGTTCTGCGCCGACTGCATTGGATCTGTTGGAGGTGGTGACCGACCACCGTAACTGGGCTTCTTGCGCTCGCTTATCCCGACTCGGGTCTATCGACGTGACCCGCACCTCCTCGCACTCCCAAACACCCCTAAACGACTCGCCTAGACCTTCACACTACTCGCTGAACACTATCGCACTCTACCCTCGCTTCTCGCGCCGATCCACCTCGAATCGCCCAGGATGGTCGCGCTCAAGAGCAAGACCCTTTCGCTCCCTCACCTCTCCCTCTCGCGCACTTCCTCCCCCTCGCGCCCTTCTCAGCCTCCTACACCTTCGAGCGCCGCTCCTTCCCCGACCGACCCCGTCCCGCAGACGCAGCCGCAGTCGCAGGGTCAGGGCAAAGCGCGCTCCGTCTCGCCCAAATCCCGCACAACCGACCTCGTACCTCTCCAGCAACCCGTCCCGACCAAACCTCCTCGTCGGTCGTCGATCGGCGCGTCATTGGCGGCGCTGACGTCGAGGTCTTCCAGCCCTTCGACTGCCTCGCCGACGACCCAGGCGCCGAAGAGTCCGTCCGTCCCTGCAGGCCTGCACATCTCGCCCGCCTCTTCCCCCGCCCCCGCCTCCGCCGAGGAGAGCACGAATCCCCGCCCTACGCGTACGCTCTCGGAGAACAAGGCCCCTGCGCTCGCGCAAGGGATCAAACCTTCCCGCTCGGCTTCGTCGTCGGGGAGCGGGAAGAAGCGGTCCAAATCTACCGATCGCTCTGCTCGTCCCTCTGCATTCACGCCCGCCGACGCTACTTCCCAAGCGGACAAGGAGAAAGACCCGCAAGTTCGGGGCGGATGGAAAGCCGGAGGGTTGATGGCTTCTTTCGGCCGCTCGGGGAGGGGACTCGCGCTTGGACACTCGCAAAGTCAGCCGGGTACGTCGAGGGCTACCGCGACTGCCGTTATCGGCGCAGGCTCGCTCCCTCCCAATGGACTGCCGAGTCCTTCGATTCCGTCAACTGCGACGCTCGGCGGGAGCGCAAGCGGGACTGCGACTCCTTCTACCGCCGCGACGCTTGCTGCAGGCGGTACAGGCGTCCAGCTGCACCAACTCGCCGAATCCTACGTCGGGAAAGTCTCGCTCCGTCTCGGCGAGGCAGTCAACAAAGTCTTCTTGCCGATGCCGACCGGACCTGGAGGGATTGTGGACAAGAACGCGGAGAAACAGGAGGGTGCGTATGGAGGGAGCGCGGTGGTCGTCAAGGGACGACCGGCGCCGAGGGTTGCGAGGGCGAAAGAGGTCGGGGAGATTATCGCGGCGTGAGTCCGAGCGTCTCTTCTCTCTTGCGGAGTGTGTGGGTCACTGACGGAGGTTTCGTCGCGCCGCGCAGTGAGTTGCAGGCGGCGCTGCACGACCCGTACCTCCTGCGGACGCTCCTCCGCTCGTCGGTCCTCAAGGCCCTCTCGCTCTTCCTCACGCGCCTTTCGGCCCTCCTCCTCGTCCCCTCTCCCTCCGACCCCGCCCTCGTACCGGCCTGCTTCACCGCCCCACGCACCTGCAAAGAAGCCGACTCCCTGCCGCTCCCTCTCCGATTCAACCTCCAAATCGTCCGCTGCGCTTCTCAAGTCAAGCGCGCGCTGGCAATCGTCGCCGATCCCTCGTCCGGTTTCCCGCACTTTGTCGAAGAGACGCTCAAGCCGTGGCGCGCCAAGCTCGCGGAACTCATGAACCGCGTCATGGGCCCGTTGGTGCAGAGTGCCAGACTCGCGGTGGCTGAGACGAGTCTGCGAGCAAAGGTCGAGGGCGCGACGAGCGCCGAGGGATGTGCGTGTGCGGATGGGCAGGGCGTGACGGGTGCGGCCGCGGTCGCGTGCGGAGGAGGAGGAGCAGGAGCGAGCGCCGCCTCGACGCTCGGCTTGACAGGCTTGTCCGCCCTCCCACCCTCTGCGACGCACCTCAAGCCCAGCGCGACGAGCCAGCTCCGCTCGCTCTCGCTCGGTCGATCGGCGTCGCCCGCTCCGTCCGGCTCGTCGACCGCCTTGCCTGGGTTGACGTCGGCCACGGGCGCAGCGACTGCCGGCCCGGCCTGGCTGCGCGACCTCTCGTGCCGTCTCGAGGCTTTCGCGCGCCTCGTTGCGCGCCTCGAGTGCGCTGGAGACGCCGACAAGTGGATTGTTAGCGTTGCGACGACGGCGTGCTGGAAGGGGATGCTCAACCTCAGCGCTAGGTCAATCGGCGCGGTTGATACGGGTGGCGAGGTAGGTGCAGCGGAGAAGGAGCGCCCGGTCAGCAGGAGAGGGTTGCTTGGCGGAGTTGGGATCAAGAAGACGCCTTCGCCGCCGCAGAGCCCGCCTCTTCCCTCTGTCGACATGGCAGGCGCACCACACGCCCACTCGCACGGTCACACCGCCCCCTCGCCCGCCGACGTCGCTTTCGTCCGACTCCTCTCGGACCTCGAGCTCCTCGAGGCGCGCCTCCAGGCGTTCCTCGTCGCGAGCCTCTCGACGCCTGCGACAGTCCTCGCCCCCTCGTTCGCCGCCTCGTCAGCCGAGTCGTGCCCCGCCTCGAGCCACTCGACCACCGGCTGCGGACTGTGCCGCACAGGCCGGACGTTCGACGACGAGTCGTCCGACTCGTCCGACTCGGAGGACGACGGCGAGGTCGACCATCCTCGTGGTGGAGCTGCACCGAGCGAGCCCAAGCGCGAGTCGAGGCTCGTGTTGAGCGCCATGCGCGAAGCGATGCAGGCCCTCAGCGCGATGGTCGTTGTCGTTCGGGCGAGCCGCGATCCGGTGGTGGTCAAGCTTGCGTTGCAGGGACCGACGGTCGACGAGAAGGTTGCGAGCGCACAGCCGATGACGCCCTCGGCGATGTTTGCGCTGTCCGCCCCGACTCCCTCGACGACCATCACCGTCGTCGCTCCCTCGTGCTCGCTCTCGCCTTCGTGTCCAACTTTGCACTCGGCACTCCTCACCCTCCCACCCCTGATCCTCCTCCACCTCCTCGCCTCGCGCGTCTCGTCCGCCACGGGCTTCCGCCTCCCTCACGAAGTATGGGCCCTCCGGAACGGCTGGGCCGAGTACGCGTCCGAGTTGCGCGGGTTCGCAGCGGGCGAAGAGTGGGCTCAGGAGGTCGCGTGGGAGATGCACAACGAGGTTGAGCGTGTCTTGCGCGGTGAGAAGGAGAAGGAGGGAATGGGCGAGGCGACGTGGAGGAAGGGCGATAAGGCGGCCTTGGAGGCGCTCAAGGTCGCTGCGGTCAAGAACGGTGGTGGATCAGGCGGCGGAGGTGGGAACGCGCGCGATTGACTAGCCGGTGTGGACGCTCAGGTATCAGACCATAGACGGACTCTCTTCCTCTTCTTCTCCTCGCATCGTCTCTATCCCTTTCCCCGATTCGCTATTCCGCCGTCGCACGTTTCTTGTTTGCTGCTGTCATGCGACGGCCTCGATACTCTCTGCAACTGTAGACCTCGGTTCTCGCCTCGTCCTCCTCGTCCGCTCCGCTTCATTCCCCTCGAGCTCTTGCAATCTCTCCCTCTCGCTCGCAGAGCACGACACAATATCGACGAGTCCTGCAATGCCTGCCTCCGTCCGCTGGCTCTCTGCTCTCGCCAGCGAGTCGAGGTGGCGAGTCGGTCGAGGCCGTCCGCCGACCGCAATCTCGCTCGCCTCGACCACGGCATGCGACGGGTCTTGCTCGGTCGGGCGCTGCTGCGGCGTGATGCGCACCCTACAGACACGATCAGGACTCGCAGGGCGACTCCAGGCCCGCCCGCGTCCCTTCGTCCCCTCGCCTTCTCGACCTCGAAACGAGACCCCAGCCTCTTCATTAACGACTCGCGGCGCTTCCGTGCCGCACCAGAGCTTGCGGAGGGCGATCTTTCAGCTTGTTCCGTGGGGCCGCCGGCCGGCTGGAGCGGAGAAGGCGCTTCGAGACGCTGCATCTCCCTCCGCCCGACTCTCGTCGCTCGCTCTCACGACCTGCTTGCTTAAGGGTTCACCTCCTGGCTGTCCATCCCGCTCCTTCCGCTAAGCTCTCCCTTGCGCCATCCTCTTTCTGAGCAGAAACGCAGCTTCGGCCGACACTCCTCCCTGCAACACTCGCATTCGTCAAGCATGACCTGCGCGATGCTCCCGCTCAGCAACACGGACTCGCGAGGCCCTTCTCCTATAACATGTGGTCGCCGACCATCTATCTTTGCGCAACCCCGACGACCTCCGGTCTCATCGACTCGCCTTCCTCCCCTCTCCTCGCTCTCCCTTCCTGGTTCTCCCTCCGCGCAAGCCCTCTCCTCTTTCCCCTCCCAAGACGGATTCGGCTCGCCCCCACTCCCACGGCCTATACCGCCCCTCCTGCACCCACAGCCCGTCCGCCCCGTCAACGTCGAACACTCCCCTCTGCTCGCCGGAGCCTCGTCGCCTCCACCCACGCAAGACAGCTCACGCATAGCACCAGCCGACGTCTACGCCCATGCATACCGGCTCCTAAGGGAACGGTGGGCTGGAGCAGGGAGCGAGGTGAGGGAGGCGGCGGAGCAGGCTAAGGAGGTCTTGCGGGCGCAGGAGGAGCGGAAGCGGCGGGCTTCGCACGAGCAGGACGAGGAGGACATTCAACGCGGTGCGAAGCGGGTCAAGCACAGGCGCGCATCGGGAATGGTCGCGCCTGTCACAGAGGAAGTCGAGTTCTTCGATAACGTTCCGCCTTCGCTCTCCTCCTCAGCTTCGGCAATCGATACCGATGTCGACCTCGTCGGCATCCCTCGGACCACGTCTCTTCCGCCGCTCGCAACCGTCTTTGCGACCGAATTGTCGTTGCTGCCACAGGCGACGACCGCCTCTCCGCGCACTTCGCCCACGCTCCTCAAGCGCAAGCGGTCCGTCTCGATGCCTCCGCCACCCCTCACCGTATCCGCCTACGCCCGTCGCCCGCGCACTTCACTTCCCTCCCTCGCCGAACCGAACTCCGCTTCGACCTCCCTCCCTCCCCTCTCTGCCGTCGCCCCCCTCGCGCCTCTCGTCACCCTCCCAACCTCCCGCTCGCTCCTTTCCTTCTCCACCGCCTCATCAGCGCGCTCGCAAGCCCTCTCGCAAGTGGTCAACCTCTTCGAAGCTGCGCGGGCGAGTCGAGCAGAGGGGTTTAGGCGGTTCGGGGAGGGCGTCGAGGAGCGCAGGAGGAAGAGTATGGAGGGGACGAGCCCGAGGTTGCCGTCGGTGTTTGAGCGGTGGCAGTAGGAGGAGGTGGAGTTGGGCCAGTTGGCGTCGTTGCTCGTCGTCAACGCGGTTTCCTCGATGTGCATACTCGCTCTTCGTCTTCGTCGTCCTTCGTTGTTGTCCTATCACGTACGCGCGCACGCAATACACGCAGTCGCAGCGCACTCGAGCAACGTCCGCTGTCTGGCGCCGAGTGAGTCGTCCTCTTCTGCTCCTTGCTTCCTCCTCCGCTTTCTCCGCGACGTCTCCCTTGTTCCTCCGTATGCACGAACTCTGCACAAGCTCGCCTTTCACTCTGAACCGCTCCTCCTCCTCCTCGCTCGGCTCCATTTCGAACCGCTCTACTTTCGGGCTTCGCACACTCGAGAAGGCAGGATTCAGCGAGAAGATGCCAGACGACGGGTACTTACGTTGCCGATAAACGAGCCCCTTTGTTCGTGATAAGGCGGCCTGAGCGCGGGGCCTACAAAAGGCACGCGGAGGCCGGTTCGCAGGTTATGCTCCTTCTCCTCACTCCCTTTAACCCTCCCCCCCCCTCGCACACTCCTTATCGTCATGAGCGACGTCTACACCTGGAGGAACGGACACCTGCGTGTCTGCGATGCCGCGCAAGCCCTCTTCCCACGACGACGTTCACGTTCTCTCCTCCCTTTGGTTCAGAGCGCTGCAAGGCCTTTACTGGCGCGGCTGCCAAGCCATCGTACTCGCATTCTGAATGGTTTGCGTGGAGCCGCGAAGCTCGGCTGGAGAGAGGACGAGAGACGAGGAAACGAATCTACGAAGTCCTGCGCGACGAGGATGTCCTCCTCGAGCCTGGCAACCACGAACCTGTTGCCGAGTGGCTCATCGAAGCAATGGAGAAAGCAGCACGAATCAACAGGCCCGTCTACGTCAAGCCTGGCCTCACAGCGTCGCCCAACTTCGCCTCCGTCTACCGCCAGCAGTACGGCTTCACCTCCGCCATGCGCTGGGCCAACTTCCGCCCTGCGCTTCTCAAGGTCACCTACCGTCCTCGCAGCACTCGCAAGCCGTGGTCGCTCCAAGTTATCGACATCAAGTCGACCCACCCTCGCGCGGTCGAAGCCGACAAGGTCTCGCACTTCCTCTTCGCTCGCAACGAACGCTCACTCACCCCTCTCGTCCAGGTCCACCTGCAAGATCAATTCCGCATCCTCGCTTACCGCCACCTCCTCGCCCAAATTGTCGAGGACATCAAGCGCGACGACTACGCCCGCCAGGACTTCCCTCTCCTCCGTCGCCTGGCCATCTCGCACATCTGCGCCTTGTGGCGCTACACCGGTTGCTACTCGACGACGTGCTACCACGACGAGTGCATCCTCAATGGCAAGATCGATGCCGCCAAGCTTACTTACCACCTCGAGATTTCTGTCGAGCACAACAAGAGGTGGATCGAGAACCTCCTCTTCAACGAAGTGCCGACTCGCGTTGGTGTCCCGTGCCAGCACAACTGAGTCGTTCAAAGTCAAAGGCAAGACCAAGGCGAGGCCAGCAGGAGAACCAGCATCACCCGGAACCAAGGCTGGTAAGAACGGACGGGCCGCTCTCCCTCTCTCTGCGTTCTATCCCCTCTCACCTCAGTCGTACTATTCTTTATATCTGTGTCATGCGTTTCCGTGCCGTCTACCGGGGTATCGAGAGGGTTTCTGCGATTTGCGAAGGTTGCGAAAGGTTGTGTCGGTCGTTTACTTGCTTGAGCGCATCCGCTCCGCTTCGTACATCTGCCATTCGACTGAGAGAGAGCGATCAATGAGCGGGAACGCTCTGCGAGAGCCGCGAAGTAGGCGTACCGAGAATGCCCTGGTTCTTCTCTCCCCCGATGGCAACCATCAAGTCCTCCGCCTTAGGCTCATCCTCATCATCCAGCATCTGCCTCAAGCTGTTCCTCTTCTCGCCGCCGACTTCCTGCTTCCCGTCCAGCCTGTACTCCTCGCTCAACTGCTCAACCAACCGGTCCTCCACTCCTCCCAGCGCCTCAATCTCCGTCAACAAGAGCGAGTACATGAGCACGACCGAGAGCGGATTGGCCGTCTTAAACGCGACCCAGGACAGACAGTTGAAGAGGTTTCGAGCGGGAGGAGGGAGTGAGACCGGGATTGGCATGACGGGCGGTTTGGAGGATGAGCTGGCTGCGTCGGAGAGTGGGTTGCTGGGGAAGTAGAGAAAGGATGGTGGAGGAGTGGTCGGAGAAGCAGAGGGCGGGAGAGTCGAAAGCGCGGCGAGGTGGTAGAGGAGCGCTTGGGGCGGCTGGAATGGCGCGTCGGGGTCGGCGATGGAGGGGAAGTCGGGGTTCGTCGCGAGCTTGATGCCGCACGTCGGCTTGTGCAGCTTGAAGTGCGAGACCTGGCAGTCGCTGCGACGGCGAAAGGGAAAGTTAGCCGTCGGAAGCACCGGGACGGGGTTTGGCAACGCACCGAGAGCAGTAATGCACGAGACGCTCGGCCTGCAATTGACATCGAGAGCAGACGAGCATCTTCTTGCCAGCTTCAAGGCTGGAAGCTGTTTGAGGGCGAACGAGCGTTAGCTAGCGGTCGCGGAGAGGGTTGAACCGCAACGAACCGATTTTGCCGCAGCTCGTGCAAGCAGGTTGGTCAAGAGTCGACATCGCAAGTGTCTGATCAGACGAAGAAAAGGCAGGATACGGGCGTAGAGAGCACAACGAGGGGAGGAAAGGCGGGAGGAGGGCGTAGGCGAGGCTACCTGCAAAGCTTCGCGGACAGATCAGCTACATGAACTCGAAAAGGCTCCTCATTGGTTCGCCGAGCCTGCTGGACTCACCTGGCGCGCGGGTAAGTCGAATCAAGGGCAGATCAAGCGAGAGAGTCGACGAGGGGAGGAAGCAAAGAGGAAGCAGCTGGGAGACAAGGCGGGCTTGTAGGTGGCTTCAGAGCGCTTTCGTCGGCGAGTTCACGCAGCCCAACAGCCCTCAGCGCGCAGAGCAGATTGCGGACGATTTCGAGAGAGGCAAACGGATGTTGGCTTCGAACAACTCGCCGCTCACCCGCGCACCTGGGCGCGAGACCTTGCTTGTACTGCTTCTGAGTCTGATTTTGACCGCTAGCGATCCGCACGCACGCCTCCCGCCGCCTCTCAACCCCTCCCCATCTCGCTTCGCCCACCTCGCCTGACGCGACACAACCTCTCGCCCACACCGCCAGACACGCGCGCCGACCGGTTCAGACGGCTGTAACAGACTGGGATTAGGCAGTAGCGGTACCAGGTGAGCTCGAACTGGCCGTGTTGCGTTGTATTGCGGGTCGAGTGGAGGATTGGTCTGGATGACGAGGTCGCGCGCAATGGGAACGCAGTCGGAGGGCCAGCGGAGTTGCAGACGGAGACTCAAATGTTGAGGGCAGCCATTCTACGGGCGCATGCGGCGTCTCGACTTCTTCGGACGGTGATGCTTCCCCTCGCCTTCTGCCCAAGTCAGGCGAGGCGATGAGGCCAACGGCGGCGACGTGGATGGAAGTGCAGGAGGTCATTTGAAGTGCGACCGCTCTCCAGGGATCCCGGATACTTGGGAACGATCAGACTGCTCCGCGCTGCGAACGTCCAGCTGACATTCTCCTCCTCGCCTCTGGACAGATCCCGCTTCTCTCCCTTCCAACCTTTCCCTCTCGCGGACACCGTCTTCTCCATTCCAAGAGTCCACCCACCATGCCTCCCCGCGCCCAGCAACGACCGCCTCAATCCCTCACTCCTCAACCCGGCTCCGGCTCTCCCATCGCGCAGCTGAACCCGAGCCAGCTCGCCGCGCTGCAAGAGCACATCCGCAACACGCGGAGTCAGACGGGACAGGAGGTGACGCCTGCGATGATCACCGAGTGGATGATGCGGAATGGGATTCAGGCGGGACAGGGCGGAGCGGGACAGCAGGGACAGGGCGTGCCGCATCAGCAGCAACAGGGCCAGCAGCAGGGTCAGGTGCCGCAGCAGGTGCAGGGGAACCTCGACGCTATCCGTGAGTCGGCGGTTGCGAGGATTCGTCCCGGCTTTCTTCAAGGAAGGAGGAGTCTGACGATGGACTTTCTGTGCCTGGCATCACAGTGAATCACCTTTACCCTCCTACTCTCTCCGGCAACCCTCCCGCCGCCCTCGCACACCTCCAATCCGTCCTCTTCCCGCCAAACCAGGTCAACAAGCAGTCACCGTTTCTGCAACAGGTCATGCTCCTTGCGCAGAACGGACGCTTGTCGCCCGAGCAGATGGCGATGCTGAAGCAGGCGGTGACGCTGAAGAACGGCTCGCAGGGTGAGTCGGCGATTCCTGCGGACGAATGACAACCTGCGCAGGGCGCGCTTTCCGCTGCACGCGTTGCGTGTCGAAGTCTCGCACGAGTCTCTGACGCCCTGCTTGCGCCCCGCAGCTCAACAGCAGCAACAGCAGCAGCAGCAGCAGTATCAGCAGCAGGGGCACCCGCAGGCTCAGCAGCAGATGCAGGCGGCGCAGATGGCTCAGCAGCAGCAGCAGGTCCGCCAAGTACCTCAGCAAGGCCAGCAGCCCGGCGGTGCACCGGGCGTGCCGAATGAGCAGAACGCGACCCAGGCCGTCCAGCAGCTTCGCAACCGCGTTCACCACATCGAGGCGCTCCTCTCGCGACCAGACGTCAACGAAGAGCAGCGAGCCAAGATGCAGCTCGAGCTTGACAACGCCCGGACGAACTTGACGCGCGTCGTCAAGATGCTGCTCGCAGCGCAGGCTCAGCAACAGGCGGCGCAGGGCGGACAAGCGGGTGCGGCGGGCGCAGCGAACCCAGCGGCGGGGGGAGGTGTGCCAGGCGGTGCACCGGTCAATATTGCGAACCTGCAGGAGGCGCAGCGGCAAGCGATGGCGCAGAAGGCTCGCGAGATCCAGGCGGCTCAGCAGGCGAACGGCGGGTTCCGGACAGCGAGTCCGGCCCAATTCCCCGGCCAGGCGGGACTCGGCGCGCAGGGCATCCGCCAGTCGCCGTCGATGGCGGGACAGCCGCTTCCTGCGGTTCCTGGTGGAGCAAGTCCGCAGGCCAAGGCGGCTTCGCTGCAGAACCAGGCGGCGATCGCGGCGGCGCAGGCTCAGCAGCAGCAGGCGGTGGCGGCGGCAGCGGCGAGCGGGAAGAAGCTTACGAAGAAGCAGCAGGCCGACATCCATGCGCTCTCGCAGCAGCAGGCGGCTCAGCAGGCTCAGGCGCAGTCGCAGGCTCTCGCACAGGCTCAGTCGATGGTGCAGGCGCAGGCGGTCGCGAACCAGCAGCGGCAAGCGCAGGGCGGATCTGCGCCGGGCTCAGCAGCGGCCGGCTCGTCGTTCGCACCGGTCGGCTCGTCCGGCATGGCCATCACCTCGTCCCTTTCGATGCAGGCGCCGACCCCCGAGACCTTCCCTGCGCCTCGACCAACGCTTTCTGGCGGTATGGCGAACAACCCCTCCATCTCGACGCCGGCCATCACGAGGCCGCCGACGGCAGGAAGCGATGCGTTTGGCGGTGCGAGCGGAGTGGGAAAGATTGAGGCGCTGCCGAACAAGGATATGCGGCCGGACGACTCGCAAGGTCGGACGGTCAGCAAGCGGAAGATCAGGGAGCTGGTCGAGAGCATCGACCCGGAGGAACGGTTGAGCGACGAGGTCGAGGACGTGAGTCCGCCTATTCACTCTTCACAAGAGCGCACCTTCTCACCGGCGACTTACCGCAGCTGCTCCTCGAGATCTGCGACGAGTTCATCGACTCGGTGACGCGGTTCGGCTGCCAGCTCGCGCGACACCGCAAGTCGGATCGTCTCGAAGTCAAGGACCTCGCGCTGCATCTTGGTGCGTTCCCTTCTTCCTCGGAAGCTCGGCTTTGCGCCTCGGTGGTATCGCTGATGCTGAGAACCGGCCTCTCGTCGCAGAGCGATCCTACAACATTCGCGTCCCCGGCTTCATGCCCGAAGAGACTCGTCAGTCGGGCGCTCGTCGTGTCAACCTCCCTCCAGGACACGCAGCACGGCTGGCGGCGATCAGGGAGAGCGGGCGGAAGCGGTGAGGCGGGACTGGCGGGACTTGGAGGCGAGACGAGGCAGCAGTCTAACTTGCACGCCGCGCGAATCGTTCGCAGGCTCGCAATGTACACACGCGGTTGTCGTACGCGCAAAGACAACCAAAGCAGATGCTTTCGGCTCTTCTGCCTTGCTCGCCATCGACCTTGCGAAGGTCGTCGACGAGGTCGGCGCTCGAATCTCGTCTCCGCTCTCGCTCTGGCATCGTTTCGCGCGTTCTCTCGAAGGTAGAGCATCCACTCTCCGTCTGTTCGCCCTGCGCACGCGGCGTTGCGACGCTTTGACCCTTCCCCACCTAACTCGCCTCTTCCTCCTCCTCTTCGCTCACTCTGGTCGCACGGCTGCTACGATGGCTGAGACGTCTGAGGCAGTGTTTCAACAGCCTGTTCCACCCGCTGCGGCCGCCTACAAGCTCGCGCCCCTCTTCCAGCATAAGGATCCGCCCGTCGAGAAGTACGCGCCTTACAAGCCCAACCTGGACTGGGTAAAGCAACCAGAGCTGTGGCTGGACGACTGGGGTGCGTTACCGTTCTCTTTCTTTCACGGCATGCGCTGACGGGACGAGCGGGCAACAGAACTGTACAGGGCAGACGATGTTCAGGAGGGCAAAGACCGGCTCTCCTCGCTGCCGGCGGAGATCCTCCTCATGGTGAATCCCCTGACGCTTTATGGAGCAGTCAAGCCGCATCGCCGACCACGACTCGACGCCGTTCGCAGATCATCTCGCACCTCACCCCTGGCTCGCTCGTCGCCGTCTCGCGCACCTCCCGCTTTCTCCGCTCCCTCACCTGCACCAAGCGTGCCGAACCAGTCTGGACGGCAGCGCGTCAGCGACGAGGATGGCCAGACTTGGAAGCCGGCGGTCTGAACGAGGTCGAGTCTGCGAAGCTGGTCGAGGGCGAGTTTTGCTGCGTGAGTCTCGGGCCCTACTCTTTCAGTTTGGATGTACTAACGTTGCACGATAGCTTTGCGGCGAAGCAGAGCGTTGCGAGAAAGGGGATGACTGCGATTGTAGCGACTCGGTCCGGCGAGACTTTCGCGTTCGTACCGTGCTCTGCAGCGACTGCGCGGCCAAGTGAGTTCCGGCAAGATCTCCTCAACACGTGCGCGCCGTTAACGCTTGATACGAGCCAGTCTAAAGCCCAGTGAATCCATTTCGGCGGAATACTGGTATCTGCATCCTCTAACGTTCGAGTGCTGTCTCTCGACGCACAGTTCGTTAGCCCGTTACTTCCCTCGTCTCTGCGGTACTGACCTCCCGCTTTCTCAGCCAATTCGGACGGCTCGCGCATTATGCGTAAAGAAAATCGTGAGCGATGGCCTTTCTCGCATGTGCGACTTAGACTAATGGGCGGTCAAACAGATCTTTACTTCGTCCCTCAAGTCCTCAAGCAATCAGCCGCGCTCTACGACGCCGAAGCCGACGCCGCAGGTCAAGACAAACTGCTTTCGTTCGGTTCGGAAGTCTATACCATCAAGCGACGTGCCTTCCTGGATGCGGTCAAGCTGGACGCGTACTTCTTGAAGGCGAACGCGGTCACCCTTCGCTGCGATGATGAGGAGGAGGAGGAACGCATGAAGAAGCTACGAGTGGAAAAGTGCGTCCGCTTCCGTACTAGACACTGTCTCGATACTGACGTCTCCCCACCAGAAGACTCGACGACAAGTTCTCCTCCCTGGGACTTGGGCCTGCAGAGTACGTCGCGCTTCTTCCGCTTCACGCACTCTTCCTCCCATCCTTCTCGGGTCTTGATGTTCTTCGCACGAACAGCTTCGCAGACATCGGCAAGACCAAGAGCTGGTGCATGGCCTGCATCGAGGAAGACTATGACGCGGATATGAAGCGCTGGGAGGACGAGCAGCGGGCGAAGGGCATTTCCGAGGAAGAGGAGGAAGCCGAAGCATGGGAGGAGGAAGACGAGAACACGCGCTGGGAGCGGACCTTCGCGGAGATGCTCGCCGCATGGCACGGCGACTGCATCCCGGCACCGTGCCACCTTACGGAGACGTCCCCGTTCGAGGGGGACCATCGCGAGCTATGGTTTCACGAGGGTACGCTTAAGCTTTTCATCTAAGACGTCGAAGCTGACAGAAGACATCTCACTAGACTGGCCACACTATCGAGGCGCCATCATTGAGTACGCACGTCGGAACCAGCACAAGGCTCGCTGGCAAGCAGCACAAGACGCTCGCAGACGCCGCAAGGAGGAGATGGAGACGCTCTTTGTCGGCTTACGGACGAGCTGTCGCGAGGAACACCTCGGCTTCTTCGTCGCCTTGTCGACTTTCCTCGACTTTCCCGAGGTCAAGGCGTTGTGGTTTCCCGACAACGGCGTCGGCGTGAGCGCCGTCGAGCTAGAGTCATAGCCTCGAGTCCGCCAGCAGATCCTCTCCCGCATTGCCAAGTCCGACCGACTCGCCACGATCCAGCTCTTTGACCGCATCGCCCGCTCCCTTCTCAACGATGGGCAGCGTCTCGGCGATTTTGCCTCGTTCGTACTCGACGGCGAACCTTCCCCCTTCGTTGACTCGGACCGGTCGAAAGGCCTCGCGCCGTACCACAGCGCGTTGAGCGACGACGACATGAATCCCGTCTTCGACCGCCTCGCCTCGCTCTTCCGCTGCGGCGTCTGCTCCGCCAAGCTCACCTTCCCCGCCATTGCCATTCACCTCGTCGACGAGCACGGCCTTACGAACGTCGCGGCATACGCGCACGTCCCGATTCCTTCCTTTAGGAAGGCCATCAAGAAGCTGCTGGAGCGGCGCCTTTTGCCGGCTGACATCTCGCCTGCGAGGTTCAAGGCGTACCACGGCGGCGCTCACTTTCACGTCACGATGCGGACGAAGACGGGCAACCTCGAGATGAGCCTGAATGAGACTTGGGCACAAGTCGTGAGTCCTCCGCGAGAGCTTCTCGGTTCCTCCTCCCTTTACTCACCTGCTCTGCACTTTCTCGATTCGTTAGCTCTCCGGCAAGTCCCTCGCCGAACGCCATGCCGCCTGGCACAAGCTCGACTACACCTCGACTGACCGCGACATCGCCAAGATCGAGTTGTCATACGCCTGCGTCTAACCGGAGGCAGAGGCTTAGCGGCGAAGCTGTCTGAGCAGGAAGACGGAATGTAGCTAGCATCGCTTAAGTAGGACTCGGTTGTACTCGTCGAGATCGCGTCTACCTTCCAGCTATCCTTCCAGCATCGAGAGAACTGAAGTAGAACGGAGCTCCTACTTCTCCGTCCTCGCTGGCGGTGGTACAGCTGAGTATCGATGCTAAGATTGCGCAATGCGAGCGGGTACAGCCTTTTCCCCCTCCTCCCCTTCCCGTCTCCTGACCGAAAGCGTGAGAGGCGTCTATTGCGGACCGCTGGGCTCGTCGTTGCCCTTGAGGGATGATCGGCCGGCGCGCTGCGAGAGAGAGAGGAGCGTCAGCAGCGGAAAGGAAAGGACGAGACAAGGAAGGGGAAGGAGACGCACCATCATCTCGTCGGTGATGAGGAGGTTCGAGGCGATGACGGCACTGCAGATGGACTGCGGGTGAGCTGCTTCGTGTTCTTCGACCTTTCGCACGAACGAACGCGTCGCGGAGCAGAGCTAGTCGTCAAGGGATCAAGTCGAGAGAACGCACGCAGAGTGGATCATGTGCCTCTTGACGCGGTAGTTGTCCCAGACGCCCTCCCTGCGCGTCGAGCACGGTGGTTCGTCAGCATCGGAAATAGCGTCTGAAGCGCAAGGAAGGTGCTCACGTCACAGGGTCGAGAGGTTCGCCTGTTGCGAGGTCGAGGCCAACGACGTGGCCGTCCGCAGCTTCGTCCTGTGCAAGTCAGACAACCAGGAGCACAGTGTCAGCTCGTCTGCTGCGAGACGAGTCGCTCGACTTCGTGGTCGCCCACACGCACCTGCAACGCCACGATCGCATCCTGCACGTCCAAGCCCGCATTGACCGCCAACGTCTTCGGGATAACCAACAGCGCATCCGCAAAAGCCTGCACACCGAGCTTCGCACGGCCCTTGGCTTCGTTCTTCTTGACGTCCTCGACGAGGTGTCGGTGCGCGGCGATCTCGAACGCGCCGGCACCGGGGATGAGGGACGAGTCTTCGAGGGCGTTCTTGACTGCGCGAAGGCCGTCGCGGATCGCGTCGGAGATCTGAGAGATGGTGTGTGCGTTGGGGCCTGTGGGAAATCGCCGCGGACTACAATCAGCCCCCGTCTCGCTCATGCAAGACCTACTGACAAGTCCCAACAGCCAGACTCACCCTTGACGAGCATAGTGACGCTCTTGGGCTCCTTGACCTCCTCGACGAATGTAAACTTCTCCTCGCCGAGCGTGTGCTCGTAGACGAGTCCGGCGTGGCCGAGAACGTCGGGCGTGAGGTCGTCCACCGAGTTCTGCGCCGTGCCGCCGCAGACGAGCTGGAGCCTGTGTGAGCAAGCCGCAGCACTCGAGTCAGTCACGCCGCCTCAGGAGAGAGGAAAGAAAGACGAGAGGCGGTTGCACGAACGCACCTCTCCATGTTCCTCCGCTTCGCCCGCCTCAGCGCCATGATTCCCTGCTTCGCGAGCATGTCCAACGAGAGGGGATCGATACCCTTCTGGTTGATGACGACAAAGTTCTTGACCTCGCCCACCGGGTTTCCTTCACCGTCGAGCTTTTGGTCGCAGACGAGACGCTTGAGTTCGATGATCTTGCGGACTTTGGCGTCGGTGAAGCGGCGCTCGGACTCGACGAGCTTTTCGCGCTGCTCGGCGGACGAGTAGAAGAAGCCCGAGTTGACCTCGCTGCGTGCGGCCGGACCTGGTCAGTGCGAGCGACGCGGGGAACGAGAGTAAAGAGGAAGCGCAGACGCACGTCTTCTCGTACTCGAGCGAGACGTTGAGGGTGAGGATGAAGCAGTTCTCGAGGCGCTTGGGCATGTCAGGATGGCGGGGTCCGTGATCCAGCACCAGTCCCTTGACGAGCCTCGTGTCCGAGTCGGTCATGTGCTGCATCTTCATCAACTCGACCATGTGCAAGTCGACGGGCTCGAACTGGCCCTCCTTGCCTGGAACAGCCGAAGGCTGGCGGATCGCAAGGACCGCATCGACGACCGCCTGAGCGAGCGACTGCGCAAGCGACTTGTGGACCTTGGTGGCGAGACTGGTGAAGGCGACCTGGACGAGGGTCTCGTGCGAGGGAGTTGCGGGGGTGGAGGAGGACGAGGCGAGGGGCACTTTGAACGAGTCGAGGAACGAGGTGAGGGCGTTTTTGGCGACTTCGAAACCGTCGGCGAGGACGCGGGGGTGGACGCCTTCGGACGTGTATCGCAGGGACTGGTTCAAGAGTTCGCCTGCAGGGGTGGAACCGCCATTGTGAGCGAAAAAGAGGGTAGGACGAGGGGAAGCGGACGCACCGACAAGGAGGACAACACTGGTCGTTCCGTCTCCGGTCATCTCATCCTGCGCGACCGCCGTTCGTGCAATCAACGCCGCCGTAGGGTTCTGTGCACAGATTCCACCCAAGAATCAGCTCACGCAGGCTCAAGTCCGCTGAAGCGAGTGAGGAAGGGGTGCGCACCTGGATCTGCATCTCGCTGAGGAGGACCTTTCCGTCCTTGGTCATCTTGAGCTGTCCTGAGCCGTCCACCAGCATTTTCAGGGTGCCCCTCGGACCTGTGTAGCGTTCGAGAGATGAGCGAGATCTGGTCAAGTGAGGAGGACGCGACAACGCACCCAAGTTGGACTTGACGACATTGGCGAGTCCGAGTGCGCCCGTGCAGTTCAGTTGGAATGCCTGCTCCCTCCTTGCGAGGTCTGCGCGCGGGTTGAGCAGCTCGAGTGCGCTCGACCTGGTGAGGGAGCGTGAGGAGGTGTCAGCGCGCGCCTGTTTCGCTGGCGGGTTCGCCTGGGCGTGTCTGCCAGTCCGACAGTATCCCCTGGTGCACTCACATTGTGCAAGTGCGAGATTGAGCAAGTTGGCGGGTGTCGACCTCACTCTCCCGCTCCTCTCGACGCGTCCATCTCTCGACTTGCTCTCACAGTCGCTCTTGTGGCTCGTGCTGCGTGGGACAGACTGGACTGGGCATGGCATCGACATCAGGGCTGTCTCGCAGGCGCGGCGCACAAGGAGCAAAGCCAGAAGGAGGCGCTCTCGCCCCGTCGTCCACTCAACCCTCGCTCTCGCCCTCACACTCGAGGCCGACGTCTCCGCTGAGCGCACCCGGACAGCCGTCGAATGCCAGCCCCGTCGGACACAAGGTCGCGTACGACGAGCGCGACCTGAACAACTCGGAGGACGAGAGGGTCAACCCGCGACTGACGCTCATGGAGGAGGTCCTCTTGCTCGGGTTGAAGGACAAGCAGGCGAGTCCTACCCTCTCATCCGTCTCAGGCCAGTCATCTTGCGCGCAGAGGGCGAGGACGAGGTCCCGACACTCAATGTGCTGGCGTTCGGCCGGCAGTGGGGAGGCGAGCTGGGAACTCGCGCTCGAGATGGGCGGGCGCATCGACAGCTTGGACGAGCTTCGCTTGAGCGTACAAGAGTTCTTGGCGGGATGGCACGCTGACCCAGCATCTTCCTCCCACAGGGCTACCTCTCCTTCTGGAACGACAACATCTCGTACACTCTCCGCGGCTGCATCGTCCTCGAACTCGCACTGCGACACCGAATCGCCATGGTGCGGGACCCGAATCGGCGTCGGTTTCCCCTCGCAGACCGGTGCGTCTTCCCCGTTTACCTTCCGAGGATCTAGCTGATGGGAAGTGCTGCGCAGGTACATCGAGGTGATTGACGATAAGTTGACGGGAGAAGTGTTGCTTGACGAGGCGCTCAAGATGATGAAGGTGTCGGAGCGGATGAGCGTTGGGACCTGGATCGACCTCATGAGCGGTGCGCAGCCACTCAAGCTCCCCCGCGCCAAGCTCGGCTGACTCCTCGCTCGACGTCGCAGGCGAAACATGGAACGTGATGAAGATCGGTTACCAGCTGAAGCAAGTGCGCGAGCGACTCGCAAAAGGCCTGGTCGACAAAGGTGTCCTGCGAACCGAGAAGCGCAACTTCCTCCTCTTCGACATGGCGACGCACCCCGTCTCGGACCCAACCTTCAAAGACGACGTCCTCCGACGGACACTCTCGCTCCTCACCTCCCGCACCGCCGCAGTCCCGACTTCCAACATGTACGGCGACGAAGTCCGGTACCGCACCATCCGCGCCGTCTCGATGGTCTGCGCCGCGTTTGCCGCAAACGTACTCGAGAACGCACTCGTCCACCTATCGTACGACCAGCGCGAAAACGCTTTCGCAAAAGCGGACGAACTCCTCGCCGACTTTTCGCAGTGGCCGTTCGGCGCGTACGGGCCTTCTGGGATCGCGGGAGGAGGGATGGGAGGAGGAGTTGCGGGTGGGGCGGTAGGAAGCAAGACGAGCGGGACACGACCAGGCGGGATCGCGACAGGCGGGAGTGCATCGAGCGCAGAGTCGGCCAACCTCGCCGAGATCATGCGCCTTGCGAGACTTGAAACGGTCGGACAGGGAACGGGCGACTCGCCGGGTGGGGCGGAGAAGCAGACGCAGAGGGAGTTGTGCCTTGAGGTCGTCGCGGCGTGTGTCGAGGTGTTCCGGAGGATGGACAGCTTGCTCTGAGCCAGCGCGACGGCTTACGAGACGGTGAGTTTGGCGTTCCTTGCAGCCCGCCTCGGCGTCTTGCTCACGTTCTTCGCGCTCGCAGGAGAGACCAGCGACCGGCCCCAACGTCGCCTATACCCTCACTTCTCCGCCTCGCCGGCTCCATCCTCCTCCTCCTCCTTCTTCGCCTCATACAGTTTCACTCACCCCGCTACACTCCTCTACGTCTCGGCATCTTCTTCATTCGCCTTCCTTGCCCCTCTGTCGTTTCTCTCCGTTCAAAGCCGTATTCCATCCGTTTTGGTTGCAGTGGTCCTCCTTCTCCCCTTTTTTCTCTTCTCTCGTTCGCCCTCTCCTCTCTATTGCGCCGAGACGACGCAGCCGCTAGCTACCCTTCCTGCCATGCGAAGCAAAACCGTGTTGCGTCCCGCAAGCTGTTTGGGGTTCCTTGAGCGGAATGAGCTTTCGATGAGACGCGAACAGTAAGGGAAGCTTGCGATGAGCTCTGCAGAAGCGGATGAGATGAAGAACACCCCACGTCTCGAAGTCCAGAGTGCGGAACAAGCGAAAGCGTTTGGATTGACAACAAGCGACGCCCTCCTTCTCTTCTCCTCCTTCGTGCAGTCGAACTACGCGTCCTCGTCGCTGACGCTGGCGGTCGAAAGCTTGATCCCGACGATGTCGCGGTCAGTTGAGTACGAGAGCTTGAGGCGGCTTGCGTCGAGTTCGGCGGGCGATTTGCCGGAGAGCTGCAAGTCAAGGATCGTAGAGAGGATTTCAGGGCTAGCAACAAGAGGGAAAGGACGGAACGCACGACCTGCGCCCACGTCTCGCCGACGCTCGTCTCAAACTGGCCGCTCGCCGACCTCATCGTGACGTCGAAGTCGCAGTCGGCGTAGAAGAACTCGAACGCCGCGAGCTCGAGTTGCAAGCTGTGCCCGAGGTCGTCGAGCAAACTCTTGATGGCCTTCCTAAAGTCACTGCTCGGGACGTGCGCGTACGCCGGGACGTTGGGGACGTCGTGATCGTCGACGAGGTGAATCGCAATGTCCGGGTAGGGGAGCTTGGTCGAGCAGATGCCACAGCGGAAGAGGGAGGTGACTTGCGCGAAGAGCGGGTCCATGTCGCGGTCCGTCAAGGCGGCGTGAAGCGGTACGAGGCCCTTCGACGGGTCGCAGTCGATGAACGGCGACGAGGAGGAGGAGGCGATGGGCTTCATGGTGGTAGACGGCAAGACGCCGTTGTCGGCGACGTGCGCACGAACGATGCGGTCGAAGAGGACGACCTTGTCGAGCCGAATGCGGGTACAGATCTCGCTCAGGATCTGCGGCTCGAGAGGCGGCCATCCGCGAGCGTCGATGAAGGCGTTCGCGGGGTACCAGAGCGTCTCGACGGTCGGAAGGGCGAGGAAGATTGCGAAGGAGATGGGGATGCTGGCGCGGGCAGAGGTAGCAGAACGCTTCGGGGGTTGGAGGCGGCCGAAGAGCGGTCGCAACGCCTCCTGGCGCTTCTGTCGTGCATCGTGTGCCGCAATTTCTTCGCGCCAGATGCGATCGAACCGCCGACGGTGGACGCACGCGACGATTGGCGACTTGTACTTCTCCCACTCTGTCGCCGCTTTGTTAGCTGTGTCAGCTGGCCTTTCCGAAGGAAAACGCACCTTCGTCCGTCAAGCGCTCGTCTGATTGGAAAAACTGGTAGAGCGAGGCGGGGCCGGGCATGCAATCAGTGTGCAAGTCAGCCAACATGGCGGCCATCTTCTCCTCCCTCGCCTGTTCCCTGAACTCTCCCAGCTTCTGCTCAAGCGACGGGCCTCGTATAATTGCGCCTCCAACCCTGACTTGCGCGCCTTGCGCGTCGGAGGTGGTCGTCGACATAGCTTGATCCTGCGTTTGAGGCTCCTCGTCGTGGGTGTCGAGAATCAAATCTTCCTCATAATCCTCCCACTCAGCCAGATCGTCGTCGTAGCTCTGGTACAAGCAGCTGCTGCACCAGCTTCCGTCGAGGTGAAGGGTGTCGAAGCTGGTCGTGCAGCGGATTCAGTCAGGCGTTCCTTGTATCGTCGCTCAAGATCACTTACTCTGCAGCGACGAAGCCGAGTGCGAGAAACCTTTTGCTGATGCTGCAGAGCGAACGTCAATGAGCGCTCGGGTTACTTCCGAGTACGCATGATAGCAACGTACTCGGCTCGACGCAGACTCTTGCGCAGCGCTAACTTGCTGTCCGCCTGATCTTGCAGCCACCTCCGGTGGTTCTCCCAGGCACGCGCATCTTGCTTTGCGCAACGCCGGTATTGCGCACGCGAGACGACGTAGGCTTCGCTGACCGTTTGTGGCGACTGATTCTGCGCGATCGCCTCCGCTTCCAGCCTGTGAAGCTCGGCCGACTGCTTGAGGACGTCGGGGACGAAGAGAATGGCTGGACGCGCGCGCGAGAGTCGGCTTCCCCGTCAGGCCGAGCAGGATCGAGACAACGCACAATCTTCACCACGAGCCAGATCGCTCGTCATGTTGGGCCATGTCTCTGTAGCGAACACAAGAACGATATCAGGGGTTGAGTTAAGCCGCGGTTGTGCTTTCAAGGCTTTGAGGGGATGGGCACGCACTCCGGGTTGACAAACAACATCCGAAAGCGCGCGGGTGCAGGTGCCAGTACTCCGCCGAGATGCTTTCCCCCTTGCGACGCCTGTGTACGGTCCTTGAAAAGTCAGTGGGATACGTGGATGAGGAACGAACGAAAGCGCGAACAAGTTCGCTATGCAGGGGTAGCAAAGACGAACTCGCAGTCGGAAGTCGTTGTACGGGTAGGCATGAGTTTGGCAGACCTGTGGGAAAGTCTCCGTGGGTCAAAAGTGCACAAGGGGCAGCAGACATAGAATCTACGCACGGTACAGTCACGTCCGTCGAGGAGGTTTGCCAGCTGAACCTCCGTCAAGCCGCCTGCTTCCGAGTCCTGCCAGCCTTCGCGCCTCCTCACGTTCGCCCAGATCGACTCCGCGCTTAGTGAAGACGAGCGAGCGGAAGAACCGCGAGACGCGCGATAAGGCGAGGAGCGAGCCAGGCGTGAAGTGCGAGGCGATCTGCGCCGCCGTCCTCGAGCTTGTCAGTGTCGCTGTCCTATGTAGACGGAAAGCGAGCGACTCGCCATCATGATGATCTCCACCGGTAAGCACGAGATCCTGTCCGTTGTATCCTTGTTCTTGACTTCGTCGTCCTTGACGTCCGACTCTGCGCAGCCCAGGTGTTCGCGTCAGCGCCGAACTGCCCTATCAGTTGCCAGACAGCTTTGTGAGACTGTGCATCCTAACGCAGCCATTCCTCGATCCAGCTCCGGTCAGGCGGTTCGTACGGCGGGCGAACTGGCTTCGCCTTCTCGAGGAAGACGGGCGCAAGCTTGCAGGCGGTCGCGGCGGATGCAGTAGGGTGCTTAGGCGTCGTGTCGACCGTCTCAGCCATTGTAGCGCGGTAGCAAGCGAGAGCGAGGGAGGTGAAGGAGGGAGAGAGTCGCGATGAGGGCGGGGAAGGGTCAAAGCGTCGCGCGAACGTCGACTTCGAAGAATGCGCCGAGACAAGTCGATACAGTGAGCGCAGGGACAGCAAACGTGAGCCAAAGCGAGGGGAAGCGGACGAGAGAGCGTCGTCGACGACCTTCGCAAGGTCGAGGAGAGTCTCCGTCGAGCCGTTCTCACCCTTGAGCGCGTCGCGAGTCTGTTCAATGCTTGGATACAAACCTGAGCATGCCTCGATAACCCACAAGCGCCGCCCAATCGTCGAGACGGCCAGAAACGCTGAAGGTGTCTTCGACTTGCCGCCCTTTTTCGGTCCGCCTCTACCGGGGACCTTGACGAACCGAGCTGCTGTCCACCACCGGTAAGAACAAAAGAAGGAGGGGCTGCGACGGCGCAGGTGAGGTGAGGATGTGAAAAGCGGCAGAAGAGGAGGGGAAGGGAAGGAAGGCTCAAGTTAGTACGACGCCATCGAACGTCAGACAGCGAACGAACCTCACCCACGATACTGATCTAGTAGTAGCTCGAAATGTTGAGGTTGAGGTACGTCTTGAGCGGCTCCTCGAAAGCAGTGCGGATCTCGTCGTTCGTCTTGTTGAGCGCGAGGAGGACCTGCGGCAAAGGCGTCGTGAGTCGGGCAAGATACGACGGAAGGTCGGCGCAGACGGACCTGGAGCTGCCTGCGCGACTTGACGGGGTTGAGCGAGCCAGAGGCAATCGTATTCGGGTAGTCGCCGGGCGTGACGAAGCCTAGAAGAGCAGCGTAAGCATTCTACGCGACAATAGCAAGCTTCGATCGCTAATGCGTCACGCACCGACGTTGATCTTGGTCGAGCGGACGACCGGAACGCCCTTCGAGACGGTTGCATCGACGTTGCTAATGCCGGCATCGGTGAGCGATCCCGCGCCCGTTCCAGCGATGACAACTCCCTTGGCGCCATTCGCGACCGTCGTGTTGAGGAGCTCAAAGTCGGCGCCTTGGTAGCTGTAGAACATCTCGACGTGCGGGAGCTCGGTGACGTTCGAGATATCGTAGACCTGCTTGAAGGTCGGCTTCGAGGCGCCCATGTAGTAGAAGGGCTTGTCAGAGAGGAGGCCGCCGATGTAGCCGGGTTCGGGCGAAGCGAAGGTGTTGAGCGTGTTGGCCTACGGAAGGAAGGGTTAGCTCGGCAACACTCAGCTCCGACCGTCAGCGGCACTCACCTGAGTCTTCTCGCAGTAGTAAGCTGCGCAAATGCGGTCGTTCAGGACGATGAGAGTGCCGCGAGCGCGCGAGTTGGGCGAGACAGCGGTGGTAACAGCTTGCAGCAGGTTATTCGGTCTGCGCGTGCAATGTCAGCGGTCGACCGATGCAGACTGAATCGCACGAGCTCACCCGTCAGCGGAGATAGCAGTACTGGGACGCATCGAGCCGACGACGACGACAGGCTTGTCGCAGCCGACGGTGATGTCGAGGAAGAAAGCAGTTTCCTCGAGGGTGTCGGTGCCTGCGCGGGTTCAAGCGTTAGGCGAGCTTGTAAGAGAGGTGCAAGAGAACGGCGGACCGTGAGTGATGACGCTGCAAGATAGGTAGTCAGGTTTGCTTCTCAAGGGGCGGCAAAAGTTGATCAACGCACACGGCATCGTAAGGCGCATCAGCCGCGCAAAGCGCCTTGTTCGCGAGCTTGGAAAGGCGGAGAGCGATCTCGTCCGTCAGACTCTGCGTCGGGACGTTCGTAAGCAGGTCAGCCAGCGATTCGACTGGACGAAGCGAAGGCGTGCGCACCTCTGAGCCGACGTTCGAGACCTGCATGCCGTCGATGTTGGAAACACTGTGCACCACGACTCATCAGCTCGCTCGACGCAGCGGTTTGCGCCGGACGCACTTGAGCAACTGAGGAACGGCCTGGACGAGCACGCCGATTCCGACGACGCCGGCGGTGTAAGCAGTCGAGTCAGTCGCAGAAGAAGACGAGCCAGCGATCGTTCCTCTGCGCAACTCGTCGTCAGCAAGCGTTCAAGCATACGAGGAAGGGGAACGCACCCAGTTGCGAGAATAAGCGTCTTCGGAAGGTGCTCGGTATAATTGCTCTTGTAGGTGACGTTAAATTCGACGCTCGTCACGGGCGCACGTTCGACGAGCGAGCGTCCGACGAAGGAGGAAGCGAGAGGAGCGGCCGAAGTCGTACCGAGGAGAGAGGCGGCAGCGGCGAGGGCGAGGGAGGCTTTGGCGAACATGGCGGGTCGAGGCGGAAGGTCGAGAAGCGAGACGAAGCACAAACGAGAGAAGAAAGCAAAGAAGCGCGGACGAAAGCGGGGCGCAGGTCGTCAAAAGATCCCACTCCTCGAAACGCCGGGTAAAGATAACCAGCTCGTCTCGTGCGAGAGATAGTCTCGATCTGGCAGTACGAACAGCGTCGGCATGCATGGGTCCACGGGCGCCGTCGGCCGTGCGGCTCATCGCGGAAGATGAGCGGAAAGCGGGCGGAAGCGATCGATGCGAGATAAGCCAGGTGAAAAGTTTTGCCGGCAGCGAAGGAGCTGTAGCGACAGGAAGTGTTAGTGACGAGGCGAAGCAAGCGAAGGAATGAGGAGGACGAACCAGCCCGTCGAACGGAGCGGAGTCCGAGAGATCCGCGCACCTCGTCGTCGACTTTAACGACGATCCTCGACAGGGATATCTGCAATGCGGACTTACGCGGCGGGATAGTCTAGTACGGCGGGATGGGAGCACAGAAACAACTGGATATGTACAACGATGCGAGCGAGAGACGACTGCTAGGGAGCTGCGAGAGATGCCGCGACCGAGACGGACCAGTCGGACATGGCCTTCCAGTGGAGCCAGACGGCGGCGACGATAGCTGCGAGAAGGACGTCAGCGTGCTGATTGACGAGAGAGCGGGAGCGCACGCACCGATATGCCAGAGTTGATGCGATGCGCCGATATGCCAGTGGCCGGGGGCACAGCACTCCGGGAACTGGGCAAGACGAGGTTCAGCGTCGCTTCAGACGCACAGAAGCGCAACTTCGAGCTCACCTGGTTCGCATAGAAGGAGAGGCCGATGAGGTATGCGACGACGGAAGGAATAGCCGGGCCTGCGAGGACACGACTCGTCAGCAAGCTGCGCCTACAGCGACGGCAGACCCGCAACGCACTGTAGAACCACAGCGTCTCCATCCCTCCATAGATCGCCGCCCTATGCGCAATAGGCGCAACCGCGCTCGCAGCAAGCGAGACGAAGAAGGCGATCCGCCAGCTCTTGTACTTGCGCTCGTTGAACCACGATTGCCAGGGGACGATCATGCCTGTGACGCCGATGACAAAGTTGAAGCACATGTAGGAGGCGGCGAGGGCGGGATGCGAATAGAAGCCGTAGTACTGTCCGAGCGAGAAGGAATCAGCTTGGCTTCCGCAATGAGGGAGGAAATCGTACTCACGGTCGCTCCAGCAACAGACGCAGCAATCAGACCCGAGATACCGACGTAATCGACACACGCGGCGCCGCGGAACCAATGACTCGTCGCGCAGCCCGACATGAGGTGCCAAGTGGTGGAGCAGAGCAGGCAGTGCATGGCGGAGAGGACGAAGAGGACGGCGATGGCGGTGTCGCCTGGGTGTGGGTCGGCGAGTGCGTGAGGCGAGGAGGTCGAGAAGAAGAGGTAGTATACAAGGAGGACGACGAGTGAGAGCGCGCCGAGGAAGCTGCAGGGTTGCCGGGTCAGCTTCGTCCGTTTCGAGGTAAGAGGGAAGCGACGCACTGCGACTGGATGTTGATCGTCTCGTTGTGCCAGGTGAACATACTGCGAAGCAGCGTGCCCCATTGCTCGATCGGGATATAGCGGTACCTGCGCGCACTCGCTCGTCAGTCCCAGCTCTGTGGCGAAAGAGCAGCGCGATCGCACCCAGTGAGGATATGCTCATTGTTGCGCCACTCGGGCGGCAACTCCTCATACCTCAACAACCTCTCCCTCCCAATCTCGAGCGCAGCATGATACATCCTCATCGCCTCGTCGACAACCGCATGCGACTGGTCCTTGACATAGGCCGACAACTCTGCTGCACCGTCTTGGACTGCGTGCAAGCCGGCAGAGAGCGAGCCGGCCGTGTCGTCTTTCAACTGTGAGACGGCGTTCGAGAGGCGCTTCGATTCGGCGGAGAAGTAGGAACGGAGGTCGGAAAAGTCGGAGAAGGAGGGTGTGGAGGGCATCGAGGACCGGAGGGAGGCGGAGATGTAGGATGCGGGGTCGGCGGAAGAGGCGGACGATGCGAGCGAGGCGAGGGCAGCGCGGAGGGTGCCGAGTTCGGTCGAGACGCGGGTGAGGACGGCTTGTGCGGAGGAGGCGGCACGTGAGCGGAGGCTTGAGGCGGGGAGGGAGGGGAGAGGGTGGTCGGCGAGGAAGCGGTCGAGTCCTGCGCGAGCGTCGGGCGACAGCTCGAACTGGAGGTAGGCCGACTCGTCCGCTTCGAGCGAGGGCAACTCATCGCGCATGGCTTCGAGGAAGCTCGACGCGCTCGAGATGAACGCTTGCAGGGCGCTTATCTCGTCGCGGAGCTCGTCGTCCTCGTCGGCCACCTCGTCTCGTCCGGCCGGCAACATCGCCGTGCGTTCATCTGACCTCCCCTTCAGCTTCTCCACCTCGTCGCCGCTCCCACTCGACGCAGAAAGCGTGCGCGGCCGTTGCCGGCCACCCGCTTCACTTCCCTCGTCATCGTCATACTCGTCCTCCGTCTCGCCCAAACTCGTCAACCCCAAGTCCTCCAACTCGCTCTCGTCGACATACGCCTTGAGTGCCCTCAAGCTCTTCTCGGCCTCCTCGAGCTTGCCCGCGAGGTACTGCCTCAAGCTAAGCAAACTCGCCGGCAAGTCGAGCGATTCGAGCAGCGACGAGCCGTACGAGAGTGCTCGGCCGGCCGAGGATTGGACTGTCGCCGACTCGTAGAGTGACTTGGAGCGTTTTCGGTTGCTGAGAAAGACGGGAGAGGCGGAGAGGGGCGGAGAAGGGGAGGAGGAGGAGACGGCGGTGGAGGAGGCGGAACGCTGGGTCGGCGGGCGGGCGTTGCCGCGTCGTCGTACGGAGGTCATGTTCGTGGTACTCGTGTCGTCTAGTCGTCGTCTGTTCTGTCAAAGGCGGAGGTCAGCGAGAGAGTTCGGCCGGTGGTCCTCCTCGGCGAACAAGGAGATTGCCGGCTGGGCGTGCGTCGTCGCTGTCGTCGGGAGTGCCGGGCGGGTGTGTGCGCAGTCCAGAAGGGTGGCATAAGAGCTCGCAAACCGTCACGCACCTTCGGAGCCTTCTAATCGCTCGGTGCCACCCTCCGTCCTCCTCTGTCTCCGGAACGTTTGAGACGGCGCTGGCGGTGTGGGCTGCGGCTGTGGCGAGTGGGCGGCCTCGCAGGCTGCGTGAAAAGCGTTTGTGCGAGTCAGCAGCAGGTGCTTCAGGCCAGCGGAGCGTGGTGAGGTGAGTGAGTGAGGGAGAGCGAGACGAGGGACTTGGCGAGGAGGGAGGGTGGCTCACTTCGGGGTGGGTCGACTTGCGGGACTCACGGCATGAAAACAAGTTGTAGCAGCTTTCTCGGCTGTTCTCTACCCAGGAAGAGCAGCGAGAGTTGTGCTCGCAGCGGGACCACCCCCTTGCCGCGGCCGGTTGGATGGTGCGACGAGTGCAGGCCTGCTCTAGGCGGGTGAAAGTTAACCTTTCTGGCCTTTTGGCTTAGATCAAGTGTAGTATCTGTTCTTACCAGTGTGATTACTGGTAGTCTCCCATCGGGAGACTCATTCAATCACATTAATCTTTGCCCGCCGGCGCAGTCAGTTCTTGGGCTTGCCCTCCTGGCTGCCAAGATGGCCCTCTCACTCCACTCCAGAGAGGCGCTGTCGGGCTTCGACGCAAGCTTTTTTGCTACTCAACACGCTCGAGCTGTGCAGAGCGAGGACCGGGGACAGCAGAGGCGACTCGCCGGGGACGAGGAAGGCTCAAAGTGCTCCATGAAGGCGAACAACTGTGATTGCAGCGGCATAGGGTTGTGCAACTGAGGACAGATTAGCCGAGATGGATCGGTCGCCGACCTCCTGGTCGTGCTTGCGGTCGAATCTTGGGTAGAGTCCTGCTGGAGGTTGTTGCAGCGCAGCATCCTCTGGTGCCGCTGCAGGTTGTAGGGGCAGCCGCAGTGCTCAGCAATGTGCTGACCGAGTGGCAGAATAACTGGTGTGACTGCTGGAGAGACGTGTCGGACAGGGCAGAAGACGCAGGGAGGAGTGAAGGAAACGCACCTTCATGCCTCTCCGCTCAACTCCTGCTCATTGTGAGAGCCCCTCAATGAGCAAGTCTTCATGCAGGCGTCGCGACAACGGTGTCGGGCTGCGGTGCGCCGGGCTGAACGGGAGGAGCGGCGAGAAGGGCGGGCGCTGGGTGTGCGGCGGAGGCGGCGATACCGGCGGTGACTGCGTGCGAGAGGGTCAGCGAGCGTCAGAACATGGTGCAAGCAAAGATGTCAAGATTCCAAAGGTGAAAGAGAGCGAAGGAAGAGCGAGCGGCACGCACCCCAAGGCCTGCGGTCCATCGGGCACTGCTGCTTCGAGCTCTCGGTGTCGAGCCACTTCATCAAGCAGTGCATGTGGAAGACGTGCGTGCACTCGCCCCAGACTGCGCGCGAAAGGACAGTCAGCGGTTTCCAGCAGCGCCATGAGGACGAAGGGAGACGCACTCGGAGGACACCCGTCTCCAGGAACCTTGCAATCCGGACAGCAGCCGTCGAACGCGACTCGACAGATCCCACACACGTCGTCCTCGTCTTCTTCGTCGTCCTCGTCCATCGCTGCGTCCTCTCCGTCGCGAGTTGGCTGATCTGCGGTCGACACGGGCCTGAGGTTCCAGCGCCACATGGCGACGGCGTGGTAGTGATTGATGGTGATCTTCATGATGCCCGTGAAGTCGAGAGAGACTCGGCAAGCGCAGCAGCGCGAGGAGCGGCACTCTGGACGAGGGAGAGAGGCGCTCTCAAGGCTCTCAAGGTTGCTGTCCACCACGCCCGCTCACCTCGGCTAAGCTACTGTGACTTGCTAGAGCTGCTCCTTAGAGCCGAAGAGGACTGTCACTATCGATCTTCTTGCGCCGCGTCGTCTCGTCACCGGCCTGTACCCCCTCCATCTTCATCAGTCTCCAACAGCTCCACACCGCCAGATGGCCCCGTCTCGCTCCTCGTCCGCCAAGAAGGGCAAAGGAAAGGCATCAGCACTTGACGAGAATGGTCGACCACCCAAAATCAAGCGCGTCAAGGAGGTTGTCTTCGACGCAGACTCGCGAAAGTCAGTCCAAGCTCTCCGTCTCGTGTTGCTACAGCTTGCTGGGCGGTATGGACAGGTTAAGCTGACACTAGACTGTTTCGAACGCCGCAGAGAATACTTGACGGGTTTCTCGAAGCGAAAGAAGGCGAAGCAGACGGCGAGGCGGAACAAGGCGATTGAGCGCGAGAAGGAGGCACTGCGGGATATGAGGCGTCAGGCGAGTCTCCATCTCTTCCTTACTGGCTGTCGAAGCGGGTCACAGCGTGTCGGGCGCGAGTGGCAGCGTTCCGGCGTCGATCCGCGTTCGGACGGTTCTGCTGGCCTCTCGAGTACGGTCATATAGTGCTCGAACGAAGCGCTGACCCCTTCGACCCGGCCTACAGATTCGAGAGGAGCGGAAAGAGCGGGCAGCTCACAATGTCAAGGTGGCGCGCGAGATGTATGGCGGCAAGTCATCCTTCGCCCTTCCTTCCTTTTTGCTCAGCCAACTCACGCTCTTTCTATCACCGACAGACGCTGACGGAGACGCTGAGGAGGAGGACGACGACGCGGGTACTGGCAGCGAAGGGTCAAGTGACGAGGAGGGTTCGGACGAGGAGGGTCCAGCCGCCGCGTACGAGACGCCGGACGCGATGACTACGGTTGTTGTCGAATCGCTCTCCCTGTCTCGGTCACCAACACCCGAACCTCTCCCGCCCGCACCATCCGCCTCATCCGCCTCCACGTCCGCCGGCCAGCAATCCTCGTTGTACAAGAAGCGGGTGAAGAATGCGGTTCAGGCGCGGCCGAAGTTGACGCGGCAGGAGAAGAAGGATCGGGCGACAGGTGGCAAGAAGACGAAGAAGAAGATGGCGAGCAAGATGAAGGGGACCAAGGGACGGGCGAACAAGTAGTGCTCGTGCAAACTCGAGCTCGCTTTCCGCCCTTCTCGCAGTCTGCCCTGACGAGTGGCGCGCTTTCGCAATCATCGTGGTTGCGACAGGTCGATTGTGCTTGCAATCAGATCAGAGGGAAGCGGCCGAACAAGGAGATGCGACGGCGGGGAGGGAAGGCAAATCGTCTGCGATGCTATTGACAGGTGCTATAGACAAGTGTCTGCGTGTTCGCACAATACAGGTAGTGGCAACACGTGCGTAGGCCACAAGGAAGGTGAGGAGAGAAAGGAGAAGAGGGAGGAGAAGAGGATGGCGCGAGTGGACGGTCGCATGCTGGGGTTCAACAAGACATGAAGCTGCTACAAGGACGCGTAGTAAGGTGGCACAATCTAGAGCAATCACTCCGAGCCATCGCCGTACGATGGGTGGCTTGGACGACGGCGAACGGGCGGAACGGAGTCGTCGAGTCCGGCTTGCGATTCGCCATTCACCTTCGCGTCTTTAGATGAAACGCTGGGCGTCACCTCGCTAAGGCGCGATGCGGAGACGATCTTGGCGGCGCCGTCGACGGCGGAAACGGCGGCAGCCAAGTTGGGCGGATGCGGCGTCTGCAGCGTGCGGAGGATTGTCGATCGAAGGACGGCGGACCGTACGGGCTGCAAGAATTATGCGTCAACTGGTGTGGCTGGCGTAAGGAGGAGCTTATGCGCACCTTTGACAAGTAGCCGTCGGCTCCGCTCGCAAGGAACTTCTCCTGATCACCCTTGAGAGCCGATGCGGTTAGGGCGATGACCTTGAGATCGGCCACTTGCGGGTTCGCAGACTTGCGGATGCGGACAGTCGTCTCGAGGCCGTCCAAGCCGTCCATCTGGTGGTCCATCAGAACGACGTCGTACGCCTTCTTCTCGACGTGCTCGAGCGCCTCGTATCCGCTGGAGACGCTGTCGACGTTGAAGCCCACTGGGTGATGGAAGAAAAAGAGTCAACATCGAACGCAGCAATCGCCGCGAGACGGGACGCACTCTTGATAAGTAGTCGCGTAATGATGTCGCGGTTCAGCTTGTTGTCGTCAACAACGAGGACCCAGATGTCGTCACGCCGGATGTCCTCCTCGCTGGCGAGCGTGGCGGCGGCTTGGTCGACGAGCAGCTCGGGAACCTTGGGCAGCTTGAGGTCGACAGTCATGGTCGTGCCGACGCCGTACTCGGACTCGAGGCGGATGGAGCCGCCCATGAGCTCGATGAGCTGCAGAAAGAACGTAAGCGCACGATTCCCCGTGCAGACGAGGCGAGCGAGACTTACGTTCTTCGAGATGGAGAGCCCGAGACCTGTGCCGCCGAACTGGCGAGAAGTGGAAACGTCCGCTTGGCTGGGCGGCGTCGAGCGTTAGGATCGCTGAGAGAAAGGGTGACTGCAAGTGGCGACGCACTGAAAGGGCTTGAAGAGACTGCCGATGGCCTCCTTCTTCACGCCGATGCCGGTGTCCTGAACCTGCCAACGAACCGCGACACTCTCCGCGTCCTCCTTGACTCGCTTCACTCGCAGCGTGACGGAGCCTGATCTGGTGAACTTGATCGCGTTCGAGAGGAGATTCGTGAGGACCTGGCGGAGTCGCGGCATGTCGCCTTGGACTGGGACCTTGAAGTCGTCGACATCTTCGACGAAGTCGAGGCCCTTCTTGCTTGCGGCTGTCGCGAAGAGGCGGGCGTCGGAAGAAAGGTCGTTCAGGCTGAACGGCCGCACCTCGAGATCAAGCTTGCCGGCCTCGACCTTGCCCATGTCCTGCAGGGAAGGGAAGTCAGCGAAGAGCAGACATTTCGGAAGCCGTGCACACGCACCAGGACTTGACCGATCATCTCAAGGAGCACGTCTCCGCTTCGCAAGATTTGCGAGGCGAGGTTCTTCTGCGAGTCGGTCAAGTCTTCGGCGAGGAGCAGCTCCGACAGGCCAAGCATGTGTGCGATTGGTGTCCGCAACTCGTGGCTCGTCAGCGCGAGGAACTCGCTCTTGAGCCGACTTGCCTCGGTCGCGGCGGTCTCGGCGACTTGAAGACGTGCCCGCTCCTCGTAAGACTGCTGCAGGCGAGCTTGAGTCGAGACAAGGTCGGTAATGTCGTGGGCGACGATGATGCAGCCGTTGATGCGGGTCGTGCCGTCGCGATGCTCGGTGAGAGGCGTGAGGAGGCACCGATAGGAGCGTTGCCGCTGCTGCCATTCGACCTGCAAACTCGACTCTTCGCCTTGGATGACCTTCTCGACGCCGGCGAGCAGTTCCGGCACGGGCGCGAGCACGCGGTAGTCTTGACCCTCAACGCGACCAACGACCTGCGCTTCGGCCAACACGCCGTCCCTGTGCGCACCCTCGAAGAAAGTGACCCGGTACTGCGTGTCGATGGCGATGAGCAGACAACCGGCTCCCTGGACGACGGCGTCGTTTTGCTGGATTGTGCTGCGCAACTTCTCGCGCATCTGCGGAGCACGGTTGGCGAAGAAGTCAGCTGGTGAGCGGGACAAGAAGTCCCGGGCAACGCAACGTTACGCACGTGGTAGAGCTCGTCAAAGTCGGTGCAGGTGCCGAACCAGCCTTGGATGGCTCCGTCGGCGTCGCGGTACGGCAGGGCGCGCCCGAGCATCCATCGCCACTCGCCATCGTAGCGGCGGCAGCGGTACTCGACGGCGTAAGGCTCGCCCGTCTCGAGCGAGTGACTCCACGCCTTGAGTGTACCGGGCATGTCGTCTGTGGGAGTGATGCGTGAGTGCTTGAACGGACTAAGAGAGAGCGGAAAACGAACCGGGATGAAAGGGCGACTGCCAGCCCAGGCCGAGCGACTGTTCGGGCTCGAGTCCGGTGTAGTCATACCAGACCTTGTTGTAGTAGGTGTGCGAGCCAAGCTTGCTCGTTGTCCAGATGAGCTGCGGCAGGTTGTCGAGGATCTGCTTGAAGTAGCCCTCCTTCCCCTTCTTCTTCTTGCTCGACAGCTCGCCGCGCGACTCCCATCGCTTCCGGTCGTCCGTGACGTCGCGGACGAGCAGTACGCCTCCGAGATGGTGCTTGGATCCGTCGTTGCGAGGCGCAAAGATGGGCGAGGCAGTGACCTCGAGGATCCGACGCCGTATACGCTTCTTGCGCTGTGCAACGAGTTCTGGCTCCGCCGCGACGAACGAGTTCTGTCGGAGAGCTGACGCCGGGTCCGCTTCCCAGACCTCGACTTCGACGCCCACGATCATGCCGTTCGACGCCGAACTGCCGTCTTCCTCTTCGTCAGAATCGTCGAGGTTGACTGAAGGCGGCATCTGCCCGCGCCTGGCGGTCATCTCGAGTAAGGGCTCGAACGGATCGATCATGCGCTGACCGAAGGCGGGATCGAACACCTTGTACGGCTTCTTGCCCTGCGCTCCGACACCGCCGGCGGCAATGAACTGCGGAGGATGGCCGGACGCCGTCGAGCCCGAGCCGTTGCTGCTGGCGTTGGATTCGACCCCGGGACTTCGCACGCCTGACGGCGAGGGGGCAAAGCTGCGGATCACGTTCGACTTGCCGCCCGTCGACGCACCAGCCTTGCCGAGCGCCGCCTTCTTCCGCTCGTCCGACACGAGACTTCGCGCGAGGATACCGGCGAGAGTCGTGCGGAGCCTGGAGGTCTCTCCCGGCTGACCAATGCGCAAGCCGGATCCTGCCGTGCCCTTCCCTCGCTCGACGCTGACCGCCTCGCCCGAACGGATGATGCTTTTGAAGGTGAGGTCGTTTGCGTCGAGTGGGTTGGCGCGGAGCTCGGCGGAAGGCGAGAAGAAAGGTTGCGAGGCGCTCGATACCTGCGTCCCGTTCGAGACGGACGACCACGGCTCGTCCTCCACCGACCAGTGTCCCAGCTCCCACCACTCTTCCTTGACACCGTTCGCATCTCGACTCGGAGAATCGGTCGCGATGCCGTCAGACGCCGGCACGCCCATCAAAAGCTCACGAGCCGTTGCGTTGACATAGCCGCTGGAGAGCTCGGTATTCGCGATGATGACGCCGGTATTGGGGAGGTTGGCGATCGCGGCAAACTTGAGCAAAGCGGGCATGTCGGGCGCGACAGTTGGCGGCTTCACCGGAAGAGGCGGAAGCGAGGTCGGACGAGGTGAAGGGAGAGGAGGCGGGACGCTGCTGGCGATGCTGGAAGGGGTCGAGGACGAGCTCGCGGGAGAAAGGTTGATGGAGTAGGCGAGTGGGTGGGATGCGTGCTTGTGCGGCGGGAGATGGAGCGACATTGGTGCAGGTCGGTCGAGAGTCGGGGTGGACCCGTCGAGCGGTTGGACCGATGTAGGCGTAGTGGCAGACTCGTCGAGCTCAAGCGGTGCACTCGACAGCATCGAGGCTCGCGCCGAGCGCGGCTTCTCAATTGGAGTCGACTGGCTGAGCTGGATGCCGGCGCTCGAGACGGAGATGCCCATCCCTCGCAGAGCTTCGGGAATGACCTTGGGCGCCGACATCGATGCTCCGCTGCCCCGACGCGAGGGGGGCGACGTTCCGGCCGTCGTTGCGGTCGCGGTCGACAGAAGGGACGTCGCGCCAGTGCTACCGGCAGACCCACTCGACGAGATGGTGCCTCCGCTACCGACAGCTGTCGACTTTGCCGCAGTACCAGGCGAGATGGCCTGCGCCTCGGCGAGCGTGTTCTCGGACAGCCGGAGGGCCGCCATGCCTCCTGGTAGGGCTGCACCGCTTGTAGCTGCACCAGCCTTTGCCGCGTCCGATTCGCCCGCCGCAGCAGCTCGAGACGCCGCCAACGAAGCGTTCGATCCTCGCCTCTGCGCAAGAGTCGACTGGCTGAACGGATTCTGAAAAGCAAGGACCGAGCCGAGCGTAGGTGTTTGGTCGGATGGAGCGAGAGATGCTCTTCGCGATGGGGCAGAAGGCGGAGGAGCGACCATCTCGGAACTGCGGTCGATGGGGACGTACGAAGGCGCGAAAGAGGGAACCTGGGTGGCGAGAGGGGTGTCGAGGGAGAAGGAGCGACGGTGGTGCAAGACTTTGTCGGGAGACGGACCGAGGTGTTGCGGTTCTCGCCAGGGTCGAAGCAGGAGAACCGAGTACCACGGCGCCCTCGTCGTCATTCGAGACGGCACGACCGTGTCCCTCCGTCCCTTGCTGATCCAGTCGGGCAGCGCCTCCTCGTCGTCAGGCGTCGAGCCGATGTAGGATGACCGCCGCACCGTCTCGAGCGAGATCTCCGCCACCGAGTCATTCGAGACTTCGGGCGGGACAAAGTGCGTAACCTTGGCCTCCGCGGTCCAACGCAAGCCAGGTACGCGCCCGCTCTTCAGCTCCACCTTGTCTCCCTCCGACCACGCCCACTCGCTCACCCCGAACGACCCCTCCTGATGCTTGGCAAGTCGATCAAGCTCCCGTCTGATCTTGTCAGCCGCAGATCCGCCGCCCGTCTGCATCTCGGGCGTCACGCAGAAGAAGACGTCTGCTCCGCCGGGTGGAAACGCCTCTCCTCCAGGCTGAGGTCCGCCGTGCCCGGAAGTGACGCCAAAGACCTGGCGAGCAGCATCGTTGAGGGCGTGGAGGCGGAGGAACGAGTCGAAGACGAGATGCGGGAGCGGAAGCTGGTGCAAGACGGTGGCATGGAGCGTCTTCGGTTCTCGTGAGTCGGCTGGAAGGGGCGAGACAGAGGCGGGAAACGTCGGTGACGAGTTTGCTCGCGAGAATGGTGGTGGTCGGGTCATTGGGGCGCGGATTCAGGGTGGCTGAGCGCCTTCGAGCGAAAGAAGCGGACGCGGGTCAGGTTTGCTCACACGCACGCAGACGCGAGCCTCGGCTGGACGTACCAGTCTGCCCCTGCAGTTCTCGGCGCTAACGTTTCTCGACCCTCCTCGTTGATCGCCGACAACGGCCGAAGAAACGGTTGGCTGAGGGAGGAAGGGGTCGTTCGGCCGGTCCTGCTGTAGAAGAGGCGGGAAGCAACGGCGTGTCAGCTCGACTGTACGGGATGATCAACCTATTGTGCGGATCCTGCAAACCCTCTCTCCAGCTTCACAAGCGCGACGTCTGGCCAGCCGAAACGTCCGCAGACGAGCGCGGTGGGCCCTCCGGCAACGGCGTGCGGCAATCGAGGTCAGTCTGCGCCCGCCCAGCTGTAGTCATAGAGTCTTCCGTAGCACACTGAGTGCCCCAACTCGCCACCCGCGCCCGTCATCGCTGTTGACGACGAGTCCCTCGTCTGCCTTGGCGCCGTCCGTCCACCGTTCCATCGACGCCCGCTGCGCCTGATCGGGAGGCGCAATACGAGTTCAGAAACGCACCTCAGCTGGCACAGGTACGCGCGCGGCCGTCCCGAGGCGCGACTGACAAGTATGACCTAGCGAGGGCGGGTTGGTGCTGGCCGAGACGAGGCGATGGACCGCTTGTCGATGCGCGGATGGATTGTGGGATTGCGAGCTGTGCTCAAGCAAGTCTCTAGAGCACGAGCAAGCCCAAGCAGCAGCGTCGGTGATGTGAGCGAGCGTGGTCGACAGCCAACTCTCTCAACCGGACAAGGTCGAGGCCTCGCCAAATTGCTTTCCGCCTCGCAAGGTTGTTCTGCGGCCTCTGAATCTTCGCCCGGCGAGGGACCTTCTCGGCGGAACGATCGAATCAAATCGGGATCGCAGCGAGACGGAGCGGCGGGCGCGGGACGAGGGAAGCCGCTCAGGAAGCGCTCTCGCAGCGCGTACGTCGACAGCTGCGCCTCCGTTACACCTGTCTAGTCCTGCTGCACCTTACGGATGTCCATACTGACGCCGCCAACCTTCTATGAGCGCGGGCGCGGCGATCGGCGCATGGGAGTAACCTCAAGGAGGCGAATAAGTCCGGTGTTAGCGACTGTCGACCGCTCGACACGACCCGTTCGAAGGCGACTCACCGAGATGGCGTTGTCGGGACCAGCATAGACGTCCTCGCGAGCGCGCTCAAAGCCCATCTTCTTGTACAGGCCAAACCCTTCTGCTTGTTGGAAAAGCGTCAGCCGCGTGTGAGGGGGATCATGAGGATGGGGACGCACGCTCCGATGCTTCGAGCCACGCTGAAACGCCGAGCCTGTCCGCCTCCTCGCAGCCCCACTGGATGAGCGCCCGCCCGACACCTTGCCGCTGCGCTCCCGGCGAGACGACGAGGATGTTCAGGTCTGTGAGCGTCGAGAGCGTCAGCTGGAACAATTCCGCAGTCTGAGAGATAGTACGCACGGACATGCGGCCCTTCGTCGCTGTAAGTCTTCCGCACAACGTCAAGCTTGTCGAAAAACTCCTTCGCCAGCTCGACATTCGTTCCCTCCGCGAAATCCATTGGCTTCTCACCCTTCGCGCCTTTCCCCTCTTCTCCATCCTGCGGCGGCACCTTCCACAGGGCAAAGCCAACTACCTGTCCCTGTTCGTCGACCGCCTTGAAAATCGGTTCGCGCGGGTTGGCGAGCGAGTCGGCGAGCGAGTTGGCCATCCAGCGATTGTCGTCCTCCTTCGCAACCTTGCCCCAAATGAGCTTGTGCATCGTGTGAGGTGAGAAAGCGTCGCGGTGTACTGGAGCGAGTGAGGGAAGTTCGGCAGGGTCGGTAACGCGGTGAATCGAGACCTTGCCGGTGCCGACTGGCGAGCGCTTCATTGGTGTGAAGGCGACGGCGCCGGCTGCGAGATCTTCGCTCGTCCGGACGAAGCCGCACCGCTCGTAAAACTTGTAGCCCTCTGCGCAGCAACGTCCATCAGTCTCTCGCGCAGGTTCGCGAGTGTCGCCACGCACCTGGCGTCGACTCAAGGAAGACTGGCACGGACAGCCTGTCTGCCTCAGCAAGACCCCAGGCCATCAACGCCCGGCCAATTCCGCCTCGTTGCGCGGTTGGCGAAACGACAAGCGTGTCGAGGTCTGCAGCACCTGAGCATCAGCATTTCGCAGCAGTAGAGGGTGAGAACGGATTCCCACGCACGAATGTACTGCCCACCGTTGCCGTAAGTCTTCCGCAGGTCGTCCACCTTCGCAAACACCTCCTTCATCAGCTCAAGGTTGACGCCCTCGGGGAAGTTAAGTGTCTCGTCTTCATCGCCAGCGTTCGCTGCATCTTTGGCCGCTCCATCTTTGGCAGGAGAGACCTTCCATAGCGTGAAACCGACGACATCGCCACGACCATCAACAGCCTTGAACATATGCTCGTTCGCCTGTTCGAGCGACCGCGTGTATTTGGCGACTTTCCAGCGTTGCTCGTCTTCGGGCGAAGCGTTGGCCCAGGTGAGGCGATGCGTCGGGTGAGGGCTGAAAGTGATGCGAGCGAGAGCGGCGAGAGTGGGAAGTTCGGCTGGGTCGGAGACGCGGTGGACGGTCACCTTGGCGGACTGGCTTGCCTTGCGAGGCGATCGACGCATGGGCGTGACGGCGACGACACCGTTCGGCCCGCAAGCGAGATCTGGCTGCGTCCGGACGAAGCCGAACTTCTGGTAGAGCCCGAATCCCTCTGCGGACAACAAGCGATTCAGGACGAGTTGGCTGCTCAGAGCGAAAGTCACGTACGCTCTGATGCCTCGATAAAAGCCGGTACGCCGCGCTTGTCGGCTTCGGCGAGCCCCCAAGCCATAAGAGCGTGCCCAACTCCTTTCCGCTGCGCGGTAGGCGAGACGACAAGCGTGTCGAGGTCTGCGCAATGCCGGCGTCAGCTGTCTCCTGTCGATATCACGAGGACCGCCTCTATGCACGAATGTGAGGGCCCTCGTCGCCGTACGTGTTGCGCAAGTCGTCCAGCTTGCCGAAGAACTCCTTCACCAACCCGACGTCCGCCCCGTCCGGCAAATCCGGGAACGCCTCGTCTTCCTTTGGCTGCTCCTCGCCCTTTCCCGGCTTGACCTTCCACAGCGCGAACCCAACCACCTGCCCCTCCTCGTCGACCGCCTTGAACATCGGCTCATTCGGCTTCTTCAGCGGTCCGGCGAGAATCGTAGCAAGCCAGCGCCGCTCAGCCTCGGGATTCACGTTCGACCAGAGCAAGTCGTGCGTTGGGTAGGGACCGAAAGCGGCTTGGTGAAGCGAGGCGAGGGTGGGGAGGTCGGCGGGATCAACGACGCGCTCGACCGTGAATGGCATGGTATGCGGCGGTTGTGCGAGCTTGCAGCAAGCGGTGAAGGCACGTACAGAGCGAGTTGGGAGAGTCGGGCGGGGACTTCATCGGCGTCGTCGACTCGTAACCGCGTGGGAAGCTGACTCAGCTGGAGCGCGTCGCTGCGAACCGCCACAAGCAGCACAGAGCATGTTCGGAGTCGGTCCAGCAGCGGGCGACGAGCGGCGTTGGGGGCAAGACGTGGGAAGCGACGAACGAGGAAGAGGAGGACAAAGTCGGGCGCAGCGAGCCATACACGCGTTTCTTGGCTACTTTGAGGGATGTATCAATGCATAATACCCTTCTCCGCTCGACCCGACCTCCAGCAGCTCCTGCGACGCCCTTCTCCGCCCTCAGAACCGCTCAACAGCCTTGACTTCGCGCTTCTTGCCGATGACGACTCGCAGGCCCTTGCCTGTCCATGTCGACGACGGGTCGTCGATCCCGCGGAGGAAGACTTCGTAGCCGGGCATGTAGCTGCAGAGGGAGCGGAGTGTGGGAGGACGAGGCGGACAAGTGGGCAACAGCGGGAGCGCGTAGGAGGAAGGAGAGAGTCAGCAATCGTTCAACAAAGGACGGAGGTTTGGGATATCAGGCTGAGCTCAATTGCCGGCAGCGAGCGAACAGATGATGAAGACTCACCGAGCGATAAAGTGCTTGACCTGCTCGTCCGTCATCCCGATTCCGCCATTCTTCGCCTTCATGTTGTGCTCTTGCTGTGTGTTTCAACCGAGTCTGCGTGAGCGCGCTGTCCACCGTCATGTGAGTAGCGCACGCTAGTGCAAGCGGACGCACCTCAAGTCGCCACTCCCAGACAGAGCCCATGCGCTCCGGCTTGATCTGCACAAACGCATCGATCATGCCCCACAGCTCCTCGTAGGCCGCCAGATTGCCCTGCACCTTCTCCAGGTGCGCCAAGTCGTGCTCAAGCAGGAACGGCTCGTCGTAGTCGATTCCGAGTGCTGTTCGGGCTTGTTGGCGGTCGTTTCGAGCGAGTGAGTAGAGCGCAGAAAGCGAGTGATCGGCTGGAGGCGAAGGGAGAGGACGGAAGCCGTTCATCCAGCCCTCAAAGACGACGACGTCAACCTCGCCCGGGTTGTCGACCTTGACCCACTGCTCCCGCGGCAGTCGGTCTCCCTCTCCTCCGTGCAAGCTCTTCTCGAAGACGGGCAGCTCGACCGGCTCCGTCCCGCCCGCCTTCAACGCTCGCAAGCATTCCAACCCGAGCGCGAGGTCGTGCGTTCCGGCCTGTCCTCGACCAGACAGGAGCTTGTTGCTGGGGTCAGCCTGGGCGACGGCGGAAAGACCGGAGTGAGGGAGGTACAGGTCGTCGAGGGACAGCGAGGCGGTACGGAGGGGAGGATTCTGCGAGGCGAGGAGTGCAGGGAGACCAGAGGCGAGGTAGGATTTGCCTGTGCGATGGCTGGGGTCAGCATCCAAGCAGGTGGAATTCATTGCACGCGAATCTGACGCACCGGAACCTTGCGGACCCTGAACACCCAAAACGAGAGGCGGCGATCTTGCGTCTTTCTGCGACGCCTTCTCCCGCCAAGCCTTCCGATGCGCCTCGAGCTGCTCCGTCACAAAGTCTGCGACGACCTCAACGGTTGGACGGGGTGGCGAAGGGGTGGTTGCCATAGTGTTGCGGAAGAAGGAGGGGCTCGAAGCGAGGAGTCCACACAGATGGCTGCTGGTGCAAGGAGAGCGGTCTCGGGTTGACGGCAGAGCTTTGTGACAGTCGACAGAGTGCGTCTGCGAGCGTACAAGCTGGCCAGACCGGTGAAGGGGGTTTGGGGACGACGAGTTCCGGAGAAGGTGGGGGAGAACGAGGACAGCGAGGAGGCGGTTATGGGACTGTCGGGTAGTCTACGCGGGTCCTCAGCGTCTCTGTCCGAGCAATGCGAACACTTTCGAGCTGAACGAGCGAGGTCGCCGAGTCCCAACCCTCGTCGCTCGTCCCGCGACGCCCCTCTCGCTCGACCACCACGCGCTCACAGGCGAGCCTGCGTTCTGCTTGACCGTACAGGCTACTGCTGCCCCCTAGACACGACTGGCAGCCTCGGCAACTCGCCCCTACCTCTCCCCGTCGCCCACCTCCCCCCCATCAGCCTCGCGATCCGCCAACACCCGTCAAACGATGGTCGCAAGTCCCGCCAAGCCGTGGGAGCGCAACGGCGCTACATCAGTAGCTTCCACGATCCCTACGGGCGCATCTGGCGCAGCACAGACGACTGCACTTGCGGGAGGAGGAGCGGGGTCGGCAATCTCTCCGGGTATCTCGTCTACCGGTACAAGCGCAGCGAGCGCTGTTGCGGGTGCGCCAGCGTTGCCTGAGCGACCAGCGGGCATGACCACAGGTGCGCCGCCGCTTTCGAAAGCCCTCGATGATGCGTTGAGGTCGAGAAGCTCTCCTGCTGACGAAGGGTCGCTCGTCTCTTGCGCCAACAGCAACGACAGCGGCAGGGCTAGGCGGCATCACATCATCTGTGAGTCTGATTAGCGAGTCACCTAGGCCGTTCGCGATGCGCGAGCAGGGTACTTGCGCTCCTGCTCTCGCTGTGCCCATGTGCTTGTCTTCCAACGCTGACACTGCTCAACTCGCAGTATACCTCACCCTACGGAGCTGCGACGACATCACCCTACGGCTCGGCCTACTCGTCACCCTACTCTCGATACGGCTCGTACGGCGGCGGATACGGCGGGATGAGCAGCTACGGCGGCGGGTACGGTGGTTACGGCGGCCTTGGCGGTGGAATCGGTGGCTCGATGTACGGCGGGTACGGCGGGTACGGTGGCGGCATGTACGGCGGCGGGTACGGCAGGGGCGGCTTTCCCGGCGCGCCCGGCATGTTCCCCGGCGCCGAGATGTCGCTCTCGCAACGCATGGAGGTCGGCACCGCAGCGACGTTCCAGGTCCTCCAGTCGCTCGTCGGCGCCGTCGGTGGATTCGCGCAGATGCTCGAGTCGACGTTCATGGCGACCCACTCGTCGTTCTTCGCCATGATCGGCGTCGCAGAGCAGTTTGGCCACCTCCGCAACTACCTCGGCCAGGTGCTCAGCATCTTTGCGCTCCTCCGATGGTGCAAGTCGCTCTTGTACCGCCTCATCGGCAAAACTCCTCCCGGTGAAGCCATCTCCGCCGAAGGGTTCCGGGCGTTCGAAGCGTCGGGCGGAGCAGCACCAGGCGCGCCAGGCTCGCCCGCCAAGCCCAAACTCTCGAAGCGCCCGCTCGCAGTCTTCTTCCTCACCGTCGTCGGCCTCCCCTGGCTCATGAACCGCCTCGTCAAGCTCATCACGGCGCGACAAGAGGCCGAAGCTGCGCGACTCGCTGCGGCTGGCCAGCTCCCGCCTCAACAACAGCAGCCGCAGTTTGACGCGTACGGTCGCCCTATCCCTGCCGCCGTCGCACCCGCGCCTGTCCCCCTCGACCCGAGCCAACTCACCTTCGTCCGCGCCTTGTACGCCTACACCCCTCCCGCCGAAGCGTCAGACAAAGAGCTCGCGTTCGCCAAGGACGACATCATTGCGATACTATCACCGCCGAAGGAGGAGCGGGACCGCGCGGCGAAGGAGGCCAAGGCTGAGGGGAGGGGGGACGCGACGTGGTGGATGGGCAGGAAGCGGGATGGGAAGGTCGGGTGGTTCCCGAGCAGCTATGTCAGGGAGCTGCCGCTTAACGGGACGGCGACAGCACCGAAGAAGGTGGACGAGGGGGCGGCGAAGGCTGTCGAGGCTGTCAAGGCGACGGCGTGAGGCAGGTTGTCAGTGGAGCGTCTGTTGTATCCGTTAGAGCCTCTCGTCAGTCTTTGTTCTGATCTGTTATTCACACGATGTCACGCTGAGGAGTTCCGTGCGAGTCGACCAGCGGATGGCGCGTTGGAGGGCGTTGAATCGCGCTCGCTGGGGACCGCGTGCTAGTTCGCTGGCAGCGCAGGACGGGAGCAAGTGGTCGCCCGGTGCAGGTCACGAAGGAAAGGCTACAAGCGTTTGGAGAGACCGCGGAAGCCCTGCTGAAGTTGCTCGAGGAGAGGGTAAGGCAATGTGACGGGCGCGGCCGATGCTGGGGCATCGGGCATCCCGCTCCTCGTCGAGCACGGAGAGCAAAGCGTTCTGAGCGGCCAGAAGCGCTCGCACAGTCGCAGCACCCTTGAGGAAACGACCTCCTCCTCCTCCCTTCGACGCGAGCGAGTACAACGCGCAAGCCGCGGTTCGAGTCTGCCCCTCTTGCAAAGGCATGCGGCTGTCCACGCCAGTCGCAAAGCGTTCCCATAAGCAGTCAGGTTGTGTTCGAGCGATTTGTCGGAAGCCAACCCCGACAGAGAGGCGCTCGAGGTTGTCATCCACCCGCCACTCGCTCTTCCCGTCCAGAGATGCTTTCCCTGGTCACTTCCTCCCGCGTGAGCTCACTGCGACGCCCACAGACCCACCCGGCAGCCCTGCTCACCGCCAGACGCTTCCTCCCGCAGACGCTCGCTCGCTCCGCCGCGCCCCTGTCTGTCGTCGGCGCATGGGTCGCACAGCGCGGCCTGGCGACTGCTGCTGACCCGTACGACCTCGTCGTCATCGGTGGAGGTGAGCCTGCGTTCACTGAACCGCTAGATGTTGAGCAATCGCCGCGAATCGAGACGGGTTGCATCGACGAGGAGGTGGAGAAGCTCGGGATCCTGGTGGCGCACGATGGGAGGGTCAGTTCACGGGGGACGAGTGCTGACAGTGTTCTCCATTTTCCACCACCCCGTCTCCTGCCGCCCGCTCACTCTGCCACCCATCCCATCCTCATCGCCTTTCGCGTCCCCAATCCGGCTTACCGCATCTCTCGCTTCTCTTCCTGTTGGTCCGAACGCCCTGCGACACATTATCCGTGTACTCGCATCGACGGTCGACTTGACGGAATGATCAGGCCCCGGTGGTTACGTTGCGGCGATCAAGGCTGCCCAGCTCGGCTTCAAGGTGCGCTCTCTCCCTCGTTCTCGCGCTCATTGACAGTTGTGCTGACCCTGCACCACCCTCCAGACCGCATGCGTTGAGAAGCGCGGCTCGCTCGGCGGAACCTGCCTCAACGTCGGCTGCATTCCCTCCAAGGCTATGCTCAACAACTCGCACATCTACCACCAGACCACCCACGACCTGAAGTCTCGCGGCATTGACGGTGCGTATCGAGTAGTCGGAGGGAAGAGCGTACGATACTGACGAGCTCTCGTTGCAGTCGAGGGCGTCAAGCTGAACCTCCCCACCATGCTCAAGGCCAAGGACAAGTCGGTCAAGGCGCTCACTGGCGGTGTCGAGTACCTGTTCAAGAAGAACAAGGTCGACTACGTCAAGGGCGCAGCCTCGTTCGCCTCGCCCACCTCGATCGACGTCGCTCTCCTCGAGGGCGGCTCGACCCAGCTGCAGACCAAGAACGTCCTCATCGCCACTGGCTCCGAGGTCACTCCCTTCCCCGGCATCGAGATCGACGAGAAGCAGATCGTCTCCTCGACCGGCGCGCTCGACCTCCAGCAGGTCCCGGAGAAGCTCGTCGTCATCGGCGCAGGTGTCATCGGTCTCGAGCTCGGCTCGGTCTGGGCTCGTCTCGGCGCAAAGGTCGAGGTTGTCGAGTTCCTCGGCGCGATTGGCGGTGCGGGTATGGACGGTGAGGTCTCGAAGAACTTCCAGAAGATCCTTGCGAAGCAGGGCCTCAAGTTCAACCTGAACACCAAGGTTCTCGGCGCGGAGAAGAAGGACGGCAAGGTCCACATTGCTGTCGAGGGCGCGAAGGATGGCAAGAAGTCGACCGTGAGTTGGCATCTTTTGCGAGCCGCGGAGCCCTCCTCTCTGTCTCTTTGCGGTAATCGTTGTAGAGCCATAGCTGACGTTGACATCCTTTGCAGATCGAGGCCGACGTTGTTCTCGTCGCCATCGGCCGCCGACCTTACACCGAGGGCCTCAACCTCGACAAGATCGGCGTCGAGGTCGACAACCGCGGCCGCATCGTCATCGACTCGCAGTTCAACACCTCGGTTCCCAATGTCAAGTGCATCGGAGACGTCACGTTCGGCCCTATGCTTGCGCACAAGGCTGAGGACGAGGGTATCGCCGCGGTCGAGTATTTCAAGACTGGCTTCGGACACGTCAACTACGGCGTGCGTACCGCCTCTTTCGCTTCCGTTAGCTCGCTTGGCTGACACTGGACGTCGCAGGTTATCCCGTCGGTCGTCTACACCCACCCTGGTAAGCACAAGGCGCTCATCTTCTCGCCCTCTTGCTCCCACTGACCCGCTTCATCTCTCGTAGAGGTCGCATGGGTCGGCAAGACTGAGGAGGACTGCAAGGCGGAGGGCATCGAGTACAAGGTCGGAAACTTCCCCATGGTCGCCAACTCCCGGTGCGTTGCGTCTCCCAGACTTCGTCTCGCTCGCGCACCGTTGCGCGATCGCTGACGATGTTCGTGCGGGTTTCCGGCACATAGAGCGAAGACCAACGCCGACGCCGACGGTTTCGTCAAGGTCCTTGCGGAGAAGAACACCGACCGCATCCTCGGTGCTCACATCGTCCGTCGCCTCCCTCCCACTCGTCTGGCTGCAGGACTAACCGTCTCCGCTTTCGTCGTAGATTGGAGCTGTTGCTGGAGAGTCGATCGCTGAGCTCGCGCTTGCGCTCGAGTACGGGTGCGTGCGATCTGCTCAATCTGTATCGGTTGCATTAGCTGACCTCGCCTTCGTCCCCCAGCGCGAGCGCAGAGGACGTCGCACGGACTGTTCACGCCCATCCTACCGTCTCCGAGGCTGTCAAGGAGGCAGCACTCATGGCGTCGTCCGGCAAGGGTGCGTTACTCGCCTCCTTCTTGCGCTTCGACGCCTCGCTAACGCTTCTTTCCGGGCAGCCATCAACGCTTAAGCGTCTCTGTCTCGCACCTTTCCTTTCACTTTCAGACCCGACGTACCGTAGAAGGCGCGAGGAGGATGAGCCGTTGCCGAGTTTCCGCAACTCACGATCTGCAAAGACTGCTGTACCATCTGGGATCCTCCGCCGGCTCAATGCGAGCTCGCTGTGAGTCTGCGAGCTGCATGCAAGCCTGACGAAGCGCTTTAGCCGTGCCAGGTCGACCATCTTCGTCCGCACCGCCCCTCTCTGTTCGACTCCCTTACTCGCTACCTCACACGGCTTCGCAAGGCTGCTTGACTGCTTCATTCGACGATGAAGATCACCATCAATCACTTCCACGCCGTCGCCATGTGGCGCTGGAACCTCAAGCCCGTGTCGACCGCAGATCAGCCAACTCGCGACGGAGAGGACGCAGCGATGGACGAGGACGAAGAGGAAGACGAGGACGACGTGTGTGGGATCTGTCGAGTCGCATTCGACGGCTGCTGTCCCGACTGCAAGGTTCCTGGAGACGGGTGTCCTCCGAGTGCGTCTCCCTTCGTCCTCATGGCGCTGCTGGAAACCGCTGACTGTCCTTTCGCGCGCAGTCTGGGGCGAGTGCACGCACGTCTTCCACATGCACTGCCTGATGAAGTGGCTCGACACGGAGAGCTCGAAGCAGCAGTGCCCGATGGACCGCAGGCCTTGGGGTGCGTCGCGCTCGCTCGTCCTCCGCTCTCTTTCGCCTTTGAAATCTCAACATCATTGTTTGCACCATGTTCTGACGCTCGCTGACCCTCTCGCACGCAGTCACCGCCGGTATCGCCGCTTCCGCCGCACACCCAGCGCCCGCCCTTCTCGCCGCTCCTCCCGTTCAGCCCGGCGCACCGCAGCCCGACGCCGCCGTCGCGACGCCTGCATGAGGACTGAGCCGCGGACAGCTCTCGCTTGGAGCGAGAATTTAACGGAGAGGCAAGAAGGTGCGCTCCGTCCCTTCTCCTGCGTCTTCTGCTCTCTCTGACACGGCTCTCCATCAGTCACGCCGGTTATTCCGCCACACATTCAGCATGTTGCTGCATACTACGGCTGCATCCAGCAGCCTGCAGTGGCACCAGATGGTGCTGCGCTGCAACAAGCTCCAGCAGGACTCGACCGAAGACTCGACCGCAAGCACGACAAGGATGCCAGCAAGTCTCCTCTCGGTGACGGTTCCATTTCGGCTCATCTGCCTTTAGTTGCACAACCCTATGCCGCTGCAATCACAGTTGTTTGCCTTCATGCAGCACTTTCAGCCTTTCCTCGTCTTGTCCCGGCGCGCTTGCTGTCCTCGCTCCATCGCTGAACTTCCCAGCACAGCTCGTACGGCACCGAGCGGCAAAAAGGTCGTGGTCGAAGCCCGACAGCGCCTCTCGGGAGTGGAGTGAGAGGGCCATCTTGGCAGCCAGGAGGGCAAGCCCAAGAACTGACTGCGCCGGCGGGCAAAGATTAATGTGATTGAATGAGTCTCCCGATGGGAGACTACCAGTAATCACACTGGTAAGAACAGATACTACACTTGATCTAAGCCAAAAGGCCAGAAAGGTTAACTTTCACCCGCCCAGAGCAGGCCTGCACTCGTCGCATCACCCAACTACCGGCGGCGAGGGGGTGGCGCACACTTTGCCTTCTGAAACGGCGTGTTTGAGGGTCTCTTGACATTGCACGCTCAGGCTTCAATATATTTAAGGTGATCTTGAGGGAAGGACGCCGCTTTAAGGCCTTGCGCAAAAGGCTCGAGCGGGTCGTAAGAGACATCCCTCCCGCCGTCGCCTCTCGAGAACCCTCCAGCTGTCCTCTTTGTCTCCCATAGTATACTTTCTCCATTCCAGAACGTCTTTGGCACCCTTAAGGGCACCCTCCACCTCCCTACACCCGTCCAAACTCTACCGTCGCGGATGAGGCGACGAGGTTGGTATCCGTAATGGTGCGAGAATGGGTCGCTCTGCTGTCTGTGACGTCGGTAAGATTGAGACGGAAGTGGGCGGAGGCGCAGGGAGCGGCGGAAGAAGGAGGGTGGACCGCTGGGAGGCGTTTTGGGCCGCGATAACAGCGCCAACTGCGAACAGAGTCTTGAGCGTGACGTCTACACTTTAAGAACCTCGTACGCACGGTCTGGGGAGTAACAAGAAAGCTGTGGCGGGAGCGAAGACGGAGGAGGAGGCGGAATGAGAGGGTGGTCGTAGGGAACGTGAGTGAGAGGGTAGAGGTGCGTTGGATGTTGGATCGCTGGCGGGACGAGATAGAGCTTGGGAGCGCTTGGTACAGCTGTGGAGACGTAGCAAGATCAGTGGGCGGGTATACGAGTCGCGAGTCGCTGGACTGCCGTGGACTGAAGTCCTGGAAACGCACCTTGGTCGACCAGCGTCCGCTCCTCCGGTTCTTCCACCGCTCTGACCGGACTGTATACCATGTTCCCCTCCCGCGCAATCCATCTCTGCAAGAAGCTGCCCCTCCCGCTTGCTGGACTGCGCTCCGCAATCACTCCTTCTTCAGCTCGTCGCCCTTCATCGCGTCTCGTGCGGTCCTCCGTTGCTCGTCTCCTCCCCTTCGTTCGGGAGCGCTTTGGTCGCCGTGTTCGTATGACGATGAGCCAGCCGAGAACGAGGAGAATCGCCTCGACCGCGACCACTCCGGCGATCGTCAAGCCGATGATAGCGGGTGGTCCCAGCAGAGGCTGCTGACACGTCGAGGCCATCGCAAGGAGCCCGTGCGGAAGCGGTGGAGCGTGACACGGTCGCTGTTTGTCGACGTCGCTGAGAACGCCCGAGCAAAGCTCAATAATCTCGTCCGCGGATTCTGCCGGATCAGCACCGCCATGGTCATCTCCTGTCATCCGCGTGGAGGGCACGGAGAATCCGTGGAACGTTCGGTCGAGCGGGAGGGGAAGGAGAGGTGGGAGAAGAAGCGGTCGGCCTTCTCAAGTCGCGGTCGTCCACTGCGACGGAGCTTGCCAGCCTACGCTGCTCCTCCGTAAAGCGGCAGTCGGATCGCGCGTGCGTAACGAGGAAGAGGAGCTGAGCGGCGAACTCGGGATGTCGCGAGTGATCGAAGTGACAAAAGACGCGAGAGGCGCGAGCGGCGCAAAGAGCGTCGTGCGCTACGTAAGCGTGTTCGTGAGGGGAAGAGAAGGAGGTAAAAGGGATCGCAAGGACAGGGATCCAACAAGAGGGAGGAGGAGGACGAGAAGGAGGACTAGGAGGACTTCCGCTTCCCTCGCTCGTCCGTGGGACATCCACGCTCTGAGCGCGGACGTTACGCGCTCAGCTCCCTTCCCCCGGAAAAGAAGGGAGCGCACTCCTTTCAGCTAGCGCGATGCCTGACTCCGGCTCCGAGGTCGAGCGCTCCTCTCCCTTCTCCTCCTCTTCCTCCCGCCCCGCTCCCTCCCTCGCTCCCATCGACAGTCTAGCTCTCACATCCACGTCCGAACGTCAAGACAGCCTGTTCGAGCCATGCCCCCCGTCGACAAGCAGCCCGCCGCGCCCTCCTCGAAGGCCCGCACCGCCTCGAACCCCTACCCTGATCCGAACGCCGTCAGCGCCAACGGCCGCCCCTTGACGAAGAAGGAGGCCGCGCGACTCGTACAGAACGACGGGAGGAGGCATCTCAGCTGCGAGAAGTGCGTCCTCCCTCCCCGGGTCGATATCTTTTGAGGCCTTTCTGGAGCGGCTTGCGAAGCGGTCCAGCGGGCGGGCGATCGAGAGAGGACGTCTTTAGGATCGGATCATCCGCCTGTCCCGACTAACGGGATGGAGCACATGCGTCTCGCCAGGATGATGGGAAGGAGCGGAGCAGGGTCGTCTCGCAGGCAGCCGTTCTCCAGCAACAGCGACGGCCCGCTCGCTTCAACTGTCTGCAGCACGCCCCGTTCAGCCAACCTTACCTCCATGCGAGCACGCCAAAAACCCCGGAAACCTCCGCTGACCTTGCGTTCTCCTCGCAACAGCTGTCGAATTCGCAAGATGAAGTGCTCGCGACAGAGCCCCTGTCTATCGTGTCGGATGCGCGGCGACGAGTGCGTGTGGATCGGGACGCCGCCGAACGGCAATGCGGACGAGGATGAACTCGAGCGGTCGCAGAACGAGGTCAATCGCCTGAAGAAGCTCGTCGACCTCCTTCTCGCTCGCCTCGAGGAGCAAGACGAGGCGGAACAGCAGATGCAGTACAACCAGCACACCACCCAGCAACATCAGGCCGCGAGCGCAGCACATGAGCCCGTCGCATCGACCTCCTCCACCTCCCACTATGCTGCCCGCCCTACGGCCGCCTCCCCTCCCGAGTCCGACCACTATGACCAGCGCGATGCCCCGATAAACGGACATGCTCGTCCCGACGCCGCTCAAAGCCATCACCACGACCCTCCTCGTCGCGGCTCTGGCGGTGCCGACATCCCCATCACGCCCGTTCACGGTCCCGGTGCTAGGGACGCCGCCTACTCGCATCCCGCGTACAGCTCCTCCTCGCTCTACACCTCCGGTCTCGTCACGGGTCCAGGAGGACACGCCATGTTCCCTGGTGCCGGTCCGTCGTCTTCTTCGTCAGGCATGACACGCCCAGGCGCAGCATATCCGCCACCGGGTCACGTCCCGCCGTATGCAGGGCGATATGCAGCGCCATCGGCAGCCGCTGGTGACGACAGCAGCCGCGCAAGCGAGTGGAGGTGAGGAGAGGAGATGGAGAGACCGAGGAGGATGTTGGAGAGGCGCAGGCGCCTGCGTATCTGTGTTTGATCTGTGTCGCCTTCCGTACTCGTCAGTGCCCAGCAGTACCCCGTCGAAACGAGCTTGCGTACTTCAGCTCGATGTCGACTCGTCCTCCTCGACTTCGTGCGAGGCGCGACTCTCGCCACGAGCTCCTGTCGCTGCTTCCTCGCTTCCGGGTCTTACGATCGATCGACACGCGGCCACCGAACAAGGGAGCGAGGCCGGACCGGCATGCTTCTTTTTTCGCAACTGCGTCACGACGGGTCGGTCAGCGGGAAACCTTCGTGAGGGTTGACGACGTCGCTCTCGCTTCGCTCTCTTCTCTTCTCGCTATCCTCCACTCTCGACGTCTCTATCTCGACGTTTACTACCCACTCCAAATCCATCATGTCTACCGAGCAGCTCCAGTTCCGCGGCTACGCCGTCAAGGATACCGAAAAGTTCACTGAGTTCGAGCTCATCGACTTCGAGTGCGTTCACCTTTCCCTGATTCTGAGACGCCTGAGGCGAAGGGAGCTGACCCTCGAACGACGCGCAGGCCGATGGACGACCGCGACGACTGCCTCGACATTGCGATCGAAGTCTGCGGCATCTGCTCGTCCGACGTCCACACCATTACTGGCGGCTGGGGCGACATCCACACTCCTCTCGTCAGTGGCCACGAGATCGGCGGCATCGTCAAGCGCGTCGGCAAGAACGTCAAGGGCTTCAAGGTCGGCGACCGCGCCGTTGTTGGCGCCCAGGTCGACTCGTGCGGCAAGTGCAGGCCTTGCACCGACAACAACGAGAACTACTGCCCGAAGCAGGTCGACACCTACAACGCGCCGACCCGCGACAACGAGAAGAAGTACTCGCAGGGCGGCTACTCGACCGCGATTCGCGCTCCTGAGCAGTTTGTGTTCCACGTCCCCGACGAGCTCCCTCTCGAGGACGCGGCGCCGATGGCCTGCGGCGGCTTGACCGTGTTCTCGCCGATGCACCGGTTTGGCGTGAAGAAGGGAACGAAGATGGGCGTCGCTGGACTCGGTGGCCTCGGTCACTTCGCGGTCATGCTGGGAACTGCTATGGGCGCCGAGGTCGTTGTCTTCTCGCACCAGGAGGACAAGCGGGCCGATGCCATGAAGATGGGCGCCGTCGACTTCGTCAACACCGGCAACGACGGCTGGCAGGAGAAGTACTCTATGGCCCTCGACTTGATCATCAGCACTATAGATGTTTCGAAAGCCATCCCCATCGCCGACCTCGCCGGTCTCCTTTACGTCAACGGCGTTCTCCACCTCTGCGCGATGCCGGACGACCCCATCCCCAACTTCAAGACTCAGCAGCTCGCCGCCAACGGCTGCTCAATCTCGGTCAACCACATCGGCAGCAAGGCCGAGGCTGAGCTCATGTACAAGCTCGCGGCGGAGAAGGGCGTTCGCGCCTGGAAGGAGATCCTCCCGTGCGTCCCCTTTCGCATTTTCCCCGTCACGCCTTCCTAACCAGCCCTCCTTGCGCTCGAACAGGATGAAGGACGTCGCCAAGGGTGTTATGGGCGTCAAGAACAACGAGGTTCGCTACCGCTACGTCCTCAAGCAGGACATCAACAAGCAGGTCTAGATTGCCTCGCTTCTCGCCCTCACTCGCAACTGTATAGCCGTAACGAGTAGTTCAATACGTCGATGACACGTCTCCGAGAGCCTACAAGCCCTGCAGAAAGTCCGCCAGCCCAGCTCCGCCCGTCGCCTCCTTCTCCTTCCGCTTCTTCGCCTCGAGCAGTTCGGCCAACCCGCTCGGCTGCTTCGGTCGTTTCCGCTTCTTAGATGTTGCTGTCGTTGCTGACGAATCGGACGGGACGGGCGAACCGGCGGAAGGCGTCGAGAGTTTCGACGAAGGTGCGGGAGACGGACGAGCAGATGTGGCTAGGGGAGAGGGGCGGACGGATGGGGCGCGGGACGAATTAACCGACGCCTTGGTTGACGCTGGCTGTTCTGAGGGCTGCTGCGATGCATCGCGCGAGGAGATAGGTGGGCGGCTGGGTACGGCAAGCATTCGAGCGGACGGTGTTGAGGCCTTGCTGGGCGTTTCCGTCTTGTCTACCGACGCCTGCCTGAACTCCACGGCCGTCTTCGACATGGAGCTCGCTCCTGTGGCCGCCGCCATCCCTTGCTTGGCAGCTAGCAGCATCGGATGCGCAACCTCAGTCGCCCGCTTTGCCTCGACTCGCCGTCTCTTCTTGACGCGCTCGAACTGCGACCGTCTCGTCGACGCCTTGGATTCCTCATCTGACCTTGCTTCAGCTGGTCTGCGACTGGTCCACCCGCATCCGTCGCAACTTGCCCACAGATTGCCCTTGTCAACCCAGTAGATCCCGCTCAGTCCCGCAACGATCTCCGCCTGACATGCTCCGCACTTCAGCTGGTGTGTGGAAGGTTGTGGTGGCTGCTGAAGGGGCCGCAAAGTGTGGCTAGCGGCGGACGAAAAGGGAGGGAGGGTTGTAAGGGCGAGGGGGAGCAGAGAGAGGTACGAGAGGGTATGCGGATCGGTTGAGTCGTGCGTCGCCATCGTGAGCGTTTTAGAGAGCTTCAGCAAGGCAGCGAATGCCCCAAGGCGCCACGGCACGGGGATAGTCAAGGGAGAGAGGGGAAGACGCAGCTTGCCCTCCTCACACCACCTCACGCTCCGCTGAAAGGCTAGAAGAGGTCACCAGGCTACGCTAGACCACGCTCAAATGCCGTCACTTGGCGCAGCTTCGGCCGCGCGTGCTGTGCATCCGTCCCCGACGCCCTCGATTTCTCATCAGTTCGACGAAGCCAACTTGCGAAACAACGCCCGACACATCCACTGGGGCGCTGAGGAAGTCTTTGAGGACGATGCAAAAGCAGAGAGTGAAGGCGCGGATGGAACGGAGGTGGAGGAGGAACAGCTCTCGGACGGTCTTGTCCTCGCCATTACCGCTGCGAAGAGCAAGGTCGCCTGCTGCTACTTCGACCCTGCAAGCGACAAGATCTTCTTCCTCGAAGACCAGCAAGACTCGCCTGAGTGGGACTTGACGGCTCTCGGTGCGAAGACAGCGGAACGCAAATCCGCCGAGCACTCGCTAACTTGCCAAACGACACAGCCCTCGAGCAACTCGCACCAAAGTTCGTGCTCACATGTGCTAATGCCGATGCCGACTTCCTCCAAGCGGTCGAGGAGAAGCTCTCGTCCCTCGCACCCGACAGCTCCAACGCTTCTTCACTTGGCCCCGATGGAACGCCTGTCCGCATCGAGTACCGCCCCAACCGCGACTTCTACGCCGGAAGCGGCAAGAACGCTCTCTATCGAGTCCACATCACCGAGGGAGGGTGGTACGCACCTGCTGAGGAAGAAGCTGTCGGATCCGACTCGGGCTCGACGCACGACCAGCAAGATAGCAACGACTTTGCTCTCGGCGACGCTTACGACTTCGGCCGCCCTCGTGCCAAGCGCAGGAAGGTAGCTCACAACCAAGACGACCGCGCACGCAGGAACAGCGAGTTGCGCATCGAGACCTTCCTCAGCAGCCTAAACGCCTGCCCCTTGACGGCAAGCTACTCGAGCTCTTCCGCGGTTGATGATGCTGACGGTTCGACGACAGCTGGGCTGCGCGGGTGCTCTCCTCGGCTACATCACAAGGCAACGGACCGAGGCTGGCGAGCTTGAGAACGATCTTTTCGAGGTCAGCGGACTTGAGCTGATGCGACTGTACACTATTGCTTGTACGCGCCGTAGCAAGCAGCGGAGCTGACGGCTTGTCCTACACAGCGACAAGGTCATGCACATCAATTCGGACGCCTTGACGTGCGCTTGATTCGCTTGCGGTTCGTCAGCATGCTGAGCGCCGCTTCCTCAGCTCTCTCCAGATCTTCTGCGAAGAGTCGCACGCTTCGGCGCACTCGCGCTCGACGAAGGAAGGCCTGTCTCTCTTCGGTGCGTCCGCTCGCTCGCTCCTGCCCACCTGCGTTCTGAACCACGCTACGCAGGCATCGTCAACATCGCTCACACGCCACTGGGTCGCGCCCTGATGAGGCAGTGGTTCCTCCGACCCTCGCTCGAACTGGACGTGATCGAGTCTCGCCAAGCGGCCGTCGAGTGCTTCCTCCGCGAGTCGAACCGTACGGCACGCCTCCATTCCGCCATGCATACCGTACTGATCGTCACGTCTTCGCAGAGCACATCGTCGACGCCATCTGCAAACACCTGCGCAACGTGAAGAACACGCCGCGCCAGCTGAAGGCCCTCGCGAGCGGAAAGAGCACGATCAAGGAGTGGCAGGCCGCCTGGTCGGTGAGTGCTGACCTTCCCGACGGGTGTCACGCACGAATTCATAAGCACCTCGCAGCTCATCTACGCCGCGATCATGATTCGCGACGCCACAAGCCAGCTCGTCCACAAGACCGGCGTCGAGGTGATCGACAAGGTGCATTCACGCTTGTGCCCAAGACTCGACATCGTGCGTGGACTGACGAGCCCTCTCGCAGCTCGCGGCAGCGTACGATGTTGCGCAGATCAAGGAGATTGCCGACATGATCAACGACATCGTGAGGCTGCCTTCAGCCGCTCTTTCCACGCCATCACACGTTTGCTAACACTCTGTATATTCTCGCAGATCGACTGGGAAGAGTCGGCGCGGCAGAACGGCAAGGTCTGCGTTCGTCCCGGAGTCGACGCTACGCTCGACGAGCTTCGCCGCAAGTACAACGGTCTCGGTTCTTTACTGGTACGAGTCCTTTTTCCGACATCTCCTGCAAATGAGCTGACGAACACGCCTTGCGACAGTCGAAAGTCGCGGTCGAGATCTCGCAGGAAGTGCCGCCCGGTCTTGCCGGCGAGCTCTCGGTCGTCTACTTCCCTCAGCTCGGCTACCTGATCACAATCGCCTACGAGCCGGAAGTGACCGACGCCGGAAAGTACGGGCAGTTTGGCTGGGACTTCCAGGTGCGCGACCCCTCTTCGCTGGAAACGCCAGCAGGATCCGCTTATCAGCGCTTCTCGCACGCGTAGTTTGTCACAGAGATGCAGGCATACTTCAAGAACGAAAAATGCCGCGACATGGACCGCCACCTCGGAGACTTGCAGTCGTTCATCTCGGGTGCGTTCAACTCCGAGCGCGCGCAGGAGCCCCTACTGATTGATCTGCGCTGGCAGACAAGGAGATCGAGATCAGCGCGTCGCCGTGCCCTTCCACGCATTGAGATCTGCTGATCCATCGCTCCTCACAGTCCACGCCCTCCTCAGCCATGTCCTCGCGATCCGCGACCAGCTGATCGCCTCCGTCGCCATCTTCTCCGAGCTCGACTGGTGCGTCGACTTGCTTCACGTCGTCAGTACGCGAGTCTCGCTGACTCGGCGTCTCCAGCCTGATCGCGTTCGCTGAAGCCGCCAAGCTGTACAACTGGACGAGGCCAGTCATGACGGAGGAGCCTGTCTGCAAAATTCTCAAGTGCGGCTCCGGCTCGTGGTCCATTGATGGAGCCATGTTAACGCCTGACCCGCAGGGGACGCCACCCACTGTCGGAGCTCTGCGTCGATACTTTCGTCCCGAATAACACGTCCTTGGTACGCTCCATTCTTCCTTGCTGCTCGTTGTGCTTAGATTCTGACAATCGTCTCTCAACCTTGTGCATGTAGACCGGCGGGCTCGGTATCAAGCGCTCGCCCGACGGAGTGGACGAGAAGCCCGACTTGCAGGAAATCTCGCAGGACGAGAAGAGCGTCATCATCGTTACAGTGCGTCGCCTGCGCACATATCGGGTGACTGGATCAGTCGTTGACGAGCATGCTCGCCTCTTAGGGCGCCAACTTCAGCGGCAAGAGCGTGTACCTCAAGCAAATCGCGCTCATCACCTTCATGGCTCACATCGGTGCGCAGCCGTGGTCTCGCCGTTCGTCGTGCCGAGCTGACCTCTCAGTGTGTTAGGCTGCTTCGTCCCGGCGGAGGATGCACTGATCGGCTTGACGGACCGGATCATGACGAGGGTCTCGACGAAGGAGTCGATTACGAGGGTGAGCTGCATCCGTCAGCTATCTGACTCGCCCCCCGTGCTGACGTAACCATTTTGCAGGGCTCGTCGGCGTTCATGATCGACCTCCAGCAGATCTCGTACGTCCGCTTCCTGCGCCTTTACCTCCCCACCTTCCTCCGTCTGCGGTGTTCTCCTCTTCACCTCGAGTCGTCCAAAGTCTCTCGTCGTACTGACGCCTGCCCTATCGTGCACAGCTTCGCCCTCCGCAACCTCACCCTCCGCTCGCTGCTCATCATCGACGAGTTCGGCAAAGGAACCGAGCCTGACGACGGAGCGGGCTTGTTCTGCGGCGTCGTTGACCACCTCGTCGGGCTTGGAAGCGGGACTGTGCGTCGGCTGCTCGAGATTTCGCTGCGAAGGAGGCGAGACTGACGTTCTCGACTTGCTTCGCTCCTCGTCCTTGTCGGACGGACAGCCTCGCGTCGCCATCGCCACGCATTTCCAGCGTACGTCCCTTCTCCCTCGTAACACCCATCGCCAAGACCCGTCCTAACTCCTCGCGCGCGCAGACGTCTTCACCAACGGCCTCCTCTCGCGCCAGCTCCCCATCTTCCTCGCGCACATGGAGGTGCTCGTCGTCGAGCCGTCGCCTGATGGACGCGAGAGGGATGAAAGGAGGGGAGCAGGAAGGGAGTTTGACGAGTTGACGTATTTGTACCGGTGCGCTCACGTCTCTCTCGCTTCATAACCCCCGCCGCTCGACGGCAACACTGGGCGCCTTACAATTCAACTGCTTCTCGTACTGATGCTCGCCACCACCCTCTTCATGCGCAGTCTCGCCCCAGGCCTCTCACTCTCCTCGCACGCCCTCTCCTGCTCCTCACTCTTCGGCATCCCACCCTCTCTCCTCTCCCGCGCCGCAGCCATCACGCACGCACTCTCGACTTTCTCGCTCGACTCGCTCACGCTCGGGGATGAGATGGGGAAGGACGAGAGGAGCGAGTTGTGTGAGGCGGAGCGGGTGGCGAGGAGGTTTGTCGGTTGGGATGTGCCGGCAGAGGGGAAGGAGGAGATGGGAGCGGAAGAGGTCAGGGCGTTGGTGAGGAGTTTGTTGGACGTTGAGGGATAGGGATAGGCGTAGGACGAGTACGCTTCGAGGGGCGGGGGGAAGAAAGAACGCTTGATGAATTCGCTTGTTATTCGTCGGTGATGACACACTTGAGCGTCCTGAGAACCCGCGTCAGGCGGTGACGAGCTGAAAGACGGATCACAGGAGCGATGCGAGAGAAAGAGCGAGCAGGTGCGGAGGAACGAGGCAAGCAAGTACAGCACAGCACGGTTCTGCTCGAGGCGCCAGGCCTATCACGTCAGCTCGGCGTTCGCCCAGAGCGGAGAGTGCATTGAGCATAAGCAGGGAAGAAAAAATAGGAGGAGACGAAGGGTCGTCCCACTCGACCCTCCTTCCTAGCGGTGCAGCAGGCGCCCTGAGCACATAGCGCCATCTTGTCGTTCCGTCTGAGCAGCCAGCATCATCGATGGTGCGGCGGACGAGGCGTCAAGGCGGCGGAGCTTGGCGAGAGGATGTCGAGGTGAGGCAGCGTCGACGGCGCATGCGGCGGTCCAGCGGCTTGACATACATGCTCAAACGAGTGACTGGTCTAGCTCGAGAGTGCCTGCGCTCCCTCTGAGCGATGTGAGCGCGGGTTGTCGGTGGGTGAGCCTGGTCCGGTCGCAGCGCTCCTGCTCTTGCTCTCCGTTGCTCGCCCCCAAGAACAGCCGCAGGTGCGCGAAGCTCGTGGGTCGTACCAGCTACAGCACAGCAGACTAACGCGTGACCCCGCCCCGACTCCCGCCTTCCCTTGATCCCGCCGCCTCATCCACCGCCCGACCAACCTCGCCTCGACACAACCTCGAAACGCCCCGTCCAGCAGACATGTCGACCGGAAAGGGTGCGTCCCGTTCTCTCTATAACCCCAGACACGCGCTGATGCACCCCTCTCACCCCCTTCAACTCCTGCCCCTCGACACCCACCAACCCTCCGCAAAACTGTACCCTCGGCCCATCCTCCCTCCTTCGCCCCTCCTGCGGCTATCTGACCGACTCGATGGATAACGTGTGATGTGAATGATGGATTTGTGGGACGGGAATAGCTGCCGCGAAGCCCCAGGACGCTAAGGCCAAGGTGGGTTTGCGGACTTGATTGTGAGAGCTCGGGCGGGGGTGGTCGCTCTCCTCGCGGGACGGGCTAGGGGTTGCAGGAGGACGATGGAAGGTTGCAGGGTTTGGAGGGCAAGTAACACCGTACTGACGGTGTGTTTCGGTGAAACAGGCGGCCAAGAAGGCTGCCCTCAAGGGCACCTCGGGCACCGCGCTCCGCAAGGTCCGCACCTCGGTCACCTTCCACCGGTGCGTTCTCACGCTCTACTACATCTCGGCGGACGGGAGCGAGGAGGAGAGGCCGGCGAGGTGTTGAGCGGGAGCTGACGGTTGTGTTCGTTCTTCTCGCTCTGCTCGCCGCCTCATTCGCCTGTTCCGCCTGTCCGTTCACTCTACACGACACGGATCATCCCCTCACTCCACCGCCAACCCCGCCATGCCCGACTTGCGCACTCACCACCCGCCTCTCGACCCGACTTCCTACCTCGACCACCCCGCCGAATGACTGTGCGCCCACAGCCCCAAGACCCTCGCCCTCCCGCGCGCTCCCAAGTACCAGCGCAAGGCGGTTGCGTCGCTCCCGCGCATGGACGCGTTCCGCACGATCGTGCACCCCCTCAACACGGAGAGCGCGATGAAGAAGATCGAGGACCACAACACGCTCGTCTTCATTGTTGACGTCAAGGCCAACAAGAGGCAGATCAAGGACGCGGTGAGGAAGTTGTACGAGGTCAAGCCGCTCAAGATCAACACCCTCATCCGGTGCGTGCGCGCGCCTCGCCCCTCTTTCCTAGTTTGTGTATGGTTGCTCATGACGAGTCTGTACGCGCGTTGCAGCCCCGACGGCCGGAAGAAGGCGTTCGTCCGCTTGGAGGCCGACGTTGACGCGCTCGAGGTTGCCAACAAGGTGCGCTCGCTCCCTTCCTCGCTTCACTCAATTGCTCCTCCCGCTGATTCGGTGAAATGCACGCAGATTGGCTTCATCTAAACCACTCCTCGCGGGGCGCTTCTCTCCGTTGTGCGGTTTGTTGTGTGTTGACCAGCCTGCAACTAGCCTCTGCTTCTCACTGGATTCGCTCGTGGACGGGCTCTCCTTCGTTGCGAGTCTCGGTCTGAGGGTTGTACAGAGTATCTGGTAAGCTGTACGAGTGGACTGGGAGTGGAAGGAGCTGTGTGTCTGTGTGCATGCATCCACTCTGTCCTCCCCTCGTCCTCTGCGAGAGTCTCTGCTCGCCCTCGTCGCTTTTCTTTGAGCCAGCGAGCACTGCTACGTCTCTGAGACAGGACTACCACTCTCACCAGTCCACTCCAGTCCGCCCACTTGCCCTCTCACACGGTTCGTCCCGCAAGGCCATAACCTCTCACGTCGCCCTCCCTCTCCCGCTCTCGTCCTCGCCCGCTCTAAGCACCGCACGAGCACGTCAAGCACGAAGGAAAAGGTCAGCTTGCACACTCGCTTCCTCGCTGCGAGGCACTGGGCGCAAGGGAGGGCGACGGGAGGTTGAGCAGAGGCGGATTGGATGGGGCGGATCAGAGGGCGTGCCAAGTGGGCCTCGCTCGGGCGGGGCGGTGGACTGGATAGACGGAGGGAGGGGTACTGCTTGACCTGGCGGGCAGACTGGCCAGCTCGGACTGTGGGCGAGGGCAGGCGGGGACGGGATGCTGTTCGGTGAGCAGGAGGCGGGGCGCACTCGCTCGTCAACTGGGCGCGGGTTGTGCTGTGCTGGGCTGGCGCTTGCGCATCGACAGTCACTCGGAGCGAGGCGCGCACGCGGGTTGTTCGAGCACCCTCCCCTCTCACCCTCGTCCCCTCGGCTGGCCTTAGGTCAGCACAAGAGGGGGACATCACTCGCTGACCCACTCGCTCGCGCCGATGCCCCTCCCTGCACAGGCTTACGACCTGCACCGACGCCTAAACAGCCCTTGACCTCGCACGCTCCACCACCCACGCCACACCTCGTCCCCTCCCCCCGCCTGCGCTCGAGCAAAGGAGCCGCTCCCGCTTCCTTCGCTCGCACAGCACCGCCACATCCCACTCGTCACCATCCGCTCCGCCACCCCTCTTCTCTCCACACACCTCACCCGAGTTTACCGGCATCCATGTCGGACTCGACCCCCGCCCCGACGTCCTCCTCGACCGCGTCGACCGAGGCCGCCCCCGAGCCTTCGGACGATAGAACCGCCCCTTCACACCTCTCGCACTCGTCGTCGTACCTCTCCTCCTCGGGAGCAGCGACGCCCTCAACCGCACCCGCCACGCCCGCCCTCTCGCTCAACGAACACGATTTCGCCTCTTCCGCCAGCCCCAGCGTCGGAGGCGGTACGCCCGCTCTCGGTTCGTCCATCGGAGGGTACCAGCACTCGTACCACTACGACTCACCCTCGATCCCTGCTACGCCATCCGAATTCGGCGCGTCGTCCGTCACGCAATTCGTGCCCAACCCCGCTCTCGCACTCGATACTCCCTCGCGCGAATTGGGCAACCTCTCACTCGCTGCGACGCCTTCGCCGCCTCTAGGCTCGGAGGACGGACACGATGGAGCGCCGAGGGTTGGGGGACCGATGACGGGCGTAGGGAGCGAAGCGCACAGGCTCTCTTCGCACCCGTTCGCGCCGCGTCCCTCGGGCGGGGGAAGTGGAGCGGAGGAGATCATCGCGCGCACGTCGGCGGGCCAACAAGCCCTCAAGGAGGGTGTCCTTCCTGGCTCCAAGGGACTGACGGCGACTGGTGTGCCGGTGCCGGGCCCTGCCGTGGCCTCCGAGGGAGGCGGAGGGGGAGGGACGCCGAATTTGGTACCGAGCACGGCTGTCACGCCTGGGACGAGTCGGACGGGAACGCCTGCGCCCGCGCCCGCGCCCGCGAGTACTTCGCCCAAGACGCAGGACAAGAACCACCTCGCTCCGCCTTCCGCCGCTCCTCCTCGACGACCCAACATCGATGGTCGGACGGGAACGGACGCAGCGCCCGTGAAAGAGGGCAAGAAGAGTATGTTTGGCAAGTTGTTTGATCGGGATCGCAACAGCTCGAGTTTGAGCGTCGCGAGTGCGAGTGAGGGAGGTGGAGCGGGGTCGGGAGGGGAGGCGATGGAGCGTCGGGGGAGCGCGAGTGGTGGGCCTGTGCTTGAGAGAAGGACGAGCGGGTTGGGCAGTCGGAAGGAGGATAAGGAGCGGAAGGAAAGGGAGAAGGCGGAGCGGAAGGAGCGGGAGAAGCGGGAGAAGGAGGAGGAGAAGGAGAGGAAGGTTGAGCGCGAGAGGGCGAGGAGTGCGTCGCGCACGCCCAGTCAGACGGGGAGGCCGAGGAGCGACTCGCAGGGCAACAACAAGGAGAAGGAGGGAGGAGGTGTCATGGACTTTATGCGCATCAAGGTCCAGCGCAAGACGAGCGTCACGAGTCGCAAGTCGGATGACGGGCGGAGCGAGAAGTCGCATGCGGGCGAGAGCCAGTACGGCGGGTCCGAGACCAAGAGTCGTGGGGGTCAGAGCAACGCCAGCTTGAGCAAGAAGTATGGCGTGTGCGACAAGGTCATCGTTGGGAAGGGCGCGACGGCGGTCGTTCGACTGGCGCACAAGTGGGATCGCAGCACTGAGAAGCTCTACGCTGTCAAGGTGCGTTTGAGCGGCGTCCTCTCTCTTCGCGAGTGCGTCGCTGATGGGTCAGCGAGCGTGCAGGAGTTCCGCAAACGCCGCAAGAACGAGACGGAGAAGGAGTACGTCAAGAAGCTCACGTCCGAGTTCTGCATCTCGTCGACCCTGCACCAGTGCGTCCGGCCTTCTGTCCCCTCTTCAGCTTGCGACTCGCGCTCACACGTCGGTCTCCCACGCAGCCACAACGTCGTCGAGACGGTCGACCTCGTCCAGGACGAGCAGCAGCACTGGTGCGAAGTGATGGAGTACTGCCCGGGCGGCGACCTCTACGCGGTGATCAAGAAGGGCGACCTCGGCACTTCCGAGATCAACTCGTACTTCAAGCAGATCCTCGCCGGCGTCGCGTACCTCCACTCGATGGGCGTCGCGCACCGCGATATCAAGCCCGAGAACCTCCTCCTCGACGCCAAGGGCCACGTCAAGATTACGGATTTCGGCGTGTCGGATGTGTTCCGCATGTGTTGGGAGAAGACGACGCATCTGTCGAAGGGGCTCTGCGGGTCGGAGCCTTACATCGCGCCTGAGCAGTTTGAGCAGAAGGGTTAGTCCACGTCTTGCTCGGTTGCTGTCGCTTCTGCCGTCTTCCGCTCGAACGTGGCGGTGGATTCGTGAGCTCGAGCAGATCGGTGCTGACATGGAGAACTTCGCCTCTCGCAGAGTACGACGCCCGCCTCGTCGACATCTGGGCCGTCGCGGTCGTCTACTACTGCATGACGTACCAGGAGCTGCCGTGGCGAGTGGCCAAGTCGTCGGACCCGTCGTTCGGCCCGTACCTCCACGCGTACCGCACCTCGTCGTCGACGCCTCCGCCCGTCTCGAACATCGTCCCGCGCGAGGCGCGCTCGCTCATCCGCCGCATGCTCGACCCGGACCCGAAGACGCGCTTGACGACCGACGCCATCATTGCCGACGCCTGGTTCGCCGCGATCGAGGTCATCCCGCCTCTCGAGGGAATCCTCCCGCCTAAACCCAACGCGCCCTAGCCCCGCCCTCACGCTTCCTCTGACGCATCTTACACACACACACTCGCTTTACCTGACTCGCATCGTATATCCCGCGCCGTGCGCCCATCCACCACCCTCGTTCGAGGTTCGCCCTTGTTGTACGCCCGCATCCCCTTTCTCTCCTACTGCAGTATTTGCGCTTTGTGTGTGTTTGTGACTGCCCTTGTGAATGACTAGAATAACGTGCGCATCGATTCCAGCGAGTCGAGTGTGCCGAAGCGACTTCACACGAGCGAGCGACTTGGTTCCTCTTGGCGTTCGCACGCTCGCTCACTCACAACCGCTGACTCTGCTGCACTTGCTGGCCTCGTCACTGTACCTACTGGATTGTACTGTCCGACCCAGCAATTTACACGCCGCCCCTTCGACCCCACCCCTTGCTATCTCGCGGTTCCACCGTCACCAGTCTTTTCTCGCCATCTAGCCGTCCGATCAAGCCAGCGAACGCCTCGCCAGACTCTCACAGTGCATGGCCACTCCCGCCCGACCCGACTTCGACCGCCGTCGCTCTTCCTCACGAACTCGCGACGCCCAGCGATCGGTCCCGACGAGTCCAGTCGGCAGTCCTCCTCAACTACAGAGCATCCTCAAGCGCCATCCAGCGGACCAAGAACGTCGAGCGCGTATCGATGGACCCAGCTCGCCCGGGACAGGCGGCGTAGAAGGAGGAATCGCCTCGCTTGCGGTGGGGGACTCGTCGGCTGAGGCGCTGAGCGCTGAGACGAGCGGGAGGGACACGCCGGCTTGGGTTGCGACGACGGTTGATAGCAAGACTGGGTTCATCAGGAGGGTTGCGTTCAATACGTTTGATGCGGGCGAGGAACTCGAGGGAAAGGCCAAGGCGACCGGCGGAGGGACTGGTGCGCTCTTTGCTACTGACGAGGCGCTTCAGTACACCAGCTAAGAGTGTTGTGCTGGCGCAGGCATCCACTACTCGTTCACCTTGTCGGCCAAGTCCGCCATTTACTGCCGGAGCCGCTGGAGCCGGACTTTCCTCGTTGCGACTGACTTGAACGGTATGTCCGCACCGTGACTCTCGAATCTCGAGCACAGCTGACGCGAGCGCGCCCTCGCAGAGTACTCGGTCAACGCGACAAACTGGCTCCTTACGTCCTTCCTCGAGGACAATGATGAAGTCGTCGTCCTGCGCGTTATCGAGCCTGGCAGCTCGGCGCACAACGCGTGGAGGGCGAGTATGGAGGAGGCGAAGGACGAGGCGGAGGGCGTGTTGGCGTACTTGATGAAGAAGAACGGGGACACTAGACCGGTGCGCCCGCCTTTCCTTTCCTCGTTTCCAGCAGGCAAACCTGATCTCTGTTGGCGCGCAGATATCGGTTATCGTCGAGTTCGCCATCGGTCCTATAGAAGAGACGATTCATCGGTCAGTCCCGCCCGATCAGCCGCCTTTCCTTCGCCGCTTTCGAACTTCGCTGACTCCGCCTTTCCACCCTCGCAGCATGATCGAAATCTACAAGCCCGACTCTCTCATCGTCGGTACTCGCGGACGACCAGACTCGCTCTTCAAGTCGGCGTTCATGGGGTCCATCTCTCGGTACGTTCGCTCGTCCCTCGCTCCTCCGGCTCCGGTCAGCTGACACGCGACTATGCCCACAGATGGGCCGTCGCTCGCTCGCCTGTTCCCGTCGTCGTCGTCCGACCAGACGACAAAGTCCGAGAAGGGCTCGAGCGGCGACTGCAAGACCAGAAGCGCGGGCGGTCCTACGTCTCGCTGTTGTCGGAGAAGGAGCGCAAGCAGCTCAGCCAGTCGCAAGTCTCGGTCAAGGTTACGCCTGTCGAGGAAGGGTCCCGCACGACGACTTCGACGCCGCGACCTTCGACCGACACCTCCTCGCTATCGGCTTCCAACGGTGCGCCGCTTGAACGGACGGTCACAGCGCCTGCCCAGGACGACAGAAGCGATGACGAGGAGGAAGATCCGCGAGCCGGCGCCGCACCAGCGCGCACGACCTCGTCCAAGGGCAACAGCAGCAGCGGAGGCGGGTTGATGGCCGCCCTCGGGTTCGGGAAGAAGAAGGACAAGGGCAAGGAGTTCAAGCGTTTCGGAACGTTCTCGTAGATTTCCAGCCTGTGCTTGCCGTTTTGCATCGTGTAGCCTTATGCCTCTTGTCCTTCTCCCGCCTCCTCCTCACTTTCTCTTGTCGCTCGCTCGAGAGACTCTGCTCGCTTGCCAGGATGTCACGGCTACCACCACTCGGGCGAACAGTCGCCCTCGCCGCCCTCTCCTGCGCCCTCATCGCAACAGCAGCGTCCGCTTCGCCGACCCTGTTCGCAGGCCCAGCAACCGCTCCTCTCGTCGCAGCGACAGCGGGACACGGTGCGAGCGCTGCTCTACCACCACCTGGGCCACCAGGATCAGGAGACGGACCTGTGCGGGCGTTTGGTGCGTCGTTTCCTTCCTCTTCCCTCGCCGGGTCGGCCATTGACTCTCGTCCCTCCCTCTTTGCTGTACTGGCGCTCCATTCGCACGTCCAACAGATGGCTACCCTCGACTGGCAAACGCAGTGGGCTGGGCATCGATTGCGAGCTGGATCCTAGTGTACACCGACCCCGTTCGTCCTCGCTGCACTCTCCAGAATGGGATCTGACGACGGGGGGACCTGACACTGTAGGAGCCTGGATCAGATCGTGTTGTGCATCCGCGAACAAAGCGGTGAATCGCTGTCGCTGCTGTTCCTCGCCATCGTGTGTTCCTCTCTCCTGCCGCTGTTCCTCACGAAGACGATACTGACCCCCTGCTTTCGCTCACAGTGGTTGACCGGCGACATCACCAACTTCCTCGGTTCGATCTGGCAAGGCCTGATCCCGACCGTCATCATCCTCGCCCTGTGCGTGTCCTCCCTCGTTCCCTTCCCCTGCCGCCCTCCTCTCCTTTCGCTTCTCCCGTTCGACTTCCTAACTCAGGGTTCCCTCCCACAGCTACTACACCGTCTGTGACGTCATCCTCATCTTCCAAGTCTTCTACTACCGCCGCAAGCGAAGACTGCACCCGGAGCTGTACGAGCCACTCGCGACGTCGGACGGCCTGAACGGCAACGGCGTCGCCGCGCTTCCCACTCCCGCCTCGGAGCAGACTCCCCTCCTCTCCGCCTTCTCCGCACACGCACCAACCGAACCCGCGTTCCCGCCTGCAGTCCAGCGCGCGAGGGACTTGCTCTTCTATGGAGCGGGAATCGCTATCATCGTCTCGGCTGGTGTGATTGCGTGGTTTGCGGGGAAGAACAAGAACAAGGAGGGACGGGTCGTCGAGGAGTGGGACACCTCGGCGCAGATTGTCGGCTGGGTCAGCGCGTTCCTCTATCGTACGTCGTCCGCATGTCCTTCCGAGTTGCTCTGATCACTGACGTCTGCCTCACACAGTCGGCTCGCGTCTTCCCCAGCTCGCCCTCAATCGCAAGACGAAATGCGTCGGCCTCAGTATCTTTATGTTCCTCCTCGCCGTCGCGGGCAACAGCACCTACGTCGCCTCGATCCTCCTGACCAGTATGTCGCCGCAACACCTCCTCATCAACGCTCCCTGGCTCGTCGGGAGCGGCGGAACCATCTTCCTCGACTTTATCGTCCTCGGCCAGTTTGCGTACTACGCCAAGGAGCGCCGGTTGGAGGCGGAGGCGGCGAAGAATGGCGTGTTTGCGGCGGACGACGATGCGCTTGCTCGGAGGGAGGTCTTTGAGGACGACGAGGAGGAGGCATGAGGGCGCGAGGAGTAATGTCGTCGAGTATGGCTGCAATAGACGATCGCTCGCGACTTCGCTGCGATGACCCGTACGTCCGCTACGGTCCCTGCAGAGCTGCTGTCGCTCCAGCGCTTCATAGCAAGTCTCTTCCCCCACTCCGCAACTTCATCACGGCGAGTCGATCCCTTGTGAGCCCTAGACCACTTCGTTCCCCCTAGAGCAGTCCATCATCGCGATGTTGTGCGATACGCAACGCGTAGACATGTTGCAGAATCTCACACTTCGACCAGCTCATCCTTGCTCCGCCCGCCTCGCCTCGCGCTCCCAGCGCTCCACCTCCCCTAACACGTCCTGCAGGTTCTCCACCGCAAAGACGTCTTCGTCCCGTCTTTCTCGGGGTGTCTGGTGTGCGAGGCGGTCGATCGAGCGAGTGAACGCGAGCGCGCGGCTGATTGAGTCGAGTTGGGGTGCGGGTGCGGAAGCCGTAGGCGGGAGAGAGGGGAGCATGGCGAAGGTGTGCTGCGGGAAGTTCTGGGTGAGCGAGCGCAGAACATGAGGAGAAAGCAAGCCGGCGCACCTTTATGACTTCGAAAGCAGCCTGTGCAGAACTCGCCTCTTGCTCGAGTCGAGGAGGCTGCGGCGCGTCCGCCGGCCGCTCTCGAAGCTGTACGACGACCTCGTTGATGCTTCTTAGCTCTTGCTGCAGATAGGCGATGTAGTCTTGCGCTTCTCGTAGTTCTTGGATGAGCTGCCGTGCAAGACTTCATCAGCCTTGCGGTTCTGAGGGCCGGCAGGAGAGACGGCTGCGCACCTGCACGTTCACATCCTGCGCTGACTCCTCCACAAAAGCTCGGTAGGGCGGATGACTCGCCGCAGGCTGAGAAGTCGGAGGTGAGGCAGTTCGAGGAGGCGAAGGGATATCGCGTAGTCGTGAGGCTGGTCGGCCTGTTGAGTCGGCTACTGCTCGTTGTGAGACGATCGAATCGAACTCGTGGAGTGCCTGTAATGACAAGCGTAAGGACAAAGAGCTGGACGAAGCGAAGTGAAGCATGAGATGGACGCACAGCTTCCGCTACTCGCGCGATGGAATCCAACGAAGCGTCCGTCCCGCCGCTCCCCCTCCTTCGCCTCGCACTCGCAGCGCTACTCCCCTCCCCTCGCTCCTCACCGCCATTCCGCCCCTCCAGCCGACTCTTCTCCGCTTCGCTCAGCCTCAGAGCCGCAACGCTCCCCGGCCTAGGGCTAGGCGAGTCCGGCGCTCCACTGCCTCTTGACGCAGGGAAGCCGTTCGCGCGTTGAAGGAGCTCGAGGGCACTGAGGGGGCGGTTGGAGAGTGAAGGGCGGAGAGCGTGAGGGGGAGGAGCATGCAGAGAGGGTGAGAAGGATGCGGCGGTCGTAGGGGAGAAGGGCTGGTAAGGCTGTGACGAGTGAGCGAGGAGGTCGGGGTGGAGAAGGGCGGCTTCGGAGGGGTGAGGCTGAGAATCGTAGTCGCCGGGTCGAGGAACAGTCGGAGGAGGCGTCGACATCGCCTGCGGCCGTCCCATCGGGTCCGTCCCCTCCCTCATCGTCTGCTCCGCATCATCCTGGTCCAGAAAGTCCAGCAGCTTGTCAAGATTACTCCGTTCCCTCCTCGAATCCACCGCGTACTCTTCCTCTCGTCCATCCGTCTCGCTCGCGCTTCTCCGACTCGTACTCCATCGACCTGGACTTGTCGCTGTATCGTCTGCCCCACCTGGGCGCCTGGAGAGCGGCGTATCGCCCCTCGGATGCCGCCGACGAGGCGAGGAAGCAGTTACCGAAGAGCGCTCGTCGCGGTAGGTGTCGGTTACGTCGGGATCGCTGAAGGGGAGGTTGACTGTGTTCGGACGTGGCCGTGGACTGAAGGACATGCCCTCTTCGACGAGAGAGAGATTGTTCGCGTTGGAGCGCGGTGGGTGTTTGGAGGGTGAGGGCGGGCGTCGTGAGGCGGGGCGCGGCCTGGGATCGCAGCGTATGGCTCAGCAATAGCGAAAGAGTGGGCTGCGACCAGTAGGAGGAGCAGGACGAGGTAGCGAGCGAGGAGAGCGAGAAGAGCGATTTTGGAGCGAGTCGAACAGATGAAGGAGGAAGAGCGGGGTCAGCAGGACGTCGATGCCGGGAAGTTCGCAGCGCTTGAACGCCTGGCACTTGTCGGCAAAAGCAAAGCTGGCTTCTGATGTCGTACAAGCGAAAAGGAGGCGAGGGAAAGGCAGCAAAAAAAAGCGATGCACTGGCCGGGAATCGAACCCGGGGCTAGACAACGTCGAGTTTGAACAACTTGGCAATGTCCAATTTTACCACTAAACCACCAGTGCTTGTGAGACAGCGAGCCAGAACTGTATCCACATACCGCCAATAAGTTTATCCCCTCCGAGCGAGCGCCTTGTCGCGGGACCCACTTACTGCCTCGTCCTGTGACCGTGATTTGCCTTCATACTCCACTCCAGACTTGTCGAGCTCGCCAGCCGTGAGAGCGCGAGAGCCGGGACGCTGTGCGGTAGCCGACGACTTTGCTCGCGACATCTGCTCTGCCCAATACTCGTCAAGTCCAGCCCAAAGCACGGCCTGCCAAGGCGACTGAAACAAGCACTCGTTACAGCATCTCTCCTCGCCCCTGCCAGACCCAGGTTCCCATGCAAGCGAGGTTACTACCCATTCAGAGGTCTCCGACGAGGTATCCTCCGTGCGGGAGCGCCTCGGCGTTGTCGAGCGCGTTGAGCTTGGCGTCGGGCGGGGAGTTGGGCTGCGAGCCGAATCAGGGAGTCAGCGACGGAAAGAGAGCGAGAGAGAGGAGAGCGAGCGAACGCACGTCCTTCAGCACGTTGCGGGCACGCTCGAGCTGGTCGTTCGGCTGCCCGACGAAGTCGTGCACTTCGTCGTGGGCGAGCTGTGCGACGAAGCACACGCGGTGTTACGAAGCAGCGAGGTCAGCGCAACGACGACGAACGAGAGGGCGAGGCGAGACGCACCTTCTCCTCGGCGTCGCGCGCCTCCTCCTGGTGCATGCGCATGCAGTCCGTCTTCTGCAAACAGCAAGCGAGAGGTGAGCGGAACCTGCAACTCGAAATTCCACCCCGTCTGCCTCGTCCTGTGTGGGACCGAGACGAGGGGAACGACCGCAAGCCAGACTCACCGGCGCCTCCCTCGCGTCCGAGTGGCCATGAAAGCGGTGGTGTCCGACCGCCTTGTGCTGCTCCTGCTGCTCCGTCTGCTGGTGCTGCGCGAGTCGAGAGGAGAAGAGGAGTCCGCGGAGGTCAGTCCCGCTTCGCTCGCGCTCGAAGGGGCGTTTCGCAAGCTGGACAGGGTGGGCGTGCTCACAGAGGTCGACATGGCTGAGTGTTCTGGTTCGCGAATGGCTCGAGGCGAGGTGAGAGGGAGAGGGAGAGGTGGAAGGCGCGGGAAGCGCAAGGTGGGGAGCGGGAGAGACCAGTCGTGTGACGAGCAGTAACAGGCCAGGCGCGCCAGTCCGCGAGTCTGGAGAGCTCTTCAAAAGCGATACGACGAGCTCGTACGACTCGCGAGCTTGTGTACAAAGCGGGAGCGAAGCCTGCGAGGGGAGGAGGTGATTCTTGACTATGTATGCCTCGTTCGACCTCGGTGGCTTCATTACTCGCTCTAAAATACTTCCATATGCCTACGACGAACTACCCAGGTGTCCAAGGCGAGGTAGAACTGCGAGAAAGGCCGTCGTCGCCTGCTTACGAAGGTCAAGCCTGAGCTCTCCTCGTCTTTCTCGCTTCTCACGCTCTCGTACGCCTTGTGACGCTCAACGCCGGTTGCAAAACAATGTACTGGGGGCTGGATCAGACTCTGCAGCCGTCGCACGACGTGGGGAGGGCAACTGCTCTCGTACGCCGAGTCCGTCTCCTCCTTTCCTCTCTCTCGCTCACCTCTCTCGCTCCGCTTTTTCTCCTCGACTCTGCTAGCAGACTCCTCGCCTCACGCTCCTCTGCTCAACTCGCCGACACCCTTGCACCGCCCCTCTGGCCCCACCTCGCCGGCGTCATCACTCGCTCGGCTCTTCCTCATCCTCCTCACCCAACAAAGCCAACATGAGCGACGCGACTAGCAGCAACGAGCCTTCCAAGGTGCGCTCGAGCCCGTGCCACTGTTCGGCGAGTCCCGCTGACTCCTCGCATCCCACTTGCCTCGCCTGCTCGCCTCCTCACCCTTCACGCTCTTTGCACGATCACTCGCTGCCTGCCGGCCTGCTTGCTCTCGCCTGGCTCATTCAGACCACCGGCAACTGGAACGCCACGGTCGGCAGCATCAAGGCGACTGTCGGCGACGCGACGGGCATCTCCTCCCTCTCCCAAGCAGGCAACGAGCAACGCGCAGCCGGCAACGCCGAGTACAAGATGGCGCAGGCGCAGGAGTACGCGACGGGTACGGCGGACAGGTTGGAGGGCAAGATGGATAGGGTGTTGGGTGCGGTCACGGGGGACAAGGCGCAGGAGGCGAAGGGAGTTGCCCAGGAGGAGAAGGGCAAGGCGCAGCAGGGTGGGTCGTCACGTTCTTCTACAAGGTTCCCTTCGCTTGGCTGACATTTTACGCGCGCTCACAGCCGCCAACTCGTAGCCTTTCTGCTCTCGAACAGACCCTTCGGACGACGATTCGACTGGATTGTACAAAATACGGTCACTGGATGACGGAGCGATGCGCGAGAGTGGGTTGCGTATGCACAGCGAGAGAGAGAGTGGGTACTCAAAAGCGATACGAACGAGACGCTATATACAAGACTGCCTCCTCCTGTTCTCCCTCCTTCCTTCTCCTCGTTAGACCTTCTCCCGATGCTCGACGGTCGGCCTATCCTTCTCCTCCGACGGATGGTACTCATGCAACGGCACGCGGTGGACCTTTTGGCGGAGGATGTAGCGGCGGAACCAGTAGGCGGGAGATGCGAGGCCGTAGGCGACTTGGCGCGAGGTGGACATGCTGAAGACTTCGTCGAGTTCTTCGAGGGTCTGTAAAAGTGAGGGACACGTCAGCTGGCGAATGCGGAAGACGGCGCGAGAGGCCGTGCGTGGCGGAGTATGAAGGGAGAGTGAGGAGAGGACCACGCACAAATTGCTTCGTCTCGGGGCAGAACATGAGCTGTCACCCCGCACAGCAGTCAGTACGGGCATGCAGTCGAGAGAGCGGCGAGAGAACGCACGACGAGGAACCAGAGGATGATGTTCCAGCATCCGAACCAGTAGAACGCCGGGCCTGAGCCCCACGATTGGATTTGGAGAGGGAAGACGAGGGCGTTGACGAAGTTGCTGTTGAGCGGGAGAGGTCAGTGCGAAGGCGGAAGAAAGGGAGGAGGGGAAGGAGGGCGCACAAGAACCAGGTGATGGCGGTCTGTGAGGGAAGGACAGTCAGCCCAGCTGCTTCTCTTGCGGGTAATTGTGAACGTACGGCAAGACCCATTCCGATCTCCCTAACTTGAAGCGGGAAGACCTCGGCGGAGTACGAGAACGGAACGGGACCTGTGAGAAGAAGGGAGGGTTAGCGCGGTCCAGCTCGTCTTCGCACGTTAACAACGGTAGCGCACCGGCTCCGGGTCCGTAGGATGCCGCAAAGATGTAGACGCCGGTGACGACCTGGAGGGAAGGAAGGGGGAGGGGCAGGAAAGAGAAGTAAGCGACGACGAGACGAGGAAACGAGCGGACGGCGGCGAAGGCGAAGGCGTGCGTACCATCGCGAGCTGGTTCTTGTCGCCTTGGAGGTAGAAGCCGGAACCCGCAATGAACATGAAGAGTGAGAGGAATGGGAGGGTGAAGAGGAGGAGCGACCGACGACCTGTTTTGTTGCGAGGTCAGCCTCATTCGATGTGAACGAGATTTTTGTGGATAGCCTCGCCAAAAGAATCGATAGTAAAGAAGGCTGGAGCACTGAATACCCAGCTGCAAGACGAGGAAGCGCGAGGGAAGTCAGCCAGAGACGGCGGCGAGACTGCGCGTCGTGCGTTCCGCAATCGTGAGCCTCGCCAAGTGCTCCGGATGATTCTGCTGTGGGCACGTGCACTGGCTGGCGCTTGCACTGCTCTGGCCGCCGGGATAGCAACAGTCCCCCGCCTCTCTCGCGGCCCCTTCGATGCTTCATTCGCTCCAGTACACTCCATCAGCTGCTCCAGCACCCGTGGAACCAGCGCACACCGCCCCAGCATGGCCGCCGTCCGCTCTCTCGACTCGAGCAAATCCCGCACCATGTCGAACGAGGGCGTCGGTCCCGCACAGCAAGAGCTGCGCTCAAAGGTGTTGGCCGTCGGAGGGATCGCTGGCACGTACGAGGAGCTCACCGGACATAAGCAAGAGCTGAAGGTGTCGATGTCGGTTTGGGTGCGTCTCCTCGCCTTGCAGGATGCTACCCCGACGTGATCCTCCTCTGACCGCGGCTGACTTCTCCTGCTCCTTCCCTTCATTGCTGTGACTGTGCTTTGACAATGAACAGGCTCTTCTCGGTCTCCTGTTCGTGAGTTTGCTCTCCTCCTCCTTTCCTTCGAACGCTTCCTCGTGTTCCGGTACTGACCAGGTCTCGCACGTAGGCCAACATAGCGCCCTCAACAGCTATCAACAGCTCTCTCGGAGCGGCACTCCTCTCGGGCGGACCTGTCGCCTCGCTCTGGGGCTGGCTTGCCGTCGCTCTCATCTCGATCTGCATCGCGCTGAGTCTCGCAGAGCTCTGCTCGGCATGGCCTCACGCAGCAGGACAGGCACTGTGGTCCTTCCAGCTTGCGCCGCCGCGATGGGCACCATTCCTCTCATACTGGACGGCCTGGTGGAACATCGCCGTGCGTTCTGCCGTCTCTTCCTTTCACTCACGATACCGCGAGCCTGACTTTACGCTCGACCACAGGGTGGATGGGCCTTGATTGCTGCAGGAGCGTACATCCTCTCGGCCGGATGCCTCGGTCTCGCCGCCGCCTTCCACCCCGACTACGTCGAGCAGCCGTGGCACCTCGTCGTCTGCTTCCTCTTCTCGCTCTTCTCGTTCTTTGTTACGAACGCAAGTCCTCTCCCTTGACGTCCCCACGATAAACCTCGAGACGGACGCGTTGAAAGACCTCGATCTGACGCCTTCCACCCGCAGCTCTACATGGTTCGCATTTTCGACCGCTGCACGACCAGCTTCGCCATCATCAACATCTCGACCGTCGTCGCAACCATCATTGCCCTTGCCGCTTGCGCACCCGTCAAGGCCAAGCCCTCGTTCGTCTTCGGAGGCTTCTACAACGGCACCGGCTGGTCGAACGGCGACCTCGTCTTCCTCATCGGCTTGCTGCAGAGCTCCTTCACCATCATCGGCTACGACGTCCCCACTCACCTCTGCGAGGAAGCCGTCGACGCCGGACGCCTTGCGCCCACCGCGGTCGTCGGCGGAACCGTGATTGTCGGCGTCGTCGGGTTCTGCGGTGAGTACTCCTCTCGTCAGTCATCTCGTGCACCCTTTGCTGAACAAGTGCACGTGCAGACATTATCGCCCTCCTCTTCAGCATTCTCGACATCGACACCGTCGTATCAAGCCCGCTTCCGATAGTTCAGATCCTCCAGGACTCGTTCGGCCTACGCGGATCGACTGCCGCTTTCGTCTTCAACTTGCCCGTTCTCGCCTTCGCCTGCATCGGCATTGTCTGCGCCTCGTCCTGCGCCGTTTTGTCGATGAGCCGTGACCGTAGTTTCCCTGGCAGTCTCTTGTGCGTCTGCTCTCCTGAATCTCAGCGTCGTCCTCTAAAGTGCGCTAGTTGTCTTACAAAGAACGCTAACGCTTTTCTCGCGTCGCAGCTTCGGCAAGATCAATCCCACTCTCCGCGTACCCGTAAACGCCCTTCTCCTCCAAGTGACGGTTCCCGCCATCCTCGGCATGAGGGTGCGTAACTTGTCATACTATCGCCTGCTCCCTCGTTGACCTGATTCGACTCGCCCGCAGTCGGGTTTGCTCTCCTCGCACTCATCGGCTTGTACGCGCTGTCCACGAAAAGAGCGACAATGCGATGCAATGCGATGCGAAAGTCTACTCCTCCTCTACCGACCCTCACGTCTTAACCTTCCTGTACGGGCTCCTCCCTGGCTTGTACCGGCCCGAGTCGTCTGAACTTCCGCTCGACAAGTCGCTTTCCTCCAACACCGCTTGGCGCCACTCTTCCAGCTCCGCGTCGCTCGAGCTTCCGACATCGACGTTCTTCTTGTTCTTGTAGCGCCTCAGCTTCTCCTTGACCTTGATGATCTCGCGCTTGAGGGCATCGACCTCGTCGCCGTGCTTCATCATCATGTCCTCTACCTTCTTGACGAGTTCAATCTTGCTCAGGCGGTGCAACGTCTTCACCTTTCTCTGCTTGCGCTCGCACGTCTCCTTGACCTTGCTCCGGCGACTCGGCGCGTTCTCCTCCTCGCTCGACTCCTCCTCGTCTACGTCCTCATCGCTCGACTTCTCGTCGTCCCCATCCTCCTCGCCTTCGTTGCGCAAGTCGGGAGCGACGCGAGACGATACGACTGACGAGACAGCTGTACGCCTGCGAGTTGGGCGGCGTGACATCGGCCTCGAGCGTCCGACAGCGTGCGACTTCTTCTTCTTGGCGCCTGCGCCGACCGTGAGAGGTTTATTGCCCTTCTTGCTCTTTGAGAAGCCCCTCTTCTCCGCTGTAGTGATGGTCCGGTGGTGGTGGATGTTCGACAAGCCGTACTTGAGTGGTTGAACTGATTGACGAGTGGCGGAGCGGGTCGCGGAGTGTGTCGAGCGAGTGCGGGCCATTTTTGAGTCAAGCGGTGTGGTAAGAAGGTTCAGCAGCAGTGAACGCGCGAGGAGAAAGAGAGCAAGAGCCGCCCTCTCCACCGACCAGGACCTTCGCAAGGTAGGGTAGTACGCCCGAAGCAGCTGCCGCGTAACAATGACAGGCCAGCGGAGCGCCTGCGCCGTAGAAATAGTAGCTCATCTGGGCGGGCAGGACTGCAGAGAAAGCGAGACGTGGCGATCGAAGGAGGATGGACGAGGAGATCTGGCAGGCTGGAGAAGCGCAGACGGGCGACTTCGCGAGTAGATTTTTGTAATGCTGCATTGCGGGGACAATGCTTGTCGAGGCGAAGGTAGCGCGCGGCTCTTCAATAATAAGGTCGCTCGCGGTCGAGACAGCCGAGACGGTGCGGTTCTGGGCGGCGGGGGAAGGAGGTCGAGCGGGCTACTGGCCCTGCTGAGGCGGCTCGTATCGAGGAGGCGGACTGTCAAGCCGCACGGCCGGCGCACCGAGGCGGAGACCGGAAGGGGGCTTCTGCGCTCTTACGGCGGCCGGACGAGGAGCGGGAGACTCGACGATCTCGAGGCTCTCCTCCTGCGTGTCGAGGTCGCCGTCGAAGTCAACGCCGTCGAAGAGGGCCGAAACGTCCTCGTGCGCGTCCGGCTGGCATCGAGTCCGTGTCGAGTCGGCGCGCTCGCTCGCTGAGACCGCGAGGGTCGTGCCGTCGCCCTGGAACGACTGTTCCGCCGCAGCACCTCCCGCCGGCCTAAAGCGCGCCGTCGCTGGCGTCGCGACCTTCGCATCGACCGCCTCCATCTGCTCGCGATTGTCGCCCTGCGCTTCCTCGCGACCCTTCCTCGCCGCCATCGCCGCTGATGTCTCGCTATTCTGGCTCTCGGTCCCGCTAGTCGCCGAGCTCGCCTTCTGCGGTACCGGTCCAACTCCCATACCGCGGTTCGAGAGTCCCGAAGCGAGTGTCGGCGAGGGGCGATAGGCCGGAGCGGGCGAGAAGCCGCCGGGGCGAGCGGGACTGAACGGCCGAGTTAGAGGGTGTTGGTGCGTCGGATAGGGAGCGATGTCGGAGGGAAGGAGGGCGGACACGCGGTGATTGGGAAGCGGAGGGCGGGGGGCGGAAGAGACGGCGGATGGGTTCACCTTTAGCTTGGCGATGCGAGTGTCGAGCCACGAGCTGTGCAAGAGAAGTGTTCAGTACATCGAGCTCGTCGAGGGGGAAGAACGGACGCACAGATTTTGCCGCAAAAAGTCCTCGTTGTTTCCCATGCTGCTCCTCCCTCCTCCGCTCGCCGCCACTTCGAGTGACGCTTCGAGCATGTTGGCGCGCTTCTCGGTCTCGATCTGGACGTCGGAGGGTTGCGTGCCGGATGCGAGGAGTTGGGCGCGGTACTCAGCGAGTCGTTCGTTGACGTAGGAGCTGTCGCGAGTCGTGCGAGGCGGGTCAGCAGTGAGTCGCGAGGGTGGGAAAGAGGCCTTTGCGCACAGCGTCAAGCGCAAATCGCCGTCGTTCCGCCCGCCCTTTGACCTGCCCGTCCCGCTCTCTGCGATCTCGAGGCACCCTTGCATAAGCGACGCGGCGTTCGGCGAACGGAGGGAGTAGCTCGACGGCGATGTGCGACGAGGGCTGCACCGGTAAGATCCGTCAGCAAGGACGAGAGAGAATCGAGGAAAGCTGAACGCACGTTGCCACCTTCCGCCTGCGCCTGCTGTCCCGACGACCTCGAGACCGCTCCGCCCTCCCCCGGGCTCGTCCTAGCCACTGTATCCAACAACATCTCCCCTTCTCCCTCATGCTCGCTCTCAGGCACTTCCTCCTTCTCCAACTCCGCTTCAATTCCGCTCCCTCCCGCTTCGGCCGTCTCGTACGCCGAATCGTCCGAAACACGAGGCTTCTTCCTCCTCGTCTGTTCCTGCTCGCGCTGCTGCTGTAAGAAGAGCGCCGCCTGACCACTCGGAGGAAGGCGAGCGCCTTGACCGGATCGACATTCTCGATATCCTCGTCCAATTCGTCGAACTCGTCTTCTTCCGCTCCGGCGGCGCGGGGAGGAGAGGCGCGCTCTTCGCCTTTGCGTGAAAAGGGAGAGTGCCGCTTGGCAGGGATGACGAGGGAAGAGGAGGAAGCCGAGGCTGGGAGAGGGGCGTGTTTGGCGGTGAAGTGGGAGGAGACGATCACTTCGCCGGTGCTGCTCTTGGGTCCGAGTGCGGTGGTCGACGTGGACTGTCGCTGAAGGTTCGAGGGCGCGTTCGAGGGCGGGTTGAGCGAGGTGAGAGGTGTGTGAGGGCGGGAGGAAGGGCCAGCATGAGGTGTAAAGAGCGTAGGCGTGTGGCAGCCGACTCGCGTGACGACCGGGTGTGCTGTGAGCGTAGGAGAGCAGGATCAGCTGGATAATCACGACAGAAGGGATTGTCGTGGGGACGCACCGGACGACGAAGGACCGGCTGAAGCAACAACCTGCACAACCCGGCCCGCGACACTTCCAGGCATCTCATGTGGCCCCTTCTTCGTCCCTGCACCCGTTCCATCGCTCGCACTGCCCCTCGTAGCGGCCGAGCCAGCTGTGTTGGTCCCGATGGCGAGAGGTTGCTGAGTCGGCGTCGCGGCGGCTCGTGCGGGTCTAGGCGATGATGGCGAGCTCGAGGGCGCCCTGGGTGGTGGAATGCCCGCTCCCCGCCTTCACCGCTCCTTATCTCGCGGAATGACGCCTGTTGTCGTTGCTGATGAGGCTGTCCACGGCGATGCGAGAGCGTAGCGCATTGTCGGGCGAGTCGGCGGCACAGCAGCGGCAGTAGCTTGTTTGAGTAAGAATGCAAGCGAGGAGAGCGAGACGTAGCGGTGGAAGCGAGAAGCTGAAGGCGGACCGACGAGGAGAGACGCGAGGTGGAGAAGCACAGACGGGCGACTTTGCGGGCTGATGTCCATAAGTACTGCATTGCGCAAATGAGACGTCCATAACTGTCGTCTAGCCGGAAGAAGAAGAGAGGAAGGGAAGTCGAGGGGAGAGAGGAGGATGGCGAGCGCAAGTCTGTGAGCGCGAACGATGTCAGCTGAGCTACTGACGAGGAAGGGAGAGAGTCCCTCGCATACTTAGAAGGGCGAGTCCACCCACATCCGTCCGTTGTCCTCCTCACGCTCCGGAACCGGCCGCCGTTCCTCCTCCCAACGGGCAACGTCGTCCGCTGACGCGTGCCCCTTCCCCTTTCCGCGCCTGCCAGCCTCCGCCATCTCCTGCTCCATCTCCCGTTCGCGCCGGACCTTCAGCGCCTCGGCATCGCCTTTACGCCGTGCCTCCTCCTCGTTCGTACTCGAGCCGAAGGCGGCTTCGCCAGTCGCAAGGCCCTGCCAATCCGCCTCGAAGCCGCCCTTCGTTGCGAGCTTGTCCTGCAAGACGAAGACGAGACTGTGGCGAGTATCGCCATCTGTGTCGGAAGCGTCAGGTGGAGAGCTTGGGAGAAGAGGGAAAGGAAGCGCACCCGAGATAGCCAGTACCGCGTGCTTCACCAGCCAGCTTCTTACAAAGACAACGTCCCCAGGCCGGTATTCAGACTTGATGCCAATCGATTCGAGGGTGAGCTGGCCGCCCTCGAAGTCGCCTGTGGGGAGCATGGCGGTCATGACGATCTTCGAGTCGAGGATGTCGATGTGAGGGTCGGCGGGCAGGTTGTGGACGATGACGAGGCCTTGGTGGCGCCAGAATGGGTTGTTCTGTAAGGGGGTTGCGTGAGAACAGTGTGGGGGAGAGAGGGAATCGTACGCGCCATCTTGACCGCGAACGAGGATCCGGCGAGCTTCTCGTTCCAGTTCTTGACTAGCACCTGGTAGGCGGCATTTTCGATGATGGAGAGCGTCTTGATCACTGCCTCGATGGCGATGGAGATGTTCTCGCCCAAGCGCGAGACGTACTCGGCGCTCATGTCTTTCGAGGCTCGGATCTGGGCGGGCTCTTCGTGACCCCTGCAAGAGAGTGCGTTGTCAGCGTAGTTCAGGTTTGTAGTTGAGTGAGAGGTGGGGAACGAACGCGGGCGCCCAGGCGAAGAGGTGGGTTGCGCCTTTGCGCGGGTCGGGCTTGCGAAGGTACGACGCGTGCCGGCTCTTGGTCGCGGCTCGAGGAGCACCGCCGTTAGCCTGTTGAGTGAGAAGACGCATGATCAGGAAGGAGAGTGAGGATAAGCGTGGAAGGGAACGCACGAGAATCTCCCGTTCAATCCAAGCCCCCATCCTCTCTGCCTCCTCCAAACCCTTCGACGAGTCGTTCAGCAAGAAGCCTAGGATGTTTGTCAAGTGGAGGGCGAGGATGATGCCGTCCGATGAGACGACCTTCCAATCTCCCGACACTTCGATGTCGAGCGGTCGTTTCAGGTGCGCGTAGTTCTTCAAGAACTCCTCGGCGGTGACGTCGAGCTCAAACGCGACAAGCGGGTCGCCATCTGACTTTGACTCGGGTAGGGCGATCCCCTTGCTGTTCGCGTCCGCGCCCGCCTTCTTCTCCTTGACAACCTCCGTCAGCTTGATCTTGATCTTGTATTCCTCAGGCGTATCTTGCGCGACCTTCCACAGCAGCTTGAGAAGGGTTTCGGGGTCGATTCGCTCGCCTTCTGCCGAGGGAGGGGGCTGCACCATGGAAGAGCTTCAGCGGTGAGCGATTGCATGCTTGCAATGATGCTGCGCACCTGCATGGGAATAGTCGGGTCCGGCTTGAGCCTCTCAAAATCGACGTCTCTCGGGAACTCTCTCTTCAAGACCTGGAAGAATTCGAACGTGAGCAAGAGTGACCGGAAGTCTGGACGGGGAGACGTACGTTCTTCCATCGTTCCAGCTTCTCCGTCTTGCCCTCTTTGCTCTTCCCTCCGTTCCCTGCCGGGCTCGCGTCCGCGTCATACGTATCAGAGCGAGTGATTAGCGAAATGCGCGACGAGCAGGACAACAAGTCAGTCGCGAAAGTCACCTTCGTCTGCGTTCCTCCCGCCTGCACATTCTTCTTCGCCTGCTTCTGCCTCTCCTACGGGTCCTGGAAGGTCACCGAGCCCTGCGAGAGGAATGGAGCGGTACGCACCGTGGCGGACGACGCGCCCTCTGCTGGTCCTCGCCCGCTGCGTGCCGAACGGCGTCGGCTGCGATCGGCAGGCATGTTTGCGTGACTTAGCGCTGCGGTTGTGGGTGTAAGAGGGCGGCGAGGGCTCGGAACGCAGCAGGGAGGGCTTGGACTTGTTGGGGAGTGGGAGCAGGTGCGGCGGCGCGGAGCTGGCGAGCGGTCCGACGGTCGATAGTACGGTGAGCGGCTCGCTCAGAAGGCGGGCAAGGCATCAATCAGCCTAACAGGCAAGCAAGGGCAATGTGACAAGCGAGAGAGGTCTGTCACGCCGCTGCGCGACTCGCGAGAGTGCGAGAGTGCGAGTTCGCGGGTTCGCTCTCGACTTGACTGCTTCCAATCTCCTGCTGTGTCTGCTGCTGATTGAGCTCCTTGCAGTGAGCACCTCGAGCTACGCAGCCGGCTTTCCTGGCGTCCCCTCGCTCTTCTGCACACCTCGCTCCCCCACCTTACCCGACGCGTGCGAACAGGCGGTCTGCAGTGGGTTTGAGGGCGCGGGTTGAGGTGAGGGAGACCTCCTAGACCCTGTAGACTGCCTATGTGAAGCGCTGACCATCGACAGAAGCAGACGCGCCCAACTCCGCCTCCTCCCTCTCTCTCCTACTCGCCCCTGTCCTCTCTCCCGTTCAGCGATGTCGCCAAAACCGAGCGCACCCATTCAGACATGCGACGGTACCCTCACCCTCGTTCCCGACCGCCGCGAACTCGAACTCGCCCTCCCTCTCATCCCCAACGCCCCAGGTCTCGTCTCGCTCGCTCTCTCGACCGAGTTTGCGACATGGCTGCGACAGCGCGGCCTTTCGGTGCCGCGTACAACATGGAAATTTCAGGACCTTCAGCGGCTACGGACGGCAATGAGTGCGCAGGGATACGATGCGTGCGCCATCTTCTTCCCATCCATGCGGCGCCAAGCGTGGCTGACAGCTTTCGTGGCTCGCAGTGGTGTAGCCCCTTTCCCTCTCGTTCCCCTTCCCTCCGCGTTCCTCACCGCCGAAGCAGCTGTGGAACAACAGGCCGCTTTAGCCGAACTCGACGCTCTCAAAATCAAACCCACGACTGTCCTCCCGAGCCGGCTTGTCCAGCGACTCCACCTCGTCGCTCTCAACGGGCGTGCACGGATAGACTTGCTGAACGAATATGGTGCCGAGATCGATCGTGTCGAGCGAGTCGAGGGGAGTGACGAGGAGTCCGAGTCGGAATGCGAGGAGGGCGTTCGGGGCGGCAGGAAGCGGAAGGCCGGTGCAGCAGGTGCTACGCGGTCAGGCGGAGCTCGGAGCAGGAAGCGGAGGAAAGGCAAGTGCAGAAAGAACGCGACGAGCAGGACAAAGGGCGTCTCGTCCCTTAGGGTCGTGGTCTACTCCGCCGGTGCGTTGCGAGACACTCGTGCTCTTAGTCGCACTACCTGACGCCGGTCGTGAACCTTCAGCCGTCTTCGATCGTCCACTCCTCTTCCGCGACATCGTCGTCCAGGACGACCTCCGACTGGCCTATCCAAGCATTGACCGGATACCGACGCTGCGCTCAACGGTACTTGAGCATGCCGCGGCGCGAGATGCGGGAAGCGGGCTGCATACGCCAGTCGCAAAGGTCGAGATGCTGGGACCTGCGGTGTGGGAGGGCATGAGGAACCGTGGCGCTGCGCTAGAATACTCCGCCGTTCGTCCTCGTTCTTCTCGAGGTGTGTCTCCAAGCTAACTCGCATGAAACGCGCAGCTCTTCGCGTCGTCATCCGCCTTCTCGTCCACCTTCGGTTCAGCGACACCGACGGACCTGCGCCGCTTCTTCGGCCGTGATTTCGCCTCCGCGTCTCTTGTGCGTCTACACTCTCTCGTTGTGGGACGCGTTCGCAGGCAGCTCACCGAGTCGGCGCAGCTCATCTCGTACGAGTTGCGTTCACTCGACACCTTCCTCTCGACCATCTCCGACCAACTCTCCTCTCCCCTCTCCCTCGATGCCACGCTCCTCCTCCTCGAGATTCTCGCCCAATCGCCTCGCGCTCTCCCACACTCCACATCGCCCATCTTCTCCCCTGCGCCCTTATACCCCCAACCAGACTTCCCGGATCCTCCTCCACCTCCGGCGCGTCCATCCCCTTCTGAGCGCCGCAACGCCCTTGCCGACCTCATCCGAGACACCCGCGTCGAATGCGAGGGCGTACAGGGAACGCCAACCCTCACGAAGACGACGAAGGTGTTGTCGTCGAGACTCAAGTCCGGCTATGCCGTCGAGCCGTACTCGGACTTGTGGCCGGCGGATAGGTTCGAAGTGAAGCTCGGGATGGCATGGATTCAGTTACAGGAGGTCGAGGATGTCCTGCGGAGCTGGAGAGCGTTGGGTCTGCCCGAGCCGACGGAAGAGGACTCGCCCGTTCTCGACGCGGTGAGCGGCATCCCCCCCTCTCTCTCTCCTAAAAGCAGCGCGCTAATGCTCAGCACCCAGTTCGTCACCCTCCTCTCGTCGTCGGTTCTCACGCCGCCCGAAGAGGCTGCTAGGACGTCTTGTCATGCGGAACCGCCTCGAGGTCCTTTCCTCGGCGCCTCAATCGAGAACTGGGAGTCCCTCGTTCTCGGACCGGTGCGTACGAGCTTGGTACGTCGACACTGATCGAGACGCTTACTTCTGCTCGTGCAGCTTCTCTCGTTCCTTGTCGAAGGGATCAATCGCGTCCTGCCCGTCAAGGACCGGCTCGACAGCGAGCACGTCGACAACGCTTCGCTCGAAGAGATCTTATACGCGCTCTATTACCCGCGGCAGTCCCGCTCGCTCTTTCGCCGATCGACGGGCTTGGAGGAGCGCAAGCTGTGGCTAGTCGATGCAGCATTCGCAGCCGAAGCCTCAGTGCGTCACTCCCTTTTGCATCATCCAGCGACACCTGGTTGACGTTTCTCACGCACAGCAAATCGCCCGCTGGACCTACGCCAATCGGTACCGCTTCATCTCCGTCTACCTCACCTGCTCCGTCCTCGGCGCCGACAAGTCCTCCATCTTCGGCGATTCGCGGTCGCCGACAATTATCCCCATCAGCAGCGACCCTCCTGCGCACTGCATCTGGCAGTACTCGCCCTACCTCACCCTCCTCGACCGCCTCTCGTCGCTCACCCCCTCTACGTTCGCCGCCTCCACTCCCTTCGACTTTACAGCAGCAATGTCGACGTTCCGCGGCAGCAATGACGCCGACGCCGGCGAGCAGCAGCTACCCGTCCCCGCCGTCTACATCGAGCGGTTCATCGCTTCCGAGGCGAACCTCGGCTTCCATTCGGGAGTGGTCGAGGTGCGCGGGCACAAGGAGATCAAGCGCCTGCTAGCAGAGTCGAAGCGGTCGTTGCAGGGTGAGCGGATGCGCGAGCTGCGGGACGAAGGGCAGGCGAGCGCCGCTGCCGCTCAGAAGAAGCAAAGGGACGACATACGGAAAGATCAGGCCGTATCACTCGCTCCGAAGGGCATGGAGCGGCCCAAGCGAACTGCTCTGGCGGACCGCACGAACGTCAAGGGCAAGTCGCGCCGCTTTGGACCCTCTTCACCATCTCCTCCGACCTCTCCCGCCCGTCCCGCATCTCCTACTGCCGGCATACAAGCATCGACCGCACCCGAACCTACACCGGAACATCCGTCGTCACCGACAGCTCGGCTCTCGACGTCGACCGAAGAACACCCTCCGCCGTCATCAGCTGCGACGAGTTCGCCTGTCTCGGCTCTCACCCTCGCCCCAACTTCTTCTACTGCGATGACCAGCACACCGCCGTCCCCGTCATCCACTAGCGCAGACGGTGAGCCCGTGTCCGACTCAGCCCGCGAGGATGAGGCCGAGCAGTTGCGCAAAGAAGCCGAAGCACACGAACTCTCGCAGCAATTGCAGCTGCGTATGTCCGAATGGTCGGCGCACACCGGTTTCATGTTCCCCAGCTTCAACGTACGACTTCCCCTGGCCTTCATCCTCCTGCCCGCCTTTGCCGACTACATTCTCTCCTCCCGCACCTCCTCCGCCATGGCGTCCCCCGCGAGCGATTCTCCCAAGAATGCTTCGCTCGACACGTCGCTGGACCAGCTCAGCGACTCGCAATACCTCTCCCATCTCGCAACCTGCACGGTCTCCAAGGCCGTTGCAGTCCTCGCCTTTTTCAACTCCCACGCTCCTCTCTCCACCCGCGATTACATCTGCACCGCCATGCCCGCCTCAATCAAACCACCTGTTGCGGCGCCTCTGATCCTGGCGCTGGGCGCAGGACTCGGCGACCTCGCAGCCAGCCCATCTCTCCCGCCCAACCTCGCTGCCTTGCGCCTCCACCTCTCCCAGATCGCAGAGACCTTGACGGCGACCGGGAGAGTCACCGCCTCGATGTCGGCAGATTGGGCCGAGATAGTTGAGCTGCGGGAGTTGGAGCGCGGGCGGCAAGGAAAGCTGTCGCAGGCGGGCGAGACTCGTCTGAAGCGGCAGGCTAAGGCGAGGGCGTGCAAGACTGCTGTAGATACTTCTTCTTGATGTTGCAAAAGACCCTGTCGAACATCTCTACGCCCGGGCGAGCCTCTTACGCATTCCGCTTCGCTGGAAGGCTGCCAGTCGCTCATCGACACGCGCACGCACGTAAAGGTAGTGCGTCAAGAGCCGTTCACGTTCGTGCAATGCGCAGCGAGCTCGCCTGAGCGCGTCTCCCAGGAGAGAAGTAAAGCGGAAGCGAGAGGAGGAGGGTGTAGAACAGTTACTCAACAGGCCAGGATCGCAGCGTTCTCGTTCTGACCAACCTCGGCAAGCGCGCGATCGCCTGCGAGAGAAGAGAAGGAAAGGGGCGGGCCGGGGAACGGAGCTCGATCGGACTTGGGCTGGCTTGCTCGCCATCCGCATTCGCTCACCGCTCACCCTCCGTCCGTGCGGGCTCCTCGTGACGCGCACGACTCCAACAGATTGCCATCGCAGCCTGCGATACTGCTCTTCTCAGCGATACCGTCCTCGTCGCGCTGCAGTCGATCCTCCCGCCCGAACCTCGACAAACAACCCTTTGCTCCGCCTGCGAAGTCCGCCAGCCCGGCGCTCGCCAGCCCGGCGCTCGCCAGCATGCAGCATCACCCTCAATGCCTAGTCGACAGCCATCTCGACCGCACAAGCGCGATTGTCCCTTTAGACGCGTTCGCCCTCGACTTCACCAAACATAGCCTCGAGAAGCCGCATCATCGCAATCCGACCGCATCGAAGCCTGCCCCGCGAACCGAACACAGACTCCCGACGCCCGCCAATCCGCCAGCGACCATGCGAGCCAGCGACGCCCCAGCCCAGCGAACCCGATCCCGATGAGGCGCAATACCGCTGTGGCCGCCGTCCGCTCAGCCGTGGCGGTCCTGCGCTACGTGTGTCCACTCTTTCCTCCTAGGAGAGCCAGTCGAGATGTGCAGTTGGGCCAGCGAAGCGGTGAAGAGCGTGCGAGAGCGGGTGCAGTGGTTGAGCCGAAGCGGATGGGGGAGGCGGTGAGTGAGGCGGAAGAGCGAGTGAGAGCGTGGTCTGGCAAGGTTCGCTGACCTTGTACAGTCGCTGTGCAACGAGACCGAGTCTCCGGGAGGCTTCCAGCGTCGCAGCGTGTCGTGGCTGAGGTCGACTTCGTCTCGCGACGAGCGGGACATCGCTTTCACCTCGACCTCACCCGTCCACCGGCATCATGGCCAACAGGAGCAGGCGTCGCTCCTACGGGAAGCTCCACACCCCGCCTCGCGCCCGCAAGCGCAGGCGCAAGCGTCGCCCACCCCCTCCCGACCTCACCCCTCCCCCGCTTATTCGCATCACGTCTCTTCCGCTTCTCACGCTTGCGCCTGCTACTTTCGACACGCTTAACATCTCCTTCGACACTTACGCCACTCCGCTTGACAACCTGAACACGCCCGTTGACGAAGAGGACTGTGGAGGACCAGTGCTAGCAGCCGAGGAGGGAGAGGCGATCCAGGCGGCGGCGAAGGAGCCGCATACAACTTCCACGGAGACGGGAGAGACTGGACCCGCGGACAGAGCAGACGGAGAAGACCGGCAGATGGAAGAGGGCGAGGAAGGCAAATCCGAGCGTCCGGAGAACGGTGCGTCTTCTCGCAGATCGCGAACTTCCTTCAGGCCCGCATAGGTGAGTTATCGAGCGATAGAAATTGACTCGTATCGGTGTCGCGCGCAGACGGGAAAGAGTCAGTCATCCTTCCACAGATCGAGATTCTCCTTGACCAACAACAAGGTGCGCTGACATGCTTGTGAGACCGCTCTTACAGCGACTCTCGCGACATCCTGCGATTCCTCCGCCAGATCCTCCGCCGACACCGCGGCCGCTGTCGCTCTCGCCGCCGAAGTTCAGCGCCCGCCGCCAAGGCCTCGTCACCCACCGTGTCGCCATCCAAAGTCGAGCAGACTCACGACGACCGCATCGCAGCAATCTGGCGCGCTTGGGGCGGACGGGCTCAACCGGCCAAGGTCATCGGTAGCCGACGCTTTGCGGCCCAGGGAAAGAGGACGAGGGCAGCGGGAGCAAGGGAGGGACCGAGTGCAGGATGCGAAGGGTCGAATAACGAGATTGTCGAAGATGATGAGCGGACCATCGAGGGCGATCAGGAAGGATGTACGACGAGCGAGATGGGGGTCGAGAAAGTGGGAAGGGAGGAAACGAAGGCGGCGCCGGGTTCGGAGGAGGGCGGTAATGGCGAGGGAATGAGCGCTGGGAACAAGCCGGGATCGGGGACCAGGTCGACTATGGCCGTAAAGGAAACGGAGGTCACGGGCGGCGAGGCTGTGGCGATGTACGATGGTCCAGCGCCAGGATCTTGCCCGGTACAAGACGCATGTCTCGCTCCTACGCCTGCTCCTTACGCCACCGATAGGTTCACAGTCGGCGCCATGTCCCCTTCATCCGGCGACGCCTTCTCGATGACCCGCTCGATCCGCAACTTCATCGGGTACAGTCTGCAGGTCGCCGGAATCCTCGCCGGCATGTTCCGTCGCGACCACGATATGAAGTTGGAGAAGGTGCCGGACGTCGACCAGAAGCAGATCTTCGTCAAGACTTTGCCAGGAAGGACGGTGCGTCTGGGCTAGAAATGGCGTCTCAGACGTTCCGGGCTGACTTGGTTCTGCTCACACAGATCACTCTCGATGTCAAGTCCTCCAGCACGATCGACATCGTCAAGGCCAAGATCCAGGACAAGGAGGGCATCCCTCCCGACCAGCAGCGGCTCATGTTCGCGGGGAAGCAGCTCGAGGACAGCCGCACGCTCGAAGACTACAAGGTTCAAAGGGATTCGACCCTTCATCTCGTCTTGCGCCTACGCGGCGGCGCGGGGGACATCAGGTTGCTGACGACAAGCGGAGAGAAGGTGAGTTCCCGGCCTTCCACACACGTCTCTGCGCTAATCTAGGTCGCCGCAGCGCGTCTCAACCGCGGGCGTAAAGACGGCGTGCGATCTCAAGATCAAGCTCGAAGCGCAGTTCGGCTGGACCGTCGACCAGCTCAGACTCTTCATCGCGCCCGACAAGGAGCTCGCCGACGGCGAGTTGCTACTCAACGACTCGCAGGGCACCGGCCTGACGGTCTTCGTATGGCTTCGCACTCCCGGCGATACCTCGGCCCCGAAATCAATCGTGCGACTGCTCTCGAAGAGTTCGCCAGGTTCAGCGACCGTTCCACGTGCCGGCGTCGTTCCAGCTGCAACCTCGTCACTGGATCATCGATCGAGGTCGGCCCGTCCGGCGCACGCAACTACTGGCGACGCGAAACCCGCCCCGTCTCTCAGCGAGCCGCCTCGTCTTTCCGGTGCGCTTTCGGCGCCTTCCGCTCCGGACGACAGCGACGAGATCATCGTGCTCGACTTCACCCCGATCGCCTCAACTTCGACTTCGAGGTCCGCCGCACCTTCAGGCTCGCCCGGGACCGTGCCGTCCCTCCCAGGACTCGTCACCGAGGAGCTCGCGGAGATCAAGCCAGAAGACGATGACGAGAGCGACGTGGAGTACGAGACGGAGCTGTACGGTCTGTACACGAGGGAGCTTGAGTACGGCGCAGAGGACTCGGGCGACGCCGGCGATTCGAGGGCAAAGAAGCGTCCTGCCCGTCTCGAGGTGAGGCTTCCGCCTACATGAGGCTCCAGAATGTAGGCTGACGCATTGCACGAGCAGCTGCCTACCCTACCTGACCCTCCGCCCTGGAATGCCGAGACGTATATCGAGAAGGAGACCCGCCAGGTCTTGCGCCAGGCCACGAGGCGTATTCTCAAGAACGTCGAGGTGCGGACGACGTACGGAGGTGGTCAACCGCTCGAGCGCTTCCGGTTGTTGAGGAGGGGTCGCCTTGCTGGGGCCGGCGGTGGCGGCGGTGGCGGGCGGGGAGGCCGGACGGAGGAGGAGGAGGAGGACGACGACGACGATGGCGACCCGAGTGAGGCGACAACCAGATCCGACACAGACTGCCCGGCACGTCAAGACACCCGGGCACTCTTCGGATGCGACGCCATGCTCAAAAGTCTCGTGGAACTCGGCAACAGCGACACAAGTCGCCTCGTCCTGCACTACACATGCGACCGCATCCCACCCCTTCTCCCCTCCCCGCTTCCCATCGCCGACTACGACCCCATCAGCGGGACCACCACCGTCGGACGTGACGGGGTGCTCGCAAGCGCCTTCTCGTTCCTCGAAAACGCTCACCTTGTCGATTGCCACATAGCCGTCGATGGCTGGACTGCCTTCGTGGCCGATCACCCGTTGCTTGACGGCATCGGGACTCGCGTGCGGCGTTACCTTGCAGGCGACAACAAGCACGAAATCGTCGCCAACATCCTCTCCTCGCCGGAACAGGCTCGCGGCGTACGAGACGGCCACCGATCGTGGGACTTGGAGCGGATGAAGAAGTTTTCGACTATGGCCGGCGTCGTCGTCGTCCACCTTCGGACCAAGACGCTCGCCGACTTGGAACTCGGTCGCCTACGCGTCGCCATCTACAACAACTCAAAGACTCTCGCCGATGCCGACTTGATATCGTCCCTTCAGTCGGCCGCCATCAACACAACCGGCTGGACGTACCGGCATCAGCCGCGCGATAAGGAGTCGGTCTCCGAATGGCTCGCGCGCGTCCCACCGTCTTACCGCCGCGCCCTTGAGCGCTCCTATCTTCTTCCTCGGCTTCTACCTCGCCTGAACAAGGTGCGGACGTATTGGGGCAGACGAGACGGTGTCTGCCGGTTGATCTGGCAGCTCGACAAGCCCACGTACCGCATCGGCACTATCGTCGAGACCTCCATCAAGTTTACAAGCGAGGACGGTTCCAAAATTGTCCTTTCCGTCGCCGCAGGACTCGCAAAGTCCATGGAGGAGGCCAAGGCCCTCGGCGCGCAATTCCTCAAGGACAAGGGACGCTCTGTCAACAAGGAGGACATCGGCCGAGCAGCCCTGAACGTTCCGAAGGGAACGGCATCACCGGCGCGGCGAGGCGATCACGCGACTGCGGGTGCTCAGCTGGCGTTCGTCGCGGTTTCTAAAAGGTGCACTCCGTCCTCGACTCCTCCAATCCGTTGATCCAGCTGAATCTTTCCCGATAGGCTGCAAGTTCCCGGTCAACCGCTCTTTGGTGTCCTCGCGTCCGCAGCATCGGACGGTACGGAGCGCTTGAGCATAATGGAGCTTCCGCCCATCTCTTCCGCGACCTGGGATCGTCACGCGCTCGCGCCCGACCTTGCTCACAAACGTTTCGGCGCAATGCGGCGCCTTTCGGCTCCTGCTCGCTTCGCCAAGTCAGCCTACGACACCCTCCTGCGCGAGATGAAGGCCAAGTTCGCCCTGACACACAAAGGGCAGGCGCAAAGCGTGCGTATGCGCGCGCCCCAATCGCCAAGACTGTACATGCTGACAACAGCTTCTTCGCGCCCGCAGCTCGCCAAGCGCGTCGAACTGCTCTTCACGTCTGGGATTCGGGTGAGACGGCACCGTGCTGGCGCAGAAAAGGAGATTGACGAGGCCCCTCTCCACAGCTCAACTTCTTCTACGCCCCCAGCCAGCACGCATGGCAGCTAGTCACGCCGAGTACGCAAGCTGCGGGCTCGCGCCGAGTCGACTTCACATGGATCTCGCTCCGCCAGAACGGCAACCTCGCCAAAGTCCTCGAGCACCGCGCGTCGTCTGCACCTCGGGATGCACCTCAGTCCGGCGGCAAGGCCAAAGTTCCGGCTATCCTGCGTGTTCGCGGCGCCGACATCATCCTCCAGGTGCCCAAGGACCCGCTTACGGACACGTGGGACGACTCGAAACCCGGCGCATCCCTGCTCGACATCAAGTTCATGACCGGCGGATCGATCAAGCGCCTCGTCACAAAGACGCTCGAACTTGAAGAGTTCTGGACGGAGATCAAGGGGCCGTCCGAGGCCTTCCTCACCGATGCGGAGCGGAGCGCCATGGTGCGTAATCCCTATCCTATTCTTTTACACGCCTGCTAACCCATCACTCTGACAGCTTGCGAAGGCCGTTCACGGGGAAGATCTCGAGCGCATCGAAGCGCCGCGCGAGTCGTCCGCCCTGCACAAGTGGGCGCTGGAGCAGCCTTATCCGTACTTAGGAGGCATCCCTGTGCGTAAACACTCCTTCCTGCTGTCCGTTGAGGAGCGAAGCCGACTCTATCCCTCTCCTGCAGGTCTGCTCCACCAGCGCCGGCGTCCTCCAGTTCTACGCCGACCCAGCAGTCGGCCTCAGCAGCAACCCGGGCGTCTTCAACATAGTACCGCGCCAGATGCCGAATCTCGGTTTGAGGTCCGACAACGGCGTCGTCGAGAACAAGCTGTTCCGCATCTTCGAGCAGGAGGGCGCCATCTGGATCCGCGGCGACTCGATGAGCTGTCCAGCAAAGCTCACTCAGTTCGGACGCGCGCCGCTGTCGAAGGAGGAGCTTTTGAGGGCCGTGCGGAAGGCGCGGGCGCTCACGGAAGAGGAGCAGGCGAAGACGGAGGGATGAGTTTGCGCGGAGAGCGCTCGCGCTTGATCAGCTGTACTCGCCTGGTTGCATCTACTCTCCTGTGTTCAACATAAACCTTGCCTTCTCCTCGCCGTCGAAGAAGGAGAGACGAACGGAAAAGTCGTCAAGTTGAGGAGGCTCGCCCGCCGGCGTAGCTCGGGCGCAGCTCGCTTCCGTCGCAAACATCTCACGCGCCTTACTCATGTAATCTAGTCTGCTGCCCTCTCCGTCAGCGCACCAGTAGAGAAGCGAAAGCGTAACAAGCGACCTTCCCAGTCCAGACCTCACCGTCGTCCGCGACTGCCCGACTACTAGGCGATATACAACATTGGGGAGGGGGGACAGGCGAGTAGAGTGAGGAACAGATCAAGCGGCTTCAACAAGCAAAAGTGTTGGACTGGTCTCAACCGAGGAGCGCGTCGAGAGTCGACATTCCGTCGCCGGTCTCGCTCGTCTGGCCGATGTCGTCGGGGTGGTCGAAGGCGCCTTGGATGATCTTCTTCTGCGTAGCCAACTGGTGCCTGTGGCTGCGGAAGGAGGAGGAGCCGACGACCGGTCCGTCGCGCGCGGGGACGGTGCTCGAGGTCGATTCGCCGAGCTGCTTGTGGTTGTCGTGGCGCGACGAGTGCGAGGTCTTCTCCTTGTAGTCCTGGAGATGGCCACCCGCCTATCAGCATAGCGAGGGAAGGATGAAAGGGAAAAGTACCTTGTAGGCCTTGTTGGCGTGCGAATGGACGTCGAAGCCGCTGGGACGCTCGTTCTTCTCCTCAGCCTCCTCGCGAACCTCGGCGGCAGTGTTGGACATAAACTAAGAGACGTAGGTCAGCACTTGCGAGCAGGAGCGAGCTGGAGAGGGACGCGCACCTGGTAGTAGGCCTGGCGAGCGGGCGCCTGAGCAGCTTTCACGGCTGCGGTCGAGCGACGGGAGTGGTCCGTCTTGGCAAGCGCCTTCTCAAGCTTCTTCACTGTGCACAAGTGCCGCGGCGATCAGCGGACGGCGCACGAGACGACCCGAAGACGATGGGGACGTACAGTACTTGCCAACGCCGTACTTGTTCTTCCCGTACTTGACACCCTGGTGCCACTGCGCACTGAGACCGCGACCGTCGAACTCTGCCAGCCGATGTTGGGCAAAGTCAGCGATTCGCCGTGGCGCGGGGCAAGGCGGGATGCGGGCTCACCCTCGGTGCCGCCGTTCTTGAGCGGTCCATAGCGGCTGTTGAAACCAGGCGCAATGTCGTTCCACTGGATGCTCCTAAGCCTCTTCTTGTAGAGGTAGCGGTAATGCTCGTCGTGGAAGACCTGGGCCGGCATGCTGAGGAAGCGAGGCGGAACGGGCTGTCAGCGCGCGCTGGTGCAGAGGAGAGCCTGCGCTGGGCGGACACACCTTGGCAAGTCGAGAAAGCTAAGTTGGCAGTCGATTTGAGGTGGAAGTCACTGGAGTCGCGGGTCGCGCTGCAGTCGGACCGGACGTGAGCCACTGTGCTGCGTGGTGGTATTAGAAGGGACAAGAGTGCGCACCGAATGTGTGCGAGTGTGAGTGAGTGGTGAGAGGAAGAGAGAGAGGAGCGGCGGGGAAAGGAGGTCAGGCAGTCAAGGTCGACGTCAGCATGTCAAGGCGGAGCAGCAGGTGCAGGAAACCATACGAGCGTTCAAAGAAGGGTACGAGAGGCCTCAGCGGGTTCAGTGACGCGTCTTCGCTTTTACAGAAGAAGGGGGAGAAAGCCCGTCGCGCGTTGCGAAGGCGCCAGCGGCGCAAGTCGACAATCCTCACTTCGAGACGGACAGCAGGTGTCTGCCAGCCACGGCCAGTAATGCAGGGATAGCTGGAAAATAAACGGCTAGATAGCTGGGCGATGAGGGTGGACCACAGGGAGCGAGCCACGGCTTGCGAAGGTCGCGAGGTGTGAACGTTGCGAGCAGAGTCTCGCGGAGTGCTGTGTGTTCCGCTGGACGTGAAAGAGAGCATGCGTTGCGGCTTCTCTCCTCGTTGTCTCCGACGTTCCCGCGTTCTCAAAGATGACCGACCTGGGGAGGAGGACCGAGTCAGCGAGGAGCGATAGGATCGCCTCGACGTGGTACGCACGAGTAGTACGCAATGGCCTGTTTGCGTCGCAGCGATAGGAGCAGGGAGAAGCGGGGCGAAGGTGAGGCGGAGCGAGGAGGAGGAGGGGAAGAAGTCAGCATGGGGTCAACTCGAGCGACCTGCGAGACGCTGCCTTACGTTGATACCGCCTGGGTAGGACATACGAGGCGTGAGTCGTCAGCACACTGCGAGGCGAAGCGGAGAGAGGACAAGCCAACGCACAGAACTGCTGCATGAACCTGGGAAGGTCGAGTCCTCCCTCATCAGCGAGCGCTTCGTCAAAGACTGGGTCCGAGGGACGCACATGACGACTGCGGCAGCGCGAGCAGCACGGCGGTTCCTCGGGACGGTGAAAAGTTCGACTAAGCGAGACCGCCTCCGGTGCGAGCGGATCTCCTCCTCGACCTCGATGCACTTGGCCGTGTCTGCGCGAGGACGGGTCAATTCAGCCGAGCGTCTGAAGCTGTCACTGGAGGTCGACGCACAGTAGAAGTCGACGGCGGCCTGGATGTCGCTGCGGCGCAACTTCTGAAGTGACTCGTATGCCTGCTGGTAGCGGCCCTTTCCGATGAGCCAGCGCGGCGACTCGGGAGTGAGGTACACTTGTGAGCAGACGATGACGGCGGGCAGGCATGCGCTGCAGAAAGCAAACAGTTAGCGGCGAAGTCCCTGAAAGCGAGAGGGAGGACGTACGAGCCGAGCATGAGACGCCAGTTCAGGCCGGTGATGCCAGGCTTGTCGGGGACGTTCTGGAAGATGAGGGACGAGACGGTGCCGAGCATGATCCCTGCGGGCGATGAAGCGGGTTAGCCGCAAACTTGCGAAGGCAGAGGAGGACGGTACGGACCGAAAGCGGTCCAGGTCTGCCATTGCATCTCAAGCGAGCCGCGAATCGCTGCTGGCGAGATCTCGGCGGCGAGGATGGGGACCGTGGCACTTTTCGGGCCGATCCCAAGGCCGAGGAAGAGGCGCGAGATGAAGAGGTGCCTATTCGATGGATTTGCCGTCAGCACTCGCAGAGCTGGATCGTTCAGGGTGGAGCAGACGTCGCAACGCACCACCAAGTGTTCGTAAGGGCGCCCCAGATACATCCCAAACCTGCGCAGAGCGTACTCCAGAAAATCGCTCCTCGACGTCCCAAGTACTTGCTGAGCGGGTACGTGAGCCAGCAAGAGAACACCGCCGAGCACAAATACGGCGCGGCGTTGACCAGGCCGACGAGGATCGTGTCGTGGCGGGTTTTGGCGCCGATTCCTGCGGGATGAGGAGGTGAGCGAGACCAAGTATCGGATTCTGCGACCGGAGGCTTACCGAACTCTGCGAGGGGAAGGAAGGAGGTCAGATATGACGTCTAAGGCCTTCTGAAAGTCAGGACGCACGTTTCGGGTAGTACAAGTTTGCGCCGTTGACTGTACGAGGACGTTGCGACCGGTCAGCAACGTCCCTGGGACTCGCGAGGGCGAAAGCAAGAGGTTATGGTCGGCAGAAGAGCGAGAAAGGGAGGACGTGGCCCGCGGAGGGTCGAGAGCGAAAGGTTTCAAGGTGAAGGACAATCCTGCGACGTACTGACAGTCTGCGCGCACACGGGAAGAGGTCAAAGGACGCCACGTAAAGCGTGACATAAGGGCAATATGCACCTCATCCTGCGAGAACGAAGACGACAGGCAGCAAGAGGAAGGAAAGAAGGAAGGAAGGGAAAGAGAGAGGACGATGGTCAACACTCCGAGTCTTCCAGGCGGGATCTCGCCAGCGGGCTTGGTGGACGCACCATGCCTTGTACGACGGCGCCCATACTGCACATGAAGATCTGCGACGTTAAGGGCGTGAGCAAGCGAATGTCCGCCTCAAGCCAACCCTCTCTAACGGCTCGAGCGACTCACCTGCCAGTACAGCGTCTTGGTCTGTCGCCACTTGTGTGTCTGTGACACGAGAGAGACGTCAACACCGCTCAGAAAGCGGGAGGGAACGAGCGATGTCGCAAACAAACCTTCTCCTCGCGCAGGAAGACCTTCTCCTCCTCCGACAGCTGGTGGAGCCGCTCAAAGTTGTGGCGGTCCTGAGCGACGAGCGCAGCACGGTAGAGCAGCTTGCGGATGTCGGTCATTCCCGTACGCTCGACAAACTCGTCGACGTCTCGGCAGAGTTCGCTCTCCGACTTGTTCCTGCGCGGCGACGACTGTCAGCGTCGTCGTAGGGTCTCGCAGCTCGCGAACGACCGCACATGAGAGGGTTGGCGAGAAGCTGGTTCTCCTTCTTGCGGGCCTCCATCCCTGTCCGGCTGCCGACTTCTGTGAGCGACCCGCTGTCGCGGTGCGAATCGTGGGAGGCGAGCTGCCGCAAGCTGTGTTTCTCCTTCTCGGCAGTCATCGTGCAGCGTTCGAGTGAAGTGTCACCAAGCGAAGAGCGAGCAAGCGGCCGCCAGCGTTGCCGGGAACGCGGCCGATCTTTCGCAACAATGAAGTCACTTCAAACGACGACGGCCCCGCGTTGCCTGCCTCCGAAGGGCTCCATACGGGACTTCGGCGGTTCCCAGCCCGTTCTGTGCGAGGACTGAGCCTGTGCGCGAGCCCTTTCAGCGGCGAGGACGAGAGGAAACGCCGCGAGTCTGCCACCTTGCGAAGGTCCGGAAGCGAGCGCGCGGGAGGTGGCTTCCGACGACGAGGCGAGCGCGATCTCTGTGCCCAGATTGCGCGGGGCCTTCATTTGTCGGCCGGAACAGCGGAAGGCTCGAAGTGAGGCCGCAAGCTATTGAGGGGTTGCTGTTTGTAAAACTTGCTCGGCCACCCACAAGCACTGGTGGTTTAGTGGTAAAATTGGACATTGCCAAGTTGTTTACAGCTCGACGTTGTCTAGCCCCGGGTTCGATTCCCGGCCAGTGCATCGCTTTTTTGCTGAGTCCTTTCTTGGCTCCCGCTGCTCCTGTCTTATGCACGCATTGCACAGAGACCGGCGACGGCAAGGAAGTTGCTCGCTCGCAGGGACCCACCCTTTCGTCTCGAGCGACTGAAGCTTTTCCTCTTGCGTTTCCACCGAGCTGTTTCGCGAGATCCACGCCCGGCAGCCTCGCCCGAGATCTCCGGCGGAGTCAAAAGCGAGCTTGGCGCGCGCTCGGGGCGAGGCGGACGATGCGGCTCCTCGCCCGATCTGATAATCTCTTCCTCCTTCGTCTCACTCTCTCTCCGCTCGCTGTGACCGCCATGGGTGCCACACACGCTGCATCGGCCGCCAGGAACGTCGTTGTGCTGGGCGCGAGCTACGCAGGTGCGCCGACGCTCGCTTCTCCCGCCCGCCCGCCAAGAACCTCGGCAGCGTTGTCCTCGCGTGCTGACCCGGCTTGACCTGCTCGTACAGGCTCGCACGCGGCTGAATTGCTTGCCCGCACTCTACCGCCGAGCCACCGTGTGGTCGTTGTCGACCGGCAGAGGTGCGTGATCCTTCGTCGAGGGGTGGCGCCGCGGGTCGCTCTCCGTTCGTCGCAAGGGACCGCTGACCTGATGTGCTCTTCGCTGCGTACAGTCACTTCAACCGTGCGTCTACTGCTCGTCCTGCTTCTGGCCCTGCTTCCGTTCTCTCCCTCTGCTTTTGTCGTCATCCTGCTTCGCGAATTCCGGGCCCTTCGTGGGTTCCTCGTTTGGGACCGTCTTTCTGGACGGAGTGTGATCACTGCAAATATCTCCCGGGGCCGCTGGACAAGCTGCTAACTCGCCGCTTGCTCCCTCGTTTCCAGATCTCTACCTTCACCCGCGGTGCGTCCTGCTGGCCTTCCGCTCGCCTTAGCCCTGCTCGACTGATACAAGAGTCCTCTCGCAGAGTAAGCGTCGTCCCGGGCCACGCCCAGAAGGTCTTCATCCCCTACGGCGGCGTTCTCCCCGCGCCTCCTCCTGCTCCCGCTCCCATCGCTCGCCATGTCATCATTCACGCCTCTGTCACCGCCATCACCGACGAGCACATCGAGCTCGATCGTGACTTGCTCGAGAGTGAGCGGGACGTCGGTGGAGATGAGGATGAGGTGGAAAAGTTGACGAATGAGCTGGAGAAGGCAAAGTTGGGAGCCGAGTCGCCGCGAGAGAGGCGGCAGGCGACGCGGAGACTTGCGTGGGACTACCTCATCTATGTGCGCTTTGTTCCAGCCGGCTTTGCGAGGGCGAGCATACTGACATCTCGCCTCGCCTCCGTCTTCAATCCGTGCGCGCAGGCCCTCGGCTGCACACTTCCGCCGCCGTTGACGACAACAGCGCGCACAAAGAAGGACGGCGTCGCCTTCCTCGAGGTGCGCACGGGCGGTCTTAGATGCACTCCATCTCTCGCTTATCCTCCCCCCTCCTGCAGTCGCAACAACAGCTCATCGCATCCGCCTCGTCGATCCTCATCGCCGGCGGCGGCGCTCTCGGCATCCAATACGCGTCCGACATCGCCGACTTGTACAACAACCCGTCCAACGCCTCGCTCCTTTCTTCCCCTCCACCGCCGAAAAAGCGCATCACCCTCGTTCACTCGCGTGACCGCTTCCTCCCGCTCTACAAGCAAGAGGTGCATGAGGAGGTACTGCGAAGGATGGAGGAGCTCGGTGTCGAGGTTGTTCTGGGCGAGCGGGTGCAGCTGCCGGATGCGAAGGACGACAAGCCGGGAACGATGAAGACGCTCAAGTTCAAGGACGGGCGGGAGGTCGCGTACGATCTGCTGGTGCGTGCAGACTTGCCCTCTGTCGCTTTCCCTCCTGCTGACCCTTCATTATGGCGCAGCTCCGCTGCACAGGCCAGAAGCCCAACTCGCAGCTCTTCCGCGACTTCCTCCCCGACACGCTCGACGAGTGGGGCTACATCGAAATTCGCCCGACGCTGCAGGTGGACGTCTCGAAGGTCGAGAACGCCGACAAGCTGAGCGAGAAGGTCAAGCGGAATGTCTACGCCATTGGCGATGTGCGTCTCCCTCTCCTCCCTTTCTCGCTTCTCCGGCTCACCGAGTTTCGTGTGCGCAGGTCGCCAACGCAGGTGTGATCAAAGCCGGCCACACAGGCTGGAACCAAGCCGGTTTCGCAACGCAGAACATCATGTGCTGCATCGAGACGGACGCGCTTAACGCCGCGCGGGCGAAGGATGAGCGCATGAGCGAGCCAGAGCTCGTCGAATACGAGAAGACGCCGCCGCAGATCAAGGTCACCCTTGGACTGGTGCGTTGCGCTGTCCCTTCGTCGTTGCTCGTGCTGATGCTTGCGCTCGTGCTCCTTGCGTAGCGGCACTCGGTCTCGGAGCTGCTGCCGGACATGCAGGCGAAGGAGACGGTCGTGCAGACGGGCTCGGACGGGCCGGTCGACGGGTACTACAAGGTCGTGTGGGAGCGCATGGGCGCCGACCCATCCGATGTGAGTGTGTAGACAGTCGTAGCTATCAAGTTCACTATGTAGTGAAGTGGTAACGCTCTCAAGGAGGGCGTGTGCTGGTCATACAACACTCGAGAAGTTGCAGCAGAAACCGTCTATCGCGCTCATCTACCGCCGCGCACCCTTGCACTCACCGCACCTTCCAAGCCTGCACGCCCTCACTCCTCTTCTCCCCCTCGCTGCCGATGACGCTCCAAACAACTTCGACGCTCAACTCCCTCGAGTTGTCCTCATTCTTGCCAACCTTGACCTGTCCCTCGACCTTGTCTCCAACGCGAACCTGGATCGGCTCGCGGAGGAGGAAGAACGTCTGTTTCCAGTGCGTCGGGGTCGACCACGCGCCTGTCGTGAAGAAGACTTCTCCGTCTGCTCCGGAGACGGACGAGGCGCGCTTGGACGAGTCAGCGAGGCGAGGGGCGGAGGTGAAGTAGGTGTCAAAGTGCGCCAGGAAACCGTACATGGTGAAGGGGGCGGAGGAGTCGGTGTTGGCGGGTGCGCGGGTGATGGGGAGCGAGAAGGGCGAGGTGAAGGAGAGCGAGGCAATAGTCGCGGTTTGCGTATAGATGTCCTGCGGGAGCGGATGTCGAGTGTCAGCTCCGGGCTGCATTGCGAGGAAGAATGCGCCACCCACCGCGATCGAGACCTCACTCGAAACGACCTCGCCCTCATCCATGACCTCGATAATGGCCTCGTCCTCGATCTTCTCCTTCATGGCCTTCATCTCAAAGCCATACACCTCGTCCCAGAACGTGACGCGGTCGTCGTACCAACCCTGTCCGGCGTAGGCGCTCCACAGGATCGAAGTCTGCGAGGGCACCATCAGGCCCGACGGGGAGAGGTACTTGTCTCGCGCGTAGAGGACCGAGTCGAGCATGCATTCGTAGAGGAGGCAGTAGCCCATCCACTCCGAGATGATCACGTCGACCTTTGAAGGCAGGTCGATCTCCTCGACTTTGCCCTTGATGACCCTGTAAGGCGCCGATCCCTTTCGTCAGCTCACCTTCGCCGGACGGTCGCGAGCATTGGGAACGGAGGCAACGTCGCCACGCACTCGATGACGCCCTCGAAACCGTTCGCCTTGATGTTCCGCATCGCCTTGAACGCCACATTGCTCGCATCGACCGCATAGACCTTCTTCGCTCCCGCCTGGGCCGCAAACATACTCAAGATGCCCGTACCGCAACCGACGTCGAGGACGACCTTGTCCTTGAAGCGCGCGGCGTTGGAAGGGTGCAGGATGAAGGAGCGGTAGGCGAGAGTTCGGACGCGGTCTTTCAGCATGATCTCGTGAATGTCTGGGGGTCGTCGCACGAGTTAGCAGGTCGAGCGTGAAAGGAGGAAGAACGGCTCGTCGCGCACCGTTGTACTGGTACGACTCGTAGTAGTGGTCATCATCCTTATGAACCGCCTCGCCGCCCTCCTTCTCCTTCCCCTTGACGCTGACCTTCTCCACACCCTCGACGACCTCTCCCAACCGGTTTCCCTCTCCCAGTCCCATCTCGCCACCCAATCGCTCCTTGACGATCCGTCGCAAGTGCTCGTTCGCAGCCTGTGCATCGGCGAGGTGGGCTTTGAGAGTCTCGATCAGGTCGGAGGGGGTGAGAGGGTCGTCGATTGAGGGCATGGGAGGGTTCGAGGAGGAGGGAGCTGCGGCAGAGGAGGAAGGACGGGCGCCGGAGGGGGGAGTGTCGAGAGAGAGGGTGTCGAAGTCGACCTCTGCGTGGCGAGGGAGCGTCCGTCAGTCGGAGCGCTCCACGCGGAACCCATAAGCGCTAATTACGGAGAAGAGCGTCATCCTCGAGGACGGGCTTGAGGTACTGGTCGTCGTCGAGGAAGGCGGCGTTGCGGTCGAGGCGGCGCAGCGAGGCCGGGTCCGGGTTCTGTGGGTGATATCAACGTGAGCGTAGTCCTATTGACGGTGCAGGGTAAGGGAGACCCACGGTCGCCCGGATCCAGTTGATCAGGCGGATGCGCTCGAAGAAGTCTGGGAGCGCACGGCGTCAGCTCGTCGTTCCTTGTCCGTTCGAGCGGGACTGACCGAGAGTGGATGCAAGCAAGGGCAGGTCTACGCCGTGAGTGCGCCTGTCGTGGTCGAGGGCGAGCCACGCGGTGGGGAATTCGGCGGCGGGTTCAAACAGGGAGCGCGCTGGCTGGTTCCCGTCGTCCCAGTCGTCCCAGGTGTTGTCCGAGTCAGAACCCGAGTCTGAGTGAGTCTGGCTGGCCATCTTGCAGCCCTTTGAGCGGTGAGCGAGCGAGTGTAGGCGGAGTGAGCTTCGTCCAGAGCGCGGTCGCTCGCTTGCCTCCTTGCAGCACCCTCTCCCTCCCTCCCCGCCCACCCCGACCACCCGCCGACAGCGTGAGCTTACTGCTGGACTCTCACTGGCACTCGCTGCCCACCCGCGCTCGAACGGAGAAGCGACGACACCTCGACGGCGAGCACGGCGCAAACTCGCACCAGCACGGCACCACCGCCAGCGACAGGCTCAGCGGAGGACAGCTGGTTGTCCAGGATAATGCACAGGGATCGGTTGGGCAGGACGGGCTGACGAACGAGCGCAGGAGCAGCCCCCATCTCGCTTGCGCATCCCGCTAACCTTTTCCCCCCTCCCTCGCTTCACCACTCGCGCCATCTACCGCCTCGCCTGCCGCCATCCGCCATCCGCCTCGCTACGATTTCTGTTCCCCTCACAGAATGGCCTCCCGTCCCGTCGTCCAGGTTCGTGCCCTTGAGGGCGAGTCGTCGAGCACTCTCCCGCTCCGTGAGTTTCTCATCTACTGTGGCCTCGTCTACTCGTAACTCGCGCCGGGATGTCAGTAGGGAGCTCGGTGACCGTTGCTGACCCTTTCATCCCCTCCCTGTCCCTTCGCCTCCTCAGCGGCCGTCTTCACCGCCCCCATCCGTTCCGACGTCGTCGCTCAGATCCACAAGAGCGTTGCCAAGAATCGCAGGCAGCCTTACGCCGTTGCTGAGAACGCTGGACACCAGACCTCGGCTGAGTCTTGGGGAACCGGTCGCGCGGTCGCTCGTATCCCGCGTGTCGGAGGTGGAGGAACGCACCGCTCGGGTCAGGCCGCTTTCGGTAACATGTGCCGCGGCGGTCGCATGTTCGCCCCGACCAAGATCTGGCGTAAGTGGCACATCAAAGTTGCGGTTAACCAGCGCCGTTTCGCCACCGTCTCCGCCGTCGCTGCCACGGCCCTCCCCTCGCTCGTCCTCGCCCGCGGACACCGCATCGAGGGTGTCGCCGAGATCCCCCTCGTCGTTGCCGACAACGTCGAGTCGATCAAGAAGACCAAGGAGGCTGTCGCCGCTCTCCAGACCCTCCAGGCCCACGCCGACGTCGCCAAGGTTATCGCCTCGAAGAAGGTTCGTGCCGGCCGCGGCAAGTCGCGCAACCGCCGCTTCCGCCAGCGCCGTGGTCCCCTCGTCGTCTACAACGAGGACAACGGCATCGTCAAGGCGTTCCGCAACATCCCCGGAGTCGAGACCGCCAACGTTCGCTCGCTCAACCTCCTCCAGCTCGCCCCCGGTGGACACCTCGGTCGATTCGTCATCTGGACCGCTGGCGCCTTTGCCAAGCTCGACGAGGTCTACGGCACGTACGAGAAGGGCTCGGCCCTCAAGTCGGGCTACACCCTCCCGATCAACAAGGTGCGTTTCCCGGTCTCCCTCTAGTTCTCTTCCCTTTCCGCGCCCGCTGACGCTCTCGCTCGCCTTTGCGCAGGTCACCAACACCGACATCTCGGCCGTCATCAACTCCGCTGAGGTCCAGGCCGTCGTTCGCGAGGCCGGCCCTTCGCGCACCAAGAAGACCTCGGGCCAGAAGAAGAACCCCCTCAAGAACGCTGTGCGTCGCGCTTTCCTCGCTCTCTCGAGCTCTCGAGGCTGGAGGCGGTGCAGTTCGGACTCCGCGGTACACGAGCTGACCTCCTTTCTCGGACTTGTGCTTCCTCTCGCGCGCAGGCCATCCTCGCCCGCTTGAACCCCTACGCCGCCTCGGCCAAGCGCATCGCTGCTGCCGCTGAGAAGCGCGCCGCTGCCGGTGGCAAGAAGCAGGGCCACGCCCAGAAGCAGGTCAAGGCTTCCAAGGGCTTCAAGGTGCGTTCGCGCGCTTCCTCTTCGCTCTCTCGCCCTCATCGCCTCGTGCTCGCTTCCACTCGATCGTGGACGCTCGCTGACGCTTTCGCTCGCCCTACTCACGCGCAGGAGACCCTCCTCTCGGCCTAGGCGATCCTGCTTGAGGCCCTTTGTGGAGGTCGGTTTCGAGGCGAGGCAGGCAAGCGGTCGACTTCTCTCTCCTCTCTCCGTAGGGCGTGAGGGAAACGTTGCCTTCTCTACTCTTTTTCCTCCTCAACAAGCGTGCCTATTTATGCATGGGTGCGAGTGTGCGCTCACTTCGGGCGTGGCGGGAGGTGTGCGGGCGGCGGCCAGGGGAAGTGCGAGGGCGGGCGCGGGGGCGAGGGTGCGCGGGCGTGCTGCAGGAGCCACCCCGTCGAGCCGCGGCGAGGAGGAGAGCGCGAATGCGGCGAGCGCGAGCGAGAGCGTCGAGAGCGCGAGGGAGGGCCGTAGTAGGTCGAGAGCACGGTGTACGAGTTCGTGCTGTGGAATGTGCGCCGCCCGCTGCCTCTCCCCTGCTCGCGGAAGTCGCGCTCCTCTTCCTCCTCCCTCTCCCGCTCCCTCTCGCGGCGGCGGCGGGGCCCTCGCACCTCGCGCTCCTCCCTCATGGCGCGAGGGGCGATGGGAGGAGGAGCGTCGAAGGCGGCCTTGGCGCTCGAAGGGCCCGCCGCCGCCGCGACCGCACTCGTCGTCGAGGCGCTCCCGCTCGCCTCCTGCTGCTCCCTTCGCTGCGCCCACCACGCCCACGCCCGCGCCTGCGCCTGCTCGTCCTGCTCGGGCACCTCCTCCTGCTCGTCCTGCTCGTCCTGTTCGTCCTGCTCGTCCTGCTGCTCCTCCTCGTGCTGTGGCTGCGTCGAGGGGAGCGGCGCCGACACCCTCCTGCCGCTGTAGGCGAGCCTCTTCGCCGCCTCGGCGCGCTCGGCCTCTTTCCTCCTCTCCTCCTCGCCCTGGCGCTTCGCCTGCTCCTCCACGAGCAGCTGCTGCGCCTGCGCCACCCTGCGCCGCTCCTCCTCGCGCTCGCTGCGCTCCGCCGGCGTGAGGGTGCGGAAAGACGGAAGCTGGGAGAGCGAGCTGGAGGTCGCGCTCAACGTTGACGGCGGGCGGAAGAGAGGCTCCTTGATGCGCCGCTCCTCGTCGCTGTCGGGCACGACGTCGAGCGTCGCAAAGGGCGCGGCAGATGTCGAGGAGGCTGTCGAGGTCGAAGCTGACGCTCGAGGGTCGTCGTCGACCTTCCTCCGCTTCGCCTCCTTCGCGCCCTTCGCACCCTTCAGCTCCTTCGCCCCCTTGCGCTCGACCTTGCGCTCGACCTCGCGCTCCGCCTTGCGCTCCGCCTTGCGCTCCTTCCCGCCGGCCGCCCTACTCGCCTTCTGCTTCGCTTCGGCGGCGGCAAAGCCCTTCGGCGTGCGGTACTTGGTGCCCTCGGGCGGCGGGCTGATCGAGAGGCTCCGCTTGAGCGCGTTGGGCTTTGGCTCAGCGGCGGGAGGCTTCGGAAGCTCGACGGTACTCTTGCCGTGCAGGCTCGCGGACGTAGGCGTGCGAGGAGGCTGGAAGAGCTGCAGATCCTTCGAGTCGTTCGCGCGCGAGCTCGCGGCGGAAGGAGCGTTGGAGTGAGCGGTCAGAGCGGTCGGACGTGGTCGAGGGGCGGCGGAGGAAAGGCGAGACGAAGGGCGAGAGGGAAGGGCGGGGACGGCGAAGGTGTCGCTCGTCGACGGAACGGTAGGCGCCGCCTTGCTCGCCGATGCCGCAACGGGGAGCTTGTCGACCGTCGAGGGCGTCTTGTCAACCGTCGAGGACGTCGTAGCAGCCCCCACGACCTCCCGCTTCCGCTCCCGCTCCCGCTTCCTCTAGGCCCACCTCGCCCTCTCCCTCTGCCTCCCCCTTCCCTCGCCTCGCCACCTCCACCTCCCTCTTCGCTTCCTCTCCTTCTCCCTCTGCTCCTCCCTCCATTCCTCCAGCCACGCCCGCACAAACTCGACCTCCTCGCGATGCACCCGCTGGATCTCTTCCGGCTCGGGCGGGCTCGGACGACCGTTCTCGTCCCAGTGGTGGACGCCCTGCGTGCAAGCGAGCGTAGAGAGTGAGTAGGGAGAGGGAAGGAAGCGAAAGGAAGGGAGAACGCACGCCCTTGATGAGGAGGAACGGCTCGGAGGTGGTCGAGCGGCGGTGGCCATGGTGCGGAGCGAGAGGCGAGTGTGGCGTGGCGTAGATCCAGGCTGCGGGCGGCGAGAGCGAGCCTGGTGAGCGAAGAAGGAAGCAAAGGACGAAAGCCCGGAACGCACGGTCTTCGCTGCCGTCGATGAAGGCGAGGCGCGGATACGAGAAATTGAAGCCGCCGTACTGGTTGATGGCCGTGACGTTCGGGCGGTTGGGAACGCCTGCAGAAGAGAGGGAGAGGTCAGCTCGCTGTCCCGGGGCGCAGCGGCAACTCGAGCGCCATGCCGCCCGAGCTCCAAGACACAGCCTCAAAGATGTCGAGCCAACTCACTGTTCAGCTCGCCGGGCGGAAACGCCTTGCGGCAGATTTTGCTCGTGTACTCGGTCGTCAAGAGGCGCGAAACGAGCGAAGGGTGCTCCGAGTCGGGCGGCGCGCCGATGAAGTAGCCCCACTCTGTGGACGAAAATGCGTGTGAGCGAGCGAACTGAGCAGAGAGAAAGCGCGCCCACGCACCCGTGCAGAACTGGTACGCCCAGCTCTTCCACTCGTAGTCGTCGAGCTCGTCGCCGCTGTACTCGTCCGTGCCGAAGCAGTCGTCCTGCGCCGTGTCGGGCGGACAGAGCGTCGCGACGTGCTCACGGACGTACGAGGCGTAGCCGGCGAAGCTTGCGAGAGCCTTGCGCGGGTCTCTCGGGAGGGAAGGGAGGGCGGCGAGCTGGGCGGGCTGGAAGAGGTCGGCTTCGTAGATGGACGACGAGTTGGCGGTGATGGCGTCGCAGAACTCGAAGAAGCGCGTGCTGCCGACGGACGGGTCCCAGTTCCGCGCCTGCCATGAGCCGAGCGGGATCGCAAGCGCGTTGACAAAGTCGGCGTCCGAGGTGACGTTGCCGAGGCCGAAGTAGCCCTTGAGTGCGCTCGTGAGGGCAGGCTGCTCAAGAGCGAGGAGCGAGTCGATGAGCGAGGTGTGGTTGACAAGGCGGTCGATGCATTCGGAAGGGCCGTTCTGGCGGATGGGCTGCGAGCGGAGGGCTGCGGGTCAGCACATCTTCAACAGCTCACGTACATGCCCGCAGACGCACCTCGTAATACTGCCAGTAGTCCTCGATTGCCGCCGTCACAGCGGACGAAGCGATTCCTCCGGCGAAGACGTCTGGGTACAGGTTCCTCGCCAACGCCGCTTTGGCGCCTGCGTAGCTGCCGCCGTAGTAGATCCATGGTGTTGAGCCGCCTGCTTGAATGTCGACGTTCTCGAGGCCGGGCAGGACGATATTCCGAGCGAAGTGTGCGCCGTCGTCGAGGCTCTGGCGAGTCGTCAAGAAGCGGAGCGAGTCGGTCGTCAAGTTGGAGACGGGGAAGCTCTTGCCGTAGTAGCGGTGCTCGAAGACGATGCCTATGCCATTTGTCGCCTCGGAAAGGATGCGCAGGATACCCTGCGAGAGAAAGGGCAACCGTCCCTCGCCGTCCGTCTCGCCCGCGTCCAGAAGAAAGAAAGGCCCTCCAGGCTTGTAAAACGTCGCGTCGAACCAGTATCGCTGCTGCCAGGTCTCGTCAGGCGTTGTCGGAGGGTAGTGGGGGTTGTGCGAGACGAGCTGGTCGAAGTAGTGCTCCTGGTAGGACGTGCTCGGCTCGTGTCGGCTCAGGAAGGGTATTTGACCGGTCTGCGAGTCCACCCACGGTCCACGAGCGCCATCGTCGTGTCGTCGACGCAGCTTCGCCTCCTTCCACAGTCCGAGGGGAAGTGCCGGCGTCGTCCCCTTGCTGGCGAGTTCGTTCGAGCTTAGAGGGTCAGCGAGTGCTAAAAAGCCCAGCAAGCTGAACACGAGCGCGCTAGCCGTGCGCATCGTGGTTGCGTCCAGCCAACCCCTCGTCCCGCCTCTCTCCCCGCGACCACTGAGTCGCCGCTCGCCGCTTGGAAGCTCGCAGCTTCATACACTGGCTCAGATGTCTCACTTGGACTCGGAGAAGGGCACGGGACCGCCGCTACCTTCGAAGGCTCGCCCGGATGCCGCTCGCGTCCAACACCTCTCCGACAAGTCGCGCCAGACTGTGCAGAAGCTCAGCGTGCTCGTACCGGACGAGTACCGCGAGTTCTTCGACACGTGTTGGGGTATGCCCTGCGGCAGGGTACTGGACGGCCGAGGCTTCTGCTGTACCGACGTCGATGTCGGACTTGAGCATCCCTTCATCGTTCGCCAAGATTACGAGGAAGGCTACCAGTACCTTTCAGAAGCGGCGCAGGCAAAGAAGAAGAAGGCGTTCGTGTGGTACGGTCAACCGGGAATAGGTGAGTCGAGCGCAGGTTTCGCTATGGGCTCAACTCTCAACATTGCTTACGAGTCCTTTCGTAGGGAAGAGCCTCGGTCTGCGCTATTGCCTCGTCCGAGCAGCCGAAGACTGTCGCCCCGCCGTTTTTTGGCCCGGCCCGCCGCACTCCGTTCTGGTCTTCACCAACGAGGGCCTTTTCGCCATCCCGCTCGATCTCTGGCGCAGGTTCGACTTCCTCGTCTGGCCTATTGTCCTCTTGGATTCACCACGGAACGGAGACATTTCGCCTCTGCTCTACGAGAAGAATGCCTGGCCCGCCTGCCTCGCCTCCTCACCGTAAGTGCCGCGGTACCTCGACTTTGCCAAGGCACGAACAGCCGAATTTCGTGTCGTTGACGTCTTCCACTCGAAGGAGTTCGATAACCTCCTGTACGATATATTCCTTCCGCCTCCTGGCGACTCGCTTCTCCGCTGACAACCCCTGTACAGTATCCTCACCTCCGACCTCTCCCTTCCCGGCTGCAGCCCCTTGGCTGTACGCCTCTCGTCGATCAAGGTCGAGTATAGCTCAGCCAACGGGATCGCGGAACGGATCGTCATCACTCCGGCGTCGTCGGTTTATGCAGGCGGGACGGACGTCGCAGCTCCTGCTCGGCGCATGTATGACGACGTGGTGCTTGACGACGTTAAGGACGAAGATGAAGACCGCCTGCTTGCAACGCTACTCGAGGAGATGAACTTGCCCGGGAAGAAGCCGTCGCTCGAGGTCGTCAAGTCCGCCGTCGCGTCCCTCGCCCACCTCCCGGAGGCGACACAGCAGTACTGGCTAAAATGGTCGATGAAAAACCGCTACTACACGCCGATCGAAGTCTTCCGCTTCGCCGGGCCCAGCGTCCGCGACCCGATGAATGGCATCACTCGACTTACGGGCGACCCACGAGTCGACTATTTCGGCAACGAGTTCGTCAAGGCGCCCGTCAACGCGCTGGTCGACCTCTACCGTCTCGTCTCGCCGAAGATGAACGCCGATCCGAACGCGCCAAAGAGGATTGAGCTGCGTTCCGAGGACCAGGAACATGGCTTCCACTCGTTCTTCTTTGAGGCGCCCGCCACGAAGGACTTCACGCAGAAGAAGCCATCGCCGTACTACTTCATCCCGACGGCCCTTATTCGCGACCTCGTCGTCCAAAGCTTGGCCTTGCAGGAGGAAGACGTCCAGCGTACCCTTCTCTCGACGTTGCGCTGTGAGCCGACCATCCTTGGCTTGCTGTATGAACCTTCGGTCATCAACTACATCGCCAACACCGGCATCCGTCTCACCCTGCTCGACCAGTCTACCTTCGACATTCCCCCCGGCCTTCCTCTACTCCACGTCTCCACCAACCTTGCCGTTCCTCTTGATCGCGCCTATGTCGCCAAGCTGCCCCCAAATCACGCAACATACGATTCGATAATCGTCCTTCCCGAATTCTCGGCCGTCGTCCTCGTGCAGGTCACGGTCTCGAAGGGCCACGACGTAGTTGCACAGGGATTTGACGTGCTCGAGGAGGCGACGGAAGGCAGGATCCGCTCGGACAAGATGACGAGGATCTTGGCTTTCGTTGGGCCGGAGCCAGACGCCGCCCACGCTCTTGCGATGTCGTGGGAGGAAAAGAAGTACGGCGTACGGAAGAAGGGCAAGCGAGTTGCACCGGTCGCATTGGACGACTGGGAACTCGCCTCGGCTGGCGTGACGGTCGAACAATTGGCTGGCAAGTTTGGAGAAGTTCTGGTGCGTCGACTTTGCGGTCTGTTCCTCGCGATCCCGCTCACTTTTCTTCTCCGTCAGGTCGAGACAAGCCCGCAACTTCCGCAGACTGGCTTCGAGAGCTGAATTGTTATGCAAGATTGTATCACATTCGAGTCCGTTCTACAAGGAGCCATGCCGTCGAGATGGAGAGCAACCATGTCCGTTACCCTCGCCGGCGCAGTCTCGACGGCTTAAAACGCGCCAGCATCAGCGTAGTCGTTGTCTGTGAGCATGGAAAGAAGCGAGGTAAGAAAACGCAGGAGCGAGATGAAGCGCGGCAAGACGACTCGCTAAACTCCCGTCCGATCAGCATCCGCCGAATCTCCTGGGTGCCTGCGAGCAGCGAAAGCTCGTCAGTCTCGCTACGACACAGCGTCAACAGCGCGACGCACCAGCTCCAACCTTGTACAGCAACGCGTCGCGCAAGAAACGGTTAACCTCGTAGTCGTTTGTGTAGCCGTTTCCGCTGCGTTCAGCACACTCCGTCAGCGAGTACGTCGGTCGTTAGTGAGGGGAAAAGCGCGCACCCGAGCATCTGCAGCGCTTCAAGGCAGACTTCGGTCGCGCGGTCCGAGGAGTAGAGGATTGCGCCGGCGCAATCCTGCGAGGCGAAGATTCGTCAGCGTCGGCGTCTGACGCCACAACGAAACACAGATGGACGAATTACCCTGTTCGTCACCTGTCCCGCATCGCAAGCTGTCCAAGCAAGAAGGCGGATCAGCGATACCTTCGCAAAAGCCGAGGAAGCGCAACGCACCCCTCGCCACGCTGTACAAGTACGCCCTCGACGCGCTGACCTTCGTGTACATTTCGGCGATCTTGCCCTGCATGAGCTGGAAGGTGCCGATTGGGACGCCGAACTGCTTGCGCTCGTGGACGTAGGGGAGGGCGTACTGCGGGCGAGGCAGGCGAAGTCAGCGAGGCGCTCGCGGCTAGAGCGAGCGATAGCAGGCACATCAAAAGCAGCCTGCATCAAGCCGAGCGGACCGCCGGACAGGACGATGCGCTCGAGGTTGAGGCCGGACATGAGAACGCCGACGCCCTTGTTGAGCTTGCCGAGAACGTTCGAGGCGGGGACGAAGCAGTCTTCAAAGACGAGCTGCGAACGATACCTCAGCCTCGGAACAGAGACATGGCTCGGGAAACGCACCTCGCCAGTGTTGGACCCGCGCATGCCGAGCTTGTCGAGCTTCTGCGCGGTCGAGAAGCCGTTGAAGCCCTTCTCGACGCTGCCCAAGGCCTCTTGTCAACGAGTTCACCCGCTTTTGTCAGCGAAAGCACGCACATGAACGCGGTGATGCCCTTGGAGCCGGCATCAGGCTCCGTCTTGGCGTACACGATCAGGACATCTGCGTCCGGTCCGTTCTGGGCACGTCACGTCCCATCAGTATGCTCGAGCTGCAGAAGACGTCGCAAGCCGAACTGTGGACGCTGCCAACGCACCGTGATCCACATCTTCCCGCCGTTCAGCACCCACCCCTCCTCTCCCTCCCGCGTCGTCTTCGTCGCTTTGAGCTTCATGGAGACGACGTCGCTGCCAGACCCAGTCTCGGACATGGCGAGCGAGCCGACGAATTTGCCGCTCAGCAGGTTCGGGAGAAACTTGGCTTTCTGCTCGGGCGTGCCGTGCCGGTTGAGCTGGTTGACGCAGAGGTTGGAGCTGCGCAGGAAAACGTCAGTCTCGTACTATGGTGGAGAGCTTGCGCGAGACGCACTGGGCGCCGTAGGAGAGCGCGATCGAGCCGGACGCCCGCGAGATCTGGAGGAGAAAGCGTGTTAGCCGAGAGACGCGACGGCTTGACCGACCGGCGTACCTCCTCCATGACGATCAAGTGGTCAAGATAGCTGTCGAAGCAAGGTGAGTCAGCCTCACGGCATAGCGGAGCGAAAGGAAATCGTCGAAACCGCACCCCTTGCCCAATCCTCCGTCGTCCTCCTTGACCGTGACGCCGAGCAGACCCATCTCGCCGAGCTTCTCCCACATCTCCATCGGAAACTCGTTCTTCCTGTCAACTTCCGCCGCGATGGGTGCGATCTCGCGCTGTGCGAACGAGGCGACCGTCTCTCGCAGCTTTTGTGCTCGACAGTCGTCAGCCCCTGCTTCGGTGGGAGTGTCGGAAGAACGCACCTCGAGCTGGTCCTCCGTCAAGCCCAGCCCTGCGCTCGAAGCTGTCGTCGAGACTGGTCGCAACGAGGCGAAAGCCGGGCGTGTGGGGAGGGTACGAGCAGAGGCGGCGAGCGCCGGGCGTGCCGCGAGAGTCGTCGAGCGTAGCAAGCGAGGTACGTAGTGAGTCATTGTGCGAGCGAGAGTGTCCACGAGCGAGTGTGACGAGAGCGAGACGAGCGAACAAGTGAGAGTCGGCAGGCCTTTGCGAAGACGGCGAGCCGTGGCGGGGACTTTGCGAGTGCTGGATGCATTGCGAGAGAGCTATGCGTATGTACAACGAGGTAACCAATTGTCTATAGCAAGAGCGACCACTGGTCCGACTCGCGGTTGTCGGCCGTGATCCTCGCCCACTCGAGCGCAAGCAAGTACGCATAAATCAGCGCGTCGTCCCTCCTCGCACACTTCTGCGCCCACTCCCGCCCGCGCATCGCGACGGCGTATAACTCCTCCTCGTGCGCCCGGCCGCGGCGGATCGCGTTAAAGTCCCGCGAGGACGGCGCTGGAAAGCCTTGCGTTTCGGCGATGGAGGGGACCGAGGCGAGGCCGAAGAAGTAGGCGAGGAGGTTGTAGAGCTCCGAGAAGCGAATCGAGAGGGGGATGTAGTGGTACCACGGGATGAGGGTGTCGTCGAACGCCTCGAGAAATAGGCGCGACTTGATCACCGCCGACCGCGACGCCATCAGCGCCGGAAAGCGTCCCGAGTACGCCGTCCCGTCCATGTCGAGGATGGCTTTGAAGAGAAAGTTGTTGGCGAACGGAACGAGGCCGGTGAAGCGGAACGAGGGCTCGGTCGACTGCGTCTCGAGCGACTCGCTGTCGCCGTGTCGGTCGGGCGAGGCAAACGCGACGTCGGCGAGGGCGGTATTGAGTGCGGAGGAGGGCAAAGTCATCGCAAGAGTCTTGTTGTCGGGTCCGGCGAGGATGACCTGGTCGTAGTGCCGCCACTCGATCAGGCGGTTCATCTTGCTGACGAGGCGAGAGCGCATCCATCCCATCCAGCTCAGGCCGACCGACCTGCCGCCCGTGTTGGTCCCGCGCCAGTACAGCTGCGAATGCGAGAGGTGAGCGCGAGACGAGTGAGAAGGTCGGAAGGAACGCACCTGATTCGCCTTGCCCTTCCACTCAACGTCTTCATGCTCATGGTAGGGCATCTCTTGATACCAATGGTACCACGTCGGCACGAGGATGTCGTTGAAACCCTCGAGCTTCGAGTTGGAAAAGACCGGGAAAGGCTGCTCCGACCAGCTGAAGCTGAGCGGGCGGATCAAAGTCTGATGGAGCTCTTGCAAGTCGGGCTGGTCGCACCACGACCGGCGCTCGAGTTCGGCGTTTGAGAGGAAAGAGCCGAGTTGAGGAGGGACGGTGAAGGCCGAGGTGTACCGTTGCGAGACGTGCGGTTTTGTGCCGGGTGCGGGGGAGAGGGCGGCGCGGCGAGCGGCTGAGGAAGGGGGACAGGACTGCCGAATCGTGTCGTAGGCTGGCCGTGCGCCTGACCATCCGAGGTCGAAGAAGACGGGTTCTTCGGGTTCGGGCGAGCGGGCTGGGAAGGGTGCGACAAGTCAGGCGAGCGGGTCTGCGGGTGAATCGTCGCGTTACTCACGTCTTCGTCGTTTTCCTCGGCTCTCGAGGTCTGTCCGCAACTCGTAGGGCATAACAACACGCGGCTCGTCGAGGTGGTTGATGAAGAAGTCGGCTGCGGGAGGCACAGGCGAGTTAGGCGGATCAAGAGACAGGGGAAGCAGATGACGCACCGTCTGGTAACCGCACACCCTCCCTGATCAACTCGTCGAGCATCTCCTCCCACGCCGTGCGCGCCTGCGATCCCTCGAGGTTCGCCGCGCCCACTCCGAGACCCTCGTCAATCATCTCTCTCCACCTGACGAGCCTCCCGTTCCGTATCCGCACCCTCCCTAGCCCCCCATGTCCCGCCTTTCCCAACCTGTCCATCCTATCCCGAATCTCGCTCCCCTCGAGTCCCCACCACACCCGCAAACTGCGATACATCTCGTCAAACCCATCGATCCTGCACGCGCCCCGCTGCACAGCAAAGTTGTACCACCCGTCGTAGCCTTTGGGCGGTCGACGACCGTGGCGAGCGGTGTAGCGCGCGTAGGCTTCTTCGAGAGTTTGGGGCTCGCTCGCGAGCCGACGGGCGTGTTCGGCTTCGGCGCGGGCGATGAGGCTGGGAATGGGGTGAGGAAGTGAGGGAGTGGAGAAGATGTACGGTAAGGGGACGACCTTGAGGCAGAAGAGGACGAGTGCGACGAAGACGAATCGGTTCGTCCAGCTCGTCCTCGCAACGACGCCCAGCACCCTTCCGCCCAAGTCGTTGACGCCGACAGAGCTCCTCCGTCGTCCTGCGCCGTGCCCATTCGCACCCTTCTCGTACTGCGCACCCGACCCGTTCTGCGCGAGAGGCAACAGTCCCTCCTCGACGTCGGAGCTCTTGCTCCGGTGTCCCCCCGAGCCCGTCAACAGCCTCTTCGGGTCTCCCATCTTGCCACACGCCTACTGCGCCCGTCGCGAGTGCTGGCGAGACCGAGGACGAAGGGGTGTTTGCTCGTGTGCGCAGCCTCGGCTGAGTCTGGGGTGAGAGACGCGCGCGGGTCGCGCGAGTGCCGCGCTTTGGCTGACGGAGATGGCAGTGTGCACGAGCAGTCCAGCACGCGCGTATGCAAGCCAGGCGAGGGTGTGCAGCGAGTGCGAGAGCGAGAAGAAGGCGGCGAACAAGAAACGATCGCGATGACCAGGCTCCGGGAAGCGCTCCGCCCGGCGAAGAGCCCTGTCTCGCAAATGGCCAGCAGGCAGCTCGTCGGCGGACTCAGAGGGGATAGGCCACTCTGCTCGTCGTGCGGAGGGAAGAGAACGGACGGACGGAAGGAGGGAACCGCGGGTTTACAATGCTGGAGGAAAAAAGTGCTGCTACGAATCTGCCTGGCTGAGCAGGTGCAGTGGAGAAAGAGAAGCGTGCTCTACGGACCAATCACTCTGCGAGAGAGAAAGCGAGCGGGTCAGCAGGCGAGTGAAGGAGCGAGAGAAACAGGACGCGGACGCACTGGTGTGGTGGATCCGCAGCTTCTTAGCCGTGTAGCCGTAGTTGCTGCGCAAAACGGACCCGGACGACTTGTCAGCTCTTGCGCAATGGGAAGGACAAGCAGGCGAAAGAACCCGAACGCACTTGGCGTAGCTCTTCGGGACAAACTTCTGCACCTGCGGCTCCTGGCAGTAGTACTCCCATCCCTGCTTCTCGGCGAACGCGACGGCGTCCTCCTTGCTGTTGAACTGCACGAGATTGTGAGATGTCAGCAATGGTGGAGGGTTGAGCGGACGACGGGGAAATGGGCGAACCTTGAGATGCGTGCCCTGCATGTAGTCGCCGCTGCGGAACATAGAGAGAGGGATCATCAGCAAAGCGCTCGTCTGTGTGGGACAGAGCTTGCGCCCATCTTCCGCAGACTTACGAGGATGCCCTGCAGAACCGACAAGAGGTCAGTTCGCTCGCGTTTCGAGAAAGATGAAAGCTTTCCGCAACGCACCATCCCATCAAAGGGTTCTCCCACCGCCCTGCACCCTGCAGAATGTCCCTGTGCACTCCCGAACGAAGAATCAGCACCGGTTTCGGAAGCGAGAGCCGAGCGGATCAGGACGGCGAGCGCACCAGTCGATGCGCCAGTGGTGCGAGGTGCCCTTGGCGGAAGAGGTGGGAGAAGGAGCGGGGCGGAAGATGCGGACGGGGCGACGGTGGAGCTCGTCTGGGTGGTCGGGAGAGAGAGGAGCAAGGAGTGGGGGCGTGAATACGAAAACCGGATGAGTGAGGCGCGATAGGCGGTTCGAAAGAGTAATGAGAAAGCATAGCAGGCGGTCACGAGGTATTAAAGGCGAGTCGAGCCGAAGTTGTCGGGGAGGTGGAGCGATGAGGACGAGGAGGGAGAGAACGAACCCATGTCAGCTCCGATTGCGCTCGTTCGCAGATACAGCGAGCTCTCACGCACCAGGAGCACCACTAACAACGCCGGCCTGGGTCACAGCGCCCTCTGGGCGTTCTGCCGGGACGTGCGACTGTCCCTCGGCCTCGACGGCGCGGACGGGGATGTTGGTCGCTGCTCGTGCGGTCGAGGCGAAAGTGCGTGCCTGCGAGCGCAGGCTGGGCAGGCGGAGAGACAGCATGGCGAGGCGAAGTAAGTTGACGAGCGGGAGACGTCGACGAGGACTTGGTGTTGGCTCTCGTCCGCTCACTATGGCCCGCTCGAAGGCTTGCTGAGACGACACTGCGCTTGCTGAGCTGCTCTAGACTGGCAAGACCTGCCAGCAACTCGCGCAACTCGCTTTCGCCCCGCTCTCCCCGTCCTCCCTCGTCTCCCGCTGCACAACATGAGCAGCGCATTCGGCAGAGTCGCCTTCCAGTGCTTTAGCGAGGATGTGGGCTGACAGACAAGTCTCTGAGCGAGCACGGTCGCGCGCTCGAGCCTGGCGCACCTCCTCTCCAACAGCCCGGACATCCCGTAGACATATCTGCGAGCGCGTCCGCTCTTCTGCCTTCAGCGCTATTCTCGCTGCATCAGAACGCCCGCATACGCTGCCTACACCCACCCAGCGACGCGCGCTGAGCTGTTGCGGCTTCGAGGGCACCCGCTGTTCGCGCTCGCAGGCTCCCCTCGGCCAGCCTCGAGCGCTTTGAGCGCCGCGTCAACAAGGCTCTCGAAATTCGCTCTTGACGCGTCTGACGGGCAATGACGAGGCCTGCTGCTGCTGCGACCACGATGGACCCGCCTATCGACCCGGTCCTCCTCGCCCTCAGCCCGCCTCGAGTAGGTCAAACCCAGCGTCGCCGATCCCGCTCTACATCGGCGAGGAAGAGCAGCCTGGGTGACGTGCAGGTCGGAGACGGGGACGAGTCGATGGACGAGCTGGGCGGGGACGACGAGTTGTACCAGGATTCGGGAAGCGATGCGGACGCGGACGGCGATATCTTCGTCGAGGACGACACAGGCGCACCGGCGACGACGAATGGGAAGGGCGCGAAGAAGAAGAAGCCTTCGCTATCGTCGGGCAAGAAGGCGAGCGGGCTGAGCAAGCAGGCGAAGCGGTTGAAGGAGGCGATGGGTTCGAAGGGCGCGGGCACGACGCATATCGGCCAGAAGGGGCCTGCAGGACTGCCGACGAGCTGTGCGTCTGACATTCCTTTCCACGGTCGAACAGCATTTGACGATTCGCGAGGTTCGCAGGCGAAAACTGCCGCTCTCGCAAAAGTGCGTTCTCCACGGCCTTGTCCGACGCCTTGGACGCTGACCTTCGCACTCATCACCTACAGTCAAGTGTTCGCGACACGCCAACTGTACCTCATGCCAGCTACGCGGCGAGACTTGCGTTTGGCGAGCCGAACCCCCGATCAAAATGTGCGCCTCACTGTCTTGCTCCTGAATGGACGCCCGCTGACGACTGTTGAGCTGCACCCAGCGCGGAATGGGCTTCTGCTCAAGGCGTGATCAACGCCAACCACGCCGAATGCGACCGCCTCCGCCGGATTATCCAAGCCCTCTCAGCCCGCTACTCCGCTCGCGAATTGATTGCTTCCGTCCGCGAAGGCCGCGAACCGCGCAATCCACCTACTCTCGTTGACGTCCCACTCCGGTCCAGGGCAAGGCAGCAGGGTGGGAAGAAGAAGGCGAGCCCGCTTGAAGGCGCGGCAGGGTTGCTTGCGCTTGCGCTTCCTCACGGTTTCGACAGTTCGGCTCTCGACGATGTGCAAGTCGATGGGGACTACCAATTGCCGATTCCGCCAGTCCAGCCTACTGGCTCGTCGCCATTCAAGCTCCCTGTCCCACCGCAACCTACCGAGGGCGTCTCTTCGAACGAGTTGCTCGACGCGTTATCCGCCGTAGCGACCAACGAAGCCGGAGCCAACGCGCATCCAGCCTCGACGTCTACCTCGAAACCGCCTTCTCAGCCGTCTCTCCGCGTTACGATCCCCTCAGGCCCTTCGTCCGGTCCGCCCTCTCTCCCCTCTGCCCTGCCTTTTTCGCTGCCAGCTCCGTCAACGAATGGTCATTCGCGCTCCGCGACGGAAGGCGCACAGACTCGCCCAGCTTCTCCCACTCCCGATGCGACCTTCACGACCTCTCGTCCTCCCGCCGCACCACCCGCGCAGCCGCCCTATCCCTCCTACCCGACCTTCCTCAGTCAGCCGTCTCGCGCTCCGCCACCTCTTCCCAGCTTTCCCACCCGTGCCCCTCCTCCAACTTTCTTCTACCCCGTCCTCCCCTCCCCTCTCATGTCCCCTCGCTCCATCGCCTCCCTCGCGCATACCCGTCATTCCGCATTAGTGAGCCAGCGTGATCCGGGGAACAGGCTTTTGAGGAGGATAGGGCACGAGGAGAGGTTTGATCGGGCGATGGAGAGCGAGAGGGTGAGGGCGAGGAAGGAGGAGGTTGGGAGGGAGAAGGGGGTGGTGGGGGGAGAGCAGAGTGTGAATGGTGTGGACGGGAACGCGGAGGGCGAGAAGAAGCAGGACCAGCCCGGTACGAACGGCACGCCCGCCTCTCCCAAAGACCAGCAACGCCAACTCGCGCAACAAGCTGCACTCGCCTGGGCAGCTTCGAACGGTATCGCTCCCGCCTCGACGAACATCACCTCACACCCGACCGACCCTCCCGCTGCCTCGAGTTCGCCCAGCTCTTCCGCCGCAGCCTACGCCGCCGTTGAGCCGTACCGCCCTCTCGCACGAGATGTCGACCCTCCTCTCGTCGATCCTGGCCAGCGCCGTCGGTCGAGCTGGCTCGTCAGTCCCGTCAGCGGTACCTCAACAGGCGGCTTTGCGCTCCTCACGACCGGCAGGCCGGTTCTAAGCGTCGATGCAGCAGGCGCGACCGCCTCAGCCGGTGCAGGTGGTTCGTCCATCTCGGCTTTGTTCCGCACGCCTAGTGCATTGACGAGCGCCTCGTCAAGCGGCTTGTTCGGCCGCATCTCGCTCTCGCCTATGCGGAGTGCGTTCCCTCACAGCGCGATCGAAGAGGGTTTGAGGCCTTTCAGTTCGATCCGTATGCCGGGCGACGAAGGGGAGGGGGACGAGCGGTTCGAGCCGCGCATCGAAGGTGCGGATGAGTGGGCGAGGTTTGAGCCCAGGCAGGAGAGGGAGGGGGAGAGGGAGGTTGCGGCGCGTGCGGAGGCGAGGACGGTTATGGAGGAGGAGGAGGAGGAGGAGGAGATGGAGACGGAGGACGGGAAGAGCAGTGTGGGCGTCAAGAGCGGGAGGAGCACGAAGGGCGACGACGAGGCTGGGTCGGGCGAGTCCGACGGCGACGAGTGACGAGTGTGTCTATCTGTGCAGTGCGTATGTTGCTGTCATGCTATGTAGACCCGCTGATACCCCGTTCGCTTCGAGGAGGAGGCGGTTGACCTTCGCAGCTCGGGGCTCTCGTCCCCTCGTTCGCTTCTTCGATTCTCCAACGCTTTTACCAGGTCCTCGCGCATTCTCCACAGCCCCATCAGCTTCGCTCGCTGGCGATGCGAGCACGCGCATCCACCTTGACCCTTGGTCGAAAGTCGCCAGTTCGGCCTCGTCCAGTTTGCCGTGTTCCTTCGTCCCCTTCCTCCTCACGCTGCTCTCTCTGCTCCTTGCACGCTACACTCTACTACGCTCGCTCAACCAGCTCACTCTCGACGCCCAACTTCGCCTGCACCGCCTCTCCGACCAACTTCATCTCCCCGAGCAACTCTCCCGTACCGGCAACCTCTCCCTCGCTCCTCCTGCGCCCTCTAACCAGCTTCAAGGGATGCTCACCATCCTTTCAGATATCACCGGCATCGGCGCGGAGAAACGCACGCCTTACGATCCCCCGCAGGAACTCCCGCCTGGATCGCTCGAGGGCAAGGTGTATCTCGTCACGGGCGGGCATGGGGGCATCGTGCGTCTTTGCTGACTGGTCTTTGAGGAGAGGCAGGGGCTGACCGAGCGACGGACTGAACGTACAGGGACTCGAAACGACCCGCTTCCTCGCCCTCGCCGGCGCACGCATCCTAATCGCCTCTCGCTCGTCCTCCAAAGTCCACTCCGCAATCGACTCCCTCTCGTCCACTCACGGCGACTCGATCCGCTCAAAGCTAGAGTACGTCGAGTTGGACCTGGCGAGTTTGGCGAGTGTCAAGCGGTGTGCGGAGCGGGTGTTGGAGGGGGAGCAGAGGCTCGATGGGGTCGTTTGTAATGCGGGGATCATGGCGCTGCCTTATAAGTTGACTGAGGTGCGTACGGCGTCGCGGTTGGACGGTACACAGGAAGGCTGACGGGTTTCGAGGGCGACAGGACGGAGTCGAACAGCAGTTCCAGGTCAACGTCCTTGGACACTGGCTGCTCGTCAACAAGCTCCTTCCTCTGCTCGAGAAGACGCATCAGGTGCATTCGCAGACGGAACAGTCGTTGGAGCGAAGTTGACGAACCTCTCTCCCTCCTCTCGACAGTTGACGGGCGAGATCTCGCGCGTCGTCGTCCTCTCCTCCTTCGCTCACAACTTTGTACGTCTTGACTCCCACACACCCTTCTTTCCGCGCCCAGTCACCTCGCGCGCCACACACTGACCCGTCCCCCTCCTTCCCGCCCGCGCGCCAAGATCTCCCTCTACCCCTTCTCGTCGCCCTCACTCTCCTCCGCCTCGGCCCTGAGGAAAACCCACCACTCCCCCTGGCTGCGCTACTCGGTCTCGAAACTCGCCGGGATCTGGTTCGCGCGGGAATTGGATCGGAGGGGGAAGGAGAAGGGCGTGAGGAGTCTGAGTGTGCATCCGGGGTTTGTGGTGCGTCCCTTCGCTCCCGTCCTCTCGCTAGAGAATGAGGAGATGACTGACGAGGACAATGGTGGGCAGTCCTCAAACCTCTACGACACCCACGCCCTCGCCCGTCCCCTCCTCCGATTCTTCATTCCCCCCTCCTCCGGGTCCTACACGACCCTCTTCGCTCTCACCTCTCCCCAAATCGCCGAGAGGGACTGGTGGGGCGAGTATTTGGTGCCGTTTGGGAAGAGGAAGGAGCCGCGCAGAGGAAAGGATACGGAGAGGGAGGAGGAGTGTTGGAGGGTTTGTGAGGCGGTGTGTAGGGAGAGGGTTGGGGGTGTGTGAGGGAGCTGCGTGAATGACGAGGAGGTGACGGAAGAAGAAGCGTGTAGTTCCTTGGGAAGAGCAAGTGAGGCGGTCGAAAGACGCTCGCCTTGCCAGCAAGTCTGATGCCGCGCGCCAGAGTGGACACGACGAGCTCAGATACCACGTCCTTGTGCAGCATACGCCCGCACGGGAGCAGCACTTGTCCCGAGAGCGCATCCGACGACCCTCGCATGGTCGACCAAGCCGCGGTGAACCCATTCGACACTCCGAGTGCGCAAGTCCTGCTCCGATCTCGTTTCAAGATGTCGAGTAGCACGCTCGATCCCAGCCGAGTTCACTGTCGTGCGAGTTTCGCAGTGAGCGGTGTGCGGGGGTGAGAGGGTGAGCTGGAGAAGGGCGACGAGGGCGTGCGGCGGGCTGGGAGTTGGACTGGCCCAGCGTATAAGGGTGTGTACAGTAGTCTGAGGGTATCTCTGCAGTGCCACTGTGGCTGAGAGGGTGTGTGCGAGTGAGCGGTGAGCGGGTGTCGTCGCTCGCTCGCTCGCTGCTCTCCGCCTCGTCCTCACGCCAACACTCGCCAGCCATGCTCGCATCCACTCGCGCGCTGAGGCAACTCGCACGGCAGAGACCACTCAACTCTCTGCCCAGGCGCACATTCACAACAGCTGCTCCCCGCCTCGCCACCGCTCAACGCGCACCCGACGACTTCGCATACGGCACCAATGCTTCCTACTCCGAGGCAATGTACGCGAGCTGGCAAAAGGCGAGTCTCACACTTCACTCGCTGGGGACCCTGCTGCACTCCTCGAGCGACGCCGGACGCTGCGCCCACTCTCTTCTCGTCTCCGGAAGTCGACTTGCCTCGGCGAAGGACGGGTCAGCCAATGCGATCGGGACGGGGCCAGCTGGGGTTTCGCTGGCAGCACAGAGACGGTACTTATCCAGTCGAAAGTAACCTGACTAACCCTCGCTCTCCCCGCGCAAACAGGACCCCTCCTCCGTCCACTCGTCCTGGGCCGCCTACTTCCAAGGCCTGAAGAACGGCCTCCCCTCGCAGCAGGCGTACCAGTCTCCTCCCGGACTCGTCCCTTCACTCGGTGACAGCCTCGAGGGACCCGCGCCCGTCTCGTTCGCGGTGGATGGCGGTGAGATCGAGGACCACATGAAGGTGCGCTCAGCGACCAAAGTGTTCGATTTCTGCTCGTCAGGCGAGCGAAGTAGCTGACTTGACGTTTCCCGCGATGCTGTGCAGGTCCAACTGCTCGTCCGCGCGTTCCAGGTCCGCGGCCACCACATCGCAGCCCTCGACCCTCTGGGCATGCAACAAGCCGACCTGGACGCCTCGACTCCCTCCGAGCTCACGATCGAGCACTACGGATGGACCGAGAAGGACCTCGACAAGGAGATCGAACTCGGAGCGGGTATCTTGCCGCGGTTCAAGAGCGCGGGGACGGACAAGATGACCCTGCGCCAGATCATTGACACGTGCAAGAAGACCTACTGTACGTCGAGAGCGTCCTGGTCACGTGTGTTGCACGCTGACGAGTTGCAATGGCGTGCAGGCGGCTCGATCGGTATCCAGTACATCCACATTCCGAACCGCGACCAGTGCGACTGGATCCGCGAGCGCATCGAGATCCCGCAACCGTGGAAGTACTCTCCGGACGAGAAGCGCGCGATTCTCGACCGCCTCACCTGGTCCGACTCGTTCGAGCGCTTCATCGCGTCCAAGTACCCGAACGAGAAGCGTTTCGGTCTCGAGGGCGCCGAGTCCCTAATCCCCGGGATGAAGGCCCTCATCGACCGCTCGGTCGACCACGGGACCAAGAGCGTCGTCATGGGCATGCCCCACCGCGGCAGGCTCAACGTCCTCGCCAACGTCGTCCGCAAGCCGATCGAGGCCATCTTGTCCGAGTTTGCGCCCTCTCAGGACCCGAACGAGGAGGCTGCCGCCGACGTCAAGTACCACCTTGGCGCCAACTACGTCCGCCCGACGCCGAACGGCAAGCGCGTCTCGCTCTCGCTCGTCGCGAACCCGTCCCACCTCGAGGCGGAGGACGGTGTCGTGCTTGGAAAGACCAAGGCGTTGCAGCACTTTGAGGGCGAGGGAGACTCGGCGAGCGCCATGGGTCTCCTCTTGCATGGCGATGCGGCGTTCGCGGGTCAGGGAGTCGTCTACGAGACGATGGGTATGAGTGACTTGCCCAACTACGGCACGGGAGGAACCGTCCACATCATCGTCAACAACCAGATCGGGTGCGTGCGGGCGTTCCAGGCGAGCAGCCGAGGGAGGTACTGATGACTCTGGCCCGCAGGTTCACGACGAACCCGTCGCAGGGCCGCTCGACGCCGTACCCGTCCGACATTGCCAAGGCGATCGACGCGCCCATCTTCCACGTCAACGGCGACGACGCCGAGGCCGTCACGTTCGTGTGCCAGCTCGCTGCCGACTGGCGCGCCAAGTTCAAGAAGGACGTCGTGATCGACTTGATCTGCTACCGCCGCCACGGTCACAACGAGGGCGACCAGCCCATGTTCACCCAGCCCAAGATGTACGAGACGATCAAGAACAAGCCGACGACGCTGCAGATCTACACCGAGCAGCTCGTCAAGGAGAAGACATTCTCGGACGAGGAGACGGAGAAGCACAAGTCGTGGGTCTGGGGACTGATGGAGGAGTCGTACGAGAAGTCGAAGGAGTACAAGCCCACGTCCAAGGAGTGGCTCTCGTCGTCGTGGGACGGCTTCCCCTCGCCGCGCGAGTTGAAGGAGAACGTCCTCGAGGCGCGCGCGACCGGCGTCGACTTTGACACCCTTAAGGGCGTCGGAAAGGCCATCGCCTCGACCCCCGAAGGCTTCAACGTCCACCGCAACCTCCAGCGCATCCTCAAGACCCGCGGTCAGTCGGTCGAGGAGGGCAAGAACATCGACTACGCGACGGCCGAGGCGCTCGCATTCGGCACCCTCGCGCTCGAGAAGGTCCACGTTCGCGTGTCCGGACAGGACGTCGAGCGCGGAACGTTCTCTCAGCGCCACGCCGTCATTCACGACCAGAAGACGGACGAGACCTTCACCCCGCTCCGCCACCTCTCCGACAGCCAGGCCCCCGTCACCATCTGCAACTCGTCTCTGTCCGAGTTTGGTGTCCTCGGCTTCGAGCTCGGCTACTCGCTCGTCGACCCCGCCCTTCTCGTCATCTGGGAGGCGCAGTGTGAGTCGGCGCCCGCTTTCTCGTTCAAGGCGCTTCCATGCTGACCTCTCACGCCGGCCCGCAGTCGGTGACTTTGCGAACGGCGCGCAGATCATGATCGACCAATTCATCGCTGCCGGCGAGCGCAAGTGGCTGCAGCGCTCCGGTCTCGTCATGTCGCTGCCGCACGGCTACGACGGCCAGGGCCCCGAGCACTCGTCCGGCCGCATCGAGCGCTTCCTTCAGCTGTGCGACGACCACCCCTTCATCTACCCGTCGGCTGAGAAGCAGGCGCGCCAGATCCAGGACTGCAACATGCAGATCATCTACCCGACCATCCCCTCCAACATCTTCCATGCCCTTCGCCGCCAGATCCACCGCGACTACCGCAAGCCCCTCATCGTCTTCTTCTCCAAGAACCTCCTCCGCCACCCTCAAGCCCGCTCGTCGCTCGACGAGTTCGGCCCCGAGACCCTCTTCCAGCGCTACATCGCCGAGCCCGAACCCGAAGGCTTTGCCAAGCCCGAAGAGGTCGTCCGCCACATTCTCTGCGCCGGTCAGGTCTACTACACCCTCCTCGCCGAGCGCGAGAAGCGCGGCCTCACCAACGTCGCCATCTCGCGCATCGAGCAGCTCTCGCCCCTCCCTTACGACCTCATCACCCCTCACCTCGACCGCTACCCGAACGCGACGACGTACTGGGTCCAGGAGGAGCCGATCAACAACGGCGCGTGGACCTACGTCCAGCCTCGTATCGAGACGGCCATGCGCGAGACGGAGAACCACAAGACACGCAGGTGCTACTTCGCCGGCCGTGGTCCCACGTCGTCCGTCGCGACCGGATCAAAGAAGCAGCACGCGCTCGAGATCCAGCAGTTCCTCGACGCCGCGTTCGACCTCGACGCCCACCGCGTCGAGTTCAGCCAACAGTCGGCGCACAAGAAGGGCGACTTCTAAGCCCGCCTCGAACCGCCGCCTGTTTCTCCAGCCTCGCCTCCCTTACTCCGCCTCACTCTCGTCCCGTCTTTCCGCATGTCGATCCCTCCGTATTCCGCAACCTCCCTTCCCTCTCCCTCGCGCGCCATATCATTCCCTTCCCTCTCCTTCCGCCCGGGCATACACGTTTTCTCGCTACAGTTTGTCTTTCCTCGCTGCCCACCATCCTCTCCCCTTGCCAGTCTCTCCCTTTTGAATCCAAGAAGAACCAATTTCTCGCATCTCCGCGGCCGCTTCGTTCGCTGGTCGTCTTGCCCTGCATGAGGATGTTCCTTTCATTCCTCTACAGCGCTGGAACCGCTTGTCCATTGCGCTGCAGCGTCAAGACGAGCTCGGGAGGTGGGGCGGATGCTTCTCTCGCTCTTCCACGCCACTCGCTGCTGTCGGACTCGCTTTTGACCGCTTCGCAAGACTTGCCTGAGTACACCTGACTGCGCTGCACCTTCTTGCGGCTCGCCCATGCTCTCGGGAGCCCTCCCCACCTCCTCATCTCCCTTCCTCGACCTCACCTTCCTCCCTCTCTACCCTCCTCATCGCCCGTCCTTGCTTTCGACCGCTACGTATCCCTCTCTCGTCGCCTCACCCGCCTGGCAAAACCGTTTCGACCTCCTTCAAGTTCTCGGTGAGAAGGACCAGCATGGCGGAGGATGGGGCGCGCGAGGGCACACGGTCGACCGAGATGCGTACGGGAGCACTGGCTGTGTGAATGCATCGTGCTGGGACGAGCAGACGGGCAGGCTGGCAACGGCGGGAGATGACACCAAGTGCGTTTGACTTTCCCTCTTCCTCCTCGTCGAAGGCTGACCCAGCTTGCTTCATGCAGGATTTGCATCTGGTCGCCTGGAGTCGAGGACACGCTGCAAGACGACGGGTCGAAAGTCGTCGCGCCGGGACTCGGCTTCGGGCTGAGCGAGGTCATCGACACAGGTGCGCCCGACGACTTGCTTTCAAAGGCGATAGCTAACCCCGCTTATCGCTTTACAGGCCACCGAGCAAATATCTTCAGCGTCAAGTTCGCTCCTGGCATGTCGAACCGCCTCTTCAGCTGCGCTGGCGATTCGACAGTCCGCGTCTTCGACCTCTCGCTCGCTACAAACCCGCAACTCAGCTCCGTCACGATCCGTCCTCCCGCTTCTTCAGGACACAAGCCTTGGACGCATCACGAGGACGCGACGGCTTGCACGCGCGTCTTCCGCTGCCACTTTGACCGCGTCAAGCGAGTTGCGACCGAGGCTAGCCCGGATGTCTTCTTGACTTGCAGCGAGGACGGGACGGTCAGGTGCGTCTGAGCCCGACACTCTGTTTGGGGATACTGCCGAAATGGCAAGCCAGTGAACGAGCGGTCCACGATCTTGACGCAGGCAACACGACTTGCGCGAGCACCACAACTGCCGTACCTCGAGGCTGCAGGCGCCTGACGACGTTGACTGCCCTCCGCCTCTCGCCGACTACCCCGGTCTCTCGCTGTACTCGCTCACGATCAACAAGCTGCGGCCGCACCTCTTCGTCGTGGCCGGCACTTCGCCTTACGCTTTCCTTCGTACGCATAGGTCTCCGTCTGAAGATCGTCCCTCGCGCCTTGACTGACGTTAGCTGCCTCGTAGACGACCGCCGCATGATCCGCGCCCCGATGCTCCGCGACTGGGGCATCGCCCCACCCTCCGACCCCTCGTCTTCATCCCTTACACAATGCGTCCGCCGCTTCGGCGTCCCTCATCCATCGACTCCTCACAAAGGTGAGATCTCGCACCACATTGTCGCCGCCAAGCTCTCGCCCGACAACCCGCGCGACTTGCTTCTCAGCTACTCCAGCGCCGGAATCTACCTCTTCGATACGGACGGCGAGACCTACGAGCGCCCGCCTCCCCCTCCGTCGGCGTCGAAACATTCGAAGGGGAAGCAGCGCGCGGCGGAAGACAGCGAAGAAGACGAGCATGAGCACGAGGACGCGGAGGGCGCAACCCGCGCGCCTGACCAGAAACCTCCCTCTGCCGCTCCCGAGTCACCGATGTCGACACCCGCTCAACTTTTCGGAGTGCATGAGCACAAGCGCTCGGCGAAGAAGCGCGGAGCTGGGCGCAGCGCCGAGTCCTCGACGGGGGAGTTGCCGCAGAAGCGCTTGCGTGACGAGGGCAGCGAGGTCGGCGTTGAAGGAGGAGAAGGACAGGTTCCGACAAGCGAGCCTGTCGAGCATGAGGATCTTGAGGAGAGGCTGGAGGTATTGCAGGGTGGTAGTGGGGCGGGCGGAGATGCGGACGAGAGCGAGGACAGCAGCGATCAGGAGGAACTGATGGACGACAGCGACGACGTGGGAGACAGCTCAGCGCGGGGTGAGGGCGAAGAGGACGACGAGGATGCGACGGATGAAGAGGGCGGCGAGGAGGAGGAGGACTTCCTGCCGCGCGGCCGAAGGAGGGAGTACCACGCCGACGTTCCGATGGTCGCACCTCACCAGTCGTATACAGGTCATGCCAACACGCAGGTACGCCTTATGCGGCAGCTCGCGCCCGTCTTGCCAGAGACTGACCCGCTTCCTCTGCGTCGCAGACGGTCAAGGACGTCAACTTCCTCAACAACAACACGGTCATCTCGGGTTCGGACGACGGCAACTTCTTCACGTGGGACCGCGAGTCGGGCAAGGTGACGGGCATCTGGAAGGGCGACGACAGCGTGTGTTTCCTCCTTCCGCTCCCGCTTGCTTCGCTGACAACGCTCCCTTGCAGGTCGTCAACGTCATGACGCCGTCGCCTACGCTTCCGGTCGTCGCCATTAGCGGCATCGAAGAAACGGTGAAGCTTTTTGGCCCGACCTCGGATCTCGCCGCCGCCGAGAAGGCCAACCTCGCCAAGGACTACGAGCGGATCAAGGCGCGCAACGCTCGTGGCGAGACGGGCACAAGCTTCCCTCGCATCGCGCCCAACGACTTCTTGTCGTTCATCCTCGCAAACATGAGGGCGGGGGAGGGAGATGAGGCGGAGGACGAAGATGCAGAGGAAGGATCGCCACCGGCTCGTCGACCGATGCGCCGCATCCGCATCGTCCGTGGCGACCCGGACGACCCTGCGTCGGCGGATTGCGCCATCATGTGAAGGGGCCATTCAGGAATTGCGCTTGAGGAGGGTCGCTTCTTAACTGCTGTACATAGCTCGCATCGCCTGTTCCCTGTCTCTTCTTCGCACTGTACGTTCCACCTGCATTTGTCTTGCAATGCGCACTTCCGAAGCTGGCGCAAACTGAGCTGTCCTGCCTGCATCTCGTCGTCCCTCTCCTCCTTCTCCCGCGCACGGCGACTGCCCGTCGTCCGCCGTGAGCCGCGACCCTCGCGAGCAGATTTGCATCGGCCTCGAGGACTGCTGCAGCCCGACGAACCCTTTCGCGTCACTCTTTGCACCGATTCAGCCAACACCCGCTCGCACCTCCTTCCCTCCTTTCTCCCTCCCCGCCCTCCGTGGAATAGCCGGCGGGGCATGGCGGTGCTTGGTCCTGAACTAGCTTGCCGCTGCGCGCGCTTTCTCTCGCTGCGACTGACTTCCTCTCGCCGTCTTTTCCCTCCGCTTGACGCAAACTGATGAGGCCTGCAGCAATGCCACTCACCGTCCGGCGCTGATCTCGGACACAGCACGAGCCTTTTCCGATGGAGATCCTCGCAGTCGAAACCGCCGGCCCGTGGACCGAGTACGGAGCATCCGCGCTTCGCTCGCGAGGCAGCGCCCTCGTCTCTTCCTCCTGCATGCACCTTGCTGATTCGGCATGGACTCTTCTGCGTCTGCTGCTGGCATCCCTGCATCGCTTTCGCCTCGTGAAGCGGCTGTCGAGACGTCGCCCTCCTCGGCACATCCGCCTCGACTCGCAGACCGCTTCAAGCTGCTCGCACGGGCTGCAGAGATGTCAGCCACCTCCGACGAAGGCCGTGGGTCTCCCCAGGGTATCGCGTCGGACACGGCACCGTCGCAGACTTCTTCTCCATCGCCAACACCCGCTGCCTCCGAGGCGGAGCGGACGACTTCGGCCAACCCGCCGACCGACGAAGGGCCGAAGCAAGCGCGCAAGAAGAGGTGGACCGGCGTCAGGAACTGCGATGCCTGCAGGATCCGGAAGAGCAAGGTGCGCTCCCTGCTCACTCGTCGAGGTCTCCGCAGCACTCAAGGGACACCTCAGCAGTGCGATCGTCTGAGGCCATGCTCGAACTGTACGTCCTCGGTGTCACCCTCTTGCGTCTCTCTGCGTTACTGACACCGACCTCGGACAGGCGCCTTCCGCAACGTCAAATGCACCTACGACGAAGCGTTCGACTCCTTGTGCGTCATTCGCGCCTGCCAACGCCGCCGTGCTCACATGTTGACCCTTCGCCAACAGCCCCATGGTCGCCGTCGAGCACAACCTCGCGGACATCTCGCGGCTGTGCCAAAACGTCTTCGCACTCGCCCGCACCCTGAACATGCCTGCCGACGAGCTCGACAAGCTCGCGGTCCTTGCGGACCAGCTCATCGAACAGGAACGTCCCAGACCTTACGACGTCGTCGGGAGTACGGCCTCATCGAAGAAGCGGCGCTCGCTTGGCGAGATTCTGCGAACGAACCCTCAGTTCGCCGCGCTCGATACGGACCTCGCGGCCAAGCGACAAGCGACTGCCGCCTCGTCCAAGTCGACGCCAGCAAGCACACCGCGCCCAGATATCCCGCATCCACGTGCACACATAGGCAGAACAGACGTCGCGCCGCCGCCTCGTCGACCTACCTCGGTTCCTCAAATGCGGCAGGCAGGTCCACCACTCGTGTACCACCCGATGCACCATGTCGCGCCTCAAGTCTTCTTCTACGGTCCAGGCGCCTATCCCTCGGCCGTTCCTCCGTGGGCGTACGGCTACGCAAGTCGAGTGCCTTCCACCGCTCTTGGGCTTCATGCGGTCTATCCGCAATCGACCGGCCTATATGCGGTCGCCCCGCCCTCGTCCTCTCGTACACCGTATCCTGCGCATCCTTACGCGCATCTACAACCGCCAAGTGCGCACGCCTTGTCAAGGCGACCTTCCACCGCTTCTTCAGGCCGTCTGTCGCCAGCCGTCCTCCCTCCACTTGCCATACCCGGTCGTCCCGCTTCCCAAAGCATTACTTCAAACTTTTCTGCGACCGCCCCTTCCACCGCCACTCCTTCCACCGCCGTCTCCGCCCTCACGCCTTTCCGCTCCGCTCACGCGCCGACTTCCGCCACGACGCCTCCTTCTGCCCGCCCACCCAGCTCGTCCTCTTCCTCCACCCTCCCACATGGCGGCCACTACCTCCTCCCTCCGATCCAGCCGAAGACCCCGTCGACAGAAAGCCTGACGACCCATCTCGCCTCTTTCGCCACGACGACCCCGACAGCCTCTGCACCTCCTTCTCCGCCTATTCGTCTTGCGCCGCTGCGGAGCATTGCGCAGGCGGAGGATGTCGAGATGGCGGACGAAGCGAGGAGGATCGAGCCGGTCTTCACCAGGACGGACGCTCGCGAGGACGGCGTCCGGCGGCTTCCCAGTCTCTCGGATGCGCTCTTTCGCAGTGCGAGCGAGCGATGAGGATATAAAGGTAGAATTGACGGTCTCTACAAGGTAATAACGACGAGTTTGCGGGATTGCCAGTGCGGATGTGTGCGAGCGAGCGAGGAGAGAAACAGACAACAGGAGCGAGAGCTGAACAGTATGGCAAGGAAGGTCGAGGAGCGATAGGGGAGACCAGCTCATCACGCCTGCTCGGCGGGCATGTCCACCATCTCCTGCCATGCCACTTCTTCTTCGGGAGTCTGATGGGTCGACTCTCTCGGAGCCGACCCCTGCTCGAGAGCGAAGATGGGGTCGAGGTAGTCGGGGGCGAGAAGAGCCGACAAAGTCGGAACGCTTGTCGGGGGAAGGTCGACGTCGAGGGAAGGCAACCTGTGCGAGGGCTCTGGCTGGGGTGTCTGCTTGACGGACGGCGCGAGAGGCTCGGCTGCGTGTTCCTGCGCGAGGCGAGAAAGCGTAGGGAAGGCCGCCGGGCTTGTGAAGGAGCGCTGGTGCTCGCTCATGTGCCACGCTCCAGGCGGGCCATGGATAGATGGGCGCGCGAGAGCGGCATAAGGAGGCGTCGAGTCGTAGGGAGCGACGTCGACTGCCAGATCGGCTCCAGCGAGTGTGTAAGACTGCGCGTGCTGGTCGAAGGCTGGCGGCGGATAGGCGGGAACCCAGACGCCTTGTACGGATTGCGGGAGATAGTGCATGACCGGGGCTTCGTGTATGGCCGGCGCAGGCGGTAGAGCAAGAGTCGGGTCGTAAGCATAGGCGTGCGAGTCGAAGTAAGGCGGTGTAGGAGGCGCAATGGGCGGATAGTAGGGTCGGCCGTCGCGCTCGATGAGTAGCGCTTGCAGTTGCTGAACGACGCGATTCAGGCGCTCGATCTCGGCGAGATTTTCCTCGAGACTCGCCCTCGTCTCGCCTTGCCTGCGAGATCAGAACGGATCAGATTAAGGCGGGAGGAGAGGAGGAGGATTCGCCTCACCCTGGTTTGCAGTCGAGCCAGACGCATTCTTGTCCGCGCAGAGTACATCCAACACACGGCGCCGTCCGAGAGCACTTGAGTTTCCGCTTGCGACACTGCGGGAGCGACCGTGAGCACCGCTTCGTCAGCTCGAGGAGGCGAGGGCGAACTCACACCCTCGCAAGACAGGTGTCGGGCGCTTGGCATCATCCTCGGCGGGTAGCTAGCACGTCCCATAGCGCGTGCAGACAAGAACGGCGGCGAAGGAGAGAGGGAGGCTTGGTAGAAGACGATGCCGACGACGAGAAGAAGCGAAAAGGAGAGCGAACTCGATCATCCTCCACCCACCAAGAACGTGGGAATGACCCCGCGCGGTTTGCCTTCAGCACTGTCCCCTTCGACGGTAGCTCCGCTCAGATACGAGGAGATCAAGGGAAGACGGATGAGGAGAGGACGTTGACGTCTCAGCTAGTTGGCCGGGGTCGAGTAGCAGCATGCATAGCGTTCTTGTCCGTCGCTCCTCCTGGCAGCGCGACCCACGGATAGGAGCGCGAGAAGTGAGATCATCTACCGGGGGTGTGAGCGGGAGGAGCCAGCACCACGTCCATCCGCCTGATTCCCGCTACCGAGGAGGTCCGTTCTTCGCTGGTTCGTCCTTCTCGGCCGTGTAGCGAATTCAGCAGGTCGCCGGTGGCCGAGGAAGGTGCGAGAGCGATGAGGAGACGAAGGGGACGACGCGGAGAGACGGATGTAAGCGCGGAGGTTCCGTGGGACGAGTACACGTTTCGGATCGTCTCTTCAAGCGCTGTGCAGAGTCAAAAAGGCGCGCAGAGGCCAGGTAGCGTGATGCGAAGGACAGAGGGGAGGATTGCGGACCAGGAGGGGTGGTCGGTGGTCTCTGCTTTCCCTGAATGTGGACGCTCGCGCAGACAGCGTTCCAGGATGCTGCGGTCTCGACCTGCGCAGCGGACACAGAAAGCGGGGCGGCGATAGAGCAGGAGGGAGGGAGAAAGCCCGACGCCGGCGCCGCAAGCGTACAGGAGAATTGAGTTCTGTGCAATGAAAGGGTATGGGCTACAAGCGTGAACGTGAGGTGCGAACGGGAGGGAACCGGAGGAACGGTGGCGTGGGAGGAAGGAGCGAGCGGTTTCTTCAGGCGAAGGGCGAGACGGCGACGACGCGGAGGACGGGCGGGCTCTTGGTGGTGTCGGCAGAAACGATGACGGGCACGACGTCGAGAGTCTTGACCGTCTGCGCGCAGTGGCCGTGCTCGGTGTTGAGGTTCTGGAACTTGAGCGGAGTGCGCTGCATCGTTTCGGAAAAGCGGGTCAGCTCGATTGGCCGACACGGGAAGCGAGAGGAAGCGTGCACTCACATCGCGCGACTTCCTGTGCTGCTCCGTCTCGAGAACACGCCGCTCCTGCTTGATCTCGCCCTCCTCCTCGTCCTCGTCGTCGTCGAAGAGCCTGCTCTCCGCCTCGCCCTTGCCGCTGTCGGCCTCCATCATCTTCGAGTGGTGGTGCGCGTGGGCGCGTAGGCGCTTGAGGTGCTCGTCCTGATTCGACTCGGCGAGCCACGCGAGAACGTCGACGCCCTTCTTCCAGAAGATCTGGAGCGAGTTCTCGCGCTCGTCATAGACGGTGCTCTGCGGCGGCGACACAGCTGTCAGCATGGCGCCCGGAAAGCGGAGGAAAGAACCGCAAACGCACCTCGACAGGCATCTGATCGACGTGCACGCGCTTCTCAACGCCGAACTCGCTGACGAGAACGTCAAAGGCCTGGTCAAGGACGCCGATGACGGTGCCGTAGCGAATGACAGGACCGTAGCGCTTCGTCAAGTCGTCGATGAGGACGCAGAGGAAGAGGTGCTGCGACTGCTCCTGAGCGAGGCGAGCGGCCTCCTTCTTGACGTTGCAAGTCTGCGCGATCTTGGAGACCGCCTCGGCGTCGAGCGAGAACTTGGCCTCCGTCGGCGCCTCGGCAGACGCGGCGGCAGCTTGAGCGGCGAGGACGGCCTCGAGCTGGCGGTGAACAATCACGTCGGCGTACCGGCGAATCGGCGAGGTGAAGTGCGTGTAGAGAGGGACGTTGAGGGCGTAGTGGCGGTACTTGGAGATGTCGAGCATGCCGGTGCAGAAGTACTTGGCGCGCTGCATCGAGCGGGTGCTAAGGTGCTGGAGAGTGAGGCGCTCGCCCGGGTCCGTGATCTTGACGATAGAGTCCATCAGGGCGTGCGACGAGCTGCCGTCGATGTCGAGGCCGAGGCGGCGCATGCGTTGGACGAACGCGTCGAGGCGACGGTCGATCGGCTCCTCGTGACGACGCAGGAGAGACTGGTCGGGCAGGCCAGATGCGATCTTGCCGGCGACGGCGATGTTCGCCATCAACATGAACTCCTCGATGAGCTCGTTCGCCTCCTTGCGCGCGTACTCGTGGGCGTCGACCGGCAGGCCGAACTCGTCGAGGCGGAACGAGACCTTGACGTTGTCAATGCGGAGCGCGCCGCTTTCGAAGCGGCGATGACGAAGGTGCTTGGCGATGCCGGCGAGGCGCTTCACGTCCGTCTCGACACCCTCGCGCAGCTCAGCGTCGGCGATCTTGCCCTCGGGCAGCGTGCCATTGTCGATGACATGCTGAGCATCCGAGTAGGCGAGCTTGACCTTCGAGCTGCGAGACGGAAGCGTTAGCGAGAGAAGCGTACGACCCTGACGAAACAAACGTACTTGATGACGGTCTTGCCGAACCAGGTCGAGACGATTTGGCCCTCGGGCGTGAGCGTGTAGATGACGGAGAAAGTGAGCTTGTCCGAGCCGGCGTTGAGCGAGCAGAGCTCCTCAGACAGGGTGGGCGGGAGCATAGGCACGGCGCGTTGGACAAGATAGACGGTCGTCGCGCGCTTGCGGGCCTCGCGGTCGAGCGGAGTATTCGGCTTGACAAAGTGCGAGACGTCGGCGATGTGCACGCCAACTTCGAAGGTACCGTCCTCGTTCTGGATGATGTGCAGGGCGTCGTCGAGGTCCTTGGCCGTCTCGGGGTCGATGGTGAAGACACGCTTGTCGCGCAAGTCGCGCCTCACATCCGGCTGGAGCTCACGCTCGGGAATCGACCAAGGCGTCTGCGGCAAGCACTTGTTGACCGAGTCGGAGAAGTCCTCAGCGGTAAAGTTGCAGTCCTTGAGGAGAGCGTTCGTCTCCGTCTCGATGTCGCCAATGGGGCCGAGCTCCTCGACGAGTTGGCCGAACGGGTGAAGCGACGTGATCGGCCAGCGCTTGATGCAGGCGACGAAGAGGCGGTCGGAGTACTTCTCCGAGTGCTCGACGAAATCGGCAGGCGCCTGTTCGGTCGGTATGGCGATGAGCGGGACACGCTTGTCGGTCGGGCGGAACCAGATGATCTTGGGCGGCGGCTGAGTCGAACCGTTCGACTGGCCGTGACCGCCGCGCAAGTCGACGCCCTCGCGCTCGCGACGCTCGGCGTCCTGCTTCTGCTGCGTCGCCGCCGAGCTCGGACGAAGGACGCCGAGCATTCCGCTGAAGAGCTGGCCAGGCGCGCGCTCGAGGACTGCGACGACGTGGCCGGCGAATTGTGGCTTCGTCTCGTCCGTAACCTCCTCGTCCTCGAAGAGCAAGAGACCCTGACCCTCGACCTCGACGTCGTCCTTCTTCTTGTCCTGCTTGCGGAGGTCGCGCGCCGTCTTGGGATCGTAGGACGCCTGCTCCTCCTTCCTGCGCTTCTTTTCCTCCTTGTCCTTCTTCGTCCCCCAAACCTCGTCAACGTCGAGCAGCTCAACAGCGACAATGTCGCCCTCGAGCGCGCGGTTGCGGTCCTTCGAGCCACAGATGTAGATGTCGGCATCGAGAACGTCCGTGGCGACGTAGGCGTCGGAGCGGTTGCGCTTGTTGACGCGCAGGGTGCCGATAACAAGCTTGCCGGCAGCGAGGAGAGGCGGGATGCTGGCTTGAGGGAGGTAGGGAGCGAAGAGCGTCTTGCGCATCTGGTTCTGGCCGTTCGGGCCGCCCAAGCCGGGTTGAGGGATGCCGCCGCCATAGCCTGCCATCGCAAGCTGTCCAGGACCGCCCTGTCCGCCCGGACCGATCGCCGACATGCCGAAGGAGGGGACGCGAGCGTGACCGGACGAAGCACGGTAAGCACCGAGAGCCTGCAAGTGCGCCTGCGCCTCGGCGAGGTTGTTCGTGCTCGACTGGCTCATGTTCATTGACCAGCCGCCGAGACTCGAGACGCTGCCGCTCTGGCGACGGTGGTGGCCCATCGTGCGGCCACCGCTCGGGCTGTCGTTTCCGCTCGCGAAGGGGTCTTCCTCGAGGAAGCGAGGCTGCTGCGTCGGCGTGCCCTGCTGCTGTCCTTGCGGTCGCGGCGGGAACTGAAAGCCAGTACCGAAACCGCCATTACCGCTCGGCGCTGCAGTCGAGCCGTTTGCGCCGCCTGGCGCTGTCTTGCCCGTCTGGACTGAGTGACGCCGTCCGTGGCCCTTCGGAAGCTGTTGCTGACCGGATGCCGCTCCAGCACCGCCGGGAAGGCCGAACGAGCCCATCGCGCCAGACGGCTGGTGCTGGTGACCGCTCGACGACGAGACGCGGCGGTGCTGGCCAGAAGGACCGGAAGGCAGAGGCGCAGAGACAGGCGGGGCGGCCTGGCCGGTAAGAGTCGCTTGCATGTCGCCGAAGCGAGCCATGAGGCTCTCCTGCTGCAGTCGGAGGTTCTCGAGCTGCTGCTGGATGGCAAGCTGCTCCGCGATGAGCTCGCTCGCCTCGTCCAGACCACCGCCCGCACCCGTCAGCGCAGGGTTCATCCCGGCCGCGAGCTGAGCGAGCTGGAACTGCTGCTGCTGGAGTGCGAGCGCCTGTTGCTGCTGGTTCGAGATGCCGAGACCTTGCGTCGCGGGCTGAGGCGGCGGGAAGACGAAAGCGCTCTGATTGAGCGCAGCGACACCGCCGAAACCGGTGCCAGCATCAGGAAGAGTCGAAGGAGCGGTCGGCGAGCGAGGCATGCCGGTCATAAGGTCGAAACGCGAGGCGGTCGGCGTGACGAGTCCTTCATCGATCATGTCGTGGATAGGGCCGAGCATGCCGGGCTGGAAGCCGCCGGCAGTCGGGTTCAGCGTGTTGGCGGCGGGAGGAAGGGAGGGAGGCGGAGCCGAGATGCTGGGAACAGATGGGCCCGAGGGGTTCTTGCGGAGTCCACCGCCTGGCTGGGAGCGTTGGCGGGCAGGCGAGCTAGGCTGGGAGGACGAAGAGCGCGCAGAACCGCCCGAAGGAGGAGGCATATCGGAGATCACGTTCTGAAGGTTGGCGAGCCCGTCGTTCTGCTGCGACTCGCGTCGGTGGTGCTGCTGGCCGCCGCTCGAGCCGCCGTGTGCTCCTCCGCTCGATCGACGGCCTGAAGCGCCGCCACCGTTTCCTGCATGTCCGCCACCACGACTCGACCTGCGACCATGCGAGCCTCCTGCCCCTCCTCCACCTCCCTGCTGGTTCTGCGGCTTCCTCTCGTTCGTCGGAGAGGATGCGCCGCCGTTACCGCGCGAGGTCGAGCGCTTTCGGTCGTGCTGAGAGCGGTTGCGAGCAGGCGAGTTGGGCGATGCAGCTTGCTTGCGGTTCGACTGCTGGCCAGACCGCGAGTCGTCCTTGTTGCCAGTTGAGCCTGGCGCCGTCTTGGTCGTGTCTGTCGGCGACGACATGGGTCCTCAAGTCGAAGAAGAGGCGAAAGTGGGGCTGTGGTGGCGAACAGCGAGCAGGGTCAGCGGAAGTCCAACAATGCGCTCGTCAAGTCGATTCACTGCGACTCGATTGCCAGCGCACGGTCGGAGCCCGCGATCCAGAAGGAATCGCAAGAACTGCTCGAGCAAGGAGGGACGTGCGAACTCACCTCGTCGGGGATCCCGTCTGCGAAAGGAATGTGCGGGTTCCGCTTCTGATCTATTCGTTCAGAGCTGCTCGAGCGTGTGCAGAGATCGTTCGAACGGGGAGAGGCGTGAGAGTCGCCAGATCGCGCGAGTCGTGGCAAGGTGGGGAGTTGCGCGGCGGCGGTGACGATGGCGAGGCGTGAAGATGTAGGTAGATAAGCACCCAGTCAGTTACTGTGCTCTGCAAGTCCGCGCGCGATACGCAAAGGCGAGGACAGCGCGCCTGACGTACCTCGATGCGGGGAGGGGACGAGGAGAAGAGGCGACAAGGGCGGTCGAGCGCGTGTGAGCTGTATGTCGGAAGTTCGGAGGTGTCGTTTCGTGTCTTGCGTGCTGTCCAAGCGTGTCCGGCTGGGTCGTGAGGGCGGGAAGAAGAGCGAGTTGCTGCGATGAGCGACGCGGGGCGAGAGAGAGGGTGGGACTGCGCTTGGCGGGCTGTGTCTGGTTTTGTGAGGCTGCAGAGCACGCCTCAGGGCCAACAGAGCGGAAAAGCGGGAAAGAGAGTGATTGGGAGACGTGCGAGAGGGTCGACGGCGACAAGGGGGAGAAGGTGCGAGCGTCGTTCAACTTGGGACAGGCTAGCGCGTCTGGGCCGTCAGAGAGCGTCACAGATAGCTCAGAAAAGCGCGCAGAAATCACAGAAGGAGCGAGCGGGGAGGGAAAAGCCTTGGAGAAGCCTGCACTCTTCCTGTCTCCTCCTCCGCGCAGGGACGACGAGATACTGCTGTGATGCACTGCGAAGATAATGATAGAGCCATACTGACATCTACGAGTCCGACCGCACCCTCTACAAGTGCGACGAGCCGAAGAGCCTCCCCAGGACGCCGGGCGACGGCGCCTTCTTCGCCATAAACACCGTCGTGAGTCCCTCCTTTGGCTTATAATGCTCGTTCTCCTCTACCGCCTTTTTCGCCGCCTCGTGCGCCGACTTGCGCAACCGGATGGGCGGCGCCTCTTCGACGACCCGCTCGTACGTGAACTTGGCGACCCGTTCCGCCTTCTTCTCCCTCTTGCCCTGCTTCTGCCCCTGCTCCCCCTTGGCCTTCCGATCCCGCCCATCCCAAGCCTGCTTGAGCCGCGCGTCAATCTCCCCAAACACCTTCTCCTCATCGACCTTCTCAATCCTCGCAGGCCGGTCCTTCGCCCACTCGCCTATCGCCTGCAACGCCGCAGTCGCAGAGGACATCATTGCGAGCGCTTGGAAGACGTGAACCCCGTCGCGGAAGATCTCGTGCGTTACGTCGACTCCTGCACGCGCGGCTCGTTGCGCGAAGAGCGAATGCTCGTCGCGGAGGGTTTCGACGCCGCCGGAGTGGACGAGGAGCGGAGGGAAGTTGGAGAGGTCGGCGGTGAGAGCGGGGGAGACGTAAGGGTGGATGAGGAGCTTGGAAAAGTCGGGCTCGGCTGGGAGGAAGAGGCGCGGCGGGTTGAGCGGGTCGGGGTTGTGCGGGTCGTCTTCGAGCGAGAGGTAGTCGAACTCCTGCCGAGGTATGAGCATGTCAGCGAGCGCGTCCTCTACGACTAGGGACTGGCAAGCGCACCTTGTTCTCATCCCAGCTCGCCAAGCTAGACGTCAAGTCCACCCACGGCGAAAGCAAGATCGCGCCTCCAACCTGCGGAATTTTCTCGTCGCGTAGGTAGAGCATCAAAGCGGTGACGAGGTTGCCGCCTGCTGAATCACCGCTGACGAGGATGTTGCCGGCGGGAATGTTCAGGTCTGCGCTGTGAGGTCAGTCTCGCACCCAGAGCGAAACTGTCGCCGAGATACGCACCTTGTGTGAGATAGAGATAGGCCGAGACGGCGTCGTGCAGTGCGCCAGGGAACTTGGTCTCGGGCGAGAGGCGGTAGTCGATGGCTGCCGGCGACGAAGACATGGTCAGCGTAGCAAACGCAGCACGCCGTCAGGTCACATACAGAGAGCTCGTGCGCCCGTCTCCTTCGAGATCTGACACAGCAGCGCACGATGCGTCTTGGGCGACAGGAGCGTATACGCTCCTCCGTGCGCATAAAGAATGACCTTCTGCTCCGGCTGCCTCTCGCCTGTCAGGAGCGAGCGGTGCGCAACCCATTCAGCCTGTGTGCGCAAGTGTGTTAGCTCACGAACTTCATCGCACGATAAGAACGCCCGACGCACCTTGAAACTCCGTTCCCCCGTCTCCCGCGAATCCGCCTCCTCCAAAGCGCCTTTCAACTCCCTCTTCTTCACCTGCACATCCATCTCCCACGCGGCCCCTCCCTTCGGCTGACCTCCTCCGCCCATCCACCGCTCCAGCCTCTTCCGACTAGCCTGCATAACCCTCGCGGGATCGAGCGGTTTCGAAGGGTCGTGGTTGAGCCGACGCTCGGCGGCGGAGGAGGCGGCTTGGTAGCGCGCTAGGGCTGTGAAAAGCGCGATAGAGATGGGCCACGATTCTTGCGGAGCTGTTCGAACGACAAAGGGAGGTTTCAGCATGGAGGAGGTGGTTCGTGAGCGGATCGACGCACGGCCCCAGATGTAGTAGCTCGCTGTCGTCCTCAACACAGTCGGAATGAACGCCTTGAGCCGCCATCTGTCGAGCAAAAGGTCAACCGACGTCAAACCCGACGAGGAGGTGGGGGGCGACGCACGCTGTTTGAGCGGCTGCGACAGATCGAGCAGCGAGTCCAGTAGCGTTCTGTTCCTCCTCTGCAGCGGAAGGAGCCATAGCGTGTGTGAGAGAGGGAAAGAGGGCGACGTCGCCGGTGGGGACGTCGTTTCATCTCCGAGCGGACTTTGGCAGCGCGGAATACAAACGGGATACAATGCTAATGCTATAATGCAAGTGAAATGCGACAACAAAAGATAGGAACGACTGTATAGAAGACTATCTAGGGGTGTAGGGTGTCTAGACGACCGACGAGCTCTTCCTCCGAACCTGAATGCCGCGCGCAAAGACGAGCAACACCGTCCCAACCATCGCCATTCCCCCGCCGAAGCAGAGCGCAGCGACGTAGCTCCCGTTCGTGGCGGTGAGGAGTGCGCCGGCGATAGGCGAACCGATGAGCGTGGCGAGGGCGACGAAGAAGAAGCCGATGCCGGAGCGGAGTCTGCAAACCAGGCGGGGTCAGTGAAGGCGAGGAGGAGGAGGAGGGAGGTAGACGCACCCAATCTCGCTCACGTCGTTTGCCAGCGTCATGAACACGCTCGCCGAGACAGAGATCCATCCACCTTGCGCGATGCCGAAGAGGACGAGGAACACAACGAGGGCGGGTGTCGACGTCGCACCGATCATGGCAAAGGTGAGGATGCCGACGAGGAAGCTGAGCGGAATGGCGGTGTTGAACGTCCCAAGCCTGTCTGCGACGAGTCCCGAGCCGATACGGGAGAAGAAGGCGAGTACGTTGATAATTGAGAGGGAATAAGTTGCGACCGCGGCGTTCGTGCTGTACTTCTGTGCGTACGAGACGACGTAGAAGAGCGGGATGAAGCAGCTTATGTATGTGCCGAAAATTCCGCCGTAGACGAGCCAGGCTGCGGGGTCGCGGGCGATCCGGCGCAGAGTCGAGGCGAGGGGAGCGCGGACGACGGTTTTGGAGATGGCGCGGGGGCGAATGACGATGTTGGCGATGACTAGGAGGGCGAGCATGACGAAGCCGGCTGCGAAGAGACGGGTCAGTAGCCGCGCAGATGAGCGAGAACAGCTAGACTCACCAGTGCGGACGGCGAAAGCGAAGCCCTTCTCTTCGAAGAGGCGACCGAGGAGGACCGGGAAGACGACCGCGCCAATGGCCGTACCGGACGCCGCAATCCCAACGACGAACGCCCTTCTGCGGCGGAAGTAGGTGCCGAGGATGGAGAGGCAGGGGCCAAACATGATCCCCAGACTTAGGCCCATGCAGATCGCCTGGGCGAGGAAGATCTGAATGAAGGTCTTGGCGAGGGAGAGACTGAAGATGCCGATGAGCCATCCGACCGAGCCTGCGGCGAGCTGGTACCGGAAGTAGCCCTTGTCGAACAGGACGCCGGCGTTGAAGGCGGAGGCGAACGTGACGAAGAGATGGGCTGAACCGATCCAGGAGATGGTCGAGGGAGGGTAGGAGGCGAGCTGGGATGTCTTGTAGTGAGCGAGGAAAGTTCCGAAGGAGTTGGAGAGGCCGAAGGTGCAGAGGAGGACGAGCGTCGAGCCGAAGACTGCGAGCCACGCCCTCAGTCCGCCCTCTGGGTACTCTTCTTCAGGCGCCGGCGCCGACTCCTCAGTGTTGACGGGATAGCCCTGCTTCTCGAGGTCGGCGACGACCTCGCCCTTCAGCTTCTCCTCGTAGACGGATGGCGCAGGGGATCCTACTCGCGTCGGTCCTTCGAGGGGAGAGCCGACACGGGTGGGTCCGTCGAGGGGCGTGTCAAAGATCTTCTCATTGACGAGAGAAAGAGGGCGTGAGGGAGTTGGCGTCGAGCCGGAAAGGGAGAGGGAGCGCGAGGAGGGCGAAGATTCGGGCGTCGCGGTCGGGCTGTATGGTTCGCCTGGGTAGAACGGCGACGTCGACTCGGGCGTCGTGCTGGCGGAAAGGGGCGGAAGGTGTGCCGCGGTCATGGCGATTGAAGCGAGGGCAGCGCAAGTCGGGGAGAACGAGGCGTCGTCTATCTCGTGAAGCTCTCTTGGACAGCCGGGTGTCCTTTCCTCGTCGTTGTGCGTTGTGCGTCGTCTAAAGTGTCTCGAGCGTAAGGAAGGAGAGAGAGAGGCAGACCAGCGGCGGCGAGCAAACTCGACGAGCGACGGCTTCCCGCCAGCTCTCCCCGGATTCAAGTCCTCCGCAAGCACTCGAGCCGGCGCCGGTGAGCGCGGCATACCATCCTGACGCACAGTCAAGGCCGAGCAGAGCCAGCGCAACGAGCGCGCAGGTCGTCGTGGTCGCGTAAGAGGAGAAAGGTTTTCTCGAGGCTGATGAGGCGAGCGAGAGGGAAGCGGGCGCTTGGGAGGAGAGCGCGGTGTGCATTCATGGCGAGGAGACTCGTAAGTAGCCGATCAGCCGATTACTTGAGCGCCAGATCGTGGCGGACGGAGAGGGTTAGGAGGGAGAGGCGAAGGAGGAGACGAGGGGGGCAAGAGCCCAACGCTGGCCGCTTTGCTTCACGACGAGCTCTCTGATACTCGATAACGACGCACACGCCAGCGACCTCGCAAGGCAACGCGAAAAGGAGGCGGCGAAAGACCTCTCCCGTGACCCAAAGTCGCGCAAGAACAAGTTCGTTTTCATTGCTGCACTGACATCGCCCGCACCGTCTGTACATAGTCCTCTCCTCTCCCCCTTGTCTACCCGGTAGAAGAAGACGCGCCTCAGGTCCGCGTAAACGCAAATTCCTCAGAGGACCGACGTGCTGGGCCAGGTGTAGTTGGCGCTCGAGCGGACAAAGGCACCCTTGTCCTGGACAAACTTTTCGAGCTCTTCCGGTCCGCGAGAACCGTAGGCGTAGCCGTGAGGCTTCGGCTTCTTCTCTGCGAGCGGGCAAGGGACGAGTCAGCGCGGGTGCCGAAGGGCACGGAGGGAAGGCAGCGCACCCTCGATGTAGTGCAGGATCGGGGTGAAGATCTTCCAGGCAATGTCGAGCTCGTCGTCGCGGACAAAGTTGGAGTGGTCGCCGTTGAGCGCGTCGAGGATGAGGGCCCTGCGGGGGGAGGGACGAAGCGTCAGCTGCGAGCTAGGAGACACCCCAGGGGCGGACCGCGACGCACTCGTAAGCCTCGGGGATCTTGAGGTCGCTGAAGCGGCGCTTGTACGTGAGGTCCATCTCGGTCGGGACGGTGCGCATAGCAAGGCCCGGCGCCTTCGAGTTCATCTTGAGGTAGACGGCCTCGCCCGGCTGGACACGGATGACAAGCTCGTTGCGCGTAATCTCCTTGAAGATGCCCTGCGTGACGTCCTTGTACTGGATGCGGATCTCGGTCTTCTGCTCGTTGAGCGCCTTGCCGGCCTTGAGGATGAACGGGACGCCCTCCCATCGAGGAGAGTTGATGTGCAAGACGCACGCGGCGAAGGTCGGGCAGATCGAGCCCTTGGGGACGGTCTCGTCGTCGAGGTAGCCGGGCTTGTCACCGCTCGCCGTGTACTGGCCAAGGAGGACGTCCTCGAACTTGATCTCGGGGATGTAGCGGAGGACCTTGACCTGCGGGCCGGGACAGCGTCAGCGTGCTAGTCTGGATCGCTGGCAGGCCCGACTCGCCTTCTCGTCACGAATGTCCTCCGAAGAGAACGAGACAGGTCGCTCCATCGTGAGGATCGAGAGGACCTGGAGCAAGTCTGCGTGCGAATCCCGGTTAGCCCGCAACGTACCACAGCTGGACCCTACGCGAGCGAACTCACGGTTCTGCATAACGTCGCGGATGATGCCAAACTCGTCAAAGTAACCGCCGCGACCCTCGGTCCCGAATGGCTCCTTGAAGGTAATCTGGACGTTCGAGATGAGGTTCTTGTTGAACGAGGCGTCGAGCATGACGTTGGCGAAGCGGAGGACGAGCAGGTTCTTGACCATCTCCTTGCCGAGGTAGTGGTCAATGCGGAAGATCTGCGGATGCAACGGTCAGGCTCAGGCCTTTGCGCGTTTCGGCATGCTCCGTGTGAGGCGTGGCCGTCGCACAGAACATCGCAACGAGCGAGCAAGGCGCAAGTCCTTCGGCCGGGACCCGTGACGCACCTCCTCCTCCTTCCACTCCTTCTTCAAGTCGACCTGCATCTCCCTCGAACTCTCGAGGTCCTTCCCGAACGGCTTCTCGACAATGATGCGGTTGATACCGCCCTCGGAGTAGTTGTGCTTCTTGAAGTTGGCGGCGACGACGGTAAAGACAGAGGGCGGGAGTGCCATGTAGAACACGCGGTTCTTGGGCGCCTTCTTGTCCTCGTACGTCTCCTCGCACTTCTTCAGCTCCTTCTCGAGCTCCTCGAAGCCGTCGTCCTTGTCGTACTGGCCCGAGACGTACGAACAGCGCTCGAGGAACTCTTCGAGCTTCTTCTTCATGGCGGGAATCGGCGCCTTGATGTACTGCGTGACGCGCTTGTGGTACTCCTGCGCACGGGGCGGGCGGAAGGGCATCAGTTCCGTCGCTGTGCAAGATGGACATTGCGAAGGTCCGCCGTTCTGAGATAGACCTCCTCGTCGCGATCCGCCTTATCCGCCGGCGCCATTCCCTCCGTAACCTCAGCCTCAACTCTATGTGTCCGCGATTGAAGCGCCAATGCGCTGCATCGACCCACACACCTCCACTTCGCGCGCACGCAACCCTGCCCCACACCGCGAGTCGCTCGTCCGGCCGCATCCCTCGTCGCCTGGCGGGGCGACAACGTGCTCGCATGGAAGCTCACCTCGGGGTCCATCTTTGTCCTGGCATAGCCGATGATGCGGATGTCGGAGGGCAGGAAACCGTTGTTGTAGAGGCCGAACAAGGCCGGAAAGGTCTGCGAGGCGGCATCAACGAGCGGGCGGGTCAGCGGGCCTGTCCCATAGTACTCCTGGGACTGAATCAGGCCGTCCTAGCCCCCATCAGGCCACATCGCACTGCGGCGTCCCTCGGTACAGGCAGATGCGTCATGCCCGAGCGATCAAGTCGTTTCTCGCCCCCAACACGACTGTGAGAGTGAGCGGACGCACCTTCTTCTTCGCCAAGTCGCCCGAGGCACCTGCAACGACGATCGTGGTCGAAGCCTTGAGTGCGTGAGCCGAATCGCCGCCCGAAGCGGTCCCAGAGATCTCGCCCGTCTTTGACGGCGACGCAGCGGCTACGCCCGACATTGTAGCGTGTGGTAGAGCGGTGTGGGAGCTGGTCTGAGTGGTTCAAGTGGCTCTGCGCAGAGTGCAGCGAGTGCCGACGAGAGGTGGAGGTGAAGGAGCGAAGTGTGCGGGTGCGGTTCCGTCAGCAGCAGCAGAGTGTGCCGGTGTGGACCTGGATCCCTCTGCAAGTGTTTACTGGGCGAATCAACGGAACCGGCGAAATTCTGCGACTGTAGGGAAGCGAGCGAGAGCGCCAACCGAGTAGCGGTAACTCGGCATCGTACAAGGGCTTCTGAGGGCTTTATTAACCTTTGTACCTGTGTACAAAAAGTCGCTGGAGCCCGCCGTACGCACGAAAGGGGCAGGGAGAGGAGGCAAAAGCTAGCAAAAAAGTCGATGCACTGGCCGGGAATCGAACCCGGGGCTAGACAACGTCGAAGTAATCAACTTGGCAATGTCCAATTTTGCCACTAAACCACCAGTGCTTGTTGGAAAGCGAGCCAAAAATTGCATACATAATGTACTGTATGCGTGTTCCCAAGCGGAAAGGTGGGCGCGACCGCCGCCTCGCTTCCTGCATTGCCCAGCTCCGAGATTGGCAGAACAGGATAGCGAGACGGCATGCAGTGCGAGACGAGTACAGTATGTACAGCCAGAAACCCAAGAGAGGTGCCCCGGCCCAAATCCTATCCTAGACCCTTCAGTCCTCGAAAGCCCAAGCCCAGTGTGGAAGCGACGAGTATGCAGCGTCGGCGTCAAGGTGAGGGTCGACGCGCATAGCCGGCTGAGGGAGTGAAAGCCTGTCAGGCCGAGCCGACCATGAAGGCGAAAAGGGAGCTCGCGTTGTGCCAGACGTCGGTAGGGGTGGGCGCTGCGGAGTGGTCTTCGTGCGCCTCAAGGAACTGGTAGAAGACGGCGGCCTCGGACTGCGGGAAAGTTGTAGAGGTCAGTCGGGCGGAAAGGGACAGGGGACTGTCGAGACGGACCTGCGTGTGAGCTGGCATGGGAGTCGGGATGCGGGCGGGCGTCGCGATACGAGGGGTGCCCATACGAGCGGGAGTGCCCATGCGAGGAGTCGGGATCTGCGCACGAGAGACAGAGAGAAAGGGTTAGCTGGCGTGAATAAGGCCTGGTCGAACTGGTCCGCATCGTCCGCGCGTCCACAGCGACAATTTCTCGCGCAACAACTGACGGAGCTCCTCGAGCGCATCTCACTGGCATCCTGAAGGAGTGCCATCGCAAAGTGCGGCCTCGAGTCGCTCTTCTCCTCCTGGCTCCGCTAGAACAGCGACAAGGGCAAAACGCACCTTGATCGGGTCGTCCTCCGTCATCATCATGGAGTGCCAGTCGATGCGCTGTAGTAGGCCGGCCGTCGAGGGCGAGAGAGCGGTACGAGGACAGGTGGGGAGGAAAAGTGATGAGAACGCAGGCGTCAGTCGAGGCGGTCTGCAGGGGCAGCGAAGGGCAGACTCGCCTTCTCTGACATGGTTGTGAGTGCTGTGAACGTAGGCTACTGGAGCGAAGGTGGTGAAGAAGCGCAAGAGGCATTTCTTGAAGTCGCTCTCGGGAAGGGCAGCTGACTTGGCGAGCCAAGTGGGGAGCGCTTTCGAGCGTGGACTAGCAGCAGCAGTGAAGGTCTAGACGAATGCAGGCGAGCCTCGCAACGTACAATGGGCTCGCCAGAAGGCAAGGAGGACGATTGCGAAGGTCAAGTGAATTGCGAGCGGCGAACGTACGAGAGACTCTGTAGGGCAACGCACGGTCAGCGTGAATGTAGGAGCCAGATGCAGAGCAAGACGCGCCGAAGCAAGCGACCCGGCGAGCAGAAAAAGAAGCGGCGCAGTCAGTCAAACTCGTTCGGACGGAGGGCCACCGAGTCGTCGCCAACAGCGCGAGCGCTGCTCATTCCGGCCCAGAAGGTGCAGTCGCCAAGCGTGTCCCACATCGTCATCGACTCGAGCTCCTCCAAGTCTTCTTCGGTCGGTTCAGGACCGCCCTCCAGACCCACACCGCGCTCGATGAGCGACCTGAACTTGTGTTCGGCGGAAGCTGGCGACGCCCACATACTCGGACGGCTTCGATGACCGAGCGGACGCGCACGCCGCGCTTGTCTGCCATGACTGGGCCGGTCCCGGCGAGGAAGATGACCTTTGTGGAGGGCGGAGAAGTCGCGTACTCGGCGGCGACGGGCAAGTCGAGCGGCTTGTAGTGTCTCACGCCGTCAGAGCCGGTGTCGCTCTCGTCGTCGTTGTCAGAAGGGTCAGCTCCCTCCATCGGCTCGTCCGCTTCCTCCAAGTTGCGTTTGCGTGATTTCGGAAAGACCGTGATGTCGGCCTCGTCGAGATCGGGGCGGCTGAGCCAGGTGACGTCGAGGACAGGGTGGAAACGAACTGGCTGTCCAGCCTTGAGCGGGTTGGCCGGGTCAGAGGGCTGCCTGAAGAGCTTCAGGTGGAGCGAGGGCGACTGCAGGGTCAAGCGTCAACAAGCGAAGCCGCGCGCGCCAGGCAGGCTTCCTGACGCACCTTCTCGAGCTCGTGGAAGGGCCTGCACGTCCTCGAGAAGCGCTTGAGGTCCGCGTAGTCGAGTGTGGGGAGGCGCCTTCGGCTGGACGCGTTCGTCGAAGGTGAGAGCAGTCGTGTCAGCCATCAGCAAGGTCGCAAAGCGGGAAGAGCGTGGGCGAGTGAGCAGTTCGAGGCGAAGCAGGAGGTTCGCAGGTTCGTCCTCTTCACCAGCCTCGCTCCGCTGCGTGCGCTTGGTGAGCTGCTGAAGGAGCTGCATACACCGCTGTCAATCCGCCTCTTTGCTCGCACGCTGCCCCAGACCGCTTCCACAGACGCCGGCTCTTCCTCTCGCCCGGACCCCTTCTCGCGCTCCTCTCCGACGAAGCTCCTGACGAACCGTTGGCTGGCCTCGCTCTGCATGGCGACGCGTCCTGGCAGCGCGCGCCGCGCGAACTCGCGGGTCCCGTTCGAGCTTTCCTCCCTCTCCCTCCTCCCTCCTCCTCCTTGTTCCTCGCTTCGGCACTCGCCTTTTCTCCTTCAATCGTGCGTGACCTCTCTCGTCTCACCGTGCTGCCCCTTGCTGACTTCCTGTGGCTGCTCGTACAGACGCTCTTTCCCCCATGCCGCTCACTACGCCGCCTGCAACACCGCGCAAGGCTCGCTCTCCTCGCCAGACCGCTTCGATCGCATCAGAGCTTGCCTGGGCACCGCCGAGGCCGCGCAGAACGGTTTCGTCGCCCGAACGAGCGAAGGAGCCTTTGACCCCTTCGCGTCGCTCGACGCGCTCGACCATCAGGCGCGACTCTCCTCCCGCTACTCCTGCCGTTGCGACTAGCTCATCGACGAATCAGACGCGTCACGAGCCTCCCACGCCGCCTGCGACGCCGAGAACGCCGTCGCAGACCGGCTTCTCCGCCATCATCGCAAAGCTCTGTCACTCGACTGGTAAGATTAACCCAGACTACCAGCCGAAGCGCGGCGACAACAAGAGCTGCGACCCTTGCGACAAGCGGCGCGAGAAGGTACGTGTCTCGAGGTCTTTTCTTTCGCTCGAATCAGCTGTCCCGCTGCATCGCCGACTTTTCCCGCGTACCGCGCAGTGCGACCACTACACCGTCTGCGGAAGCTGCATCGTGCATGGTACCGTCTGCACCTGGCATCGCGCGACCCCTCTGTGCGTGCGATTGCCCTTCCCGCTTCGTCGACCCAGCTGATCGTCCTGCTCCCGACAGCTACGAGCGCGAGACCTTCGCCCCCTCCGAGAACGATTCCGCGCTCGACAAGCTCGCTAGCGAGGCGCTGGCATTGCGCAAGAAGATGGCCGACCTCGCTTCGCGCGCTGGACTCGACGCGGAGCATCTCCTCAAGCCGGATGTTCTGTCGTCCGTCCTCACCGAGGGTCTCCCGCTTTCTCCCCCTATCTCGCCTGCTACTGTCGAGGAGCTTACGGATGAGACCAAGGAGGAGACGGAGGCGGTTACCCCGAAGAAGCGCAGCCTCACCATCAAGCTCGCCTCGATGCGCTTCACGAGCCAGCCTGCCCCGTCTCTTCCGCCACTTCCTCCTTCACCTCCAGTCCTCGACTATGTGCCGAAAGTCCACGCCCCGACCCTCCCCTCATTTCCTGACAAGCCGCCTTCCTCGCTCGCGTGTCTCGCCGCAGAAGGCACCGCTCGGGCTCCTCTTGCGGCGCAGCCGGCTCCTCAGCCTCTCTACGCCCTCGTCGACCATCCGTCGCCAACCATGTCCCGCCCGCACGCCTTCGGACCTCCTCGTCGTCCCGCCTCGCCTCTCTCGCCAACCGCCTACTTTGCCTTCATCCGTTCTCCGAACCCCTCGCCTGCTCTTCCGCCGACCGCCCTTCCGGCTCTCCTCCCCTCCGCCTTGCCGGCCCTCCCATCGCCCACCTTCGCACACTCTTCGCCGCCCAAGTTCCGCCCGCGCGGCTTGCAGGCTACCCTCAGTCCCGAGGTCGAGCTCAAGCCGTGCTGGGCCGACTGGGCTTGTCGTACCGACGACGCCTTCGATGCCGGTGCGAGCTGGACGAAGACAGGCGGCGTCGAGGGAGACTTTGTCGTCAAGGCGGAGGAGGTCGAGGATGACGGCTTCATGCGCTGCGGTGGGATCTGAGGACGGGTGGACGAGACTGGAGAAAGGAACGCATCGCTTGCATCGTGTACAGCTCGCATGGGTAGAGACACTCGCTTGACTCGTCGGAATAGACCTCGCATGGCTTGGCTCGCTTGGAGAACCGTCTTCTTGCTCGCTCGGAGACTTGCTTCGGCTCGCGCTCAACGAGAGGAACTTCTGACAGTCCCGCAAGCCAGTGAGAGGCGAAAGGCGGTCGGAGCGTGGGAGCCTGGCGATCGTCTCTTTCGCGCTTTCGCCCCGTCTCTTTCTCCTCGTCCGCCCTCGACCTCCCTCATGCTGCTATCGTCTACGCTCGGAACTCTCCGTGCCAGCTATTCCACGCCGTCGCACCCTTCTACGGCATCCGCTTTTCTCGCTCACCGCCGCTCATCAGTTCTCGAGGCAAAGACCAGGTCTACCACCGGACCGCCTCCAGCTGAGTGCACACGCTTTCAGAGCTTCAAGTGAGGTCTCTCGAGCAGCACCAGACATCCACACGCATTGCGAGCGCTTTCGCTCGTTGCGGCGACGCTCGCCTCCTCTCTCGCTTGGACCGCTCCGACTCCTCTCTCTTGCTTCGATAGAAGAGATGTCTCTCGGCCGTTGCCAGATTCCCACGCTAAGCTTATTCCCCGGTCGATCGAACCCACCGGCCGCTTCCACCCTCGATCCTTCACCCTCTTTTCCCTCTCTCCCTCTCTCTTCACTCGCTCCCGCCAGTCACGCTCGTTTGCCAGGTGCGTCGAGCATACTCGCCGCCCGTCCTTCGCCTACTGACGCTCTCACCAACTCGCAGGATGCCTGCCACCCGCTCCGCTCGCTCAACTACCCCTCGCGATACCCGCTCGACGTCGGCTGAGCAGAAACGCTCGCCTACGAAGCGTGGTTGTGTCTCGAAGGAACTCGAGGACGAGTCGGTGCGCTCTCTCTCTCTCCATATGCAGCGGATGAAGCTGACCGTGCACACTCGCGTCGACCAGATCCCTGTCCTCCCTCCTTCGCCAATATCTCCCACTTTGCCGCTACCGCCGCCACGCACTCGCCGACGCCTGTCCAGACCGAAGGGCGCAAAGAAAGCTGGCAAGAACGCGCTTGGCGAGGCGTCGTCTCGTCTTCCCACTCCGCCTCGCACTCCTAACGACGCGACTTTCGACTTCCCCACTCCCTCCATCGTCCCTTCCGCATCCCACGACGCCTCCCTCACGCACCTGTGGCGCGACATCGACCGTTTCAGCCTCTCGGCCCTTCTCGACCTCATTCCTTCGCTCGCCGGCGAGACGGGCACTCACCCTGTTCCGCCGCTCCATCCTTCCGCCTACATGGCGCCCGTCTACCAGACACTCCTCTCCTTCGACGAGTGCATCGCGACGTACTACCGCCACAAGAGCTGGCCGAAGCACGACTTTCCGGTCCTCGAGGCGAAGGCCATCCCGTCCCGCCTCTCTTCCCCTCCTGCGCCAACGCTTCCGAGGACTCACCAGTACGAACTCGGCTTCTCCGACAACGGTCGTGCCGGATTGCGCCTCGTCGTGCCCCAGCCCGCCTGCGGAGTCGCCTAAACGCTTCACTGCGAACAGACACTCTCGCATCCTTCCTTTCCTTTGTCCCAGAATTGTTGCCGTAGATACGATTGCATTGTACAGTTCTCCGTGTCCTCAGACTCGCAAAAAGAAAGGCATCTTCGTCGTCGCCGTTGTCCGCGGGTGAGCCGCCGACGAGCAAGTGGTGCTTGTTCGTCCTTAACGCTCGCTTGCTCGCTCGCTATGACTGTTCCACGCACGCACAAGCGATCAAGTGAGTTCGATCCAGCGCCCTTGAGCCCCGCACCGCTTACCCGCTTCTCACAGCCCTGGTGACGAACAACGATGGCACCCCTCGCGGCCCACCGTCCCCGCTGGACGACAAGCTGATCGTGCTATTCGACATCGACAACACTCTCTGTGCGTCCGACGCCCAACCGACGGGCGAAGCGCGAGCTGACGAAGTGGCGGAACGTTCTCCTCCTCGCAGACTCGAAGGAGGCTGGGATTGCGGAGCTGATGAAGGATAAGATTCGAGGTGCGCGCAGGGTCGAGCGCAGAGTAGAACTGACGGGAGGCTGACCCTTGCTTCGATTGGTGTGCAGCGTACTTTCGCAAGTTGGGCTTGACGGAGGAGGAAGCGGCGCACCTGCACCACGAGTACTACAAGGTGCGTAACGCTCGCCCCATCCTGCGCCGTGTCGCTCTCTGACCCGCTCATCGCCACAGACGTACGGCCTGGCGATCCGAGGACTCGTGCGGCATCACAAGGTCGACCCGCTCGACTACGACAAACACTGCGACCAGGCTCTTCCCCTCGAAACCGTTCTCAAGGTCGACCCTCGACTACAACAGCTGCTGCGAGACATCGATCGGGAGAAGTGTCATGTTTGGGCGTTGACGAATGCCTATGTCAACGTGAGCCAGTTCCCTTTTTCTTCTCGTTCGCAAGCGACCGCTGACTCCCGCGCTGGTCGACGCGCAGCATGCTGTCCGAGTATTGAAGCTGCTAGGCATCTCGGAATTCTTCGAGGGAATCGTCTCGTGCGACTACGGAGCGGGCGACTTTTCCTGCAAGCCTGAAGCAGGTGCGTCGGCGCTTCCACCTCTCAACCTCTCACGTCCGGCCTGACGGACAGCTCTGTACGCTACAGAGTTTTTCCAAGAATCCGTCGAAGCCGTCTCCTCCCCTCCTCCGCCCCTCTCCCGCCTCTACTTCGTCGACGACTCGGCCCTCAACATCCGCGGCGCGAACGCGCTTGGCTGGGGTCACTGCGTGCTGTTTGACGAGGCGGGAGCAGAGGAGAACCGGCTAGAGGATCTGGACAAGATGCCGCTTGATGAGGACAAGGAGGGACCGGCGAAGGAGGCGGCGCGAGTGAGCGTCATTAGCGACCTAGAAGGTGCGTTTCGCCGTCGCTCTTGTGCTGAGCGCTTTGGACTGATGCTGACCGCCCGCAGAACTGCGACATGTCTGGCGCGAGGTCTTCAAGAGTCCCTCAGCCAACGGGTCCTCCTAGCCTCCTCCATACCCCATCGTCTTCCCCGGTTCCCGCATGTCATATGAGTTGTGCGCATCTAGAAGCAGTACCAGACGTCACGCCGTTGAATGCCATCGAGATTATCGCAACCGAGGTGTATAGTGTTACAAGTCGAGTCGTCAAGCGTCCCTGCCTGCCTGCATGTCCGCTACAAGCGCACACCTATCTTCCGACCTGCTGAATCGCTGTGCGTCATCTCTGCTCAAGCGCTCACCTCCTCCGCTCGCTTCACCACCTCCTCCTCCTCCTTCCCATCCCTGGTCCGCCTCCCTGCGTCACCACCACCGTCCTCGGCGGTCCGTGTCCGTACCCAGGTCCCGGTCCGAAGGTAGGTCCGCGCCTGTACATCGAAGGAAGAACGCAGGGCAAGTTAGTACCGACGGGATGGCAGGAAGAGGAGAGCGTGGACTCACGGCGCGGGATGGACGGACACGGTGTGATGCATGTGGCGGTGGCGAGGGGGAGGAGGAGAGGTGACGCTGCGCTCGTTCAAACGAAAGCACATGAGTCTGCTGGCGGAGAGATCGCGGAGAGGGAGGGAGAGAACGCACACAACATGGTGGTGGTGGCGCCTGCGAGTCGCGGGGTTCTCGTCAGCGTCAGTACAGCTTAAAAGAAAATCGTTTGGCTTGCCTGGAAGGAGCGAACGGGCGGGAGAAGCAGAGTCCCATCCTTCGCGAGATGCGGGGACGAGGAGAGGATGGGGGCGAGAGAGGCGATACGCTGGCTTCGCCGGGGCTGTTGGCAGAGTGTAGCTGCTGTAGCGCCTCTGTAAGATCAATGGAAGGCGGCGAGAGACGTGCAGCCTAGCGGGAAGAGGGAGAGAGCAGGAGAACGCGGACCTTGCCAACTCGAGTGAACGTCTACGACGATCTGGCTTGGCAGACACTCTCGCGCGCAACGTTAAAGCTGTTCAAGCTCGGAAAGAGTGCAGTTCAAGCGCAAGCGGATCGCCCAACCTCCTACGACAAGCGGTTCTTCCTTTCCTCCACCTCCATGCCCTCGAGATGCTCAGCGGTTCTTCCAGGCGTCGGGCTGCGTCTGCTGCATGCCGTGCATGGCGTTCTGTGGGAGGGAGCCAAGCTGCTTCAGCTCAGCAGGCCTCTCAGGTGGAGGAGTACTCGAACGGATCGAAGCTGTCGAGAACGCACCGACTTGGCCTGATCTCCCGCCGTTTCGTTGTGGGCGGCCCCGTGATGACCATGGAAATGGCTCTGTGGACGTCATCAGGGTGTCCCGAGGCGCAGGAGGGCGTATAGAGGCGTGAAAGTAGGAGGAAAAGGCGGAGAGGGCCGTCAATGTCAACGAACAATACACAGCGTAAAACGGGAGAGAAGGCTCCAACGCACGCTTGTCTGGGCCATTTGCTCCCTGGCGTACTGTAGTAGTGACCGTGAATGACAGTCGCCTTGCTTTGCGAAACGAGACCCCGCAGATCAGGAGAAGATGGATCGAAACGCACCGCCTGCTGAGCAGGAGAGGCCTGCGGATTGACAGACATGCCGTGCCAGCCGTGGTAGACGTCCTGAGAGGGCCCCGAGACGTTAGCTGCAATGTGCAAGGCGCTGAAAGGCGGAAAAGACGAGGCGGGCGGCGACGGACGTGAGCGTTCTTCTGTGTGCCGGAAAGGGGTCAAGCGTCAGCCTAACGTCGTCTAGAGTGCAGGCGAGTCACTCACGGGCATCCTGGGTGACTTGCGAGGCGAGGCGTGAGAGGAAGGAGGGGAAGAAGGGACTTGGCTCGAGGGGGCGGGGCATCGGGGAGCTTGAGCGTCGAAGTCGGGCTGGCGATAAAGCGCAATGGCTTTCTTTGGACTCTCACGGACGTGGACAGAGGCGCACTAGGCCTCGGGAGACGTTGAGCTCGCGAGCAGAGGTGACGAGTCGAGGAGGACCAGGTCAAGGTCAACGTCGCCAGCGTTCCGCCATTGCGGGTAAGGGCAATTGACTGAGAAGGCTTTGCAGTCAACTATGCGGTCCCTACGCCGCCGCCGAAGCCGCCATCGCCGCCGCACCCACCGCCAACCCAGCGACGAACGCCGCGCCCATGAGCAACCGCCGCTCCCCCCACGACTCCCGCTGTGCCCTCGAATCCCTCATCGACGTCTGTAACATCCCGGTAAGCCGCTCAACCTGCTCCTCCAGCGCGCCCAGCTGAGCCGACAATCCTCCTTCTAGCCCACTGCTTACTCCCTCCGACCCACCGACGCCCAACACCTCCCCCTCAAGCCCTCTCAGCCGTCCCTCCACCCTCTCACGCCAATCTTTCTTCTCCCTCTCCCTCCCCTCACGCTTCTTCCGTCTCGCTTCGAACCGTTCCCGCGACAGGGAGTCGAGGTGTGACCGATAGGCGTGTATGAAGAGGCGGGAGAGGGTGTCGAGGAGGTAGAGTTGCTGTGAAGGGTACGAGGTGCTCAGCGAGAGAGGGGAGGGTGAAGCTAAGGAGGAGCGGGGGAGAGGCGGGATGTGAGGGAGGTGCGAGAAGAGGGCGGGTTGTGCTCGAGTGCGCGATGACGAGGGTGAGTCGGAGGTTGAGGACGGTACATTCGGTATGAGGTGTAGGAGTGCAAGAAGGGATGACAGGGAGGAGGCGAAGAAGGGAGGGAAGCGGTCGGCGCCTGCTTCTGGCGCGGCAGAATCGCGCTCGGGGTTGACGACGGGCGCAGAGTCGTAGAAAGCGCGCGTTCGCACGTCTTGCGAGTCGAGCGCTTGGAAGTCGCCGGCGACTTCCTCCAGATCCGCCCGCTCCTCCTCCTCCTCCCGCCTATCCTTCAACCCTTCGTACTCCCTGACACTCCATTCAACAATTCTGCTCCACAACATGTCCCAAGTCTCGTTGACCCCCGGCTCGCACAATACAAAGGCGGGCAGCGATGCGAGCGGCGGCAAGAGCGTGCGGACTTGCGAGCCGGGCGAGAGGAGCTCGATGCGCGCGAAGGGGGTGCTGTGAATGTCAGGCAAGCTCGTCAGTAGATTGATCGAGATACGGCGAGGAAGCGGACGCACTCGAGCATGCTGGCCGTGCTGTAATCTTGCGGATCAATCAAGTCGCTCGAGATCTTCCAGCTGCAGCACCTCGCCATCAGCCACGACCTCCCAGCGAGCACGGGGGGGATGAGACGCACTTATGAACAAGGCCGCCCTCTTCCTTGTCCTCCACGCTCCATGCCCGCCTCGTCTGCCAGTCCAGCAAGGCAGCTAGTTCGTCGAGCCGGCCGAGCGAGTTCGCGACGTCCCGAGCGGTCTTGAGGGGGACCCAGATGTCGAGGACTGTGTGGGACCCGCATGAGTGGGAAGCATGCAAGGAAGTTGAGGAGAAACGCGACTGACTCGGCGCAAGTCCGCCGATCGAGATGTCGTAGGTAAGGCTGTCGAGCTTGAAACGCAGCAGTCCTTCGAGGGGCGTGACAGAGCATGCGAGAAACAGTCTTCCGAGTGAGACGAACGGCTCTCTGCGCGGAGGAGCATGAGTTAACGAAGAGTGAAAGGGAAGAGGACGGGCACGCACTGGTGTTCCGGGTCGAGTACGCGCAGGACCTCGACGGCGGCGATCTCGTCAGCGTCCCTCAACTCATCCCGCTCGTCTATACCATCCTGCGGGTCGCGGCGGAAGGGGAGAAGGGTGGACAGGCAAGCGCAAGGGGAGGAGAGCGAGCGGCCGAGCGGGCGGTATAGCTCGAAAGAGAGAGGGAGAGCCTGTTGACGAGCCAGGACTGCAATCACGAAGAGCTTGGCGAGCAGGAGTCGCTGTGAGTGGCAGGAGAGAGAGGTTCGCAAGGAGGAGGAGAAGGAGGTCGCCGTCCTCGCTCGCTTCTCGCTTCGCTACGAGACTTTCACGAACAAGACGACTGCGTACTACTCTCTGAGCTAGTCTGTCCAGCTAGGCAGTCCCGTTGTTGCGGTTTTCCTCCTCCACCCTCTCATCCTCGTCGCTTTGTCCTCGTCCGCTCGCTCGCACACCGTCTCTCGCTTCTTGTACAGCCTTTCTCTTTGCTAGCGTAGTCAGAGACCCACCAGGTGCGCACACAGCTCACCGCAGCTCCTCCCGACGTCTGCTGACAACATACTCTCTGCACAGCCTCGGCGAATCCGTCTCCCCTCCCTGCCGTCCCTTCACACCTCTCCCCGCCGCCAAGATGGCCTACAACCAGTACTACAACTCGCCTCATCCAGGCGGGATGAACCCCTACGGCGGAGAAGAGCTAGCCGAAGAGATCCACCCGCGCTACTCTGCCGACCCGTTCTCGAACCAACAGCCTTACTCGTCCCTCCCGCTGAGCCAAGACCCCGAGATGGTCGACTTGTCGAGCGGCCAGCGGCCCCTGAGCGGGGTGGGGAGCGATACGGGGAGTTCGTCGGCTTATTGGGCGCCTGGGCGGAGTGCGGCGGCTGGAGGTGCGGCGGGCGCGGGAGCGTACGGGCTGGGCGAGGACTGGGACGACGGACAGGACAGCTGGTGGAGGCGGAGACGGTGGCTTGTGATTGCTGCCATCTGCGGGCTGATCGCGGCATTGGCGATTGGTCTCGGAGTTGGGTTGGGCGTCGGGCTGAACAACTCGAAGAAGAATGACAACGCGGCGCGGCTGAGCGACTCGAAGAGCTCGTCGGACCGGCCGACCGGCAGTAGCGTCAGCGTCGGAACCGTCCTCTTCACCAGCACGAGCTTTTTGAGCGGGAGCTCAGCATCCGAGGTCGTCTCGACGTCCACGGCCAGCAGCACCGTGCCCGACCCGACAACATCGAGCCCAACGACAACGCCTCCACCGAGCTCCTCCTCGACCACGACTTCGTAAGTCGGCGGCTGGCTCCTCTGTCCTTCTCGGGTTCCGCGGCTGACCTTCGTTCCCGCAGATCCACAACTACCACGCCCAGCAGTTCTTCAGCCTCGTCGTCTTCCAGCTCTTCCTCATCTTCGTCCTCCGCCTCGTCTAGCTTTTCATCAAGCTCAAGCAGCACCAGCTCGTCCAGCTCGAGCTCGAGCTCCTCGTCCTCGAGTTCTAGCTCGACCTCTTCTTCGTCTTCCGCTACGACGACGAGTCCACCCGGTTCGCGAAAAATCCCGTCCCGCTCCGTTGTTGACGAGCAGTGACCCACTTACCCGTGCAGTGTCGTCCACGTCCCCGTCTTCCTCTTCGTCGCCTTCCTCGTCCTCCTCGCCGTCGTCCGCTTCATCCGCACCTCGAACATCTACCACCACCCCACCAGGCGCGACCACGACGCCTCCCCTCTCGACCGACACTAACGGCGGCACCTACACCTTCACAACCCGTCCCATCGTGCGTCCCACATCTCCTACTCTTCTCCTCCCATCCCATGTTGACATGACTCGATGGCTGACCACCCTACAAGACTCCTTCTTCTGCCCTCTCATCTGCCGCGTCGGCCGTCACGTCGCGCGTGCCGTTCGCCTCGCGCTCGTTGACTGCGGCTGCCTGATCGCCTCGACACGATACGGCGCTCAGGTCAACCCGGGAGGATTCACTATCGGCACCCTGACTGGATTCGTCACCATCTCCGCCTAGTCCCTCGTTCTTCCTCTCCCGCCGTCTCCTCTCTCACCCGAACCTCCAACTTTCGCACCTCTCGTTCCTCCAGCGCTTACCAACAGACACTATCACGCACCCTCGCAACAACACACATTATGTACAGCCCGTCTTCCTCGCCTCGAAGCGACAATTTCATCTTTCTCTCGCTTACTTCTTGTAGCATTGTCCCCCCTCACCTCGCCTTGCGCGCGTAGTAACGGCAACGTATCTAGACCCTTGCCCCGAGTTCGTCGGTCGAAGCCAGTTGACAAGAGCCTGCTTCCTCTCCTTCGCACCCGCTCTCCCTCTCCCTCGCAACCACTCCCCGCTCGCGCCTCGTTCACTCGGCTGGCCTGTGCTCTGGCTGACGTGTCCAGATGACGACGGGTTCGGCCCGGCTGAGGAGATTTGCACCGCCCCTCCTCCACTCTTCGCTCGCTTCCGCTCTTTTCGACTTTTCCCAACTCTCGCTCAACTGTTGAAGCATCGCTGCTTGAGCCATGTTCACTCGCTCGGTCGTAAAGACACTCAGGACAGCAGCTGTCCCACGCAGGGCACTCTCGTCCACCCGCGCAGCAGCACCACTCGTCTCGTCCCCGGCAAAGACGACCCTCGCTCGTCGCCACGTCTCGTCTTCGCCCGCCGTACTCGAGGGACAGGAACCCATCGTCGCTGTCAAGGAGGACATCAAGATCCCGTGCGTTCCCGAGGTCCAGCGCGAGTCGAAGCCGTCGAACGAGCTAACCACGTTTTCTCGCTCAGATACCCCGAGTACGTCCCCCTGCGACTCGTTCGACAGCTCGATAGGTCCACAGAGCACGCTCGACGAACCTGACACTCCCTCGCGAGCGCAGTGAGGCCGAGTTCCCGCCCGGCGACTTGGGCCACTCGATGGAGGGTCCCGACGTCGACGTCGGCCGACACACTCGCCGCACGCTCGCTTCCTTCTCCATGACCGACAAGGTGCGCTGCGTTCACTGCTTCGTCCTTTCCCTCCTCCGTCGTCGTCGTCGCTGTCGAGCGGAGCCTCCACTGCGGAGGACGAGCCGTCGCTTCGGCTCGATCACTCTCCTCCCTCCCTAGGCTCCGTCCCGCCGCTCCGCGACGCCCAACAAACTTTCCCTTGCCGCGGTCGAACGTGTACTGACGTTTTGCGACGTATGGCGCGCAGGTCTGTGTCGTTACCGGCGCGGCTCGCGGTGTGAGGCGCTATTCCTTCGGCTCTGAAGTCATCTGTTCTTCCTCTCCTTCCTGGGGAAGACGGGGGCGGAGAAGGATATCAACGCAAACACGAGTGACCTCGGTGCTAACCCGCGGCTTTGCGCGCAGCTGGGCAACCTGATCGCGCGTACCTTCGCCGAGTCCGGCTCGAACGCGATCGCCATCCTCGACCTCGACAAGGAGATGGCCGAGCAAGCCGCCGTCGACCTCGTCTCGTGGTTCGAGGAGCACGGGGAGGCCAAGAAGGGCGAGATCAAGGCTATTGGACTCGGGTGCGACGTCGCGAGCGAGGAGAGCGTCCAGGAGTGCTTCAAGACTGTTATCGACAAGTTTGGCCGTGTCGACACGCTCGTTACGGCTGCTGGCATCGTCGGTGCGTGCAGCGACCTCCTTCCGCGCGATCCTTCGAGCGAAACTGACCACCGGATCGTCTCGCAGAGAACTACGCCGCCGTCGACTACCCAGCCGACCGTTTCCGCAAGCTTATGGGAGTCAACGTCGAGGGCTCCTTTTACTGTGCTCGCGAGGCCGCCAAGGACATGATGAAGCGCAACGCCAAGGGCTCGATTGTCCTCATCGGCTCGATGTCGGGCGCTGCCGTCAGTGCGTCAGCTTTCCCTGCCTCGCTCGCATAGTGAGAATGTACTGACCTTCTGCTTGATCCGCAGACATCCCTCAGCCGTGCGTTCGCGTCTCAAGTCGTCCAAAACTCCGCCTTGCTGACCTTCCTCTCCTCCGCCTCCTCCTCCTTCCCCTCTGCTCTCGCCTCCTCGCCCGCAGGCAAGCGCCTTACAACGCCTCGAAGGCTGCAGTCCGGCACCTCTGCGCGTCCCTTGCCGTTGAGTGGGCGACCAAGGGCATCCGGGTCAACTGCATCTCGCCTGGGTGCGTTCGAGCGCTTCCGTCTACTTCCACCGTCTCTCGCTGACGCTTCGAGGACGCGTTAGATACATGGCGACTGCTTTGACGCGCGTCATCCTTGACCGCGAGCCAGAACTTCGCGAGGCCTGGGTACGTCTCCCCTTCGCCTCCTTCCTTTCGCCTTCGATTGCCCGCTGACCTCCAGAGGCTACTATAGACCTCGTTAACCCCCATGAACAGGATCGGGGAGCCGGAGGACCTGAAGGGCGCCGTCGTGAGTTTCCTTCGCCTCCAGAGCCTCCGGAAGACTCTGGCTCACTTCCCGCCATCCCGCAGATCTACCTCGCCTCCGACGCTTCCGCATTCACTACTGGAGCCGACTTGCGTGTCGACGGGTGCGTAGCGAGCCATTCATACGTCGTATCAGTTGAAACTGACCGTTCGAACGGTTCGTGTCGGCTTGCAGCGGCTACACCCTCACCTAAGCCACCGCGCTGCACCCTCGCCTCGCCTCCGCATCCCATCAGCAGTACAACATACCCTCTCCGCACCCTCTCTCATCTGTCCCTGCGGCCCAACAGTCTCTTCATCGTCGCCGTCGTCAAAAACTCGCACTTTCGTTTCTCGCTCGTTTCCGCTTCCGCTTCGGAGCCTCTCGTTCTTGGCATGCAATTTTGAGAAGTATGATCGATGGAAAGAAGGGCAGAGAGGGCGTCCGCTGCGAAGCGTTGGCGAGAGGAGAATGCTTGAGACGGGCCGACCTTCCCATCCTCGTCTTCGCTCTCCACTTTGCCTGAGCAGCTTCATCGCAGTCTGGCCCACAGCGACATGCTCTTCGTCACGCTTCGTCCGCGGTAGTGTGACGGCAATCGCTCGCCATCCTTGGGCTCCCATTCCTCCTCCAATTCCTCGTCCCGCCTCGCGACTGCCGTCTCTCGCCGCGGCGTACTCGTCTCCCTTACCAGCTCATACGCATGCCCGTGGCGACTGTAAGCCTCACAGCTCACGTAACAAGAACGGAGATGGAAGAGAAGGCAAGTCTCGTTGCGGGAGCGTCGCGAGTCTACCAAACGCACGGGCCGACGCCAGCAAAAGAAGCAGTGAAAAAGAGTAGAAGGGGAATGTAACGTCGCTTATAGTGCTCAATCTGTCATGACCAGGCCCCTCAGAAAGAGAGCAGGCCAGCCAAAAAAGAGATCCGATCAAGAGTGGAGGGACGTCTTCAGAGTAGATTCGACTCTTCCAGTTCGCTTGTTAAAGCCCCACCCATGGGACCACGCCCGTGGTCGTCGCAATCAAGGACGGCCGCGGGCGCGCCTCCTTACGAGAAGGAGGGGGTGGGGCTAGGCATTTGCGCTGGGGTTTTGGAGGGTAGGGAGGGGGAGCGGGGGCGGTGGTAGAGTCAGTAGCAGTCGAAGAGCGTTGTACTGTGTTGATAGAGCCGTCGGAAAGAGGCGGAAAGGCGGAAGAGTCGGAGTTAGCACGAGAGGCGGACGACGTCGACGAGCGCGAGAACGGCGGCGGCAGCCGGCAAAAGCAGCTTGTCGACAGTCTGTAGAACGTGTCAGGACGGCGTGGTGGTCGAACCAGTCGATTTTCACAACAAAGGGACCTTCATCGCGCAAGTTCGGTTTTACTGCTGGGTGGAAGTCGAAAAGGGAGAGAACGGCGTCGAGGCATGAGATGTTTTTTCTTGGCGCCTTACAGCTTCTGCATAGCGGCGACGTCGGAGGACTGGAGAGAAAGAGAGTCAGCAACGAGGAAAAATGGAGGTCGAGGAGGCGAAGTCGAGGTGGCGGAGTCGACGGCGACGACGAGAATCAATGAGACAAGACCGACCTGGACGTAGTCTTCCAGGTCGGCAATCTGCTCCTGCAGCTCGTCAAGCGAGACGAGCTCGTCCTCGACGACGAGCGACATCTGCAACTTCTTGATGCCGTAGCCGATGGGGACAAGCTTCGAAAGACCCCAGACGAGTCCGGGCTTCTCGATGGAGCGGACAGCAGCCTCAAGCTCGGCCATGTCGGTCTCGTCGTCCCAGGGCTTGACGTCGAGGGTGACGAGCGACTTGGCGATGGTCCTGCGCGCGCGGGCGGCGTCAGCGACGGGATTCCACGACAGCTATGCACGAGCACAATGCATATGCACATGCATGGCGCGAGACTAGAGACGCACTTGGGCTTGTTGGCCTTCTTCGCGGCGTACTCTGCGAGACGCTTCTGCTTGAGGGCCTCGGCCTCGGGGTCGACCTCCTCGTCGTCCGAGCCAAAGAGGTCAATGTCGTCCTCGTCCTCAGCGGCGGCGGCGGGGGCAGCAGCGGCAGCGACGGCCGAGCCGTACGCCGACGCGGGCTTCGAGGCGTCTCCGGGGAGGGTCTCGTGCTCGGCCTCGTACGACTGGATGTGCTTGAACCAGCGCGCAGAGTGGGGGTAGGTGGCGGCGTCAGGGGCAGAGGCGAGGGCCTTGTAGACGGCGACGTCGGCCTGCGAGGGGGTGTAGCTGTGTTCGACGCGAGGAGGAGGAGACGGTCAGCTCGCGTCCTCAATCTCGCACTCGGTTGTTTAACCCCCAATCGACCGGTACAGAGTGTCCCAGCGCACAAGCCCCAACTAGATCAGCTGGCTTGGAAGGGTTGGTTGTCTTCAGCGCTTTTGGCGGAGTTCTTGAGGCTCCTTCGCTCTGCAACACGGACCAAAGCAGATATTCATCCTTTAGATGAGGCTCTGTGCTCTGGGTCCACTCCATCCGGTCGATTTCCGTCCTCCCAGACCGTCGCAGGGCGCGAGAGAGGCGAGGGTGTTGTCGGGGGTGCCACGATGCCAGCGGGAGGAGCGCGCACTCACCCCTCGATGTAGGACTTGTCGGCGAGGTGCGACTCGAGCGACTGGAGGCCGGCGGGGTTAGTGAACTCGGGGAATCCCATTCTGGCTGGCTGTGCGAGGGTGTGTGAGGGGAGGAGAGGGAGGAGGAGCAGGCGAAGGGACGCGCTCAAAGCTCGCTCGCTTCGAAACGTTTTCTCCGCTTACACTCAGCGATATGCACTGGGTCTGATGGCTGGAATGGCTTGCTACGGTGCTGATCTACCCAGGCAGCTTTGTCCCGTCTCTCCACGAGGTCTCCTCGCGCCGCTGTACCCTCTCGCGGTTCTCATCAGTTGGAGCCGGTTCTCGTCACCACGGCCGTCTGGTGGGACATTCGGTTGGTCAGGACGTCGTTCACGATGTTTAGAACGACAGGCGAGCGGCGGTACCCTCCAGAGCTGTTGCTGCCGCGAGACGCCTCCTCGACTGCCGTCCTCTGTCTTGACGGCTTCTCGCATCTCCTTACGCCGGCGGAAGCACATCCGCGCTGCTCAGACGTCGCCAAGATGTACGCAGGTGATGCGCACTCGTACTGGACACGCTCGCTGTCCTCGTCGAGCTTCCTCGCTCGCTCCACGTTCTCTCGCTCTTCCTCCGGCCGCGCCTCACAACGTCCTGATCTCCCCTCCAAACGCTACAAGCGCTCGACCATTCTAAGCGCATCCCGCTTATCCCGAGACCGCCGGTACCTTCCCGCTTCCGCGCTTCTCAGGTCCCGAGTTGCCTTGACCTCACGATGACCGCTCCTCGCCTCTTCCGCCGGCGCCACCCCCTTCGCTCGCTCGCTTCCATCTCTCTTCCTGCTTTCTCTCTCGCAACTTCGAGCAAAGGTGTACGAACGAACAGCGCAACAATGTCCGAAGCGAGTCCCCCCCTTCACCTCACCTTCCTCCTCCTGCTCCTGCTAACTCTCTTTCTTCTCCCTCCCTCTCCCCTCGGCTGCTGCCTCGTGAACCGTGTGGATGAAACAGCACTTTGTCGACCCAGTAGAACAGAAACTCAAAGACGGCGGGGACGTGCGCGTGCGTCTCCCCTTTCCCTCTCTCTCTCTCTCTTTCCTCCCTCCGAGCTGATCTGGGATGTGACAACAGACGTTGGAGTCGGGCGCGCAAGCATGGGAAGGAGGCGACTCGCTCCGTGCGCGCGACAAGGGGCAGCCGAATGCCGTGCGTCCCACCCTCTCTCGCCCTCCCTCTGGCTCTCGAGCTACGGAAGAGAAGGAGCTGAGGAGTGCTGTGGGACGCAGAACGCGACGCAGCAAGGAGTTCATCTTGACGAACTCTCCTCCTCCTCCTCCGAGCAAAACCAGTCCTCGGCGGGAGAACAGTCCTCGAACACTAGCTCGGGTGCTCAGAAGTCTTGAGCGAGTCATGAGGGTCAGGAGTGACGGCTGAGAGGAGTAGTGAGCGAGTCGGGAGGGAGCGAGGGGGGGACCAGGGAAGGGGGGTGTACATAGTGTCAGAGAAACGTAAATGGCGTCTTCAGCCTGGTCGTCCGCGCAGGGAGAACGTCGATGCAAGCTCAGTAGAGGCGTAGCGAAGCCGCTAGAAAGCCGAGGGAAGCGACGAAGCCAGAAAAGCGGTCGCGAGGAGCGGAAGACAGGCGTGCGAGACGGCGCGACAGCTCCAACTGACTTCGCTATGGAAGCCAGGCCTCGCAACGTCTCCAGCTAGCAGTACCGAACGCAGGGAACCCGCCAGCGAGTGTGGCGGGAGCAAGCGAGGCGATCGAAGGTGGCAAACCTGGACGAAGGGCGTCCTCGACGGCGAGGGATGCGGCGGGCGGGGGAGTTGGAGTGGCTGGCGGGTCGACTGTGTGGCGATGTGCTAGTGAGTGTGAGAATGCTCGAGAACGGGGTGGATGGCGCGGGAGAAGTGAGCGAGGGAACGCTGTGGAACTTGGGCGAGGCGAGCGACGACCTCGGCGGGCGGCTCTCTCTTCCTCTCTCTCTCCCTCTCTCTTCACTCTTTGCTCGCTTGTTCTACTGCAGTAACACAGCGCAGACTACAGCACACACCCACACCCGCACACACACACCACTCGCACAATCAAAAGCAATGGCTGGAAAGGCTGTCGGGTACGCTCACCTCGCTCGTCACCACTCGACTCGGCTCGCTGACCACGTACCATGCGCGCAGTATCGACTTGGGCACGACCTACTCGTGCGTCGGCGTCTGGCAGAACGACCGCGTCGAAATTATCGCCAACGTGCGTCCACCTCCCTCTCAACACTCGGTCGAGATGGAAAACAGTCGCTGACATTCGACCGCCTTCGCACCGTCTTCGCCACCCACAGGACCAGGGAAACCGCACCACCCCCTCCTACGTCGCCTTCACGTGAGTCGACTCTGTGCGAACCGAGCGAGCCGAACGAGCGAGTGCTGACCTTCGCTCCTCCTCCTCGCAGCGACACTGAGCGTCTTATCGGCGATGCGGCGAAGAACCAGGTTGCGATGAACCCCCACAAGTGAGTTCAGGACGGCATTTCAGCGGATGCACTCGAGCGCGAGCTGACTTGGGACGTCTTCCCGCGCAACAGCACCGTCTTTGACGCCAAGCGCCTCATCGGACGCAAGTTTGCCGACGCCGAGGTCCAGTCCGACATGAAGCACTGGCCGTTCAAGGTCATCGACAAGTCGGGCAAGCCCATCATCTCGGTCGAGTACAAGGGCGAGCAGAAGGAGTTCACGCCCGAGGAGATCTCGTCGATGGTCCTCCTCAAGATGAAGGAGACGGCCGAGGCCTACCTCGGCGGCACCGTCGCCAACGCCGTCGTCACCGTCCCCGCCTACTTCAACGACTCGCAGCGCCAGGCCACCAAGGACGCCGGCTTGATCTCGGGCCTCAACGTCCTCCGCATCATCAACGAGCCCACCGCCGCCGCCATCGCGTACGGCCTCGACAAGAAGTCCGAGGGCGAGAAGAACGTCCTCATCTTCGACTTGGGAGGCGGCACGTTCGACGTCTCGCTCCTCACGATCGAGGAGGGCATCTTCGAGGTCAAGGCCACCGCCGGCGACACCCACCTCGGCGGCGAGGACTTTGACAACCGCCTCGTCAACCACTTTGTCGCCGAGTTCAAGCGCAAGAACAAGAAGGACCTCTCGTCGAACGCCCGCGCCCTCCGCCGCCTCCGCACCGCCTGCGAGCGCGCCAAGCGCACCCTCTCGTCGGCCGCCCAGACCACGATCGAGATCGACTCGCTCTTCGAGGGCATCGACTTCTACACCTCGATCACCCGCGCCCGCTTCGAGGAGCTCTGCCAGGACCTCTTCCGCTCGACCATGGAGCCCGTCGAGAAGGTCCTCCGCGACTCGAAGATTGACAAGCAGTCGGTCCACGAGATTGTCCTCGTCGGCGGCTCGACCCGTATCCCGCGTGTCCAGAAGCTCGTCTCCGACTTCTTCGGCGGCAAGGAGCCCAACAAGTCGATCAACCCGGACGAGGCCGTCGCGTACGGCGCCGCCGTCCAGGCTGCCATCCTCACCGGCGACACGTCCGAGAAGACCCAGGACCTCCTCCTCCTCGACGTCGCCCCTCTCTCGACCGGTATCGAGACCGCCGGCGGTGTCATGACCAAGCTCATCCCGCGCAACACGACCGTCCCGACCAAGAAGTCGGAGATCTTCTCGACCTACGCCGACAACCAGCCGGGCGTCTTGATCCAGGTCTACGAAGGGGAGCGCGCCCGCACCAAGGACAACAACCTCCTCGGCAAGTTTGAGCTCTCGGGCATCCCCCCCGCGCCCCGCGGCGTCCCCCAGATCGAGGTCACCTTCGACATCGACGCCAACGGCATCCTCAACGTCTCGGCTTCGGACAAGACCACCGGCAAGTCGAACAAGATCACCATCACCAACGACAAGGTGCGTGACCCTTCCTTCTCTCCTCGCCGCCGAATGACGAGCTGACTCTCCATTCTCGCAGGGCCGCTTGTCGAAGGAGGAGATCGAGCGCATGGTCAGCGAGGCAGAGAAGTACAAGGCGGAGGACGAGGCTGCTGCCGCGCGCATCACCGCCAAGAACGGCCTCGAGACTTACGGTTCGTTTTCCGCGTCTTCCCTTCTTCTCGTCTTCCGTACTGACTCTCCCGTCGCGTGCAGCCTACTCGCTCCGCAACTCGATTGACGGCGACCTCAAGGACAAGATCGAGGGCTCGGACCGCGAGACGCTCGACAAGGCCATCTCGGAGACCATCTCGTGGCTCGACGCTTCGGCCGAGGCCTCGAAGGAGGAGTACGAGGAGAAGCAGAAGGAGCTCGAGGGTGTCGCGAACCGTGAGTCTCCATTCCGCAACGTGCCGCCCCTTCTCCCGGTACTGACTTTCGGTCTTCTACCCTCCAGCGATCATGATGCGTGCGTACGGCGCTGCTGGTGGCGCGCCCGGTGGTATGCCCAACATGCCCGGAGGTGCTGGTGCTCCCGGCGCCGGCGGCGACGACGGTCCCTCGGTCGAGGAGGTCGAGTTCGTCTTTTCCGTCTCGTCTCTCCCACTGGTTCAGAGTGTACTGACTGATTTACCTTCGCAGCTAAACGATTCCGCCCCGTCTCACCTCGCATCCGACCTGTGTAGCCACGCCTTTTCTCTTTCCGCCCCCGACACTAAAAGGAGTTCAGTCGTCCGCTTTTCCTCTCTTCCGTTCTCCACGCCTGCAGTACTGCATGCCTCAGCTGTGTAATTTCGATAGAGTACTCGCACGTATGCTCGCGCGGACTTGTCGAGAGAGCGGGCGAGAGGTCGAGAGGAGCTGACTTGAGTGAGCAGCGAGAGCGGAGCGGCTTGTTGCGGCACACAACGGTCCGGCTTACGGACAATCAGCGATGAAGCCGGAAGAGCGGCAGGAGTGGACGAAGACGTGCGAAGAGGAAAGGGGGCGAGGAAGAGAAGCGGAGGAGGAAACGCAGCGAAGCAGCACAACTTCCGCAGAGACGACGGTTCACATAGTCAAAGATGCAGTGCAGAGAAGTGCGCGATAGGTACAACAAAGCAGAACGAAGCACAGTGAGAAAGACTGCTCAGAACAACCAGACCGTCTCGATGTCGCCCGACTGCGTGACCTCGAGGGCGATGCCGGGGAAGCCGTGGATCTCTGCGGGTTCGTAAGTGTCAGCACTAGCATCCTGAAGCAACGCAAGCAAGCACGCGCGCACCCGTCGGCTTGCCCTTGACCCCTCCCCTGCCCTCTCCCGCCGTCCGGTCCAGCACCATGGGTTTCTCGTCGCCGCGTCCTCCCAGCGCTTCACCACGTTCGTTTGGCGACCCCGCAGCCGACTCGATCCCGAGCAAGTCCTCCACATTCGTCTCCTTGACTCCGCTCATCTTGCCCTTCTTGCCCGCCTGACCAGTCGCAAGCGGCGAAGGCGTCCTTGTCGCACCGTTTCCGCGTCCCTCAAGGCATGCCTTCACGCTCTTCCACCCATCCTCGACGCCGACGCGCTCCCCGTCGCGCACTAACGCCCAAGCCGCCCGCGTTGTCCGCCCGAACTGGACTTCGCCCGGCAGGTTCGAGTGAAGGATGACTTTCTCGAGGGTGTGAGGGGTGGAGGAGGAGGAGACGAGGAGAGTGAGACCGAGGTGTGGGTAGGAGAGGAAGTAGGGGTTGGCTGCGAGGCGGGAGGGGTGTCAGCGAGGTCTTCGAGGACATGTGGCGAGCGAAGGGGACGCACGCTGTAAGGCAGGGTTTGCAGACGAATTTGACGACTCGACGGACGCCGTGTGGATAGTTAGTCGGTCCTGCAAAGCCCAACAGGTCAGGAAGTGCGCAGACGGAAAGGGCGAGTTGCACGCACATCCTCCTTCCAAAACGTCCGTATAGCACTGCCCAGCTCGCAGAGGATGTCTTCGCTGGTCGTCTCGCCGATCTTGAGCTCGACGGAGGCCAACGGCTGGTCGGGCGATGAGTGGAAGTTGAGGCGTACGATCGCTGGCGAGCGGGACGAGGCGAGCTGGGAACGGCGGAAGATGACCCGTCAGTACCGGTTCGCGAGCCGTCAAGTAGCGCAGAGATGCCCAAAGGCAATCCGCCTCACCTGAATCTCGGCGAGTCGCAAGTCCCCCTTTGCGACGGACGGGTTGTCAGGCAAGACCGGGTGCAGCCAAGCCTGGTCGACGGGCACGTCTTCAGGTGCAGATAGAGGAGTAACGACGATGCGGCTGATTGCTGAACCTGTCGACGCGGAGGACTTCAGCCTGAGAGCGCTCAATTAGGTGAACGTGAGGATACGCACCGCCGTCGCTCCGCGCAACCCTGAAGGCCACGCCCGGGTAGCTCAGTATCTCCTCCTCGGCCCGTCCCGCGCCGTTCATGTCGCCCTTAACCTTCGAGCTCCCGTACGTCGGTCCCATGATGCGCCTCACTGTCCGCACGACATCCTCGTCCTCGTCGTCCGGGTCGTCGCCCGACAGCCTCTTCTCTCGATATGCGACCCATGCTGCAGGCGACACTCCGAGGACTTCGATGCGCGTGAGGCGTTGCGAGAGGGAAGAGAAGGTCAGGTGCAGAGGCGGGGTCGTGAGGGTGAGGTGAATCGGCGAGTCGGAGGGGTTCTGCGAGAATGATCAACCGTCAACGCTTGCCTCGACAAGGTGAAGGGGCCCAGGCGCTCTCCAGCGAGCCAGCCCTGCACCCCACATCGAGAGGAGCAAGCGAGACGAACCTCGTCGTCCCATGCGAGTTTGGCAGAAGGATAGCTCGAGCGATACGATCTGACGTGATTGAGCACGTTGAAGAGCAGACTGCCTGTCCACAGAGCGTGTCGTGGTCAGTTCACTCCAACTGATGAAGCGGGTCGGTGGGGGAGGAGGAGAACAAGGACTCACCGAGCTGGAACGGGCCAAGCGAGTCTCCGGGCGTGAGAGATAGCGGTTCTGGCGCAGTCCGACTCATCAGCAAGCGCGATCAAGCAGCAGGAGCGACAAGTCGAGGAGCAACCCACCTCTTCTCGTCGTCCGCTCACCTTGATCAGCTCAGGAGCTATGCGAGCATGGCAAGCTTTTACAGCAGCTCTAAGCTTGCTATCTGGTGCGACAACAGCGTCCCCAGCGGCCGACGGCTCTGCCCTCGCCCCATCTCTCGCTGCCGCCAACTCGTCGCTCTTGTGGGGCTCGTACAGGCCAGGGCTGTACTTTGGTCTGCGACCACGGTTGCCAGACACGCTCTTGACCGGCCTGATCTGGTTCGGCGTCCATGACTGGCAGTCTTACACCCGTACGTCTCGCGTCCTCTCCGCCGAACTCTCGCAAGTGGACCTGACTCTCGTTCTCGCGCAGAACCCCGCCACGAGTGCGATCAGCGTGACGGCTTGACGTACAGCTACACCGAGCACGATGGACGGAGTGCGGCAAAGCAAGTTATCAAGGACCCGCGCAACAACGTTCAGCTCACGATCCGCTTCCTCAAGGTGTCGGGAGCGCAGGCAAGACAAGGTAAGCTGGCAGGCAGGCCATTGATGTCTGGGCAGCTGAGCTGACTCGGCACGGATCGCAGGCGGCAGTTGGGCCGTCCGAATCGAGGGAGAACCGCTTGACCAGAGTGGGTCCACTTCTCCGCAAGTCACTCCAGCCAGTACTGACGATGTCATCCGCAGGCAAGCTCTCACGCATCTCGCTCATCAACTACTTCGGCAACGACGCGCCGTTGAGCTACCTGGAACTCGAGAACGAGGAAGATTCGAACGTGTGTTCGCTCGCTCGCGACGCGCTCATCCCGCTGGGCTGACTTTCCATTCGACAGGGTCTGGAAGGGGCCGTGCGACTGAAAGGGCAGACGCCCGGCCTCGGCAAGTACAAGATCCGCATTGAGAATCGTGCGTCCGGTTTGCCCTTTCCAGCCTGGCTTGCAGTCGACAACTCACTCGTGTAATCTAATGCAGATGACACGAACGTCGAAGTTGAGGCCGGTCCGCATGGCGACGACTTTGGCGACAAGCTGCAGCGGACGCAGTTCCTCGGAATGGGCGTGCCGCATGGACTCGTCTGGCAGGCGAAGAGTAAGCTCCTTTGCCGAAAATCGCCAGGACAGCACTGATGTGCGGACCCATCAGACGCTCTGATGAACACGATGCTCACGCACTCGAAGACGGTCCTGGAGCGCTACGGCCAGGAGAACCCGCCCGATCCTGCGCTCCTGTTCAGCTTCCCGAACGATGTCCGCACGAACGCTGGCTTGTATGGTCTACAGCGGACGTACGTCGGACGATGGAGCGTTGACGTCTTCTTCGACGCGGAGGACGCGCCGGCCAACTTGAACCGTTCGTCCTCCTTCCGGTAACAAGATGTTGATGTTGCTCACGCCTTCCTCGCCCAGACGCTGCACTTACTGCTGCACTCGACGCATCCTCCGCCGCCTTCCACGCTCACTTCAACGCCCTCTTCCCTCAGATCTCGACCTTCAGCTCCTCCCACCAAGCCTTCGCTCGCGCAATCACTGCCAACCTCATTGGCGGCATCGGCTACTTCCACGGACCCTCCATCGTCGACCGCACCTTCTCGCAAGAGTGGGACGCCGAGGATATTGAAGGCGGCGCACCGGTCAAGAAGCCCGAGTTGACGGAGTCGAGGGAGCTCTTCTCGGCGACTCCAAGCAGGAGTTTCTTTCCGCGCGGATTCTACTGGGATGAGGGCTTCCACCTTGCGCTTATCGGAGCGTGGGACAACGACCTTAGCCTTGAGATCTTTAAGAGCTGGCTGAACTTGGCGGATGCCGATGGGTGGATTGCACGCGAGCAGATCCTGGGCGAAGAGGCCAGAAGTCGGGTGAGTCGAGACATCACGTCCTTACGACTGAGCGTTGTGGCGCAATTGCCGCGGCAGGCTCAGGGCTGGGCTGAACTCCGTCTCGACGCCGCAGGTTCCCGAAGACTTCCAGGCGCAGTACCCGTCCTACGGCAACCCTCCTACCCTCATCATGGGTCTCACCGGCTACATCGCCCGTCTCCACGAGCGCGGCGTCTCACTCGCCACATCGCTCGACGAGATCACCGAGGACGCTTCTCCGACAGCTTCTCCCGCTGCGCTCGCCTCGCTGCACCTCACCTCTCCCAGTCTCGCCTCGTCGTACCTAACTTCCGTCTATCCGACGTTGAAACGGCACTACGAGTGGTTCCGCCGAACGCAGAAGGGCGAGGTTCGGCAGTTTGGCAGGAAGGCGAGATCCGCCAACGAGGCGTACCGGTGGAGGGGAAGGACTGCCGATCACGGTGCGACAAGCCGCGCCTCATCTTATGCGTAGGAGCTGACACCTCGCCGTCGCAGTGCTCACGTCTGGCTTGGACGACTACCCTCGCGCCGTTCCTCCGCATCTCGGCGAGTTGCACGTCGACCTCGCATCCTGGATGGGCTTCTTCGCCCGCACGATGCGCGACGTCGCCGAGTTCCTTGGCGAGGAGGAGGACGCTGAGGAATTCGACGAGCAGTACGACGCGATCGTCGGCAACATCGAGGACTTGCATTGGAACGAGGAGGAGCAGATGTACTGTGACGCGAGCATCGACGAAGACGGTACGTCTCAGTACATCTCGCGCGTCTCGAAGGCAGCGCTGAACCTGTGCGCACGCAGACGAGTCGTACCATGTCTGCCACCGCGGCTACATCTCGCTCTTCCCTTTCCTCCTCTCCCTCCTTCCTTCGTCTTCGCCTCATCTCGGCCCCGTCCTCGAGCTCATGCGCAACCCTACCCACCTTTGGTCGCCGTACGGCATCCGCTCGCTCAGTAAGAGCCACCCTCTCTTCGGGCAAGGCGAGAACTACTGGAGGGGACCGATCTGGATCCAGATGAACTACCTCGCCTTGGCTGCGCTCAAGAATGTGCGTCGCACTCCTTTCGCTTGCTCGCGCATACCCGTATTGAACCTGACAACTCGCTCTCGCAGAAATACGCCAAGGAAGCAGGGCCTTTCCAGACTCGAGCCGCGGAGATCTACGACGAGCTACGAAACAACGTGATTGAGAACGTGCACAAGGTGCGTAGCCGAGCTTCTTCGCCCCTCGCTTACGTCCCTGACCGTGAGCTCGCGTGCCGCAGGAGTGGGTGCGGACAGGAACGGTGTGGGAGCAGTACAACGCGGTCACCGGCGAGGGTCAGCGAAGGTGAGCAACCGGCGTGCACCTCCTTACGGGCGGTCGCTGACTGAACGTCCCTCGCCCGCAGCGATCCGTTCACTGGCTGGACCAGTCTCGTCACCCTCAGTGCGCCTGCCCTCTCAGCCCTTCGTTCGACTGTCGCTGACCACTCTCGTCACCGCAGTCATGGCCGAGCAGTATTACTAGACTGGAAAAGCTCGCTGTGCATGTTCTTCATTTCCGAGGCGAGAGGACGATCCAATGTCGCGCAACTGCTCAAGGTCTTCTGCTTCTGCTGACATAGCGCTCAGCGAGTACACGAGACCTCTCTCGTTGCGGACGAGCTGCGTCGAGAACATTGCCGTTGCAAGGGGAGTCAGGGTTCGAGAATGCCAGCATCGTCAAACGGGTCGAAGATCACTCCGTCGAGAAGCGGCGCACGCGGATGACGCATGAGCGGCGACGCAGGCTTGATGACGTCCTGCTCTGGAATGTATCCCTCGTCGACCCCGTCCTCGTCCAGCTCGTCCTCCTCCCCCCAAGCCTCGCTCTCGTCGCCATCCGATTTCCATCCCCACTCGAACGGCTCGATAGCTGAGTGCCGCATCGCAAACTCTCTCGACAGCATTTCGCGCGCCTGTACCTGGTCGATACTGTCACAACCGAGACCGAGGCGCTCGTGCACGAGGATCACGCCGCCGACGCCCTGCAGGTCTCCCTCGTGCAGCTTGTCAGGCAGATGGTGAATCTCGGGATTGTATAAGTACCGAAGATGACGAGGAGGCGAGGAGGGCGGCCAGGTGTACTGCGAGAGGTCGAGGGAAGGCGACGACTTCGAGAGCGCGTCGGTCGTTTGCGCCTCCTCAAAGTCGACGTGCTGGTCTTCGCCAATAGAATGAAAGGAGGCCGTGGACTGAAGCGAGGCGAGACGAGCGACAGAAGGTTGGGGAGATTCGGGCAGCTTGGGAAGGTCAGCCTCGCCGCGAGTCGGAGGCAGGGCTTCCTCGGGCATCGTCTGCGATCCCTCGGGCGTCTCGGGCACGAGTTCGACGGGCGAGCGACCCGTAGGTTCTTCAGCGATGTCGGCAGCCGAAGAGACGGCAGTCTCGGGAGCACTGCTCGGAAAGTCGACGAGGTCGAGGCTGCTCGCTTGGTCCGCAGAGCGAGGCGGCTTAGCAGCGGCAGGCGACGACTTGATGTCAAGGAGCTTGGCCATGTCGGAGAGGAAGTCGTCGGCTTGACCTTTCGACCCCGGCGTCTCATGTGTCGGCAGCTCGCTGTCCTGATGCTGGCTCGTAGCGAATTTGGGCGGCCAGGCGGGCGGAACTTGCTGCCGAGCGAGAGACAGGTATTCCGCGCTCGGAAGTCGACCGCTAGTCGCGCCGGGCTGCTTTTTCTGCGGGCTAACGATGGCGAAGGCGGTGGAGAAGGCGTCGGTCCTGGGCGGTGTCGCAGACCTGGCGGACATCGAGCCGTTCGTTCGACTGAAGGTGTCGACGGAGCGAATCTCGGGAGGAGGCGAGGAAAGGCGGATTGAGACTGTGGTAGGCGAAGACGGTTCCTCCGGATAGACAGACGAGCCTCGGAGCATGGCGTCTTCGGGCGGAGAGACTGAACGCTCGCCGGTCAAGTAGACGTCTGACCGTGGTTGGCGGGCCCGAGGACGGGAGCCTCCGGCAGTTTGTCCGAGGTTTAGCCAGTCGCGCTGCTGGAGGATCCGTTGGCGACGCTGTTCGAGGTCGCCTGGTTCTGCGGAAGACACCCTGTGAGCTCAGAGACAGTGTAAAGAGTGGGTAACGTCGGCTCACCTCGCTCAGTCTCGTTGTGCGCCGCCCTGCTCGCCAGATGCGCCTGCCAGGGGTCCTCCCACACGCTCGAACGTCCAGAAGAACCTCCATGTCGTGCGGATGGCGAGCCTTCCGCCTCCTGAGCGAATTGAAAGTCGAAGGTAGGCCTTGCGCTTCCTCGGTCGACGCCGCGAAGCGCTCGCGACTGTTCCCACAGAGAAACCGCTCGCGGTCGGAGCGGTGTGAATCGTGCCCCGATAGACTGGTTGGCGGACGTCGTCTGATAGCTCGGAGTACCGGTCACGTCGATCGCGCTGCGGTCCGGTGCGTGCATGCAAGTCAGCGAGCGACGAGAGGCCGGGAGAAGGCGAGGACGTAC